ACACTGCAAAAACTGTAGTGTTCATTTAACACCATTCGGTATCTATATAGGACAACACCAGTAAAATTTAACACCAGATGGTCCTATATAGATACCAATGGTGTAAATTTAACACTGCAGTTTTTGCAGTGTATTATAGTCAATGACTTTACAGAGATGCAAAAAAAACCCAAACAAACAAACAAACAAACAAACAACCCCAACAAACAAACAAACAAACACATTTGCCGACGGGGACATGCTGGCATGACGAATTTTACAGCTCTGGAAGTCCGGCTCAACTCGGCCTGACGTAAATCGTATACAGGTTAAAATGTTAATCGAATGTTGGGCTATAGGCCTACCGAATATACCCTTACATGTACGTTGCATGTAAAATTGGTTACCAGTTTCTGGACAGCTAGCACAGGTCTAAGTGTTTTTCTCTGCAAATAATCTCCGCACTGCAATTTGGGATTATATTTCAGATCGGCAGCTCGTGTTCGCCCCGGCTGAAGTGTTTTGAAGCGCCACTGCCCTTCCGACGTCAGAATTTCAGTAAAATTGGGCCAGCAGGCTTGTCATGTGTGCCAAGGCTACGTTCGGTGACAATGACGACATCCAAATTATCGCAATCGAGAGCAAATGCCCAACATGCAATTTTGACAAGGATTTTGCATTTTTGAATGAAGGAACGAGGCTTATCGATCATTTCGATTCACGCTTAGCTTTATGCCTGCTGCAATGTTGTATGCAGTCCTAAATACGTCAAGGAAGTAGGCCCTAAGTGACATGAAACTGAACAGAAATGATCTAACCGTACGTTTAGTATAATGAGTACGTTCCCAACGACTCTTTAGTGCGTGTAATGAGTAACTAGAATACGTTCCCGACGTCGTTCGGCACCCTGCCGAATTTGCCCTGTGAAATTTTACAGCGCAACTTTTATAGGGCCCAAGTTGCTTGTAAATCAAGAGTACTTTTGGAGATGACTGCATTTTGCAACATGCTTCAGTTAAACGACTTGGATGAACAGTGGTCATAATCAGACACTATTTTAAGTATCAGATGTTTCAAACAAAATAGTATACGTTGCAGTGTAACGAGAATTTAAAAAAAAACCTTCGTATTCATATAGGTACTATAGACGTTTTTCCATGTGCTCGGCTCATTTCAGACATTAACATTATGATACACTGCCCATTGTCATCCCGAGCGTTTGGTGATATCTTTAATATAAACTACTGGAAATTAGACTATGTCGAATCTTTTCATCTGGAATAAACTTTGCCTTTCGTAAAGCATATCTGATTATAGTTAAAATAAATTTTAAAAAAGTGAATGTGAAGCAATCCTGACAGTCTTGCACGTTGGGTCATGGGAGGTTCACCCGTGTTCTAAGTATCATAGTCAGGTGGCATATGGTCGGAATCGTGACTGGTCAAAAAGCACCAAACTTGGCAGATAGTTATCATAGCCCTACTAGAGAAGATACAGGGTGAGTAAAAAAAAGCGGAACCCAAACCCCCTAAATTATATTTCAAATTAAAAAAAAACATGTAGCACCAAGTAGTAATAATGACCGGAAAGCCAATTTCATAAGTTACTTTCAGATGAAAAAAATGTGACATTACTCAATCCGTTCAAAGAATATTACCATTTAAACACAATGACCCTAAAACCTCTTTCGTCCAAAAATGCGATTTCAAGAATCGTCGTCACAATTGTCTTCAAACATCACCAGCGATAAAACCTCAGTTTAAAAGTTAAAATATTCAACAAAGTCCTTTTGAAGGCCCGTCTTTTAAAAAAAAGAAGAGGATTTTATAGATCATATTGTTTGCCTAACCAGGGTTGTAAATAAAGATATTGTGTACCACAGTTGTTGACAGTTGTTGAAACAAGTTTTCTGTGTCATTTTCTTTGTTGTTCCAAACAGTCAGAATACACATATAAATTGCTTTTTTTTGGTCGAAACAGGTTTTAGGGTCATTGCGTTTAAATGGTGATATTCTTTGAACAGATTGAGCAATTTCAGTAATGTTTTCATCTAAAATTAGCTTATGAAATTGCCTTTCCAGTCATTATTATTTTTGGTTCTAAATTTTTTTTTTTAATATGAAATATATTATGGGGGCTCTTGGTTCCGCTTTTTTTTTTTTTACTCACCCTGTATTTAGCAGGGGGTGACACCTTAAATTCGTTTTGAAAGGGTGCGTACTTTGCATAAATCGTAAATAGCCGGCGTGTAATATATTATCTTAGTGGGGGCTATACGAATCTATCTGCCAACTTTGGTGCGTTGGAGCAGTCGGTCACGATCTTTTTGAAAAAAAAAATAGATAGCTACTTGACTCTCAATGTTGACGTTGTGACAGTGCTGTAGGCTCGGGAATAATCATGACCTTCTGGTACCTTTCAGTTCTCCAGCGCGTAAATTAAATTAACAAGGCTGTGTTCTCGGGGACAAAGCACGGAACTGGACCAAAATTGTAGAAAACTAGAAAAATCTGATTATACGGGAGTGATTTTCTCCCTCTCAAAAAGCCATTACAATATGCATGAATATTGTGCCTTTGTTGAACTATTCGGTGTATACATAGAGAAAGGACGTATGGCATACATGTATTAATAGGTACGGTATGTAGTAATGTTCAGTGTATAAATGAGGTTATGTCCTACGTGGCTTTTTTATCCAGCTATGGCTATTCGCAGTGGCACATTGATGTCAAAAAATTGAAGTCACAGCCGAAAAAAAGCCATTCGAACGTGGGCTAAACCTTATCAGTAAGAGTTAAGAGAGAACAGACAAACGAGCGTACGGAATGTGACTCAAACTCTTGGGAGGTTTCAGCATTGGTTTTCTCATTTCTGTTCCCTATGAAGATGCATAATTTTATGATTATCTTTAAATACGGTTGTCAATTTCTCTTTATGGAGAACAATACCGGTACTTAGAGCCAACATCACTTGGGTAATAATTTTGGATGAACATTATTTCAGGAAGTACATTTTTGAATATTTGAGTTTACACCCAAACTTACCGGTATGTGTTCTTTCCCTGACTGAATATTTATTCAGAATGCGGGAATGGGCTTTTCAAGGAAAAATCCCACACCGAGTGGTTTTAGGTTCGTTTTTTATGTATGCCGGCAATATATCAGGCTTCATGCATTTAGGTCTTAGTTATTTATTTCGATATTTTTGGTGTACTGTCGGTGCGCTATGGGGCGGCAGTAACAATTACTGATATTATCAGTGGGACCATTATACGCCCGGTTGCCATGACGATGCCAAATACACTGTTATATAAATTATGTACACGACCATCCTCTTGCAGTTGAACGAAATTGAAAACGAAAAAGCCAATTTTTTTGTTCCGAGTAATTGAGACATTTTGAAAACCAGCAGGATACTCCTTGTGAAGAATATTGTGGAGCTATTGTTTGAAATATAGAAGCCGCCTTTCATTTTTTTTTGGGTGCATTTTCTGTTAGTTTTGTATGTGTTGCCGCCTTTCTTTATTGATGGCTTGTTCGGGCCCGTTTTGTGTCTGGTGTTAGTTTAGGCTATGATGTACATTTATAGACAGTTGTAGAAAGGTGACTTGTAGATTGTGTTCTCTGTACCCTTTCTCCGATTTTATACAACCCTCTGAAAAGGGCTTTGATTTTGCAAACAACTGCAAGATGAGGTTACATGCTGAGGTCTGATCGCCGACTGTGGATAACTTGTTCTTGATTCTTTGTGCTTGGAACTTTGAATGTAAATTGTTTGATGGGGGTTTCGGATCCACTTAAATCCGAGCCCTCTGGCAAATTTCATTATTTCGTTACCTAGAGTCAACTTGTTCCTCTGACTTTTGCGTCAGCACTGCCTAGCTCGGGGAAACCGGTCAAATTGACTTCGTTTGAATCAAATTGTCCATATACACCTTCCATAATAATTCCTCATGCACGTCAGTGAATCCTTACTATCTTATCCTTTCTCTCTACTTCGTCTTGTTTTGGGGGCCAACCTCGCGGATCCCCGTGAAATTGCAATCAGCGAGACAACCAGATTGCCGGAGGGTAGGCGAGTTAATGATGCCGGGTCTATCTCCGGCCGCGCGTCCCCTCTGCCCACTTACGACTGTCAACTCCCGGACAAAACATATGATAAATTTATATAATCTTATTATTTGCACCAACACTCCACTGATCCCATAGCTTGTGCGAGTCACACAGCCGGCGTCACTCCCTTGTAGATACTCGCCGGTATTCTTTGGCCAGGCTATTTCCAATATTCCTGATAGTAGGTTCAGCGAGGATCGATTTCGAGATGAATTTCCGTTGTCTTCTGGACGGATGATGAGGATACAAAAGATCGCGGTGGTTGTCAAATTAGCAGTGCCGCCGCGATGTGCAGAACTTCGCTTCCTGACAGTTGCAATTTTCGTAACTATCCCCAAAGGTGCCATCACTGACACTATTCATCAGGTAACCATGGTACTCGTTTGCATAAATTATTTCGCAAGCCCCGCTTTCGTTTACTCATACATACCGAGTAAACAGAGAACCGGCATGCACTGTACACGTCGCGCGCCATTTGTTGCATTCATAATCGTCCACGCTTTATTATGCACGGTATTCATTTGGACAAATCGGTTTCATTTCCTGTGGCGACAAGATGAATTCCGTAATTATTTTTGAACGAACAAAAAGGACAAAGGGCAGAGTCCATCTACTTAGGCTAAGTGCAGACGCAGTCGCGTATTTGAAATGGAATACCTATACTGTGCGCAGTTTTGTAATTTCGCCTCGGCATTGCAAATTGATCATTTTACCACGTTTATACGGGATAACGGCTGTCCGGGCGTGGATGTCGAGAGCGGAACGGATGATTTTGTCTGAAATGATTGAAACCGGTCTCGATTCAGCATCCTCTCGTAACCGTCGGCCCTTTAATGTCTCTTGAGTGTTTGTATGCACACGCACGGGGATTTATATTAGCTTCTCATTCTTTCCGTATTATATTTGCAGATGGAGATTACCGAATCTGCACATGTGGACAATCTACCTCACTGCGCAGTTCTAGTATGAACCTGGAATCATCTCGGCACACATGCTGAGGACCATGAACAAATATGGGACGCATCTCTTATGACCGTTGACAACGATTGTTCCCGAGTAATCATATTGCGAACAACTACTTGGAAATGACACAGTGTAGGTTTGTCAATCCATTTCTGTTCAGCTACTATGTAGAGATTCTGCTGGAAAGGGAATGCAAATCAATACATTTCTGATTGTGTTTGCCATCCTAGTGGAATGTATGGTATCTTGAGTAACAACTGATATGGAGAACATGGGCCCATCGCTCACCAACAACAGCTCCAGTATGGCGTATCCCACCGCTGCCACCAATGACAGCGACATGGGTATGAATGACTCTACCCTTATTTCCGACACCTCCTCCTACGTGTATCCTATACCATACGTCGTCATCCTTTCGGTTGTGTTGGTCATAGAGATGCTTGCAGGTGTCCTGAGCAACATAGCTGTTCTCTTTAGCTACCACGTCAACAAAAAGTTCATCCGCTCCGTCAGCGATGTCTTCATCATCAACATGAATGTTGTGGACATCATCATCTGCCTAGTCTCCATTCCATCCACTCTAGTGGCTGTCCTCTCCAACCCAAGCATCCCGCTGTTCTGTTTCTTCCACGAGGCCACGGTGTCCTTCGCCAGTGTCGCCTCCGCTGTCAATGTCGTCGTCATCTCCCTGGACCGCTACGACAAGATCTCACACCCTCTGGTGAGGAAATTCAACATGAGGAACGTTCGTTGGATCCTGCCGATCACCTGGGTCCTCTCGTTACTCGGATTCTGCTCTCCGCTCTTCGGGCTAGATTTGGACAAGTTCGACGAAGTTCAACAGAGATTCGAGTCCGAGCAGCATCACTGTTTTTACTGGTTCTTCAGTTCCAGGGACAATCATCTTTACGAGCTGTACTACATTCCCATATTTTTTGTTGCGACTTTCGTCATGACCTACGCGTATTATGGAATCATCAGAATCACTCGCGTGAAGACGATCCACTCTGCTTTGGTCAAAGCAACCGTAAATATGAAAGTGGACAGCAACAAGAAGGTGATAGCGGCTGCTAACAATCACAGAGACCCGGAGAAGAGAGTCTCTAGGACAACTACCATCATTATTTTGACTTTCATCACTTGCTGGGGACCTCACGCGATAATCAGCATCGTAATTGTGGCTAGGGGTTACGCTAGTAGTGGTGAGATAACCTTAGATATATTAGAGCGATGGTTAGTTGCCCTCGGCTACACCACTACCTTGATGCATCCCATCCTTTACGTCTTCATGAGAAGGAACTTTCGGCGGGCTTTTTTCAACAGTTGGATAGCGAGATGGGCGGCCAGGCACGGGGCAGGCACGGCGCACACTACGCCGAGCCAGGAGGAGAACCCACGCCCCATGCTGGGAACCATCGGTAAGAGACAGTCGGCAAGGAACCTCATAGTCAACACGGTGGAGGAAAGGAACTCCAACCCACCACAGACTTCTACCAAGGCGAACGTGCACGCCCAGGTGGGGGAGGGAGAACACAGGCAAAACGGGGAGAACATCGTGTTACTGGAAGGTGATGACGTCGATAGCAAGCAACCAATCGTAAACCCGTGTGCTACCTACGTCATCAGCCCGTCGGCTCTCAAAGACCCAACAAGTTCAGCATTCAAATTCACTGAAAACGTTCTACCACATGTGGAGTGAGTTGTTGGAGCAATTTTGCTGAGTGAAAGCTGAAAGTGACAAGATACGCGCCAAATGGATTTTGTGTAATTCAACATTATTGATGCTCATCGGCTAACTGAATCTCTAGCTGACAGATGGACATAGATGGACATAGATCGCCTCCGAATTATACTTGGCCGGCTACGGCCAGCTGTATCCCATTATCATGTCGAACTTGTCAAAGGGTGTGGCTTTAGCCGCTTCCATCGCATGTTTAAAAGCCCTGTACAGCGCGTGTCAATGAAAATGTAGCAGTCAATCCATAAATATTAAAAATAGCACTCTCTTTTTGCAGCAATGTTCTTTATCCCATCTCATTTGGACACCCTAGTCCAGAGATACAACTACAATGAAAGGACTTGACTTCCAAGTTGGGCCACTTTTCAGATTATCTGGTATCTAATGAAAGGCATCTAAGAAGGTATGCGAATGCCTTTTATTTTTAACAAAAGGTCAAAATCACACAGAACAAAAATCCTGTCAAGGGTGAAGGAACACTCTATCATGTCATGGTAATGTTTTTTTTTACAAAACGAAACGAGTTAGTTTTCGCAAAAAAACAAATTGTTTGACTGCTACATTTTTGTTAGACGCACTGTATTATGTATACATGTATAAATTAGTTTAGTCATAAAACTACCGCGGTAGCCACCAATCCTCAAAAATAATGCACGGCAAAGGATGTAAAATTTGTATTGTGCCTGAAGATATATTTTTTGACTTTATGTTGGCATTTTTTAAAGTTCCAGGCTCACATGTGTCATTTATGTATTGCAAGTCGGACCAAAGATTCTATTAATTACGGCTTCTTGTCAAATCACTTTGCACCGGCCCCTCCTGGAAAGGTAACAGCGTATTTTGTACCCGCTCCATCAAAATCACTAGGAATAAGTCGCAAATGATATGTACGCATGAGCTGTGCCTCAGTGTAACTGAGCTAGCAATTTGGGTGTTTTTTTAGTACCTTTAATAGTTTGTTTAGGGGAATATCATGACAACATGTTGAGAGTGAAAGAAATTTGACATGAAAATTGAGGACAGAATGGAGTATCAAAAGTAATCGATGAAATAAAGATCATAACAACTGAAAGGTCATCACTTTAAAGGTAACGGACAACATGCATTTGCAAAAATTCCAACTGGCAAAATATGAAATATCCCGATTGATTGAAAATTATAGGATCACGTTTATCCTTTGAAATCATTGCGCCTGCTGTCATTTTCGAGAAAAGAGGAATTTACCATCATTTCCTCGCGATGGTTAGGACCAAACCATCGCGATTTTACAGAATTTAGTTTAGTTTGCGATCGGTTGCATTTCCATGAATGAGAAATATTTTCCCTTGCGACAAAGTGGGGATCATACCCCAACAGGGTGCGAGTCAAAACGTATTAATGGATATGTTGTAAGGGAGGGCTTCAAGCGTCGAGAAAAAAATGAAGATGCATTTTCACAGTTTTCTGAAAAAGTATATCTGTAGTGAGCTGCAATTTCGACAGGTTAGTTGAGTAATAACCTGCTTCAAATTTATTGTGTTGTTGTTCCTTGAGTCGGCTTAAATACTTTTCTTGCAAATGGCGTCATTACCTTTAAATCGATGTCTTTAAACTCCTCTTACATCTGAACAAAACAAGAACCTGTTTTTGTTACATTCCAACAATTTGAAGTTAATTACTGAAAATGTCACCGGCACTTTTGCCCCCTGATTTTGGATGTGACAGTGTAAATACCTGTTCTTCGCTGCTCGACTTGGAACAGTCCATACATTTTATGGAGAAATTGGTATGGATCGACTGACATGCGTTTGTAAACATTCATGGGGAAAAAGCAGGCCTCTCTTGATGAATATCGAAGAAGCGTGTGTATTCAGATCAAGACAAGGTCAGTTTCTCCAGAGAAATACGACAATGCCTCAGTCCCACTTTGCATCAAAAATTACTCCGGCACGGCTTCGATTGTGTTTGGATTGCGCGTTGGCATGGCAACCTGGCGCGATTTAATGGCTAAATAGCCATCGTAAAAGGCAGGCCAGACCACTTGTGGCTCAGCGGACGTGCCTTGGAATTCAGATGATGTTATGGATTTGGGGATCTTTCTTAAAAAGCGAGTACAATTAAAAGCAAAACAGGGTAAAAAAAACACAAAAAAACGAAATAACGAAACAAAATAAAACCTGAAACGGGTAAATAATAACCACTTATTATTCGATGAATTGTTGAGTCGTTTCAATTATTCCGCAAAAAACTGCTTTAAAAAGAAATAATACACCTTATGAAATAATACACACAATAGGCCTACATTCATCAATATTATATTGGTCAAGTTGGCTTCAAATAGCGAATAGCATGAATTATGTGAATGGCTAGTTATGAATAATTTGTAATAAGGTTATGTTTACTTTGCCGATTCGGCACAAAACAGACGAGAGAGATAATATATTGATTGAGATTGATGACGTCATCGTCTAGGGTAATGAAAATGCATTTCCGTGTGTCTATTGGTGAAAACAGTTTACATTTCCACAATGTTATCGTTGTATGTAAATAATTTTCCGTTTTGAATAACATTTTAAGCGGTTACTGTAAATATAAACCGTTAAATACCCTGGATGATGACGTCATCAGTCGACCCACGCCTGGAATTCTCGAGTCTTAATGTGTAAATAAAAAAATCCGAGGTTCGATTTAAAGGAGTTAGAATACATGATTTTCCACTATTTAAGTAAAAAGACTATGACCTAGCATACATTTTACACATTAATTTGGTGAGCCACATCTTCTGCAGAGCAGTCATTATGCGATGAGGCATTGGTAAGAAGCAAGTATGATTTTATAATCAAAGAACGTTCAAACTGACGAAGCAAGGTGTGTGTTCAAAATTATATTTGTTTTGTGTCGTTATGCAATATAGCTTTTGAGTTCTAAAATAAAATCAGTCTTTAAGGCCGAAAGGTGTACAGCATTCTTTGTTCTCACAATGACGTCTATTTATACTTTGCTTTTTTACTTTGAATTGATTTTTAAAAGTGTACTATTATTTTTTGACGTGACCATGTGATTATATAATATAACCGATGTGAGATGAGCTGACGGTCACCTGATATCTCTTAAATTCGGCAGAATTGTCAGAATGTTTGGCATGGATACCAGACTTGTGAAGTTAAAAAGCGTAATAACGTTTTTATTTATACCTAAAAAAAACGGTGACTTCGGATACAGTTGCTTGATGAAGTATAGTCGTATGGTACGGCAGATAGGTGATGGGATGGTGCCTTTAATTTGATGATACAAGCATGGAATTTGGCACACAGTCAGAATATGTCTGTGTCATGAGAAAGATCTTTGGCTGTAGGTCCATCGCAGATTTGTCCTTTGACAAAAAAATATAGAGGTATAACAAGCAAAGGCGGCCATTTTGAAAACTGCTTGTTATTCTACCTATATTTTTTCAAAGGACAAATCTCCAATGACCCTATCGCCAAATATCTTTCTTAAGTCATACTCTGACTGTGTGCCAAATTCCATGCTTGTATCATAAAAGGCATGCACAACTTGCCCACCCACTACGGTGTTAAGTGACCGAGACACAAAATTATGGGGGAGGGGAATTATTCATTGGATTTGGATGTGAATTTTACTTGTGAAAAGATATTGACATTTTTGTAATATGTGGGGTTTCATTTTCGCATTTGGAGGTAAACGAAGAAAAAAAGTCCACAGGAAAACCACTACGAAGTGTTATTTCCTGAATGCGTCTAAAACGAATTCAGGAAAACAACGTTCTTGGCTTCACACTGCGTAGTGTTATGTCTTCAATACGTCAAAACGCAACAGGAAAACAACGTGCTTGAATTCTCACTACGAAGTGTTATGTTCTGAAAGCGTTAAAACGCATTCAGGGAAACAACGTGCCTGGATGCACACTGCGTAGTGTTGTGTTTTGAAAGCGTTAAAACGCAAAGGTGTTCACAAGACGCCAGGTTCACCTGTTCCAAGTTAACTCCTATTTGAGTTTCGAACCCAACCTCTGTTCACAAGAATGGCTGGACAGATTTTTTTTTTCAATGCATGTATATTTCACAAGGACAAAAGATCTCCGCCTCATCCACCATCGTTTGGCGTCATATGATTCAACACTCTTGGTATTGTCCTGCGAAAAACGGAACACTTTAGAAAAAAAAACGTTAAAAAATACCAATGATTACTCAGCCAAGTCTTCGTACTTGTGTATCTTGCAATATCAGATATGTATCTTGCAATATCAGATTTTATTTGAAACTGTTCATCAATATGCGACTTCAATTTTTGTTAATATTTGTAGTCTTATTTTTGTATTCATAATTATAGAGGCGGTCTATTTTCAAACATGTTGGAATGCTATTCGCGTACTATTCAATATTACTTAACTCAATGGTGCGTGCAGCAAAAAGTCAGCGGTGACATTTGTTATCACCCAACTATCAAATTAGTAGTCTTCAGGCGGGCAAGGGCGGATCCAGAACACAATTTTTGGGGGGGGGGCAAAAAAAAATTTGGTCCTCCAAAAAAGTGGGTCAAAAAAATTACGGCGTGGGGTTCGGGGCCCGCTTAAGGGCCCCGAAAAAATTTTGGATTCTAGATGCTCTGTGGTGCGATCTGAGGCAATTTCTGACCACTTTAACCAATGTTTTTTTGAGGAAAAGATGGTGGTGTACTCATTGCCTGCCTTTATTGCGATGTCACATAAAAAAAAAAAAAAATTGGTTTCGTTTTGGGGGGGGGGGGGGCCATGGCCCCCTTTGGCCCCCCCCCCCTGGATCCGCCCTTGCAGGCGGGAAGATAATTTGTCCTTTTTTTCACACCAAAGCTTCGCTCGGCTGCCGTGCTACAAATGTCATTATCAAGGAGACAGGAAAAATATATCGTAATTACTTACACACAGAGAGGCAAGTCCACATACATGGTTGTAAAATTGAAATGGTGTGTGATAATGATATATCGATTTTCACTATACGAATAATCTTTGCGTGGGGGCCGGGCCGGAACCGGGAAGATTGCTCCAGTGCTGTGTAATACCGTGAACTAAAACAATTACGATATCGATAATCATTATGCAAATCACAATTGAAAGTACGATTCTTTTGTGGCGTAAATTCAAATCTTTGTTGGTGTTGATGGAAATGACAACATGCGTCACTGTAAAGCCGGTTCAGGTAAAGAAAAAGCTGCCGATGAAAAAAATGCCTGATTTAAAGGGTTCTTGATATGAATTTTTCTTGGAACACATTTTGTGCCACTTTTTACTCCTTTTAAATGTATGAAAATTATTTAACATTCCTTTTTGATTAATTTAATTGAAAAGTGCACTTCTTTAAACATTGAAATGTTCCATGTTTTTCCAAAAAAATTGAAGGCGCTATTAATGTGATGCCATTTCAGGAAGACGCTGTTCAGTTTAGGGGTTTTCTGTTCAAACTGTGAACCCAACTTAATGTGCTCATTGGAAACATGTTGTGAGAAAAGTTTGCTCATTGGCTTACAGCCGTGCGCTGACACAACAATGAATCACCAAAAGAAAAGAAAATTTACAACAGCAAAATATCCAAACTTCTGGCAACGTTTTGTGCTGAAATAGCTGTAAAATTGAGGTTTCTGCCTGAAATGACATGACACATTTGCTCATGAACTTATGGAAATTCGCATTAGCATAAAAAAGGCACCAAACTACCCATAAAAATGGCAAAACGAAAATTGAAAAATAAGGTAAAATGAGACACAAAGGTGCATTTTCAAGGATTGCATTAACAAAATTACATTGCATGGGCCCTTTAAAGATAATGATGTCGAACTTTCATATTCAGACACTGAAAAAAAAGCAAAACTAAAGAAAACAAAGTAGCATTGATGTCAAACCAAGACTCTGTTATGCTTAAAACAAATTTCATAAAACCATTTCAAATCAATCGAAGCAAAAATGAACGAAAAATCATTATATTTTTGAAAGCTAAAATGCAGAACCTATTTTATTTTATAGAAGCAGGTTTTTTTTTTATTGATATCAAAATAACCAAACCCTACAAAAGATTGGCAAGATTTTTGCGGATACAACATTCTGGAAGCACGTTGGCCTGTTTATGACCACATTATGATTCGTATTCTTTGTTCAACGCGACCTAAAACGTATTTTGCCCTCGATGATAATACACTCACTATCTCAGTTTTACCCACGATCGCACGGTCGTACTATAATGACATTATTTGGTCGTGTCAGCTGTTAATTTCACAAATGCGTCACTGATTTCAGCAATTAACCCACAAGCGACAGCAGCATTACTAATGGCAGAAGTAATGTCGTCGGTTACTTGATATAAACCTGCTCTTAGGCGTAGTCAATTTCACCCCGAAAATTGATTTATTTGAAAAAAAAAAACCTGCTAGCAATGAACAGATAGTTATCTCGAATTATTTGCGGCCCAGACTGAGTCCGGCACCTCCTTTTAGAATCGACAATGTGGGGACCGAGAAGAAGTCTTTTTTTTTTGTTTTGGTAAAACACTCAAAGGTCATTTTGTTTAGAGGAAAAAAAAGTCGAATTAGTTGAAGAGCACGGAGCGGAACAGTACTTCTTTCATTATTATGATAGGCCTATAATTCTTCGCCCATGTGCTCTGAATTAGGTATGAGATAAACACCAATCACAGTTTCCACTGTAAAATGTGTTACATATCGGAGAAGAGAGATAAAATGTAGCACACGGGAATCTGCTTGTTACCCCTGTCCGTCGGCAAAACTTGGGGTGTACAAAATGATTTGGCAGTCGTGCTTTCGGGGAAGGTAAGCGTGACATCTTTCGTTTAGTCGAATTGTAAACAGAGCTTGATAAAAGTGTAAACAATCATTCAGCTCTCTCTCTCTCTCTATTTTTTCACGGGTACACATACATCGTTCTTTGACTTGGACTGATTTTTTTTCACTGAATGGCGAAACACTGACGTTGTATTTTTCACACACAGTGCGATATTTGGGCTGATTGGGGGCGCCCTCACATTTTGCTGAGGAGCGAGAGCTGAGAAGCATAGGGGGCGCACTTGTAAACTTACAGCGGAGGAGGCCGAGGAGGAGCAGGTGGCAGGTGTTTCGTTTTAGTGGGGCTTGGTTTTGGTTCTGGTTCTGGTTCTGGTGGTTACTGCGCAAACACCTCCTATTAAAGTGGTTATCTCGCTTGGAGTTTATCTTTGGGATTTAATTTGCACTTTTTCCTGGGAGCAAGTTAGAATTAGAGAGATGGTCAAGCAAATCCGTGTTGTGACGTTGAATTGCTGGTAAGAACGAATATAAGTGAAGTCGAGTGTTATCCCGGGGTCTTTGACAAACTTGCAGGGGATTTTTGAGGGTTTTTTTTTACCGAGTCTAGCATGACTAGCTTTAGCCATGATAATGATGATTGAGCAAGGAACAGCTAGTTACAAATTTTCCGAAAAAAGACCTTTTTTATAGCTCCATAGTTTATGAAGCCATCTGTTCCTTGCTCTATGATTAAACTAATATGTAGTGCAAAAAAGTGCACAGTGTTGACTTCAATTTTCCATGTAATTTTTTCTCATGACCATGCATGCCATGCAAGCCACTTTAATCAGCATTAGGCCGAATTTATGGCATGTATGGCAAATTATTTAAAGGGAAGATACAGCATTTGCAAACATCACAAAACGAAATGATCAAATTATCACGAAATACCTTACTAGATGGTTAGGGAATCCTCCATGGTCTAAAGCACCCTGTAAAATCGTGGCTCCGGGTGTGCTGTCATTTTTAAGAAAAATGGTGTTTTTCCAACAGTGGTTGGCTTTTTTAAAAGTGCTCCTAATTTTTCCTAATTAGATGATAATTTTCTGCGTTTTCTTTGCAATTGATTACACACATGTGAAGGGGTACAAGCCTGCTAGACTGATTCTCTGACCTTACAATTCCCCAAAGTGTATAAATTGCTCTGTTTCATCGTAAGTGGGGTCAGGGAACCAGACTACAAGAACATGAATGGTTTTCTTGTTTTTCCAGCATCTACAAGCCTAAAACGTGAAACAAGTCATTTCATCAATATTTGCTATAACATACTAAGTCTCCGAATCCATTTATTTCTGAAAATTGCAGCAAAAAGCAAATGTTGTACATTCCCTTAAAATTTCTTTCTTTTTTTAACCAGGGGGTTGTGGTACCTAAGCAGTCATCGGGAGAAGCGAATAAGCCACCTTGGAGATGAGCTTGCTAGAGGGCGCTATGACATTGTCACATTGCAAGAGGTGCGACATGAAATATTTGAGTTTCCATGGGAAGATAAGCGAAGGCAGCCATTTAATGAAGATAACCTGAGAGGAAGAAAAACAGTTTGAATATAATATAAAAAAACAACATGTTTAGCGTCCCCGCCCGCTTCCTTTTTGGAGGCTGCCTCCTTTTTCTTTTTTTTTTGCACCCAAAAAAAGGATAAATTTTAAATGGTGACATCATTTTGGCCTCTTTGTCTGTTGCATCTAGCCCATATAAAGCTGGTATGTCATTTCCTGAGTCCAATGGCGGCCATTTAAAAATAAAACTGGCAGCCATCTTGGAAAATAGCCCGGTCGGACGGCCATTTTGGAGGGCAAAAAAAAAGGGGGGGGGGCCTTCCGCTTCCTTTTTTTTTCAAAAAAGCTGGACGCTAAACATGTTTTTTTTTATTTGGCCTAAAGACACTTGGGCCAAGTTGGGATTTGGCAATAAAAATCCATGCTATGTATTTAGAAACTGCAATTTTGTGCATTTTCTTGGTCATTTGGCTCAACTGAAGTTTCTATGGCAAAAATATGTTGAGACCCCTCCCCCCCCCAAAAAGACCGATTATCATTTTCGAGCAAATGAAAATGATTTAGTAATGCCCACAATGTTTTTAGAAAGTGCAATGCAAGTCATACGGCAAATACCTTATTTTGAGCTTATTTGAAATTGTAGGTTTATACATATTGGCACCATACATGTGCGTATACTTTTCATTTATGCCTCAGATTTCAGGCAAAATGTCGGAGTACACTGACATCTGTGTGTATACATTCTCTTTGTTTCTTACATTGGTTTGGTCTGTTTAATTCATAGATTTGCGTTTCCTGCTTTTTTTGGTTCAGATTTGGATGGAGAAAGATTACCAAAGTATATGTGATAAGGCGAAAGATGTCCTGCCCTATCATCACTACTTCCACAGGTAAAGAGGCCAAAATATCATCCACAACAGCCATATATTTACCCACAAACAAACAGAAAGAAAAAAGTTGCCAGAAAAATTATGAGAAATTCTCTGAATTTGTTTTTGTGAGGTTAAGAAAATGACTTGCAGCTTAAACTTAAAAATCAACACTTCTGATCTCTGGCTGTGCTCCGCGGTCTGGGACGTATGGCCGCAACCTAAGACGCCTATGAACATGTTTTTACCTTGACCTCATTGTAGCCGCGTCCTTTGCATTTCAGCTTCTCAGCTGTGAGTAAGGATGATTAGCCCCCAAATTATTATTATTGTTATTATTATTACCATTGTTAAGACTTGAAATTATGACACAGTGTTCGGCGTTAAACGCAGCACTGTGTACTCCGACTCGGTCCGCAAGTTTAAAGGACTCGCATGCAAACTTATTAACCCTATTTTGAATCCTGTCCATCACAGTGGCTTTCTCGGAAGCGGCATGTGCATTTTGTCCAAGTGGCCCATAGTAGATACACTGTACCACAGCTACTCCCTGAATGGCTACGCGTATCGCATCCTACAAGGGGACTGGTTCGGAGGGAAGGGAGTCGGACTGTGTGTGATTGAACTTGAAGATTTCACTGTCAACGTTTATACAACTCATGTAAGTATTTGTGAATATTTTGTACAAAAAGTAGGCAAATTAAAGTAAATAATAGCATTAACTCAACTTCAGATACATGTTCTGGTTTTGTACCAGTGTTGTCATGATTCCATCACAAGTCCGGTCCTGAGTCAATCACAATCCAGTTCACAAGTCAAGTCACAAGTGTTAGGGGTAACAACAGAATGCTTTTATCACAGTTCTTTGGAATTGCTGGTGACTTGACTTGAGGACTTATGATGGACGTGTGAGGACTTGTGATGGACATGTGAGGAATTGTGAGGACTTGTGATGGGCATGTGAGGACTTGTGATGGGCATGTGAGGACTCGTGATAGCCTTGTGAGAACATGTGATAGACTTGTGATGGTTGTGAGGGACTTGTGATGGACTTGTGAGGACCTTTCATAAGATGGGAGGACTTGTGATAGTGATAGTGATTGTGAGGACTTGTGATAGACGTGTGATAGACCTGTGAGGACTAGTAATGGACTTGTGATAGACTTGTGAGGATTACGATGGACATGTGAGGAATTGTGAGGACTTGTGATAGACTTGTGAGGACTTGTGATGGATTGAAGATGGACTTGTGATGGACTCGACTTCAAAACTGTTTTTTTTTGCCAACAACTATACGTGTAACTCCCTCAGAAGCTAGCATTGTTCTGCGTTGAAAATCTATCAAACATTAGCAAAAGTTAAACTCCTTTGGCATATAACTATGAATCATACCAAATTTTGAAGTTGCTCACGGCAACATTCAGATGAAACTAGAAATTAAACTTTAAATTTATCTGGCCCTGTTACAACAGGGTCAAGCCACTTTAAAAGAAAAAGTCAACGCATCATATTTGACCATTTTGGAGACTGTTGACATAGGGCTAGATAGCCCATTCGTAGAGCACTCGTACAGTGTTCCACACATCACAGGTTGAGACCCCAATCTTGTCAATTTCTTTGCCTAATCCAAAATCCTTTATTATTTTTTTACACTGGTCTGTTCAAAGAATTATTTTCCATTGATAAAACCATTGTTATATTTTTGTCGTTTAGAAACATGCCCTGTATGCACCCTCCCACGTCTTCTCAGAGGATGAGCACTTCACGCATCGTCTCCTGCAGGGCTACGAACTGAGCAAGTTTGTACGATTCACAGGAACCAACACCGACCTGAATGTGGTGACCGGCGATTTCAACACGGAGGATTTCTCCCTGGGGTTAAAGGTCGCTAAGGTCAACGCTGACCTCAGGGACGCTTGGTTGGATCGACCCAATCAGTGCATGGTAATTCACAAAAGGCTGTCACAAAGATTTGAATGATTCCAAAGATTTGAATTATGTACATGACATTTGAAGTCAACAGCTGCAGTCATCCCGAACGACCCCAGAGTCGACTCAATGGAAAATCGATCCTGGAACGCAACTTTGAAACAGTTATCAAGTCCAAAATATTGACACTATGCAAGAATAGGAGGTAGCACATTATAACCTATTCCGCACAAGAGTTCCTGCGTACATCACTCACAGGACTGTCTTTGAATGTGAACACAACTGAGATACTTTTGCGTGGGCATCAGGCTCATGGCAGCGATAGTCGGTTAATGCATCTGTCATCCCTTCATTGGTCACCCTTGACAGGGTACTTGTGCAATAGGTCTATAGCACACTATAGGACATGCTCTAACTTGCATACATATCCAGTACGCGTACAAATTTCTAATGGTACCGGTACTTTTTTGTATGAAATTTCTTTTGTTCAACAGAGCAGGTGAATTTTCAGTAGAGCATTATAAGTTTTTCCCTTGCAGAAAACTAAGGAGCTGTATTTCTCAAGCCAACCATGTTCAATTTTAAGACTTGCATGTACTTTTTATCCAAACCATAAAACATGTGTAACTTTTCTTGCCCCTGGTCATTCCAAATATTTTCCTCTTGATTTAGCTTGTGTAAAAGATGATTGAAGTTTTCTCCATGGAGGTACTTTTTCATTGACAATTATTGATGATTCTTTTCCGTGTAGGATGAGCCCTGCTGCACTGTAGAAGCACCAGATAATAGCTACACCAAAACCCAGACAAGCTACTATGTACACCACCCAGGCATGCGCATTGACTATGTCATGTATGGTACCAAACCGATATGCCATACCACCTGCCTGGATAGCAGATTGACCTTCAAAAGGATCCCAGGAACTGATATTAGCTACTCGGACCATGACGGGGTCGAGGCACTCTTTGAACTTAAAAAGGTCAAAGGTAAGTGCACTTTTTCTTTCAAATTTTTTTTTTTTCAGCCAGTGTTAGAAGATAAAAATTTGCTAGTTCACACATTGGAGCATGACGGACTTTGAATAGTTTTTCGTTCAGATGCACTGATAACTTCTGTCCAAGAGCCCTTGAGCTGTAAAAGTGTTCAGTCTAAAAGTTGGCATAGTGTGAAAAAAACAGAAAATTTGTGCCTAGGGCTGTCCCGTATGTACCGAATAGTCGATTCTAAGATCATCAACTGAATATTTGAAAAGCTTTTTGCCAGTTTTAATATTCAAGGAAAAAAACAATATGCAGACACACACGACTGTGATGTTATGTAATGGTAAATTTGCGAAGATTTAATGTCAGGTGCTACTTTTCTGTCGATGGTAACTGTTTTGTCGACGCCGGTGCATTGTTCACATCCTTTTAGCAGGTTAAAGCCCTTTTTAGATTTTTAAATACTTACTACAAAACAGTCCACTGCCTCACATCGATAACTGCAAGAAAATTTGAACTGGCACACTCTTAATGCAACTTTTTTTTGCAGCTGGCAGTTTCGAATATCCAAATATTCGGTCAAACATAGTTTCAAGTGACTAAATACTAAATTATTCCAAAGTGGACAGCCCTATTTTCGCCACATTTGTCGATAATGCTACTTCCATTTCAATGCCACTTTAAAAAAAAAAAACATAGAACACCATTGTGTATTAGTATCTTAAAAAAGAGGTGCATGTGCTAATTTGATTAAGCAGTTTACCCATGTGAAAGGACATCTTCAAAATTTTTTTCATCAAAAAGATATATGGTTTATCAAAATTTCCCCCTCAGGCCAAAAAAATTATGTTCCACCAACTTTTGATTTGTAAGTTTTTTTGATCAGCATTTTTCCTTTAAGTTTTGTTCATTCATTCAATTTTTTTTATTGGCTGTCGTGGAAATCCAAAAACTCACTATTTTGCTGCCACTGACAGCGAGTTGGCTTATCGAGGCAAACAAGTTTAACACACTTTACTCAAGGATAGAAAAGTTTCAACACCAGAGCCTCTCATTTTATCTACAACTCAAGTCATTGACCAGTCATTTATTTACAAACTTCATGATATCCCCCCTCCCTTTATCAACAGGGGAAGTTCAAAAACCTTCAGACAACACACAGAACCGCCTTGCCGTCCTGCAAGAGATCCTACCCTACCTCGATGACTCCATCCCAAAAATCAAACGCCAACGCGCCATCTATCTCCTCACGTCCCTCCTTCTATTTGTCCTACTGACATCCCTCTGGTTGAGTGGTACGTTCCATTGGTGTACCAGTATTTATGCTCGTTCAGGGGCCCTGGTCGTCTTACTGGCACTGGTTGTGTTGGGCTTGGGGGCGCTGAGTATCGGAGTTTCAGTCAAGACGACGGAGTTGAATCAGTTAATTGGGAGGAAGAGGGATGTAATGCTGGAAGCGAGAAGTCTGGCATCGCGGCTCAAAAAGAAGTGAGAAAATAGAATCATACAAGTCAAAATGATGTTGCTGCTGAATCTTTTAATTTTTGTTTTAATTTATTTGTCTAAGCCTGTGTCCATGATACGGAGATACAAGATACGGAGTTACATAACTGGGGATTGCAAAGTAGATTTTCATCCGGTTTGAAATTCACACCCCTATCATGTATCCTGATCAATTTTATGTGTGACGTCATCACTTTGTGCATTCTTCTCGTACGTGATACAAAAAGTGTGACACACGTGACAGCCCATTGACACAGGTTCAGTACGTTTAAATTTCTGTCTATTCACTCAAAATTTCTACAAATTTAATAATGATATCAACTTTACGTTCTTAGTTTTATGATGTACCAGACAGGTCGGATTGCAATTGGAAGCTCATAAGAGTGATTTCTTTCACGATGTGTTGGGAATTTTGAGCATTTTTGTGACAAAAAATTGTGATTTGGTTTCCTCAGCAGCAGTACATATATGCAGTGGTGTGATGTTGAAACTGAAATTTGAACACGTATTAGTCGTAATCATACATATACGGATACAAAATTTGTTTTGGAAGTTGAAAGTTTGTAATCTCAACGCATCCCCATTATAAAGTGCACTTCTTGCTTAGACCCATGCGCAACACACAGTGCATTTATCCTCATACATATGAGGCTGCACATTAAGGAAGGAAGGAAGGAAGAAAATATTAATAAAAACACGGGCAAAACAACATGTGGAATTTCAGATAAATAGTAGAATTTAACAAAATTAAGTTACATCATTTGAACTTTTTCAGGTTATGAAGGGCTGTTGATGTATATTTCGAAGCCTTTTAATATCCAAGTTTTTTTTAGAGTTTCGTGAATGAATGTTGAAGTGAAGAGCCTACTTTGCAATTGACCTATCGTAGAATCGCGTCAACCATGCGTCAACACAGCTTGAAATATTGTCCAATTACATGATATACAAATGGACGCGGTAAGCGCAAAATCTGAGACGAACAAAACTTAACATACAAAAATTCCATAGGGTTGTCTAAGGGCGTGGCTAACTCGCAAACGGCGATATGTCAATACACCTGAGACGTTATGCCTTGTTTATGTGTGTGCTTTCTATGGGAGCTCGATACCATAAAAGAGTGCACATGTAAACAAAGCATTAAAACAAGTCTATGACCTATTGGGCATATTGTATTGAATTTAAGCCAGAAATTTTGTTGTAAACATATTTGATTTTAATCAGTCCAATCTTGTTCCTAATTTTTTTAAAATTGCACACAATATTATACTAGTTGTCTGCTTTAAAGTTTGGTTAAATTGAGGGCTTAAGTAATCAGTAGTATCAGAATAACTTGATGAGACATATATTCAAGTTCTTTTTCCAAATGAAACATTTATTAGCTTTTTTTTTTACAAACAAAACTTTAACTTGAAAACGTAATGATGGTATATAACTTGAACACAAAGCAAATAGGTTCTTTTTCAGGTAGAGTTTTATGTGCAACTGAAATGAAACGAGAAAATATTGTCTAAAACAATGGTCCTCTGATATTTAGTATACATTTTAAGTAATTTGGGGAAAAAAGATTCGCAAGAAATAAAAGTCCCTTTGCACGATCACATTATTACCAACAGATCATGAGGATTTGTTCAGGCGTTGTATACAACAAATAATGAATGTTTCACATACATGCAATGGAAAGAATAATTTCATTATTCTTACCATTGCACTCATAAACACTCATTATATATTTGTATACTCAAGTGACATCTTAGCAAAAGCACACGTTTAGGCCTATTTATGTATCTCAATTTTCTTTTGCAAAAGTTAACATAACCAAAGATTTCGTAATATTTTAAAACATTTCTAGCCTTGGACTTGACTGTTACTGCGCATGTTGACAGAGTTTAAGGAATGTATTAATTTTAAACTGGTCATTATTTTCCATCAGCAATATAAATGCTTTTAATAAGGTCAAGATTGTTATGTACTTAAATTATTTTACCTGTCAAACGCATTAAATATATTGAAATTTTTTTTTTTTGTCAACAATTTAAGAAATCATGACCATTTTTACAATGTATCTCAAATTGTGTGTGAATAGCACTTGCCATTGTTTTACAAGAGAGTCCCTAGTACGTATAATTACACCATATTAATAATGTGTTTAATAATGGTTTCGAAATTGGCGATGTGAGAATTATGAAAACCATCTCTTTATGTATTATGTAAAAAGGGAGAAATGCATGTATTTCTCAAATTATTTTGACAGAAATGACTTAATTGCCAAGATGTATAACTGTGTGCTTTGTGTAAGAATTCCCTTAATAAAGCGAAATTTATATCAACGCATGTGCAAACTTCCGCTTCTTAAAAGTTGCTCATTTGAAAATGTATTTGCCATTTTAACAAATCAGTCCCTTTGTTGCTTTCCAGAATTTGACCTTCAAGCACCTATAATACAGATTTTTCTTGAGATTCCATTTTTCATGGGTAAAAAAGTGACAATTTGAGACCAGCTTTTGTTGGGGAAGGGGTTAACCATTAGAACTTGTAGTAATGTATTGATTCCCTGATGAATGCATAAAGCCAGACAGAGATGGGGTAGTCTGGGACTTAAACAATTTGTGTCAGATGACGTGTATAGACAGATAAACAAGTAGGGAGCAAGACTGGAAATGTCAGGGACCCGCTCCCAGCACACTCATATTTCCAGCCTCGCTCGCAGTGAGCGAGGCCGGAAATACGAGTGTGCTGCCCGAGGGTGATGGCTTCAACCCACCTGGCTTGAGGTCAAGTGAAAAACAATCCCGCCCCTCGTTCCGTTCTTGTCAACATAATCCCAGCATGAACTGGTTAAGGGGGGGGGGGGGGTTGGGAGGGAGACATCATTGCCTACTTACAAACACCTGTCATTACAATCTTGTCCTAAGTAAACAACCTAGATTCTTGCTATCTACCATGTCTACATCCTATCAATAATGTCATGCGCCTTGTCTTCCAGTAATATCTGCATGTTCTTGACGTCCTTACACCAGTGTTGTAGTTTATCTTGCATTGTGGAAATCTGCAAATAGAACAAAACTTTAGCCTAGGGGATCAAAGAACTCCACTGTTGGTTTTTTTTTTCTGTACCACTCTCATAACACGATCCACACGATCCTTGAATAACCGATCACAAGTAAGTTTTGGAATCGCAGTCTAAAATGTTTGAGATGGCACAGAACATTTTTATCAAATGTGCGTGTCAATGTACATGTCGTATACTTGTTCTACATAACCCCCAAGGACAGACACACAAAGGGAGAACAACAGACCCTTTCAGTCCTCGGTAGTTGGGTCTTTTGTTCAAAACGGTCCTCTGTGGTAGGTTTGTGTGCTTAGTCTATAGGAGTGTGTTATATTACAGGGACAAAGGAAAACACAAAGCATTGTCCTCGGGAGTATAGTAAAACAAGAGCATGTGCGCATGTTGTGTGTCTCACAAACAGGGCTACACTTAAGAATTTGCAACACAATCAAGTTGAACACAACTCTAGGAAATATTGGTGCACGTGTTTCATGACAAATTTGTTAGCATTAGCACTAAGTACGAACTGGCCTTGCCCAAAAAGTGAAAGGCTATTAAGCAACTGTTGTGGGCACATGTTGGGGTGAGTTGTATTTCTGTGGATGTTTGCATACCTGTTGTATATCCAGCACCCTGGGCTGTACCCATGTCATGTGCACTTTCTGCTCCACTTGATCTATGGATCCCTTCACTAGGCCGAGGGACAACGCTTTCATCACAAGAATCTCAACCTGTGGACAAACATTAACACATTTACAACCACTTCCAACTTTGCACAAAATGGCACAATGCATAACCAGCTAATAGCTTGCTCAGACTAACTGTAATAGGACAGCTAAAAAGAGACTGACTTTTTTCACTCCACTAAGGGAGTTGAACATTTGTTTGGACAAATCCGTGTATAGAGTTCATATTTTAACGCCCTAGGGAAACACTCCAGAAAGAAGATAAACGTGCATTAGAGTCTAACCTGCAAAATATAGTGTGAAAATGTTTCTGTTGCCTGTCCAACCTTATCTCAGAAACAAGTTGCGAAATATAATATTGAAAGTAATGACCTACAATAATGACCTACAATTTAATCTTTTTCAGCAACACATTTCAAGCAACACTTTCATCAAGCAAAGAGCATCGCTTTGTCAAAAGTTTACAAATGACATTCCTGAGTTAAGGTCACTCTTTAACACGGACTAAACTCCCTGTGAAATTATTCTTTCTGGCAAGCTGTCATTTTGAAGAAATCAGCAAAAGAAGGCCTTTGCAACGGTGCGTCTTGAGAAGCACCGTTGGAAATTTCCGTTATAATCAAGTTCGTTTTTTTATTCGGCGAAGCGCGCGCAAGCGTTGACAAGACGCACACGCGCTCGTGGTTGCTATAATTCATCGGAACGGTGCGCGACATCGCGCAGCTGCAATCAGCTCAGTGAGAACGTGTCTTGGACGCTGAATTCAGGCCCATTTCAAAACATGATTCAGCAACTTCTGATTTGAAATTGAGATCCTAGAATGTTGTTTTTCTCCAAATATACAGCTGAAGCTGAGCTGAAACTTCATCAGGTTCGTTGTTCAGCACCCTTCTTTAGATTTTGAGCACTTTTGTTGCTTCAAACAAACAAAATGCACAAATTACAAATGACGGACTATACCTTTAAGCTCGGGGAAAGAATGTGGATTCTCTCATGCTCAGCGAGAGAGTGATGTGACCCTCTGTAGCACTTGATAAACCTGAAGGGTTTTAAAGGATTTCACACATTGCACTGAATATTGATTTCCCAACAGGACATCTAATTATATGGTTGCCCTACCTCATTCAGTGGCAGTTTAGCCTCGCGGGCAATCTCCTCAAACGAGATACTGCGATTGTCGGCGGGTCGCTTGAAGGTCATCTCCATCAGACACAAGAGGGAGATCTTCTGTCTCAATGGTAGCTCGCTGACTGCGAGGTCAGGCTGTATGGAGGGCAAACGGGGCAAAATAATAAATGGTACACTAATGAGTGAACCAGTCTTTACTAAGAAAATTCAGTATTTTGCAAAGTGTCTTGTCCAGGAACACGAGACACCTGCTAGCTGCGGTCAACATGGAGGGCAGAATGAAACAAAAAAAGACAGATTAAATATTACAGAGTAAGAAAGTAATTGGCAAAGTATCATGCTCAGGAAAATGTGTAATCTAATTTCCAGGCTGAAGTGAAATTAACATTAAACAAATTTCAACACTGCAATACTTCCGTGACAGGGACTGCTGCAACATACTGTTCAGATCATGAAAAATTAAAGAGTTGTTCTTTTTTTCCAATACAAAGGCTTTGTCCGAATCACTTGGTTACAGCCAGGTATATAACAAGAGTCTGTGGAAAGTGGCTGCAGCCGCTAGCCAGTGGCTTCCATAGGTGTGCGTGTTATTATGGGAAGTGGCTGCAGCCGCTAGCCAGTGGCTTCCATAGGTGTACATGTTATTATGGGAAGTGGCTGCAGCCGCTAGCCAGTGGCTTCCATAGGTGTACATGTTATTATGGGAAGTGGCTGCAGCCGCTAGCCAGTGGCTTCCATAGGTGTGCGCGTTATTATGGGAAGTGGCTGCAGCCGCTAGCCAGTGGCTTCCATAGGTGTGTGTGTTATTATGGGAAGTGGCTGCAGCCGCTAGCCAGTGGCTTCCATAGGTGTGCGTGTTATTGACAGCTGTAGCCAAGAGATTCAGATAAGGTCTTAGTTTTAATGATTGCTGACCAGAGCTAACGGGAGGTAAACTGAATCACACCTGTTGTTTCCAGACGGTCGTGGTAGACTCAAACTGGTCCAGGTTACCGCTGTTGAAGGCATAGAGCAAATCAACCAGCCACTTCTTGTCGGATGCGGCAAGGGTCTCCAGAATAGGATGTGCAAGCTGAAAAGACAAAGGACAACAATCATATCTACCTGGGGTCATCCAGTGAATCGGCTTGGTACTGGCTGTTTAAACTGTCAAACACTGACAATGAAGTTGACTCCAAAGCCTTTCCATATTTAAGGGCGGGATCAATTTTATGAAAGACACTGTCCAGAAATTTGATTACACAATACAACCAATTGTTGGCGCAAGTATTTCACTTCTGTCACACCAAAACTGTCTGAGCATATCAACATCAAGCCAAACACAAGCACATAGTGTTCCTCACCTTCAAATTATACGCAAGCTGTTCAAGCATTTGGGCACAATCAAGATATCAGATAATACAAAGTTAGGACTACAGGGTGGTGCAAAAAGAAGGAAACCATCTTTTGGCAGGAATTTTAACCTACTTTCTTAACTTATTTGAACTATTTTTTTTATAATGTAGTGAAGTGTAGCTCTTCAACCATACGTGATGAAAAAATCTTTAACAAATCGCAAGAATAGTGATATTATGCTAATTTGAATACAAGTCACCAAAATCACTGTTGTCCACGTGTAAGTCTAGTGTAGTTCTTTTTTTGTCTTCAAATCAAGCTCCGGAGCTAAGTCAAGCGGATGGAATAAAGCCGTCCGTGGACAAACAGGTTTGGTCCGTGGACAAACAGGTTTGGCACTCAAATGTTTAAACTACCATATCTCAGAGACACAATATGCATTTGCATTCATTTTTCGACAAGCATGTATAGAGATCAATATATTAATACCAATAAATTTAATTTCTGAGAAAGATGCTCAATAAGTAGGTGAACATTGCTGTCAAAAGTGGGTTTCCTTCTTTTAGCACCACCCTGAACACTCACCAGTTCTCCAAAGTTGTAGATCCCTTCTCCGAGCAGAGCAGCTAGTGATAAGTTGAAGGCTCGCTCCTTCTTTTCATCCGCTGAAAAGCCAATACAGAGGGAATTAAATAAATTGTGGAAAGACAGGCATAACATCACAAAATTATATGCTTTTAGTCTTTTTTCACATCTCTGAAGATCACGAGTCCTTTACAAATGCTTCAATAAGGCCCCCCCCAAAAAAAGTCTTCAGTTTCTGGTATGGAGCTTGCCCAAAAAGTGGTGCGGCGACGCGGCTATTTTTTTTTTTTACCTGATTTTTTTTGCTTCAAATGTCGGCTGATGACTGCAAATGGTGCCCGACTAAACTTAGTGCAAATATATGGGAGTCCAGAGAGGCCACATAAAGCTTATTCTCAACCATAACCCAATCTAAAAACATTTTAAAATTGTGCAGTAGCAGGATTCCAGTCAAACCAGTGAGTTTGGCGGTTTTGAGACATCATATTTCATTGAAAAAAAAACTTTTTCATTTTGCCGACACGCATGGCTACGGCGACGCACGCGCATACCAGAAACCGGAGACTTTTGTTTTTGGCATAAACAAAATTCTTTTTTTTGACAGATGAGATAACATATATGACTTTTTAATACTTTATCTATTTGCACCTGTACTACATTGTATTACATTGTATTTACCCATTGAAGAATCAATAGAACCATAGAGTGCTCGGGCCGTTTCGGTCGCCAGAGTGACTAAGGTTAAACCCTTGGATTTTTTGCAATAAACTGTGAATCCTCTCAAATCCTCCCCTGCGCGGAAAACCCATGGGCACATTCTTTTCACATGTACATTTTCACATGTACATCACTCCCCCCGGTAAAGTAATAGTAGCCTGGGATCCACCTTCCTCAATCCAACATAAGCGCCAAAACCTCCTGTGGCCAATTTCATGACCTGGGCCCAATTTCATAGAGCTGCTTAAGCACAAAATTTGCTTAAGCACGAAAAAACATTGCTTAGTAAAATTAGGTTACCGGCCAAAACTCCATGCGATGTACATTGCTTGTGACTGGTATTTAGCGGTTGTTTACTTAGCATAACAATCGCATGGAGTTTTGGCCGGTAACCTGATTTTATTAAGCAAGATGTTTTTGTGCTTAAGCAAATTTTTTGCTTAAGCAACTCTATGAAATTGGCCCCAGAGCTGTCAGGCACAAAACTTGTTAAGCCCAGAAACTGTTTGCTAATAGCAGAAACATGTTACCAGCCAAAACATCATGCAATGCATACTGCTCATCACTGGTTCTCAGCAAAATTTCTGCTTAGCACATAAATTGGCTAAGCAAGATTTTCTTCTTAGCAGCTCCAGTAAATTTGGCTCTGGTGGATTGGGACGGATCTAGCAGAGTTCAGTTCAAATACCCTGGAAACTCACCCCCAATATCTTCCAGCTTGGTGACTCCTAGGAACCGGAGAGCATCCCGATAGTACTTGGCATAGTCTCCCATGAGCTTGTAGTAATTACTAGACAGGTTGTAGAAGCGGCCGTGAACCGTCGTGATGCCGTCCTGGTTGTCCAGCTTCTCCTGTGCCTCTTCAACTAAAACCTGTGCAGGGAGCCAGATCCATTTTAGTATGTAATCAAGTGAGGGTCAGACAGCCAGTCATCTGCTATCGACCTCAAACGGATGCCATCATTGGACCACGTGAACAAGGTGATGGATGGCATAACGCATGTGCTGTGCCATCCAAAATCTTTCTGATTTACATCACAATAAGCAATTTCACGGTAATAAGCCCCATCTTGTTCACTAGGCAAAAAACCACGCCTTGCTAGGCAGACGAGCCCTTATTGGAATGAAGGCATGATGACTTTGAAGCACAAAAGTTTTTGATTGACGTAGGTGCTCGTCAATGCGTGTTATTTTTGCCCCATGAACAAGTAGCGCATATTACCGTGAAAGTGCTTATTATTACCCCTGTTCATCAGGCCATGAGATCAGAGTCATGCAGCACTTTGAGATCAGCGCAATATTTGTTTTCTCCGCCTTAACAGGTATGAATTAATACTTGGAAAGCCGTAATTGTAGTAAAGTGCCTTGCCCAAGACCACAAACACCATGATCCCTGTTGTGAATGGAACTCGCATACCACTGCACATAACTCTAACGCCATACATGCCATTACCGATGGGCAATGGTGCTCTACTAAACGGATGCTGGCAAGAACTCCACCATCTCTTATGTGTTGACTTCCAAACTAAGACTGTGGAAATGACACAAGAGGAAGACAAACCTTGGTTCCTTCCAGGTCATTGACCCCTAGTTTCATCATGGCCGAGCAGGTCATGCATAGAACCACTGCTTCATCATTGCTCTTGACTTTGTCTTTGATTTTATCCAAGAAAGCCAGTGCTTCTGAGTAATCTGGGGAAAACAGACATTTTACTTAAACATCAGTCACCAAAGCACTGAATACTGTGGCTATGGTTGAACCATAGACATATAATAAAACCTAGACACGACATTTGCTATTGCGCCTGTGAGCAAAATGCTGTGCGTATTACGCTAACACTCACCACAGGTGTGACGCGTCACGCAAGTGAGTGGTCTCATGCACTGCGCGCGTTATTTGAAATTGTTTGGTCCCGTACGCCCAAGGGAAAAACTAAGTGGCGCACAAGTGCATTGGCGCTGGCTTGAACATGGAATACGTGGAATACGACTATGAAGTATGCGCGTAAATCGAAGCCACACGATATTTCGCGTATCGCGCCAGGCTGCATGACGCAGCTCGTTTTGCTCACAGAATTTACATAGTAAAAGCAGATAATGTCGTGTCTAGGTTCTATTATATGTCTATGGGTTGAACAATGGGTAAGGCTAAATATCCATTAAAAGGTAACAGTTTCAGAAGCTGTTAAGTAAAATTGTTGGGGGGGGATTTTTTTTTTAATCCTCAAAAATCCTCCAAGTAGTACGAAACTAATTGCACATTCATTGAGCACAAGCTATCAAGGATTATTGAACCCTACAGTTCAACTGCATAGAGTAACGAAGTGCATACATCAGGCGCACAATTGTGTGTGTAAAAGACATTAGCGCGTGATTCAGCCCATGAACTAAACATGTGCGCGTACTCCATCCATTTGCACTACACGTCCCGGTTCAAAATGAGGTCACACTTCGGTACTCTATTCAGCAGCCATTGAGGCGAGTTTTGATTTATGTTATTTCATTAACAGTGAATGAACAAGAGCTTTACTCATGTGTATCCCTATTGTACAAAAGCACACACCTCCAAGTTACGAAGTAATAGTTCTTGGGTCCTCCAAAATCTCCCAGAAGATTCTAAAAAGGATTTAGGAGGGGTAAGGCTAAGAGGACTACTAACAGGTTGTTCTTTTGGGCTTGACAGTCTACTTTCACCAACTGAAGAACGTAAAACAATGATATGGAATTCAATGCAGAAAGTAATTTTTCTGAAATTTAATTTTTTTTGGCGATTTAGTTACCTTTGATCTGTTTGACGATGATAATGGCCATCTCTGTCAGAGACAGTGGGTTAATCCGATGCTCAAAGTCGCTCAAGAAATTCTCATAAAGCTGAAAGGAAAAAAGAAGAAACTGTATATTAATGACTACTTTTTGACAGCATGTTAGAAAAGACAAGTCTGCTGTGAGGGACAACCCCCTTCTGTTTATTATGGTTCTTTGTAAATACCTGTAATAATCCATCTCCTTCAGCGAATGCTGGATCCTTGATGAACTTGAGAAGTTTCAGTGTCAACTGGTGCCAAAGCCTGCACAGAAGAAAGTATAACAAACATGGCTTACCTTTTACGAATGCCAATTTAAACTATCATCCAACCATCAATATCCTCCTAAACTGTCGTTCCTACTGTTCCCACTATTTTACTTAATCCCTCCTTCTCCCCCTTGCTATTCTAACCAATCAGAGATTGGCTTCTAAATAGAACTTTTCATCAACCATGTCAACCAATCAGCGACAGTCTACCAAACCAACTTGGACACTGCACCAACATGGCCTGCAACTTGCATCCATTATGATATAGCTGAGAATGTTGCAGTACCACGCATGCTCAGCAGAAGCAGAAAGTTAGGCGAGTACCAAAAGTAAAAAAAAAAAAAATTGTTCTATTAAACTAAATACAGGGTGTTACATTCCACAACCGCCCTTTAAATCTTTTTTTAAACAGAAAATACTGAAAGTATCTTTGTTCGGAAAGTCTACCGTACACGTACGTCACTTTTTTTAAAATCATTTCCAAGCGCCAAAAAGTTACTTTCTATGGTTCTTTCATCTATTTTCCCTCCTCAACTCTCACTCTCTACCCTCCTCCAATCCTCTTTATTTACCAGTTAATTACTCCACCGGGATTCGAACCCGCAATCTTGTTATTTAATCACACCAGCCTTATCCGATACACTAGTCAAATGATCGTTGCCAGGAAGGGACTATACTGATGTATTTAAAGTATAAGTTAATATTTAATAAACTAAATATTCATGAAAAATTAAACATTAATGATGACGTATTGCACTTTCATTGGGTTTCAGGTTGTGACGTGTGTCGATGTCATCACGTCACGCGCGACGCATACATCAATAAGCAATGCCACAAATGGCCGCCAAGACCATCTGCTGTATGCCGAGCTGATGTGTGCATCCGAAATTCCAATATGTGCTCTAAAAACACATTTTTCCGAAAACGTCTTCACATTTCCAGAGCTTTCTGGATTTGTCTTAGCTGAAATCACAAGGTGAGGTAGACATTGATGTGTTAACTGGCAAATAACTAGTAGTAGTACTAGTATGGTATTTATTTTCTTTGTTCTTCCTATTGTCATCAGTTGTCCGAAAACTGGGCAAAATAATGCAATGGGCAATGGCCAATGCTGACTCATTCTTCACTTGAACACCTACTTCGAAAAACAATGATCCCGGGTCAAATGAACTGCAATTTTTACAAACTTACTTTTTGTTATACATCTCTTCCATTTCCGTCCATTCTGCCGAAATTTCTGGGCTGCTTTTTCGCTGCTGTTCTGTGAGAAAACCCGAAACGTCCTTCATTTTTGACGAGTCTTTCACACAAATATCTGCACACATGCACACAATGGTAAATGACCTCTTGAGGGCGCTATTTAAACTCGCTGTTAGATTTAGAATGCTTTTCTCAAACTCCGGCTTTGTTTCGAACTCGTCTCAGTATTCCAGGCGTGTATTTATTTACTACATGAACCTGCGGATGATACTTCATTAACATAATATTTAGTATTTTCTCTGGGGGATTAAGCCCCAAGAAAGATCACTACTCTTTAAAGGATATTTTTAACCCAAATAAAATCTCAATGTTTTTCCTGAAAAAGGACAAATCATAAAGTATACAAAGACCCATATAGTTAATGCAAAGAAAGGGTCACTTCTTTATTTCGTCTGAAACACATTTTTAAGACAATGTAACATTTTTTTCTCTCACTTTGGTGTACATAGACAATAGATTTGAAATGCAACAAAAACTACCAACGCCTCCAGTTTAAAAAAAGAAAATAATTACAATTATTGGCAAAATGACATAGATGCACACTTGTGCCTTTTTAGTTGCAATATTCTTCCTTCAAATGGTTAACAGTGACATTTAAAAAGTTCAGGGAAAGACAAGAATTGATTTATTGAAAATGTTATGACTTGAATATTTCCTCTGTACTGTTTAAATCTTATAATGAAAAAAAGATGAGACTTTGAGCACATTTTTTTTCCTATTTTTTTTTTTTTTATCTGAAATAAAAATTTCCTCTGAGAGTTTATGACTTGGAGTCTCCAAGGACATACATTTATCTAAATGGAAACCACACATATAATGCTATCCCATTATTTTTTTGTAAAATTTATTCCAAGGGGTCATTGTCTGAGGGGGGGGGGGGGTCCTATTAGCAATGAAGTTAACAGATTTAAGCATACTTTTGGATTCATGATGGTCCAACTCTAGTTCTTGAAAGGCATGTGCAAACACACGGAGTCTTCAAATTGGTGTAAATTTATGTAGAATTCAAAGCGCATGTGAATTAATATGGTTCATGTGCTTGCACTGTGCAGCAGAGTAAAAACTGTTCTTTCAGGTCAAGACTCAATGGATCATTCACATGGACCAATGGACTTTTCACATAGGTAACAATACATGTGTCCCCTACCCAGTGCAATTTCCACTTGCAAGCATCATGCAAGGGGCAACCGCAATGTTGAACAGATTTCTCTATCATTAACTTGACACTTTCTACATGACATGTTTTAATCCTTGCTCCCTCAAAATTGTGACTGAAACTCTGCTAAACAACACAGTTTATTCTTTGTACTTTCAAGAGGAATCCAAATCCATTTAAAACTATGGGAGGTGGCTGGGCTCTACCTTCCTTAACCCTAACAGAACTCAACCCATCAAGCCCTAATGGCAACATTTGTTGGAATCTGTCAGGATGGGTACAGTACCCCTAAACTGACAGTCTTTCACATAGGGTTGGCACACCTCCAGAATCAAAGTCAGAAATATGTGTGTGCAGTTTCCCATATGGTGTTGAAATTTGCCAGAATGGGTACGGTTCCTAGTAAGTCATGCTAGGGAGTAAAATCCTACAAAATCTCGTAAAATCCTACAAAACCTAGCAGTGGATTTCAAAGGGTCTGGGACTGCAAAGACCATAACACAGACACCCAGTGCAATAAATTCTAACATAGACAACAAAACTGAATTAGATTTCCACTGATTAAGGTGCATTCTTCAAAGCGACTTGGCTGTGATGACTGGTAGATCGTGAATTCCGTCTTTGTCGACCACTTTGACTTGGAATGCGGGCAGATTGATCAAAAAACGCTTCTGGACCTATTCAAAGCAGAAAATTGCAAAATATAAAGTAACTTCACAATGTGACAATGGACAAACATCTACAAACAGTATATTATTCAGGTTCAAAATGGGAAACAGTGTTGTACCCTGACGCCCCTTTTTTCATCACATTTTTATGTCTCAATGAAGGTCAGTCATTGCAAAAATGTTGAAAAGACATGGATCTGGGACTGAGAAACATTTCCAATTTGTTAGAAAATACTTTAAAAATGCACTCGACAGACTTTGTCCACAACCAAAAAAGTGGCATCTGCTTACTACATTATTTCCTCAAAATCTTAGGTCTCACTATAACTGTCCACAGTTACATTTTTTTTATAGCTTTAACAAACCAAAAACATGAAGACTGGAGATGAAATGCCTGCCTATTCCACATCTAACAGGCCGAGTGCTTCAAAGCGGACATATTTCAATGAGACTATTTCAAAGCTTTGTAATTCCAAGAGGGAGCTTCAAAGCTTTGACGCTTGTCAGCTTCAAAGCTGACATATTTGTATATTTCAATGAGATAAACTATTACACATACCTCTGCTAAACATTTCTTCAGGATGTCTAGTGCCTCCTCTCGATTAATATCTGTTTAAATAAAAAAGTAAGTAAACAAATGTTTAACACTGCATGCAAGGTAGAGTGAAAGTATACAAAAATCTAGCCTCAATACAAACACGTTTAATCAGCATGCGTACGTTCAAGTCCACACTGTGTCTCACTAAGCAAAAACATTGTACCAGCTAAAACATCACCTTAAGATGCACCTTACTCGTGACTGGATCTCAGGAAACTGCACTAAGCAAGCGTGTTTTGTTAAGCAATACTTTCTTCTAAGCAGCAACATGAAATTGTGTACTAATTTTGTTGCTTGGTTTTAGGCAGGCCCTACTGCACAGCTGTTTATTTCATATCTCACTCCTACGAACAACAAATTCCCCAAATTCACAAAGGGCAAGCCATGATGCCCCCCCCATATTTTTTTGACTGGGCCCACCCATTCCTGACCCTGGTCTGGTACCCTACCTCTCCTGTAGAGTCTGTCCATGATACTGAGTGTGAACATTGCCCCGTAGCCATGTGCTCCGTACGGGACCTTGTTAAGTGAGGCTAGGTAGTCCATGAAGTACAGGGCCGGGCCATCTTGGTCATCATGGCCTGCCAGTAACATGTTGACTGCATAGGGTGTCTATGATACAAATCAAGATGTTAACATTGTAGTGATTACGTTATTTGTGATTATACAGAGAAACTGATCAACCAGTTTGCGCACATAAAAACTAACAAAATGGACAACAAACAATGCCTGTTGAGACAGGAAAAATGTAAACAATGAAAATTGACCAAACTCCAACAGGATCTATATTGTGTTTGTATATTTCATTTTGCCTATGTTCTTATAACAATGGGTTGATGTGATTATCACAAAATGACAAAAAGGTGATTATTGACTTAATGATAGATGAAACCTTATTTCCAAGCCTTCATATGTTTTAGAAATGTATTAAACATATGATGTGTCTTGTGATTTTTAATTTTTTTTATTTTTAAATAAAATGACAGATATACAATGCTTGCTTACTCTGCTTCGGAGAAAATCTGCCAGGTTTTTCCTTGTGAAGTTTGCTGCTGCATGTGGGGACAGTTCATATCCTAATTACAGTAGAATCAAGAGAAACAGTGGTTTAACAGTTAAATCATTTTAATGACAAATATAAAATACGAAAATTACAAAACACAAATTACCTTTCCCCAAAAAAATCAAAGAAAAGTGCGTAGAAAAACGCAAATGACATCAAAATCACAGTGTCAATGTCAATGACATCTCAGATTTTCCTTTTATCAGCTTGCACTTTAGATGATGCAACAACACAAAGAATATACCATTTTTAAAAAAGGTGTTTACCTCTGGGTAAAATTTGTTTCCTATTTCTTACCATTTCTCATTTTGTAGAGCTGAATGTTCTTCTGAATATACTCTGCAAACTGCACTGTGTCACCCGACTCTCCCGCACAAAGCATTAGCAGTTTATCACTCATTTTGTACATCTTTTCCTGATCTGAAAATGGCATCAGGAAAGGGAAACATTATAAAACAATTCATAAGATGGAATTTGCATCAGGGTGATGTAAATTACGGTGTAGCCCTTCACCGACGAATTTTACAAACACTGTGTACTCAGTGTTGCCCCGGCCCCCGAGTGATTGAGATGCGCTTGAGGCGACCAATCAAAGCGCGCTGTGATTGGTCCGTGTGATGCTAGCCAGGAGCTAGTCTGGTTCCCTGTCTCCATACCATTGTCCTTCTGACTCCAATATTTTTAGGGGGGGCCGGGAAAAAGTCTAGCCAGGACTCAGGAGCCATGCTCAATAAGTCAAACACAGCCGATCTCCGATGTGCATGTAACTTCTGCATGTTGCTCAGGCATGCAACTGGGAATTTAGAAAAAAACGAGGAAATTCCAAACCACACAAGACTTTGTAGTACAGTATTTTTCAATTTGTAATTGCATTCATGAGAAGTAAAAAACGAGGAAATCAGCAGATCCGAGGAAAAGTTGCATGCCTGGTTGCTCAGTACGGAAAGGGGATTTTTTTTTCATATTTTTTTGCACCATCAGGATCGAATCAACCTGTATACTTTTTGCAAATTGAACTATGTCAAGAAGTAGTCTTTGGGTATGGGTGAAATATACAGCGGCTAGCATGGCTAGGCTGCACCAAAATCGATTTAATTTAATTTTGTATTCTCGGTCAATCATTGAACATTGTCTCTTTAATATTGATTATGAGTGTATGTTCGCATTGACGTTGATATGCCTACCTATGGGGCTTGACTAGAGCCTCCTAGTTCAATAGGTAATGTCAACATGCTGATCAAATAACACACAACAAATTGGTGTCGGAAATAGACGCATACACAATCATGTCAGTAAAAATTATTTGCAAAAAGTAATTCGTGACCTGTAGAATTTTACAGTTTTCTCTGAATATAAATTCTCACCATGCTTGAAAAGAAATACACTGCGTCCAGCCGTCATGTCCGAGGCGACTAAGACGAATCCATCACCTTGTATGCCGATCAAAAACTCCATTTTGCTAAGATAAACTTACGATGAAAAGTTAGAACATCGCATGAAAAACAGCACAATCATTACTGTCTGGTGCCCTCAACGGCCGGTAAACGGTGAACAAAGTTCGTGGCCGATAAATCCGGGCGCGCTCTTCATAATTTTGTCATCAGAGAGCAAATTTTCTGCTTTACTTTTTGGTGCCATATGGTAAGTATTTTACCCTCATGAAATTTGCTTTCAGCTTATTCAGTGACTTTAATTATTAAGACGCGCAGAAATTTTATGAAGGATTTTTTTTCTGTAGCAGACGAAACTTGTAAAAAAAAAAAAAAAACGGACAACTTCGGCAGATCGCCGCATCAACAAAACAAGCCTTGAAATAAGATAGGGCATCAACAAAACAAGCTTTGAAATAAGATAGGGCGGGACAAAAAAACATTGCACGGAAAAGGATCTTTCTAAAGACGCTTTGAATCGGACTTTTTCCTTCGTTTTTTATTTGATGTTATTTTGTTTTCAATGATGTTAGTACTAGGCCTAATCTATGTTGAGCAAACTAACCCTTTTTTTACAAACATTTTTCTAAGACAGACTTTTATAAGACTTAATCTCACTGTCCACTTTTTCCTTTCTGAAATTAAGCTCAGGAAAACTAAGATCATATTCGTCTTCTGCATTTAAATGTGTGTTATTTAGCTGTCATTAGAAAATACAATGCTGTTTGTGTGTAAAAAAGGAGAAAACCCACAAGCATGATAAGTTGTTCATTCCTTAATAAAGGTAGAACGCACCCCGATTCCGTCTTGGGCATAAATATCAAACCAAAGTTTAGTCCAAGTAAATTATTTTTAGGTCACAAATTTCATATAGGCCCTACCCCATCTAGAGGCAGAAATAAGGGCAAAATCTAAGTTCAACAGACAAAAATATGGCCATACAAGGAAACAACATTTTACTGTCTACATTTCTTTACTTTATTTCACTTATTAAATCAAGGTTTTAAGAATGTTAAAAAGTGGTTTTGGATTTGTCTCGTAGCCTGGCTCCCTACCTCAATCATATACAGATACTGGTCTTATTTTCAAATCAGACCAAGAGCCAGACTATCCTAAAAACGACCTCTGATAGTGACACACATTGAATTCAGAACAGAGAATCATCACTAATAAATAAAAATGTGTTACAAATTTTTGTTTAGAATTAAAAGGCCCCTTTAGGATGTTAATCATTCTGTGGCAGGCAAAACATTAACAAATGACACAAAATGAGAAATCCATTCCTTACTGGTCGAGCATATCAGGTGATGCAAATAAAGCATAGCAGCGAGTGATTTGTTTTAACATTGCATATTTGCCTGCCACTTTCTGTCTAAAGTCAAAAGAGTACACCGATCTAAACCATGTGACATCATCTATGTTTGGTTGTACAAGCACACACTGATGAATTTAGCATTCAAATTGTTTGGAACCAACACACATTGTTCTTAAAAATTAAAAACCCACAATAGCAAACAAACAATTCAATAAAAAAAGAGCAAATGCTGAAGCAGACTAATCTGAACTTAATCTCTGGACGGAAAATAAACTGTGAACAAAACTTAAAATATTATGATAAGCATATTTGATTTCAAGGTTAGCTTAGTACAACATTGATAAATTGTTGAATTAAAAACATATTCCTTTGGGACAAAAATACATTCATGTTGTATTGCGGACGAGTAGGCTGAAAGCAAATGCAGTACAAAATATTTAATACATACATGTACAATTGCACTCTCTCTTACATTAGTGGGTAACCTTAATAATTTAATAGAAATTGTACCCCCAAAAATATCCAGACATCTTTCCTTGCTTGTTTGCTAAGCCTTTCATATCATCAAAAATCTCTGTGTTGAACCTGGGTTGAACAAAGAGATTTCAGAAACTAGCAAGAATATAACACGGTTTCTACACGGGTAAAATCCCACCCTTATCTGCCCCAGGGTTCAGAGGCTCTACCCAAGTAGAAAATCCAAAACCTATAGCCGACCTATCAACAAAATGCTATGAACAGTATGCCTGGACTACCCATGTTCCATGGGGCCCAGCCCAGCTTGAGGTGGACCCGTTTTGATTTCAACATGGGTAGGCAAGACGATAAATGGGAAAAGGACTTTACACGAGAATCCACTCAAAAACCGTAACAAAAACGTATAGCCTCATTTAAACCAAACTTTGCAAAGGTCACATTGGGTGTTGTACAATACATACATGTACCATAGACTTAAACCAAACCACTATAACAAAACATTTTTTGGATACTATTAATCACAGATGGCACACTACTCTTTGTATAACCTCCAAATTACTTTCTGCCTTAACTTCAATACAGGATGCATAAAAGGTGTTTTTGAAACAAAAACAAATGCAGCAAGAGTTGGCAGGAAAACAACTGGGACTAGATAAGAGTATTTACTGTTAATAAATCTTATTTAAATTTAGTACTAATATCAATCGAGTGCAGATTCACAATGTTTCTATGAGGACAATCATACTTTTCGAAGTGGCCACAAGAAAGTGATGACTAAAACATCCAATGAAGCACTTAGACAGACTACTGCGAGGAATACTCCAAGAATAACTGGATAAACAAATGAATGAATTTAACCTCCACAAATATAACACTGGAGTTTCACTGACAATTCAATACTACAATTATGACACAAGTTGCACCAAAAGAATTTCCAAATCATCCACAGTCAGGCACGCAACTGGGAATTCACACGAAAAAGGGAGCAAACTCCTAGCTTTACAAGAAACAGTTTTTAATGGAATACAAGAGAATTTAAATAAAAGGGAAATCAGCTGACCAAGGAAAAGTTGCATGCCCGCCTAACATCTGAATGCTTTTAGCTTTGAGGGGTTTCTGAAGACATTTATGGAAACAAATTCAGAGTTACTCTTCCAGCAGTCAGACATTTCATAAGGTGATTAAGATGACTAAGATAAGGTAAGGTATTAAGATAAGGTACAATAAAATGACTAAAACATTTACAATTGTTTTCCCTTAAAATAAAAATCCCTTGTGAAATTATATTGAGACTGGTCAATGACGATGGAATTATTTTGTTCAGAAATGGCAATGTTTACCATTTAGAATATAAGTAAGCACACAATTGACATTGTCTTTTTTTTTTACAACCTTTCAAAATCTTTGCTCTTATTCACACACAGTTTTTCTGACATGAGAGATGGTGCCGTTTTCTGCTATCCTACATGCTGTTTTCTCCTTTGTAAGTACGGTAAGTTCAATCAAGAACCTTAAATTAGTGATTTGTACCTTCTACATGCATGCAGATTCATGTGTTCAATTCCAAATAAGCTTTATGTACCAGTGACCAGTGTTGTAGTAAAGTCCATCACAAGTAAATCACAAGTCTATTCAAGTCTGGTTACATGTAACAGGGGATTTACATAATAAAGGAATGCCTTCATCACAATTCATTTTGCATAGCTTTGTGCCTTGACTTTGGACTAGATTAGGCCTGTCTCGAATACACCGGATATTCCAAAATTCTATCACCAACCGAATATTCAAATAGCTTTTTGCTGGTTTGAATACTCAAAAATATAAAAGAATATGTACGATGCGGCGGCACACACAACTGTGGTATCATTTTAATTGCAAAGTTGCATTTTTATGTCAGACGCCACTTTTTTGTCGACAGTAACTTTTTGGTCAACACCTATTTATTGGTCCCATTCTTTTAGCTGGGTAAAGTCCCTGGACAGTTATGCAGTACTTACTGCATGACACTCCAGTGGCCCACAATATCCGTCCCCGCATGCAAATTCAAACCAGCGTGCTTTGTATTCAACTTTTGACCAGCTTGGAAGGCAGCTGCAGCTAGCATGGATCGGCGAGTTTCGAATATTCGGTCAAGTGCAGTTTTGAATAACCAAATGAATGCTAAATTATTCCAAAATGAGACAGCCCTTGACTACATACTGGTAACTTGTGATTTTCTTATGGGACTTTTGACTGACTTGATGACAACTTTGGTACAGACTTTTTCATCAGACAAATTAATGGAGTATAACAAATTACATGTATTCCACACAGTGGCATTAGATGGCTTATCAATTTGTACATCTATGTTAACCCCTCTGTATAACTTAAACCAACTTCTCCTGAAATGGTTTTAATTTTTACTGTTTTCAATGTTTTCAATTATTTTTTCCATTCGCTTTCAAACTGATAATTGACCCTAATAAGGCATTTGTTTCAAGGTGAATATCCGATTCTGAAGGAACCTAACACACACATTTACTTTCACATTCTCAGGTGAGTTGACCAAACCGAATCTCAACTAAAAGAACTACACGCATCACGTATTCACGTTCATTAAAAACAAACATGTATACACTGTACTAAAGTGTTGACATTAATGGATATGAATGTCAGAAGTAACCACTTTCCCTAGGTTCATTAAGGGGGAAAAAATACTTACATGTATCTCCAGAGTTACATCTTTTCACTAATCAATTTACTCTTGTCCTTCGAATAAAAAAAAGCCATTCATAAGATGGAATTTTTACGTTGGGGTGATGTAAACTCAACATTGGGTTTTGCCCTTCACTGATGTATCCTATAAACACTGTATACTCAGTGTTGTCCCAAGTGATTGTACGAAAAATTAACTCGGGCGGGACTCGAAAACAAGTAATAAACTGATTATGCATAAAACTGATGGCAACTTGGGAAAACGTATTCCCTTAGTTAAAACACACCCACGTCAACACACTGCTCCACTATCAACATGTTTTACATATGTGCACGTCTTTTCCTTTCTTCTTTTAAATATACAGTCTATATATAACTTAAATACTCGACTACTTACAAACTTCTGGGCACGCAAACAAATGTTCCTCTCTCTTACAATTTTCTTATTTACAGATATAAAATCTTAGGCACCGATTTCTGGACAAAATCGCACTCATAAAGCAATTATAGTTTATCAAAATTTGAGCATAGAATATTTGAGCAACAGATTCTTTTGGCATCATCAAATGATCATGACAATGTTAAGATTGTTTTGTTAAAGATATTTACTAATAATTCCTTTACAAACTCCCATTCTAATGTTCAGACATTCAGACATCACACTGAAAACAGTGAACCTATATATCTGACCATAACTAGAATAATACATTTGGCAGGTCATTAAACCACTTGGCAATACGCCAACATGCTTTTGATTTGGAAAAATTTAGGCCCCCTTTCACTCGTTAAAATTACTGCCCGTCTATCGGAGACAAGAGCCAAAAGCATCAACAAATATGCATCCAAGAAAACAAATATTAATATCCTGTATGGGACAGTTCTAGACCATGTTTATTTTTAAGTGAAAGGGCAAATAGCGCCTTGAGAAAAAAATCAAACAAATCTTGCAATATTTTGCGTTCTTCATCCAATTTTTGTGGACCTGTTTTTCAAGGCAGCCAACAATTTCACATTTCATGGACAATGTGGGCAATCATGGGTTTACTTCCTGACGCTGCTAAGCACTCGAATGTGCTGAGGATGGAAAAGTTTTGCTAAGCACACACGGGTTACCAGTGAAAATGTCATGCTACTCACACTGCTTGTCAGTGGTTCTCCGCTGATTTTTAGCTCAACTGGTGAATGCGCTTAATAATCTTTTCTAATTAGCAGCTCAAACATTTTTGGCCCTAGGTTCTGTGAGAATGATGGACTGTGAATTTATCATTAAAGAGCAAGATTGCTTTCTATTAAACAGATTCTTCTTATTTCACACACGGCAAATACAAAGACAAATCCCAAACAACAATTGCAGAAATCAAAGTGTACACCAAACTAGGAACACAAGAAAGGGTGTTGACAAAACAATCACACTAATTAGGTCAACGATCACGTATTGGTATTATTTATAATACCAACACTTCGTCTCCATAGCTGTGTGTGTCAACAGGCAATGTCTGTGTCTACAAAGAAGAGTAATTTTATACACTATGGGTCTGAACAAAAAAAGTTCAGTAATTAAGGAATTTATCAGAAACTTTGTGTTGATACCACAATCTGAATGTGTGGATCCACGCATAACAGGTAAAGTACCTTTGACTGAATCAGACCTGAAGTTAAATTTGAAGTTTTAAATAGAGAGTGCTCAACTGCCGTGCATATAACTGGAAATACCATACAGAATGGACTGACAGCGAATAGAATGGGAACAGAGTGCATGGCAAAGTGCAGTGCGCAGAATTGGCAATAGTTAACACTCTGGGCAAGACAGTGTTTACAAAACTGTACACTGCACACAATAAGAAATACATGTAGACAGCTGCTGAACAAATGTCTAGAATGATTATTTGTACACAGAATGGGCCGAAAGACGGTGCATCAAATGTTTGAATACAATGCAGTGCACAAGACATTACATGTATGTGTGAACGTGTGCATTGACTACAGTGTCTACACTTGACGCAAGTGCAGAGAATGGGCAAATCAAAAATTGTACACGTACAGCAAAAGTGCATGAATATCTGGTCCTATAGCCTAACACGTGGCTGATTCAAATTTTGAACACTTAAAGGGAATGTACAACATTTGCTTTTGCTTCAATTTTCAGAAATAAATGGATTTGGAGGATTAGTATGTAGTAGCAAATATTGTTAAAATGACTTGTTTCACGTTTTGGGCTTGTAGATGCTGGAAAAACCAAGAAAATCATACATTTTTTTGTAGTCTGGTTCCCTGACCCCACTTAAGATGAAAGGAGAATTTATAGACTTTGGGGGAATTGTAGGTTCAGAGAATCAGTCTAGCAGGCTTGTACCCCTTCACGGGTGTGTAATCAATTTCATTGACCATGCCGACCAGTGTTGGAAAAATACAATTTTTCTTGAAAATGTTAGCCCACCAGAAGCCACGATTTTACAGGATGTTTTAGACTGTCATTCCCTTACAATCCAGTAAGGTATTTTGTGATAATTTGATCATTTCATTTTGAGATGTTTGCAAATGTTGTATCTTCCCTTTAAATGTAATTTCTGGAGAATTAAACTTTTCTGACAATATTGCCTCGGCTTGCATATACAAGTACCAGGTCTCCCTACATCCAACATCCAAGGTCGAGCCTCGAGATGCCCTCTTGTGCCACAGTCCTCAACTGTGACCTCTGACCCGTTGCCATGGCAACACTGTGTCACCTTGGGAATCAAATTAATTATGGCTATCCATCCCGCTGATTTTACAGTTGCTACACCAATCCAACTGTCTGGCCGTGTGCCGCTTAAATACCCACTGTAAAATAATTACCCCTTGCCTAAACAGTTTGGCTGTTGTCATGACGATTCGGGGGCGCCCTCTGGTGTTGAGGCCGGGCTAGTCTCTTTCTCGCTTTCTTTATCCTCTGAGTTGTTGACCAAGTCAAGGCTGCCGTCTGGTGACAACTTAAGATCGTCAAAATTCTATTGTGTGTATACAAAAAGGGAAAAACAGTCACAATTTGTATTGTACAGTACAGTACCAAAAAGGGGAAAAACATTAAATTCTTTTTACGTGGTGAATTTCTACATTTTCCGTGAACGATGCCCACTCACTATAAAAAGCCAACATTTGGTGTTTATAAATTTTATGTAGGGCTGTGCCAAATACACCGACTATTTGATCATCCCCTCAATATCAAGAAAGTATTTTGTTGACTGAATTAATTTGAGCAGTGATAATTCTTTAATCATGCAAATTTGCATCTTCAAAAATTTTGAATATCAGCTAGGCGAGCTAGCCATCCACTGGTACATGTACCTCTAAAACATGTAAAATGATTACAATATGTGATGCCATCAAGCTACATGAGTCGTTTGTCGACCCTGGTCAAATTTTTTTTTTTATTATAGATTTGAAAAGAGCACAATCTCAGCCTTACTGCTGTGAAAACCGCATGCTGGTACCTTCTTTAGTTCAAAAATTATGGAAGTTGGAACACTAAGAGATGTGATGAAGTGATGTGATGAAGTGGCCCTATTTTGGCCTGTATCTCTAAATAAAAATTCCCGACAAACGACTCACTTAGCTTGATCGCATCACATATGATGTTCTTATTATTTGATTAGCTCGGTCAATCTTTGACAGGCGCGCACAAATTCCAATTCCCAACCAATTTCACACATGACAGCCATATGCAAGCTTTAACTGGCACACACGCATGCAGTTCCTGACTAGCACATGCAATTGCCGTAGGTAAAATTGCAAAATGAGTGAAAAGTCGATTATAAGAAGTACCTCTAACTCTTGCATAACTTCATCCATGAAGTCAGTGGGGTTGGCCTTATAAGCTGCTGCAGATTTGATTGCTTCTCGAAAAAGCTGGGGGTAAGATGTTGAGTTCAAATATTAAAAAGTTATGGAAAACAGAAACTGATAATACGACAAAACTTGACACTTAGGAAAAGATTGAACAAAAAAGGCTACTGAAACAAAGTAATGTATACAGTACCACAAAAATCTAATTTTTTTTTTTACAAAAACAGAATATAAATTGAATAAATTGAGCAATAATGTACTTCTTACAAATACTTCAGTAAATAAATTCATTTTTTTAAAGTATAGATTGCATTGTGAACATACTCCCCATTTCCCTAGTGTAATCTGATGCTGTTTTAATTTGATATTTATTTTGAGAGATGCATGCATTCGTTACCTTGACTACATTTGCGCCATCAGCTGCTGAGACAAAGTAAAAGGGTAAATTGTACTTCTTGGCAAAGTTGAAGTTCTTATGGGTGATGTTGTAGTCAACTGCAAGATAAGACGAAAAAGGCAAGAGATATTAGGGCCTGATTTCACGAAACTCATTACCAGAAATACTGCTTTGTAGCTCCGTGTTATTTAAGTGCCAGTCATCAGCAGCATGCCTTTAACAGGTTGAATCAACAGCCTACTCAGCAGAACATTTCTGTGCTCCGTATATTTCTTTGCAGCTCCAACGTGGTAAGCACCTCTGTGTTTGGCCAAAAAGCCAGTTTACACACATCCCTTCGTGATTTGTTTTCATTTTGCTGAAAGAACACTTACCTTTTTGTGATCCTTGGACAGAAATTTAAAATGAAGGTTGTGTTTAAAGTTCCGTAACTTGAAAATTACATGAGTGGTTTGAATGATTCTTGTACTAAAAGAAAGCTTATGAATTGGGCTTTCATAGATTTTGAAAGTGCTACATGCAGAACTTCACTAAAACAATGGTCCCGACATTTAGGTTTCGGTTTTTTTTACTCATCCTGTACATGCCTAATAAGTTGTGTCTTTTTCTCTCTCCGTACTCACCATCTATCTTGTTAGCTGCTAATAAACAAGGTATCTCCGGTCTGTAACTTCTAAGCTCTTTATACCACTGAGGTAAATTCTTGTACGTCACCTTCCTTGTAACATCAAACACCTTCCAAAACACAAACAAATTCAAACAGTTTTGACTGTGTATCAAAATACAAATCGTACTGAGGTACATTATTTCATGGACTCTGTGACCATTTCATGAGAATAAATTGATGATGCCCTTATAAAACTACACAGTACCTAGCCTAGGAACAAATACAAATACTTGGTGCAATCCGAAAATTGTGGGAAGAATAAGCCTCTGTACTAAGGGCGTCACACTTGGAGCCAGCGGGGGCCCACGGTCCACTGAGCACCATAGGAAAGCACACACGTAAACAAAGTGTGACGTCATTAGTAAAAAGGCTTATTCACAAGCTTTTTTCGATTTAAACCAGCCGGCCAGGTCAGCGTTGCAAGACAACGCACATAAAAAAAAAAAAAAATCATCAATGATGCATAAGTGATGACTCGGGTAATAAACCTCATCTAGTAATGAAGAATTAAGGTAGGGAAAAAAGTAACGGTTCGCCAAACACGGTCTTTTATATTCCAAGGTGAACCTTTGACTTTTGTAAAATTGAGACTCCACCTCAATAGGCTCAGCTACTTTACCAGCTTAACATAATCACCACTTACGTTAACTGCCCTGGGGCCAATTTCACGGCCCTGCTAAGCACAAAAATTTGCTTAGCACAAAAAAAGTCTGGTTTATAAAAGCAGGTTACCAGCCAAAACTCCATGTGATTTTCATGCTAAGCAAACAACAGCTGAATACTGATCACGAGCAATAACCATCACGTGGAGTTTTGGCTGGTTACCTGCTTTTATAAGCCAGACTATTTTTGTGCTAAGCAAATTTTTGTGCTAAGCAGCGCCATGAAATTGGGCCCTGGACTGTGGAATTAACTACCAGTGCAAGAGCCCAAAATAGTTCTGAAAAACTTTTGTAACCTGATATGGCTGCCCACATCACTGCGGATGTATTAAAAAATAAGTGGACATGGCTGAAAATTTTGAAAATTTTGAAAATCCTAAAAACAGCAAGTACAACAACCTCAAATGTGGTATCAAATTAAGGGAAAAAAAACCCTTTCATTTGAGTAATGTGGCAGTGAGCTAGAATATGGTATAGTGTATTTTAGGAAGTCATTTTGGCACCTTGTTATTGTGAGTTTTTGTTTTCAAGGCAGAGAGAAAGGTTCATATTTGATGCGGAAAGAGTTTTTAATATATTTCTTTTTAGTTTCTATTATGTTAAACTTGTAACCAGGATAGTTAAGCGTAAGTTACCGTAACATGATTTATCGAAATATATATCTCTAGAGATTTTATGACTGCTTATTTTTGAATAATTGAAATGGTAGCTATGACTTTTACACCCTAATGATGTAAGGGCACTAAAAAGATTTTTTTTTTCATCAATGCACATTGCACAGTATGAAAAAAACTTTCAAATGCAGGGTGTTGACATTTGTGCTACGTCCTTTACTTGTAATGTAATTTACCAATATAAAACTTATTGCCAAACCAACAGAAAATTGTTTTGTTGGCTTTTTTTGTCAAGGGATCTTCTGTGAGGAAATCTACCCTCAATGCTCTGACTTTATAGAATAAAAGCACAGAGTTGACGGTAGAACACCCCCCCCCCTCCCCCCCGATGTAACATGAGTCACTACTGAATTGCTCACAGGACTTTCTTTAGTCACTTTGCTGTGATTTTCTTCCGGAATCCTCATGACTCGTTCTTTGTATGTTTATTTTCCAGGAGCCTCGAGTCCCATGAAATGTAAAGGGTAAAGAGCTTAAAGATAAAGAAGGCGGGTCTTAAAACTGCCATGAATATTTATCGTTACAAATATTCAAATAGACTTACCATTATGCATGCATGAGCCTGATGGTAGTAAGAGGGATGCATACTGCTGAATCTCTCCTGTCCTGCAGTATCCCAGAAGTCTGGCAATTATACAAAAAGACAGTGAGAAAAAAGGGGTTAATTAAATCCAGCATACTTCCATAATAAAATATGGCATCTGCTGAAAAAGTGGATCTTAATATAATCTAGCCTGCAAGACCAAACAAAAAATGTGATTTAAAGACAACCCATTTGTCTTGTTTTATTTAAGTACATAATACATTTTTTTGTCAGTCACTGAAAGGGAATTTTTTTTATTGAGGGCATTAATATTATCCCATTTTGGCATGGGAATACACACTCAAATAAAAAAAAACAAAGATGCATCAAAATAAGACATTACTTCTGTGTGCAGCATGCCAGCATTTACTACAAATACAATTGTATAGTGACATATCGCTTATTTTGTTTAAGCCGCAAACGAAGATAAGAAAAGAAGTCACAAAAAAGGGCTCAGTTCTTAGTGGGAGGGCCACAGCTCCATCATTAACAAAACCAACTCTTTAAGCCTAGACCTGGATGTCTTCAAGTCAGCTTTGGATGGCATCAAGATTAGAAATTTAGTTAGCTGTGCCCACTTCAAAAGTTAAGCTTGCATGCCACATTTGCCCACTTTACCCAGACAGTCCAACAGTCCTGTACAGTATTCAAGCAGAAGCAGAAGCCTAATCACATTGCATTCAGAACGTACAGATGGGACTCAGTAAATTAAGGTACATAACAACTATCTATTGTGTATTGCTAATGGGATTTGAAGAGCCACAGGTGTGCGTGTCAAGAAAAGGTACTTGAACGTTGACTCTCTTTACAGAATCCTTAAAACCCTTACAATACACAGATCCTTGTTACCTGGTGCATCAAAAAGTGGCTTAAGTCATCTGATACTTTCATCTGTTGCTTTTTAAACCTTTCTGGGTAAACCACATTTAGGGTAAAACACCTTTACAGTAAAACCTCAGGAATTCCAGATTTCAAAAGGGATTTTTTAAAATCCTGAAATCAGAAAAATCCTTTAAAAATCCTGAAATCAGGAAAAATGCCCACAAAAAAAATTCCAAAATCCTGACAAATCCCACCCCTATCTAAACCTTGCATAAAGAAAATTCAAATACTGAAAGAAATGAACACAAAAACTAATTTGAAGTTTAGAGTTTGTAAAAATAAACAAGGGCAAAAAATAGTCTTTTTCAATTTATATAAATCTTGTTTTTGAAATCAGCTTTTTTGACAATGGCTTTTTGACAACCCGACGACTCAACAAATTAAACAACCTACCCACTGTGACCTCCTGACCTCCGACCTTCGTGTTGTATCTGAAAAGAGTAAGGGCATATGTAGATAACTGCTGTGGTTTGCTGCAAGAAGAAAGTCAAGGAAAGATCTTCCTAACGTCTAAAAGGTTGTAAATATGTCTAGACATGGTTACATTTATAACGTGAAGTAATCTGCCACAAAGAATTAAACAAAGAAAGAGAGATGAAATACCAAAGAAGGAAAAGAACATTTCAGCTCAACTCTTGCCAATCAGCAACCATACTTTTTTGTATTAAATGTTGTTGTATTTATTCCCCGATGAATCATAAAACCGTAGAGTGCTCAGGCATTACAGGGAGTAATGCTTGCAACAAAAAGATCAGTCAACTCTAAAAGCCAATAAGCTAGTCACTCATTGTGCAATTTACCCTGCGTGTACTTTAACCACAAATGAATATTTTATTTACACTGGTAATCCACCCATCAAATTAATAAAACAAATTTGGTCTTAACAATTTCAAGGATACTATCCGTCCATGAGGAACCTTTCCACCAGCCTGTAAAGAAAAAGAAAACAAAATAAATTTGAGAATGAAATGAGAAAAGAAAAAAAAAAACCTGAAAATACTTTTGTTAAAGGTATATACCGGTAGTCCATCATTTGTAATTTGTGCACTTTGTTCGTTTGAAGCAACAAACGTTCATAAAAATCTAAAGAAGGGTGATAAACAATTACATGTACCCTGATGAAGTTTCAACTCAGCTGTAGCTGTATTTTTCGAGAAAAACAACATTCTAGGATCTCGATTGCAAATCAAAAGTTGCTGAATCATGTTTTGAATTGGGCCCGAATTCAGCGTCCGAGACATGTTCTTACTGAGCCGAATGCAGCTACGCGATGTCGCACACAGATCCAACGAATTGTAGAGGGCACGCGCGCGTGTGTGTCGTGTCAACTCAAAATGTTAATTATATGTACATACATGTATATGCACAAGGGATTACATTTCAATTCAAAACAACACACATGGCAAGAGTTTTGAAATATATTTAAAAACGGAATTACAGATTGATTGTGATTTTATCAGACAGTTAAAAACAATAACTTTAATTTCAACTGCAACTTTCTTATCTTAACCCAAACTCCCTACTGTCTTTTAGTAAGTACTGGACCAAGTCTGTCATAATCCATCAATCACACTGCTTCCAATGCATGCTTTGCTTTAGGCCTCCAGGCCCAAGTCCATCATACTCCATCAATAGTTAGTCATTTGAACCAGGCCTCCAGGACCAAGTCCCCCAAACTCCACCAAAAAGTGGGGATGGATTTTGATGGAGTTGGAGAGGTTAGGGATTAATTATTCCTTCTTCAGCCAAGTTAATGGTACATCTGTACACATAAATGTTTGTTGAATGATCATGTGCAGAATAGCGGTGTAACACAGTACTTGTAGCTCTAGTGCCATCACAAATTGTCTGTTGTCTTTTTTTCCCTCACTTCGTGAACAATTTGTAACCATAAAACTGTGTTAAAAAAATATGTTCCCAACTTTACCAAGTAGTGTCAAGAAACTGGACAAAGACTTTTGTCAAAGCTATGTACAGTTGAGTCTCGCTATTTATAAACTCGGCCGGACCTAGCCAAATTGTTTGTTAATAACTCAGAATTTTGTATTAAGAGGAACATCAGTCCCATTCATTGTGCACATAAATGCACAGTCGGGACCAAGGCTTTATGTTTGTTATAACCAGAATTTTGTATTAACAGAGCTTGTACTAACAAGAATCGACTGTATACGTCACCCGTGGTCGCTCAGTCACTGATTTTGTTGCTGTTGTACTTTGTGTGTGCCCTACATGATTACTCTTTCATTTTAAGTCTGTGCTGTCAACCTAAAATATTAGGTCTACATGTAACATATTATCCCCCAGTAACTCCTCAGGACTACCCTGCTAAATCCAACAGAGTCCAACCAGAGTTTCCTGTTCAATCCACTGTGCCTTATTTTCAGTTGTCTGCTGAATGCAATGGAGTCAAACATGGCGTTATAATGCGGTTCAGTTGGCTGCTGAATCCAACATTTTGCATCAGGAATGTACACAAGGGGTTTACTGCACGATCCAACAGGTTCCATCAGGTATTAGATCCTGTTGGATTCAGCAAGGTTAGGGTTAAAGTCTATATTACATGTAGACCTAAGTGAAATTATTTGGATTGTGCAAATGAAAATTCGCTGCGCCAAAAACCCTAAACAATTCAGTTCAGAAGTGCAATGTTCGGCGAATTTTAGCTCGGTTCGGCGGTTCAGCTGCAGCACTACTAGCGATAGGATTGTTGTTCACATAGAGGTTTCACGATCAAATAATACATCACCGCAATTGCATTGGTCTTCCATCCAGGACCGGCTAACGTAATTCAATTCAACCCACTTCAAATGTCTGCAATGGTTGCTAGGAAACCGACGGAAAATGGTTGTCATCTTGTCAGGCTGTTTCAAGGCTGTCTGTATTCTAGGAGTTCTCAATTATACCGTATTCAACCAACATGACAATTATACTCTTTTTCTCATCTTGACATTCGGGTGACCTCTGTATGAAATTTGTCAGTGTTCTTGTCACGTTCAGGATTTTCATAAAATATCTTTTTAATTCTGGATACATATATGTGTTGATTTAAAACAATGACAAAGTAAAATTGTGTAAAGACAATACCTTGATTTAATTTAGGGCGTCAATAGCTAAGAATGACTTTAAATGACTTTACAAAGCATCTATAAAAAATGCCATCACTAAAAAAGAACAATTTTGTACACATTGCAAAAAAAGTGTTTTTAAACATGTATTTGTAGAATTTACGGTCAAATTATCAAAACCAAAAATTAAACCTCAAATTCTCGCCAAATTCTCCTTTCATTTCCACAAAATTAAATCAGAATTTAATTTAATCACACATTATGTGACATAAAAAAAATGAAAATTATTTGTTTTTGTGAGCACAAATTCAAGGACTATGTTCATCATCCACTACAAATTTTGTTTCAACATGCAAAGTGAAAAATGTACTTGACACTAATACTCCATTCGAAAATGCAGTTGCAGAAATGTCTCCCATACTGAGGGATAATAAAAGTAATAACATAAAAACTGGTACATACGTACATGTACAGATACTGCATTTTCAGTGCATAAATTATTACAATCAACATGTTTGCAATGACAAGGCCTTTTTTCAAGTTACTGTATTTATTGTTATAACGTTGTTCTAGAATTTTGACCATATGGTATCAATTGCATGATAGTTTAATGTTAAGTTTCCTATGTACACATGTAACTATAAGCGATGTGTATTTTACTTTGGGCTGGCTTGGAAATTTTTGTTTCACTTGGACACCCCCATACAGAGAACATATGCACAACGAATGCGTCACTTTTTCCTTAATTTTGAGCAAACTTGATCATCCAAATTTGAAATTGCCTGCATTTTAGAGTGTCTGAACAACAACATGTTTGTTTTTAGTTACAGTTTCAATTGAGGCAAAAGTAACAATGCATTTCAGGTAGCCTGACCAAGTCCAACCCAATTTTTTTACTTTTTTTATATTTAAACAATTTGAAAAAAGGAAAATCAATTTAGTTTAGACAGGATAGAATGCACCATGAAGTGAAGAAACTTCAGAAAAATATACAAATTACACAAATTTATCAGTGAATGTATTGATTATGCCTAACCAGGGTTGTTAAATCATGACTAAAAAAAAAAATAGAGGTCTATGTCTGTTTTAAAATAGAACATAGGGCCTCTCCTGCTTATAATTTTTGTACAACTTTATGCTTTTTTGCCAATGTGCAGTCTTGTAAATTATATTTTTCTTTTATGTTCAAAGTTCATAGGAAGTTATATTGAGTTAGTATAGCCAACAGTTAGGCCTATGAAATATTTTTAAAAATTTGATGGCGTCATGTTGACATCACTTCGCATTTAGCATATGATGATGTCACATGCCCTACGATGACTCATCTTGATAAGACTTGTCGATGCACATTTTTGCATTGTATTATTGGTATGAACTAAGCTTGAAGTCAATCCAATGAAAGGAAGTGTTAAATTTTGGATGCGGAATGAACTTTCAAATATTAAAAAAATAATAAAAAATCAACAGATGACGTCATGTTGACAGTCAGATTTTGTAAACTAATACCATTATTTAGCTTTCCACCAAGTTTCATGACATTTGGACTTTCCCTTGTATGTGTTTTCAAAAATTGCATTTTTGATGACATCATGATGACGTCACACATTTAAAAAAAAATTCACCCTCTTTATAGGCTAATCAGAAAGTGCTGCCTTTTTCAGATGTCTATATTTCGTGAAATTTCCAGATTTGTTTGCACACATTTGCGTATCAAAATTTCAACATGAAATTTCACACAAATTAGACATCTGAAAAAGGCAGCACTTTCTGATTAGCCTATAAAGAGGGTGAGTATGCTTCTAAAGCAAAAATAAATTACAAACTAAGCCTAAAATATGTGAAAATCAAAATTTGACAAAGTTTGACATGTTTTTGTATATGGTGGAAGTGTGGCCTTTATTTACGGAGGTAGTTCTGTAAATTGGCCACATTTATGGGGCTAGACAGAAATAAGCAATAAATACAGCTAGTTTAATGGTTTAATTGAAGGCAGTGGATATTTTGCCGGAGACGGCAAACCTTTAGTAAACGTTAGTTTGCCGGATATGCACTGAACATGCGCAGTTACTGTTTTTTTTTTTACTTAAACATTTTCCGGTGACAAGTTTTAGTCTGGCTCCATGCCAAAATTATCGTTGTTACCTCGTATTCACAAGATGGGATTCAGACCATTTTATAATTTCGGACTTTATTTCCCTTTTAAAAAAAATCCTCCAGAGCCACAAATCTGAAAAAGAAAATGTAATACTCTGCAATAAATGTTTGAGACATGTTAGGCCAAAAAAAAAAATAGTTCTGCTTCCGATTACATGTCTTTCAAAAATAGGGTCGGTCGGTCGGAATTTTTTTTTTTTTGCCAATTTTTTTTATGCATATTGAATGGGGTATTCAATTATATGCGAAGTTTTAGCCTGAACTATTTCTATTGCACTACGAAAGCTATACACAAAATGGCCACAAAAAGTGAATAAAACCTACCTTAATTATTGTCAATATATTTAAGTTCGATAATTCGTAAAAAAAATTGTGGGAAATTCAGGTCGTTCGCACCATAGGCACAACGCTAGTCAAGAACGGGAGCTGGCCAAAACTCCGAAGTGTGTGATGCACTGTACATGTACATTTGTACATGTGTGGCCCGCGGCCAACGGGTCGAACATTTCAGGAAACACGCTGCATTGTATCACTCCAAATACGAGTAGTGCGATCTCAAAATGAACTCTTGAACACGGAAAATACATACACAGACAAGCTAGATCAAATCTGTGAATTAACTTGCAAAAATGTTCTTTCTCCATCGGTGTTTTCTTGGCATTTTTACGATGTCTTTCTCAGCATTTTTACGATGTCGATTCCGACCAGTTGACAGAGCACGTGCCTGCGCCTGCATAGCCATGCTAGCGCTAACATTGCATAGCCGTGCACAGACTAGTTACCGCATTTTCATAATTGGCTCCTGCGCGGCGCGGCGGGAACCAGTCGTCGCCGCATTGCGCTTATTACGCACGTGATTATAGACATCGAATTGCGAAGTAGTTGAATCGCGCAGCGATTTTGTAAAAATAACGGAGGTTTCTTTTGAAAAAATAGCGAATGTAAGTAAGAAAACAATAAATACAAGCATTTTTTGATGCAAAAGGGTTGTTGAGAGGTATTTTGTGAAGACAGACAAGACATAAGGTTTTTATTTTTATTTATTCAATCTTTTTTTTTTTTTTTTTTTTTGGAATTGCCGATAAAATTTTTAGGGTCGCAGCCTAAAAATAGGGTCGGTCGGGTAACCGGAAGCAGAACTATTCTTTTTTTTGGCCTTAAAATAATAAAAGAAGAATATGCTTATTTATTTGGGGATGGGAAAAAAAAACTTTAAAATGTGGCGGGGATCGGGATCGAACCCGAGTCATCCCGCTCACTAGAGCTTTTGCTTAACCACTACACCAAACGTGCTACACAACTCTTGGTGGGAATTTAATACATCTTATAATTCAGCCCTATCTTAAAGAGTACAGTGCCCACTGTTGATATGGATTGCCGCCGGCAAACCTTTAGTAAACGTTAGTTTGCCGTCATTACCTCCGGCAAAATATCCACTATCTTAATTGAATTCAAATTATCGTATTTCAATGGGTACAGAAGCATACATGTAGATCATTTTCTTTTCTCGTAATATATGATTATTTCCCCTTTAACCTCTAATACGTTTACCTGATGACAGTGCCTGATTAAACATAATTATGCCATGCAGTGTTTGCTAAGATTGCGCAAAATTCATAAATTGCGCAAGTAATTCCCACGCAATCTTAAGCATTGTTATAATTTATGTTAAGAATGAGTGCTTATCTTACAGATTGCGTGCTCATTCTTAAGAATGCGCGCTCGTTTTTAAGAATACGCGCTCATTCTTAAGTTAGCGCAAATAGCAAGAAAGCGCACAACATCGACAGAGAGTCACCTGGACCTGGTCACAGACAGTGTGCATTTCAAATGACACTTCACTTGACATAAGCGCTTGACGGTCGCGTAACTAACTGCCGCAGAATAATGGTTTGTCCTCTTTAACACAGATTTATCTGAAACCGACATATGCCAAATCATTCAAAATGCACTTACTTTGATTTCCCGACAGCTGAATCCCCGAGACAGATAATCTTCACGGTGTTTTCATTTGTTTTTCCGTCCGTTTCGGGCAAGACAGCGTCACTTGTGCTCGCCGCCATCTTGGAAAAACAAAGTATGTGAGCAAGGCATGCCGGGAGACAATTTCATTGGTAACCACGAGTAGGTTAAAAAATCGCACAAAACGAAAGGTACCAACGACTGATACGAGCTATAGAAAATGTATGGAAAGCAAAACTACAATTAAATAAACGGGACATAATTAGGACCGATAAGGGAGAAAACAACTCTGCACATATAAAATGTTGCCAATTTATCACATCTGTGTTTTACTGCTTATTTTCAGCACCATTTTGATGCGAGAAAAATTAGCGATTGACGATTTTCACTCTAGCAGCAAAGCCGAAGACTATAGTTTCTCGCTTGGTATGCTTATTCTGAATTCGTGTCTGATTCTTATGGTAATGTAATCGACACTTTTTTTCTGATCGCACAACACGTGACGTACGTCGCTCGTATTTGTATCATTTCTTATATTGTTTTTCTACTATACAGTTTCTCTACTATACAAGGTTCCTTCTATGCCAAGTACACTGAGCTCCATTAAAAACCTTGTTCCCATGGCGTACGCTCCACTGCTACCTAGATAGCTCACCCTGGTACTATTCAAGGGCGGATCCAGGGGGAGGGGGGGGGGGCAAAGGGGGCCATGACACCCCCCCCCCAAAAAAAAAAAAAACGAAACCAATTTTTTTTTTATGTGACATCGCAATAAAGGCAGGCAATGAGTACATCACCATCTTTTCCTCAAAAAATCATGGGTTAAAATGGTCAGAAATTGCCTCAGATCGCACCACAGAGCATCTAATATCCAAAAAAAAATTCGGGGCCCTTAAGCGGGCTCCGAACCCCACGCCGTAATTTTTTAGACCCACTTTTTGGGGGGACCAAATTTTTTTTTTGGCCCCCCAAAAAATTGTGTTCTGGATCCGCCCTTGGTACTATTGGACATTCGCACAGAAATCTTGCACATTAGAAGTTAGATTCGGAAAACTCTGGTGCCTAGCAATGCTTTACATTCGGGTGTCTGTTTTCGTGTGCGGTGCCAGGGTAAAGAGTAAATCAATTCGTCTATGTGAGCTGTGATATCAAACAACGCATGATTATTGGGCTTTAAGTTTATTTTCAAACCTGCAATGTGAGCCTTCAAAATATAATCAAGCATTCAATGAAAAGGGATGATTAAATGTTGAGAAAGATTGGACGTAAAATTATGACGCAACTATACTTCACCTGGCAACAACAGACACTGACAATATACCGTGAAAAATTACAAGTCCGATTCGGTCGAAATTTCCTATGGTAAAAATGGACGCGAAGATTCATGACCTGAAATTACTCTTTTATGAACACAGAGAACGTATTGGGGAATGGTCTTGTTTTAATCATTTAAACAGGCATAGTCACAACCATCATTAAATCACGTAGAAATTAAGCTTCGGGATCCGGATACTTAATATTCCAAGTGCTTTAGAATAAATAATCGAAAAGGCACTGACATTATCGTGCATAAGGAAAACAGAGGTGGAAAATTTAAACCCATACACAATTTGTGATTGAGAAAAAAAATACAAGTTTCAGGGGTATAGTCAAGTTCCTGACGAAGGACGTAGTATCACTGTCCGAAATATTGAGTTTCTCCTCGGTTCTTTTAAGAACCTCACTCCGTAAAACTCACAAAAGTGGTGCTAACGTAAACTTTATCCTATCTCCATCACAAAGTCCCTGCAAGTAGGTCCCTGCAAGTCAAGTCATGCAGTCCAAATTCAAATCACAAGATATTCAATGCGCTTTGACCATAGACACTCATTTGTTGTTATTCATTCCTAAATTTGTTATTGTTTCTTGTGACTTGTGAATAGACTCGACTTCATCCCTGGATCGGTAAACTCCTAATTACACTTGTTGCCCCTCAAAATTGTAAGTAATAAATACCAAATTGACTGCAGCAATCAATAAAACAGAGCCTGAAAGTAGACCATTTTGTCTTTGAGCTTCCGGACCCCTAGCCTCCGCGACCCTTCTATGGGCACATTTCTAACCGTAACGTTAACCCTTCATGTTGATGAAAAAAATGATGAGAAATCAGTTGGAAATGGGTAAAAACGAATTTTGCTTGCGACCTTTCACATCCGGATTTTCGTACCCAGGTCTGCTTGTTCGATCACGCTTGTTTCACATCGCGTACTTGCGTGAGAACGAAAATGATAACAACGGGAACATTTACCTACCTATATCCGATGGATTTTAGATATAGTCGGGCTTGCTTGAATACAGTTCTTATCAACGATCATTTTAGATTTGTTTGTGAATGATAATGAGTCCTTCAAGTTTATTAAACAAACAAATGTGTGTCCCCAAAAAACATTTTAGTCTCCTATTTAAGTTTCGGTTTTTACCCAATGACCGCCGCAAAAGTATTTCGTAAATTTCAATCTTTGTATATACGAATAGATTTTCGGATGTGAGAGGTCTATTTAGTGGCACGACATTTCTCTTTCACGTCATGCGATTTTTCAGTTTCCATAAATTGAGATGCAAGTAACAACTTTTACAAAGGCCTTTTCCGACGTTGATTTTCTTAAGAAATCAATGTACCCAAAATAATTTTGAAAACTCCGACTTTTACACGCTAATTTTCCTACTCGAAGGGTCCGGAAGCGCGCCACCCGGGGCCAACTTTCCGGCTCTATTACTGCATGCAGTAAAGCACTTGTTGTCCAATGGGTTTCATATCGTTCGCGGAAGCCTCGGCTCGGGTCGCAGCGACCGGTGTGGGGCACTCAGCCGGGACCGATAATCCAGAAAAGTCGTTCTCCAAACACAAGTTCACTTTCCCGTGATACAGCCCTCCCGAGGGTACAGCTTTATCCTCGGTCATTTCAATGCAAAAATGAAATTTCTCCGAGGGATCCTCTGAAGAAAACAAAAGACAAATAAACAAATATATATCATTGTCGCTCAATGTCTTGTAATAACAAAAGCATGCACTAACTTTAATAATTATAAGCAATGTCCAAAACAAAAATCGATTTGAAAAAGAAACGAAATCGGTGGTCATATACCCTGGGCTTAGTATCACCCGTTATCCACGGAGCCAAGTCTTCTGTATAACGTTTGATATGTCTAAACATGCAGATATATGCAAGCCGGGCGCCTGCCAATCGGAGTCGACTTTACTAAATCGTGACGTCACTTCATTCCCAAATGGGCGAACCCAGTGCCGCCCAGGTTGAGTTATTGATTTTTCAACCCTGCGTTCAACTTGAACCCCGCATCGTTTCACACTTGTTTTGTGCGAAGCGAGCTTACTTCGCTCAGTTGATGTGTGAGGCAAAGTTTGCGGTAATCAATGGCCCAACACCGTGTGGTTGTTCCTACAACCTCCTAGTTTACTTCTGTCTTGAACCCTGACGAGAGTTTCCACCCGAATTGAAAATCTCAACCCTGGAGCATGGTTGAGTTCAATCCGAGGCGAAATCAATCTCAAAGGTTGACGCAGGGTTGGCGCGGGGTTACAATTTTGAAGAGACTTTTTACCTTGGATGAAAGTAGCCTGCACGTCGTTATTTACAACTTCCGTGTTCAATTCGATCTTGTAAGGATCCTTAGTGTATTCAAACACATCTGTAGAAAGAGAGAGAAATATAAATTTTAAAGGATAACAGTACAAAGTGTCCAAAAATAGTCTGTGGGGAAAACCCGCACCATGCATGCACACGAAACAAAACAAAACAAAATCCCCAAAACAGGAATGGAAAGTGACCCACCAATCTTTTGTTGAATATCTTAAAAATGGTTCCCCATGCTATTTTCGAGTTTCACCTCGAAAAATTAATTTTATTTTTACAATTCCATTTCTTACCTTCAAAAGGATTGTTCACTTTTGAATGAGATATCGAACGATAAAAACCACTGACGTTAAGTATTTCTTCACAAAATTCGATTATTGGCTGCCAGATAATAATTCGGCTCTCGCAGGACCGGTTCACTATTTTGTGCGCAAAATAAAAGTCCTTTTTCAGAGGGTTGCAGATGCCCGAAATCGGACTAAAGTAGATTTTTTCGTTAAAACAAAACATACAAATTGAAAATTCGTTAGAAGAAAAAAATGTTTTTTTTGAAAAGCATATGCATCTTTGTCCTAAGTGACATAGGCCTAAGACGTATTTTTTTCTGAACGACTTATGTGAAAAAGAAGTGGCAGCAACCTCTTGCCGATTATATTTATAAACAGAAATGCACTCAACTCGGGGACTGCTATGTTCCAACATCCCTATGTTCCGACAACCCGCATACATACGTTAGTTTATGGTGTTAATCGAGGATTTTCTTTTGTTCCTCTCCCCTTTTCCTTTGTTTGTACTTTTTCGCAACAGCTCTCATTGGTTTTGTACACGTTTTCTAATCGAGGTCGTCCTCGATTTGGTTCCTGTCCTCGATTCACCGATGATGTTGCACGCGTGTGTCCTCGATTTACACCAGTTGAACAAACGCATTAAGATATTGTAATACTCCCGGACCCGGTTAGGGTTAGGGTTAGGAATAGGAGTGTGCAGTCGGAACACAGAAGTGTAACCCTCTACACTATACGCTTTGGCTGCTAAGGGGGAAACAATAATATTCCAAATTATATAGTTGTCTTACGTTCAATGACTTTGAATGGACCTTCGCTGACACGTCCCTTGAAGCATTTTGAGCACGCTGATTGCTTGTCGTTACATTCCAAATTCATCGCATAAAATCCCTGTTATGAACAAAACATAAAAAGAAAAGAAAAACACATCCCCGCGTCAACCCAGTTAAAAACAATTAGATTTAACCATGAACCCCCAAAAGAACTATTTGAACAAAAAAAGATTGAAAACGTCCCGAAAATAACTATGTTGCGATCTTAACATTAGGAACACACTCTCGTAAACGTTGGTCCGGTCGATTTTATAGCTCCATATAAGGGCGGATCCGGGGGGGGGGCCAAAGGGGGCCATCCCCCCCCCCCAAAAAAAAAAACGAAACCAACTTTTTTATATTTTTTATGTGACATCGCAATAAAGGCAGGCAATGAGTACACCACCATCTTTTCCTCAAAAAAACATTGGTTAAAGTGGTCAGAAATTGCCTCAGATCGCACCACAGAGCATCTAGAATCCAAACAAATTTCGGGGCCCTTAAAGGTAGAGTCCATCATTTGTAATTTGTGCATTTTGTTCGTTTGAAGCAACAATAGAGTTCAAAATCTAATGAAGGATACTGAGCAACTAACCTGATGAAGTTTCAGCTAAGCTTCAGCTGTACATTCCGAGAAAAACAGCATTCTAAGATCTCAATTTCAAATCAAAAGTTGCTGAATCATGTTTTGAATTGTTTTGAATTGCAACTATACGCGACGTCGCGCACTGATCCGACGAATTATAACAACCGCGCGCGCGTGTGCGTCGTTCGAATACTTGTGCGCGCTGCGCTGAATAACAAAACGAACTACTAATTTAAATTTTCCTACGGTGCTTCTTAAGAATCACCGTTGGAAATGCCTTCTTTCGTTGATTACTTCAAAATGACAGCTTCCCAGAAAGAATAATTTCACAGGTAGTTTAGTCTCCTTACTATCTTTCAACCAAGTTAGTTTTTCAACAATAATTACGCCAGTTACTTTTCGGATGGCTGCAAATGATGGACTCTACCTTTAAACGGGCCCCGAACCCCACGCCGTAATTTTTTTGACACACTTTTTTGGGGAACCAAATTTTTTTTGGCCCCTCCCCCCCAAATTGTGTTTTGGATCCGCCCTTGGCTCCATAATCCCAATAGGCTGACTGATAAGGTTTGTGCACAAAACCTCAGACGCTTGGGGTTTTGTGTAGAATAATTGGAGGACCAATTTTTACGGCATTGTGCAAGTAATGATTAACATAAAGGTATATAAAAACATTTGTTTTTTGTGCATCTTTTAAGCAACAGAATTGCTCAAAATCTTAAGAAGGGGGCATGACACCTACTTAACTTGTTGAAGTTTCAGTGGATACTAAACATTTTTGAAAAGAAAGAGACAAATTATACACAATTTGGGGGTTAGTATAGCTGGATTCCTTTGCTAACTTAAATCACGTAATATATGCCAGCGGGGGCATTTTCTTAAACCGCCTTGAATGATTGTTTTCTTCCGAATGATACCATTTCAGGCGGAATAATTTCACAGGGCATTTGGTACCAGTCCTATCTTCACACTGAGCAAGGATTTTCTCTCGTTAATTCTGCTAGGCACGTTTACAGTAAATGCAAATGTTCTTGCTTTTAAAACAATAAGTAAAATGATGAGATTAAAAAGGGGGGGGGAGGAAGTGGTTTAAAAAAAAATTAAATAGAGGCCTTACCAAGCCTTCGTGGGAAGAATCATTACGACCGTCTTCCCAGTTTCCGTTTGCCGAACCACTTAGAAGAACCAGAGAGTACAGAGCCAATTTCAACATGATGAAGAATGGACAAATCTCTATGTAATCGAAATGCAGCACGACTTATTCCACTTGATTCCAACCGAATAGTGACGCCTCGGATCACTGTGTGGTTTCGGCTTGCCATCATGACCAGTCAAGTGGTAAGTTACGACAAACCGGCCGGCAGTTAGAGCCGTAAAATAATATAGCTTTTAAAGCTATATTAGAGTTGTATTTTCGAAGTTGACTAACATCGAGCTAGGAATAGCACTGTTGGCAATGTGGCTCTTCCACTCCATAGAACAGAAAATGGAAGAAGAACTTTTAACTTCAGGGGTGCCCAGGCTTGGAATAACTTACCGCAACATTTAAAATCTCCGCATCCAGCAAGTCTTAATCATTTCGTCAATCAACTCAAACAACTCAGTTAAAAAAAGAAAATAAGTGGGGGAAAAAAGAAGAAAAAAAAAAAAAAAAAGGAAGAAAAAAACAGGGGTGGGGGATGTCATCTTGCAGTGATGTTTTGTATTGTATTGTTAATGTCTGTTTACCATCTGTGTAATTCCTATTTTCTTTAAGTTTATTTAAATGAACTTTTAACATTCTTACATTGTATTCTTAATATTTTAATTGTATTTTAATAGTAGTTTTGTGTAGTTTTTTTAACTTCATTGTAATTCCAATTTTAATTGGTACTCCTGCGCCGATAAATTCTGCCATGGGCAGGTTGTTTGTGAATACTCTTTAGATAAAAATGTCAATGGCAGGACAATATACAGGAATATTGCTAATAAATGCGAGTTTTGAACACAAAAAATCTGGGTCATCAAAATTTAAAACTTTAAGCTGCTTATAATTATCTTTGTCTAAATTCACCCGGCAACATCGACGTTGCACCCTACAAAGCCGTCAGGTGCCATCATACAAAAATCAACATTTGCCATAATAATAATACGTTGATAATAATTTAATTGTCCACAAAAAGACGTTCACTGTTCACCAAAAACTCAAATTCCAGAGCAGTTTCAGACCAGTGAAAATTATGCCAGCACAGGAACTTGGTCACTGTACGCACCATATGGTATACGCAATTATGTTGTATGTTGCCTATCCGATCGAGTGAAATGTACATGTATCTCATTCGGCCTTGAGCTGAGTGCAGCATATGCCTATTTACCGGGGCAGGCATCGATTGAAGTTATAACAAAAATAGATGTCTTTCAGTGCAAGACATCGTGTTTACAAATGTACCGTTATTTGCAAAGAGCATTTAGGCTTCAGACGAGAGCAGAAAATCGATTTAGTAAATCGCAAAAAAAAGAACTCCGTGGAAACGTTTTCTAACTATGGCATGATGGCTGATGAGTTTTCATCACAGCACCGTGTTTATAGTGTTATAGCCTATGGCACAGTTTATCTGTTGTTATCAATAAACACAAAAGAGAAGAAACACAACTTTCTGCATATCCCGACTTCCACTTTATGTTAGGAAAACATTACTTCCATTTTGAAGAATAGCTCGCGTTCGTAAACCATACGTTCAATTCTGAAACAACGGGCGCTCCATCATATTTGTCATTCTTTTCGTGGGGTTTATCAAACCACGGTTGAACTCCAAAAGGGCTTCGTGATTCCGTTTCATGAATTTGGTCCCCTGAGTTAAAACCCTATGGCTGAAGAAGACTTCATTTTCTGCTACAGAAATGCCAAATCGTTTGGTGTACAGTGACATTAAGGTTTGGAGTATAAATTTATTTTGGTTCCAACAATAAACTTGGAAAAGGCGAAAGATTAAGCTCGAGACTTGGAAAATGGCTTTTGACGACCTACACGAGGTATATAGCGCCATCTGTTGACATTTATTGGTGTAATCCAATATGGCGCGCTCCATGAAATTCCCACCTCCCTGAGTCTGATTATCATGTGAAATTGGTTTTAAAAAACACACAATAACATTGGACATTTAATCATCTTTGTGTTTACAAGCAAGTGGTGATAAATAATTGAAGTAATTTCATATAATTTCATCTCATTTTATATCAGTTTTGAGGCATCATCTGGTGGTTAAAGATGGTTGAAAATGCGAAAGGAAACTCATTTGATTTTCCATGCAAAGACGTTGTGACATGCGTCGAGTTCTGTCCATTCGAGGCGGCATCCCAGCTAATTGCGTTTGGTGGTCAGTTACGGGTCAGCATCGGATCCTGTAGATTCCAGGTAGGACTAGCATGACTAGGAGCTATGTAAATCGATCTCATTTTGGAAAGATTCCCATATCTGGCCATCAGTAATTTTTGTAAAACAGTGGTCCTAGAACTAGAAAGTCAAAATTAGCAGGGACTAGAAAGTCAAAATTAGCAGGGACAAATTTTGAAGTTTTACTGAGAAACACAGTTTAGAAATTTTCAGACCAGTCCCATAGGGTTTGTGCACAGGGTGACAAGTGATGGCCAGATATGGGAATCTTTCCCTAATTGTAAGACTAAGAATGTATGAAAGAGGACCGCAATCAAATCTTTTCTTATTTGTCATCACTAACTTATATATCAATTATTTATTGTATTTGTATATTGCTAAGTGAGGGCTAACATTATGCCTTGTTTTTTTAAAAGAAAGCTTGTAGGCCTACTCTGAAAAGGTTCATTTTCCAAGGACTTTGTACACCCCCCCGCCCAAAGTAGTGTTACTGTTAGGATACTACTTTCTTTCTGTTTATGTGAGTAAAACTTAATTTGTTACTAGACACAAATTTATAAAAACATGAAAATAATATCATTCAAAAGGAAGTTGAAACTTGTGTTAATGTGTTAGCATATTTAGCCATTTTACTCACTGTTTACCTGTACATTCATTAATTCATTTTTTTTTATGCTCTCAGTCAAAATTGGAGAGTGTCATTTCATTTGTTTATATTTAAAATCAGTGTGGGTGTCTAAGGCCAAGTAAAAAAAAAACATGTTTAGCGTCCTGCCTTTTTGAAAGCAGGAGGCCCTTTTTTGTGTTCCAGAAGGGCTGCCCAACCGGGCTATTTTTCAAGATGGCTGCCAGCTTATTTTTTAAATGGCCGTCAATTGTACTCAGGAAATGACATACCAGCTTTATGTGGGCTAGATGCAATGGCCAAAATGATTTCACTGTTTAAAATTTCTTATTTTTTCGGTTAAAAAAAACAAAAAAACAAAGAGGCCAAAAAGGAAGTGGGTGGAGACGCTAAACATGTTTTATTTTTATTTGGCCTAATTATACAACAGAACCCATAGTTCTAGGGGTACATTGAATGTTGAACAATCAAAAGTCTGGTGTGAGTGGTGATAAAGATATTTTTCTTTGGTGGTATATCATCAAATAAGATACCAAGTCTTTCCCACTTCAGTCAGACCAAGTGAGAATTTAAATGAGAAGACTTGGCTAATATTCCTATAAACCCCAGGAAGAAGATAAATCTGTTGCGGGATCTGACTACCAGCACCTCAGGGATTTCCATCATGACACTCAAGTTGTTGCCATCAGCTGGAGTCCAGAAACATCCCTGGAAATACTTCCAAGATGTGTCAGGTATGCAGGACTATGGAAAGCAGTATTCGTGTTCCAGAGTTTTCTTTTTTCAAGACATTGTTTTTCCCCAAATATGCAGCCACTTCTTACTGCACATAGATCTGTAAACTGCAAAGATAGAGTATGTCATGCATGTAAGATTCCCTTCTTTCATCTTGCAGATGACATTGTGGTACCATATAGTAGTTAGACAACTCAGTGGCTGAACAAAGGGGGGGGGGGTGAGCACATGCCACACCCCCCCCCTCCTTTCTTCCTGCTCCGAACTTGGTTATGCCACTGAGACCACTGCACATTTAAATTCTACGGACACATTAAAAATCTTGCAAGTAATAGGGCCTAACTTGCCTGCCATATGATCAATTTTCATCAATATTTTTACTCATTTCAATGATGCACAACTTTGAGTCTGGATTTTAGTAGCCTTTCGCCAAGTCCATCGTGGCTTAACTTGCTGGCATTAGACAAAGCGGCGAATACGCGGAGCGACTGGAGCAGGAGACCACACACGCGAGTGGCAAAACCACGAGGCCTTTTCCAACTTGTCAAGCATTTCTTATGTTTTTCCTTATAATCTTGATTTTTGCTACCCTAAAAGAGTAGCAAAATTCCCTATGCACGCGCATGCCCGCCCCGGATGCTGGCACAAAATTTTAAAACAAAAAAATGCAAGTCTTGTTCTCCACGAGATCGTGATGGCGTAATTGTTCTTTCATTAGCTTTTTTAAATTTTACTTAATATAGAAGTATTTCCAAAAATGTTTTGATTGTATGAACTTTTTTTTATCTGAACGTATAGTTATTGCCCTTATGTTTTCCATTACTCATCCTTTCACAAATGGATGCAACTAGGCAAAATCTGCATTGTGATTGGCTTTGCCACTCGTGCGCGCTGAATTAGTCTTCGCTCCAGTCGCTCGCAGCTATCGCAGCTCTAAGCCAGGATGGCCTTGGCGAAAGGCTAGGATTTTAGCTGATTCAAGTAGTTATACTTAGTTTTTCTTTCTTGTCCACACAGGTTTTGCACAGCTGGAGTAGATCACAAGATCCGGCTTTTCACCTCGGATATGAAGGAACAGGATGTTATGGAGGTATGGAAACAGGGTGCACAAAAAAAATTATCTAGCTGTGTTGTAGTCAATAAATTAAAAAAAAAACACCATGAAATGAACCACGAAGAGAAAACTGACTCGATGCATATATGATAATTATATAGTTGAACAAAGACATTGACTGGAGCCGAGGTCAGTTTCTTTGGTCAGTAATTAAGTTAAAAAATAAACATAAAGGAAATACATTAATGGTTGTAAAATTAAAGACAACTTTTTAAAAACTTTTCAATTTCGGGGGGAAGGTTCCCATATTTTATTATAGCAGGTATTAATCTATCCGTCAAACAACAACTCTACAACAAAGTCTTCAAACTTACAAAAATGTATTAGAAACAAAAACAATACACATTTGCAGGCTTCTTCGTGTCTTATTTTCATCCCTGTCCCAAATTTGTGCAGTTAATGGACGGCCATGTAGACTACATCAACGCCCTCGCCTTTGAGCCCACCGAGGGCCAGCTCATCGCCAGCGTCAGTGACGATCACACATGCCGAGTCTGGGGACTAGACGGTGTGCAGAAGGCTTGCTTCTCACTGAAGGCAGCTGGCATGTCCGCTTGTTGGAACAGCCAAGATCCCATGAAGGTAATCGTCAAATGTTGATATGTATTAATAAAACCGAAACAATTTGCTTGACGATTGATTATCTGTGATGGTATGTTAAAATCTGATTCATTAATTTACCAAAGATGTCTTGCTTTTGTCCTCGTTTCCAAACACAGCTGATGGTTGCTGAAAAGCGAGGGACCATTCGCTTCTACGATCTCCTAAATCAACAGCCAATCATGTCCCTTGATGCCGGTCATGTGATGTTGAAGTCTGCTGATTGGTGCCCTAGCGATCCAACCAGGGTTGGCGCTGCCGTGGAGGGGGAGTGGATGGTTTGGGACATCACAAGGTCCAGGTTGGTAAAAACTAGGATCGTTATTTTCAAATAGGAAGTTTGAATTTCGACACATGTGCACAAGAATCCCTCAGCAGTGAAAATGTGGACTAGTGGTTGATGACGTAACTTATTCCTTGTGCTATTCTGTTCGTTAGTAAAAACGTCGTACCTACGCGTGCACCACTGATTACTAGCGCCCATTGGATAAACACTGAAGTTGCGTTAGCTTCCGGTTCCAATGGTTCCAATGCTACTTAACGGTCAGTGGGCGTGGTTTAAACTGAACTGACATCACACTAACGGACCGGATATTATCAATGTGCAAACACCTGTCAAATACTGGTCTAAATGTCATCACGAAATTCATTGGCTCCCTGTTATGCATTATGAAGCGTGCATCTATTAGTGACCAGCGATGGAACACTGCCACGAGCTGTGGTTCCAAAAAGTCGTCTAGAGTAATCCAACCGTCTTGTGTTCAAGTGAAGTTAGTTGAATTATGGCTAACTTTAGTCCTCGTTCCAACTTGCCCATTGCTGTCCATGCTGGGTCCTTCCCTGGTATGCAGTAATTCTTAAACTCAACAGGTAATTATAGGCATGGAAACCAGTGCCGTAAGTACTTTTACTTCATGACTGGTTCCTGCCTCCCTATCTGCTTAATATCTAAACTATAACTCAGGGAGAGGGAACCAGCTTTTCTCACTTCAATCCTGCCTTCCCTGGTATGCACGCCCACGTTTAATCGTATGAACAGCATGCGTAAACCAGTGAAATATGTCTCCCTATTCACCCTCATTGCAAGACCACAGAGCACCCTATTCAGTTCTGTGTAGGAGACATTAAGCAAGATTGGAGCATTGAAATTGAGGAATATTCTAGCATTTTTGGTGTTAACCTGGTAAAAGTTTTGAACGTTCCTTACCACCCTTTTTCCACTGACATTACTATCCAGTCGGGCGGAAGACAGTCAGCAAGCCCACACGGAAGGAACACAACAATTTCGCTGGTCGCGCATCAGCGAGAATCTGTTTGCAACAACAGGTCGCCCTGGCAACCAAGTGAAAGTTTTCCACATGGGTCACCATCAGGTAGGTCATTTTTAGTCAAAAATTGAATCTTGTTTTTCTCAGCTTCAGTGATTTTGTTAAATACACTTACTTTTCCCTGGGAATGAGTGTCAGTTCTTTGGCATAAGTACTGGCACAAGGACAAGACAATTTGTTTCAATCAGTGTGAGTACTGGAACAATTATCTGAGTAATTCTCCCCGAGTCCATTTTAATGGACACCCATATTCCCGGGATTTTTTGCTGTCAACTCGGAGCAAGTGGTGGTCAATTCCTGCTGTAACTTAACACCTGCACATTAACCCTAACCCACTAGGCCCCTTTGGCTAGGAACCATCCTCAATCCTGCAAAATCCTCCAATTACCACCATGTAAAAATTGGATTCAGCCTCAATCCTGCAAAATCATTCGTTATTTCTTGAATTTGTTCAGTGGTGTGGTGACCATTGCCCCAATCCGAAATACTCCTCCATTCACTGCTTTGGGTTGAGTCTGTACCGATGACATTTAGAAGCAGTGCGGATGATATCAAGCATAATGCAGGGTTCCATTATGCATGGTTGAACATAAGGAATGCTGGGTACAGCCTGCAACCTCGACCCATTGCATTCTTCAAAATCAACTGGCACTTTTTGCCATTCATCCTCAATCCTCAAAAATCCTCCAAAACTGCAATGAGGATTTTGGAGGATTGAGAAGGGTCAGGCCAAAAAAAAAATAAGTCGGTCTCTGGTCAGCGCGCGCGTCGATTTTAATCAGCGCCCTCTATTTCCGCACCTCCTCAATTTTTTTTACCAAAGAGCACCAAGGAATGGGAAATTGCACCAAGGCAAATGATCGAAAGCACCAAGGCAAATTATGGAGGACACCAATGCACATGAGGACACCATAAAAGCAAAATAGTACCCCACCTTGTCTGTACAATCCAAGCTGGAAGAAAAAAATAAAAGCAAAAAAAAAAAAAAAAAAGCCGCTTGGCCGCGTCAATTCCGGAACTTTGGTCTGACCAGAGACCGAATATTTTTTTTTTTGGCCTTAGGGTTAATAGCAACCTGCGAATGCCTCTTGGCAAACGCTGGTCAAAAAATCATTACCAAACTTCTTTATCATCATGGCTTTCTGTTGTGCATTATGGTGTGCACCACTGTAAGTAAGCAGCAATAGAACAATGCCCCGGGCTCCAGTTCCAAAAACATGTACTCGACTAGACAAATCCAACTATCCTGCATTCAAGTGAAATAAGTTGAGATATGGTCATCCATAGTCCTCCTTCAAACCTACTCTAGGCAGTCAAGAAAACACATGAATGGACTGTACATGTATTTCACTTTCTGTGTCGTTATTCCCAGGTCCCTGTAAGCAGCGAAGTACCAGTTCTCGGTGGTCTGACTTGGCATGCATTCCTGCCCATCTGTGCGGTAGGTGGAGACAGAAAAATCCACGTCTGGATCACGGAAGCATGAAACTTACGTCAATGTTAAGTGCAGAGGATTGGATTTTATGCATAATGTTAGCTTAGCCTTTGTCTGCAGTACAATTGGAGAGTCATTGCCAACCTAGTGGTTAACATTTGGTGAATCTGCAAGTGGAGGGTTAGGGGTTCGAATCCAGTTGCTGACCTTGTGTTGTCCTTGGGCAATATACTTTACCCAAACTTGCCCGTCTCCAACTTATGAGGTATATCTTGGTATATATCCTGGCATTAGTTGGGTAGTAACCATTTATTAATTTGAATTTAAAGTCAGAAGAAAAGAAAAATTTTGTTATTTCAATTGGATAAACACGGGCCAGAAAATGTTAAATCATGTGCTTGGATACTGTAATTTCATTGGTTTAGGACGGTCACGTGTCTGGACAATACACTGAGGGCGATGCGTTATAGCTTATGCCGACGTGTTATAGCTTTGCGCAATGAGAACTGCGACATCAAACGCTCAGTCTCATGTCCGGCAGATGTCAAAACCTTCAGTTATTCAAAGTTATATCACACCGATTTAATTTATTTCCCACACAGTAAGTAACAACCGTTTATCTTTTTGAGTCATTGGCACGATATAACCAAACAATTGTTGACTGCTCTGATGTGGGATATGCCGTTTTTTAACCCCCTCTGGCTGCATAGCTTTGCCTCGGGTGCAATGCACCCCTCTGGTATTAAAAACATCATATCCCACATCACAGCAGTCAACAATTGTTAATTGGCCTGGGGCAGACTACACATTTGGTAAATATATATACTGTACATGTAGACAAAACTTTGTATGACATCCATTGAGAGCATAGAGTTGTAAGAAAATGTTTATTGTTAAATTTTGGAAATAAAACCGCTGAGAACAAAGCATTGGAATACAGTTTCATTTAATTGGGCAGTTTAGGGGTTGCTTGCTTAACACTCTTGTGAACCCTTTTTATTGTCATTGAGCTGTGGTTTGGTAATCAATAGATTTTGCTATTGCCCACTTTTTGAAAACAAATCGCCAAGGCTTCCCCATAAAGATCGTGATAATTTTTTTTCACACATTCTGTGAATTTTAATGCTTCATCGCCCATATTGATGTGGATATTTTTAATTGGTCATCAATCCCTTTACTTCCCAAAAATTATCTTGCAATTTTGTAACTATTCCGAAAATGCAAATGTTTTGCTTTTCTCTACATATATTCTTGGATTTTATTCCAAAAAGTATGGAAGGGCATGAAAGTTAAAACCAAAGTTAAAAAAAAATTTGCTTTGGTGATAAAAGATAGTGTACTCAAAAATTCTGAGTTACCTCTACAACAATTAAAAGATATTATTCAAGGAATTGGATCTTTTGTTCTCTATTTCTAAGACGTTTTATCAGGCATGATCATCTTCCATCGTTTAATTACACATCCAAAACTTCATTGTGTTTCATATAATAATATTACACCCTTAAGATTCTTTTAGATAAATGAACAATATGATTTAAAAAGTCAATAAAATATATGTTTAGGATAAAACGGAGACACTCCGAGACACCAAAATTGTTAATCAGAGTAAAAAAATAACGTGACCCCTAAAACACCCTTTTCGACCAAAACAAATCTCTACTTTCATTCATGACATCATTAATTCTGGTCAACGCCCTCCTGTGTTCATCTTGTGTGTGTGTGCAGTCTGGACATGGCGAGATGTCAGCGTCTCCAAACCGAAATACGTCAAAGAATGCTTGTGCTCTTCGAAAATAATCGCCTTTTTTCACTTTTAAATTTTACTTTATATGTTTCATCAATAAACGAAAAACCTACTTGTTCTATTTTGGACGTCTGCAACCTGAGGAGAAAGGATTTTATTTTGGAATTGCTTTTGCGCCAAAATGCAGACACGACCTAAGCCTGAATTCTTCTATAGTTGGGCAGCAAGTAGTTCGAAATATAAATTATTCCGGAACTTAAAGATTTGGGTTTCGGTCGATGTCCTTTTCAAAAAGTGAACAACTGTTGTATTGTTAGAGAAAATTACCCCAAAAAGTCTATTTCTGGGGTCGAAAATCGAAAGTCGTGCGAACAGTACATCGTTAATAAATTTGATTACACTTGCTATCCCTCAAAATTATAACATTAATGAATGATGGTTTATAGCTCAATGGTTTGAATTATATTTCGACAGCAACAATCAGTGCAATTACGAAGGCATGCAGTACAGCACCTGCTGGCCTGCCAACTTTTCGTCGGTGAACCTGCCCACGATTTTGGACACAGCAACTGGCGCGGTGCAGTCGGCCGGAATGGTTAGTCCGGAGAAGTCGTTCTCCAAACACAAGGTCCACTTGCCGTGATACAGGCCGATAACGGGCAGGGCTTTGTCCTCTGTAAGTTCACTGCAAAAGTGAAATGTCTCCGAGGGATCGTCTACCGACAAACGGACAACATTTTAATGTGGTCGTTCGATGTCTCTTGAGAAGGTTTATCAGAGGCAAAACTACTAAAATCTTTCCATCATGGCCAATTGTATTCTCTTTTTTTCGGGTAGCCCAATAGCTCCATGACCTATTATCCAAAAGAAATACGAGCAGCGTATTTTGCAGTACAGTATCATCCCCAAAAAGTGTCCGTCTGACTATTTGGAAATAAAAATAAAACCATGAACTTCCCGTGAAGTTTTGAAAATGTTTGATTGTGCTCCTTATCCTCGGCCTAAACCCCTATGAGTTTCATTTAATTTCGGTTACACATCACTGTACAATGGTCAATAATTGATCTCAACAATATTGTTGGACACTGTGACCAAGTTCCTTGCCTTAATCCATTTCAGTGCTGTGTTGTGTAAGCTGTGTGAAATCCCGTGTGTTGTGAAAAAAAGGCTGATGTGGTTTGGGATTGGAATCATTTGCCCTTGAGCATTCAACTGAGGTCGTGCCATGATGACTGATAGCCAGGCAAATGATTCCAATCCCTTTTTTCACAACATGTAGGATTTTACAATACTTACAATAACACGGCACTGAAATTCATTAAGACAATGAACTTGGTCACAGTGTCCAAAAATGTTGTTGTGATCAATTGACAATTGTGCAGTGATGCGTGACGGAAATTAAATAAAACTCCTTATGGGTTTAGGCCAAGGATAAGCTAGGAGTATCTGCACAATCAAACATTTTCAAAATTGACCTCCAGGTTCTGTAGTTACAGTGTATTTCAAAAAAAAGTCAGACGGACACTTTTTTTTGGGGGGGGGGGGGGACACACTGTATGTTGCGAAGTTGTTGCTTGTTTGTTGGGGCTGTTGGGGTGTTGGGGTGTTTGTGTGTTTGTTTGTTTGTTTGTTTTTTGGGGTGTTTGTTTGTTTGTTTTTAAGTTGATTGATCAATAATGGATTAATTCTTCTAATATGTGTCATCGGTTTTGGACAATTCTGAGCTGGATTTTCGTTAAACATAAACACACGCGGAACAGTGTTTTCCTGCTTTTTGGGGGCGTCCCAACAAGAGTAATTTGCCTACCTTGATCGAAACGAACCTTCAGGCCTAAAGTCGCCACCTTTGCGCCAAATTTGAGCTCGTAAGGATCCTTAGTGTATTCCAACACATCTGTTAAAAAGATGTTTAAAAAAAAACACCCAAAAATACATTTGTAATAGGAGCAGGATAGCTAAAATGTGCCTACACCCATACACCCGCAATATCTATGAGGGAAAAATATTATTCAAATATTTTCAGATTCAGCTGAAGAATGCTTTCCACTGCACTTTTATTATTTTTGTAAACACGTGTATTGAATTTCCAGTAAAAGCAAAAATATTAAATTATAAAAAAAATACACACGTTTTCCACCTATCAACAAAAAATTACACCCCCCCCAAAAAAGTGTAACAAACAGACCAAAAATAAGTAAGATTTGAGGCTTTGCATGGTGGAGATAATAAATAATGAAAGGTTTGCGGAAACACCATGTGCGAATAATTTCTCAACTAAGAGAATGGTTCTGAAAAGAACCAGAGGTATAAACTCGACGTTCCGGTCAGTATGCTCTGACCGTCTTCAGGGGAGTGCCTAAACTTTAAGAAAGTAAACACTTAAATGGACCAAAAATAGGAATTAAAACAAGAAAATACAAAATGTATGATGGAATTTTTGAACTCCAACTTTCGCTGCCACGTTGCGGCTCTGTCTAGACTTACTCAAGAAAATCAGAGAACTAAGCTCAGTTTCTTACGGTCGGTGGTTAACGGAAGCCCTTTGACTGGGGAGAAGTGGCCGCTGAATCGGTGCTCGCACTCCGACAGCGCGTCGTTACATTCCAAATTCATCTCGTAAAATTTCTGTTATAAACGGAAAGGTAAAGAAATTTAAGAGACAATCCATTTAACATCTAAATGACAACTTTTAACAAAAACTGGTTACCCCCCCCCCCTCCTAATCTGAGGATCAGATATTCACGTGTGCAGGGAGCCACGGTCGAACGTCTGATCATCCTAACATGCAAAATTGTATGCAAGCCCCGTGCGCCAGCCTATCGAAGTCGACTTAAGAAACTGTGACGTCATTTCTATCAGAAATCGGACTAAGCAACATCATCGATGAATTGAGGACAGGAACCAAATCGAGGACTCCTCGGTTGGAAAACGTATACAAAACCAATGAGAGCTGTTGCAAAAAAGTTAAAGAGTATAAACAAAGAGAAAGGGAAGGGGAACAATAGAAAATCCTCGATTAATACCATAAACAAACGTGGGGGTGTGTGGGTGTGTGAGTGGGATCTGATACTCCGTGCCCTCTGGAGACGTGCACACAATAGGGAACAACAGATTGTATACGTCTCCACAGGGCAATTTCTAAAGATGAATACGTCTCCACAAGGTTTTCACAAAATATAGATATATGGATTTTACTCAAAAACTAGGAATTTCCAAGGTGGGTTGATCGGTCAAAAATGGAAGAGTTTTAGAAAAGGGATATTAAGTCCGAATTTCAGCCAAGGAAATTAATTCTGGTTAAAATAAGAGCATTTTGAAACTTCACTTTCAAACTCGAAAACTTTACTACACGAGAACAAAAAAATGTCTCCACAAGGAAATTTCAGTATGTGTGTTTTTGGGGAGTTGAAAACTTTCGCAGACAAAGAGAAAGAACTTGTTGAATCCAAAAAAAAAGAAAGATTAAACAAAGGTATATGTTGCCCAAAGCTGGTCAACAAACCAATACCTACAAGTTTTGGGCAAATTCTTCTTAAAAGTTTGTCAATTTTTATCCAAATTATTAATTAACCAACAATATTACTGAGGTAGTTTCAATACTGTTTGGCAAATAGCAGGTTTTTACCAACGTTTTTTTTTAACGGGGTTGTTTTCTTGTAGTTTTAATCAGTACCGAAAGACAAAGGGAGTGCAACTTAAAAGGGGCCTAAAAATACAATTCTTACCAAACCTTCGTAGGAATCATCATTACCAACGGGCCAGTTTCCATTCGCCGAGCCAAGAAAAGCCAGGGAGAACAGAGCCAATAATGTGAACATGATGAAAGTTGGAAAATGTTATCGAAATACAACACAATTTACAACACAACTATCGAAATACAACACATTTTTTTTCCAAGTGAGTCGAACCGAACAGTGCAGGGCTTCGAATAGTGTGCTTCGGTTTGACGTCATCAGTCAATGTAAATTTATCGCTTTTAATATTTTCCAGGTGCAATCGTATGGCATTATGCCGTACGTTGTTTGTACTTTCCATGTGCTATTTTTTTGTAGGCGGAGGTGTATTAGGATGCAATGGTTGGGTATTTCTGTGATTAAAGGGAATATACAACATATGCGAATATCTAAAAACAAAACTACCACATTTTAACAAAATACGTTACTGGCATGTTGGTAAATGATAAGCATCCTGTAAAATTATGGCACCTGGTGTGAAGTCGTTTTCAAGAAAAGTGGTATTTTTGTATAAATTTCCAACAGTGGTCGGCCTACCACCGTTGGAAAACCTGACTATTATTCAACTACTGCTCCAATTTACCATTTTTCTCAGTCCAAATGTTGTTTTCTATTGGTTATACATGTATGTTCATGAGCGGGTACAGGCCAGCTAGACTGGTTCTTTTACCATACAATTTTCCGGCATCTATAAATTGATCCATTTCATTTTTAGTGGAGTCAAGGAACCAGACTACTTGAAAATATTTGTTTTTCTTGGCTTTTCCAACATTTTCGAACACAAAACTTCATACATGTCAGTGGAACAATATTTGATCTATTATACTAACCCCTCATGAAGTTAATTTCTGAAAATTACAGCAAAAGCCAACGATGTACATTCCCTTTAAAGAATGCAATGGGTTATGATAACAAAGAATATTCCTCCGAGACAGCCGCATTACATGAATGATTATTCAGAATGGACAAGCCTTCTTGTAAAATGTATTCATCAATTAATTATTGAATATTAATAAGTGTAAAAACCTTGTATTCATTACCGACTTTATTTTATGCCAATGACAATTTCCTACCATATGTGGGGCAGCCATTTTGTGTTGGTGTTACGGTTGCTTACCTGCAAACCTCGTGCTCTTAAACAAATAATAATTTCTTGTACGCATGCACAATTTGTGTGTTTTGTTTTAACCAAAAAAAACCCCAACTTTATTCTGATTTTGGCGTCTGCAACCCTCTGGTATGAACCGCCCTGCAAGAGCAGAATTATTGTCGTGCCGCACAATCATTTAAATTTTGTAAAGAAACAATTCGATGACTTTGTCGTTGGATTTTGCAAATCAAACAATTTTAATCATGCTTTTAAAATGCTAGGAATATAGAAATTGAAAAAACTAAAACAAACAAAGCCCAATCTATTTTTTTTTCGGGGTGAAACTTGAGATAGCAAGTGTTATACAGCTTTAATAATCCGTCCACTTGTGTTTATATGGTCGAATATAGGATATATATTAATAAATGCAAGTTTTGTAATAATCCGGGTTATTAAAAATTTCAAACTACATGTACATGCATAATATTTTGGTAATGTATCTTTTACGGTCCGGATTAAGGTACTGCAAGGCAATGGGAATGCGATGGTCCCAAGACACCACGCATGTATTATCAGAGACTAATAAGAATAACGAGCAAACGGGGGAAGAGATGTATGGAGATCGGGGAAAAATGCAAAACAATCACCGTTTTGTGTGTTTATTTTATTGGGCACACTATTAGTCCCTTTTTTGAGACACTGTTGGACACAAAATGAGGGTGGCTTTAGAGTGGATAATAAACCACTATATGATACCCAAATTTGCCAAAACCAAACGGTGCCCTCCACCTGCAGGGGCGGATCCAGAAATTTTCACAGGGGGGGGGGGGGGGGGGGAAGGGATCATCGGCAAAAAAAAATCTGAAATGTAGACAGCTTTTTTTCCTCCGGACACTTAATACTGTACTTTCAATGGGGGCGCTGTTCAAATCCAACGATTATTAACACTATATCACAGAATAGTGTACATATACCCCCCAACCAAGCTGCCTCTGTCCGTATTTTGTGCAAAGGCGGACATTATTCCCAGTACAACAAATTGGATGTCAGAGCAGGGGGCGGGGGGGGGGGGGTCGCATTTGTTTCTATTTTTTTTATATTTTTTTTTTGACAGAGCTGTTTTTATTTTACCCCCTCCCCCTGATCCGCGGCTGGCCATGTCTCAAAAAGGCTCAGTACAGTGTTATGTGCTACTGGCATCCTATATCGGATGGTTTGGTAATCAAAAGATTTTGCTATTGCCCACTTTATGAAAACAAATCGCCAAGGCTTCCCCATAAAGATCGTGATAATTTTTTTTCACACATTCTGTGAATTTTAATGCTTCATCGCCCATTTTGATGTGGATATTTTTAATTGGTCATCAATCCATTTACTTCCCAACAATTATCTCACAATTTTGTAACTATTCCGAAAATGCAAATGTTTTGCTTTTCTCTACATACATTCTTGGATTTATAATAAAAAGTATGGAAGGGCATGAAAGTTAAAACCAAAGTTGAACAAAATTTAACTTTGGTGATAAAAGATTACGTGCTCAAAAATTCTGAGTTACCTCTACAACAATTAAAAGATATTCAAGGATTGAATCTTTTTGCTCTATTTGTAAGACGTTTAATCAGGCATAGTCATCTTCTATAGTCATCTTCCATTGTCATCTTCCATCTATTCCTACCTCCATGATCACACATCAAGACTTTTTTGTGTTTCATATAATAATATTACACCATTAAAATTCTTGTAGTAAAATGAACAATATTATGTTAAAAGTCAGTAAAATATATGTTTAGGATAAAAACGGAGACACTCCGAGACACCAAAATTGTTAATCAGAGTAAAAAAATAACGTGACCCCTAAAACACCCTTTTCGACCAAAACAAATCTCTACTTTCATTCATGACATCATTAATTCTGGTCAACGCCCTCCTGTGTTCATCTTGTGTGTGTGTGTGCAGTCTTGACATGGCGAAATGTCAGCGTCTCCAAACTGAAATACGTCAAAGAATGCTTGTGCTCTTCAAAAATAATCGCCTTTTTTACACTTTCAAATTTTTACTTTATATGTTTCATCAATAAACGAAAAACCTACTTGTTCTATTTTGGACGTCTGCAACCTTCTGAGAAAGGATTTTATTTTGGAATTGCTTTTGCGCCAAAATGCAGATTCGTCCTAAGCCTGAATTCTTCTATAGTTGGGCAGCAAGTAGTTCGAAATATAAAGTAATTATTCCGGGACTTAAAGATTCGGGTTTCGGTCGATGTCCCTTTCAAAAAGTGAACAACTGTTGTATTGTTAGAAAAATTACCCCAAAAGGTCTATTTCTGGGGCCGAAAATCGAAAGTCGTGCGAACAGTTCATCGTTAATAAATTTGATTACACTTGCTATCCCTCCAAATTATAACATTAATGAACGATGGTTTATAACTCAATGGTTTGAATTATATTTTCACAGCAACAATCAGTATACAATTACGAAGGCATGCAGTACAGCACCTGCTGGCCCAGCAACTTTCCGTCGTTCAAACTGCCCACGATTTTGGACACAGCAACTGGCGCGGTGCAGTCGGCCGGAATGGTTAGGCCGGAGAAGTCGTTCTCCAAACACAAGGTCCACTTGCCGTGATACAGGCCGATAACGGGCACGGCTTTGTCCTCTGTAAGTTCACTGCAAAAGTGAAATGTCTCCGAGGGATCGTCTACCGACAAACGGACAACATTTTAATGTGGTCGTTCGATGTCTCTTGAGAAGGTTTATCAGAGGCAAAACTACTAAAATCTTTCCATCATGGCCAATTGTATTCTCTTTTTTTTCGGGTAGCCCAATAGCTCCATGACCTATTATCCAAAAGAAATACGAGCAGCGTATTTTGCAGTACAGTATCATCCCCAAAAAGTGTCCGTCTGACTATTTGGAAATAAAAATAAAACCATGAACTTCCCGTGAAGTTTTGAAAATGTTTGATTGTGCTCCTTATCCTTGGCCTAAACCCCTATGAGTTTCATTTAATTTCAGTTACACAACACTGTACAATGGTCAATAATTGATCTCAACAATATTGTTGGACACTGTGACCAAGTTCCTTGCCTCAATCCATTTCAGTGCTGTGTTGTGTAAGCTGTGTAAAATCCAGCGTGCTGTGAAAAAAAGGCTGATGTGGTTTGGGATTGGAATCATTTGCCCTTGAGCATTCAACTGAGGTCGTGCCATGATGACTGATAGCCAGGCAAATGATTCCAATCCCTTTTTTTCACAACATGTAGGATTTTACAATACTTACAATAACACGGCACTGAAATTCATTAAGACAATGAACTTGGTCACAGTGTCCAAAAATGTTGTTGTGATCAATTGACAATTGTGCAGTGATGCGTGACTGAAATTAAATAAAACTCCTTATGGGTTTAGGCCAAGGATAAGCTAGGAGTATCTGCACAATCAAACATTTTCAAAATTGACCTCAAGGTTTTGTAGTTTTTTTGGGGGGACACACTGTATATTGCGAAGTTGTTGTTTGTTTGTTGGGGCTGTTGGGTTGTTTTTGTTTTTAAGTTGATTGATCAATAATGGATTAATTCTTCTAATATGTGTCATCGGTTTTGGACAATTCTGAGCTGGATTTTTGTTAAACATAAACACAAGCGGAACAGTGTTTTCCTGCTTTTTGGGCGTCCCAACAAGAGTAATTTGCCTACCTTGATCGAAACGAGCCTTCATGTCTACAGTCGCCACCTTCGTGTCAAATTTGAGCTGGTAAGGATCCTTAGTGTATTCCAACACATCTGTTAAAAAGATGTTTAAAAAGAAACCCCAAAAATACATTTGTAATAGGAGCAGGATAGCTAAACTGTGCCTACACCCGCAGTATCTCTGAGGGGAAAAATATTATTCAAATATTTTCAGATTCAGCTGAAGAATGCTTTCCACTGCACTTTTATTATTTTTTAAACACGTATATTGAATTTCCAGTAAAGCAAAAATATTAAATTATAAAAAAATCACACGTTTTCCACCCCAAAATAATTACACCCCAAAAGAAAAAAAAGTGTAACAAACAGACCAAAAATAAGTAAGATTTGAGGCTTTGCATGGTGGAGATAATAAATAATGAAAGGTTTGCGGAAACACCATGTGCGAATAATTTCTCAACTAAGAGAATGGTTCTGAAAAGAACCAGAGGTATAAACTCGACGTTCCGGTCAGTATGCTCTGGCCGTCTTCAGGAGAGTGCCTAAACTTTAAGAAAGTAAACACTTAAATGGACCAAAAATAGGAATTAAAACAAGAAAATACAAAATGTATGATGGAATTTTTGAACTCCAACTTTCGGTGCCACGTTGCGGCTCTGTCTAGACCTACTCAAGAAAATCAGAGAACTAAGCTCAGTTTCTTACGGTCAATGGTTTGGAACGGAAGCCCTTTGAATGCGGAAAAGTGGCCGCTGAATCGGTGCTCACACTCCGATAGCGCGTCGTTACATTCCAAATTCATCTCGTAAAATTTCTGTTATAAACGGAAAGGTAAAGAAATTTAAGAGACAATCCATTTAACATCTAAATGACAACTTTTAACAAAAACTGGTTACCCCCCCCCCCTCCTTATCTGAGGATCAGATATTCACGTGTGCAGAGAGTCACGGTCGAACGTCTGATCATCCTAACATGCACAATTTTATGCGAGCCCCGTGCGCCAGCCTATCGGAGTCGACTTAAGAAACTGTGACGTCATTTCTATCAGAAATCGGACTAAGCAACATCATCGATGAATTGAGGACAGAATCGAGGACTCCTCAGTTTGGAAAACGTATACAAAACCAATGAAAGCTGTTGCAAAAAAGTTAAAAAGTATAAACAAAGAGAAAGGGAAGGGGAACAATAGAAAATCCTTGATTAATACCATAAACAAACGTGGGTGTGTGTGGGTGTGTGAGTGGGATCTGATACACCGTGCCCTCTGGAGACGTGCACACAATAGGGAACAAAAGATTGTATATATCTCAACAGGGCAATTTCTAAAGATGAATACGTCTCCACAAGGTTTTCACGAAATATAGATAGATGGATTTTACTCAAAAACTAGGAATTTCCAAGGTGGGTTGATCGGTCAAAAATGGAAGAGTTTTAGAAAAGGGATATTAAGTCCGAATTTCAGCCAAGGAAAATAATTCTGGTTAGAATAAGAGCATTTTGAAACTTCACTTTCAAACTCGAAAACTTTACTACACGAGAAGAAAGAAATGTCTCCACAAGGAAATGTCAGTATGTGTGTTTTTGGGGAGTTGAAAACTTTCGCAGACAAAGAGAAAGAACTTGTTGAATCCAAAAAGAAAGAAAGATTAAACAAAGATATATGTTGCCCAAAGCTGGTCAACAAACCAATACCTACAAGTTTTGGGCAAATTCTTCTTAAAAGTTTGTCAATTTTTATCCGAATTATTAATTAACCAACAATATTACTGAGGTAGTTTCAATACCGTTTTGCAAATAGCAGGTTTTTACCAACGTTTTTTTTTTCACGGGGTTGTTTTCTTGTAGTTTTAATCAGTACCGAAAGACAAAGGGAGTGCAACTAAAAGGGGTCTAAAAATATTAAAAGACAATTCTTACCAAACCTTCGTAGGAATCATCATTACCAACGGGCCAGTTTCCATTCGCCGAGCCAAGAAAAGCCAGGGAGAACAGAGCCAATAATGTGACCATGATGAAAGTTGGAAAATGTTATCGAAATACAACACAATTTACAACACAACTATCGAAATACAACACCGTTTGTTTTTTTCCAAGTGAGTCGAACCGAACAGTGCAGGGCTTCGAATAGTGTGCTTCGGTTTGACGTCATCAGTCAATGTAAATTTATCGCTTTTAATATTTTCCAGGTGCAATCGTATGGCATTATGCCGTACGTTGTTTCTACTTTCCATGTGCAATTTTTTTTGTAGGCGGAGGTGTATTAGGATGCAATGGTTGGGTATCTCTGTGATTAAAGGGAATATACAACATATGTGAACATCTAAAAACAAAACTACCACATTTTAACAAAATACCTTACTAGCATGTTGGTAAATGATAGTCTAAAGCATCCTGTAAAATTACTGGCACCTGGTGTGAAGTCGTTTTCAAGAAAAGTGGTATTTTTGTATAAATTTCCAACGGTGGTCGGCCTACTACCGTTGGAAAACCTGACTATTATTCAACTACTGCTCCAATTTACCATTTTTCTCAGTCCCAATTTTGTTTTCTATTGGTTATACATGTATGTTCATGAGCGGGTGCAGGCCAGCTAGACTGGTTCTTTTACCATACAATTTTCCCGGCATCTATAAATTGATCCATTTCATTATTAGTGGAGTCAAGGAACCAGACTACTTGAAAATATTTGTTTTTCTTGGCTTTTCCAGCATTTTCGAACACAAAACTTCAAACATGTCAGTGTAACAATATGTGATCTATTATACTAACCCCTCAAATAGTTCATTTCTAAAAATAACAGCAAAAGCCAATGATGTACATTCCCTTTAAAGAATGCAATAGATTATAATAACAAAGAATATTCCTCCGAGACAGCCGCATTACATGAATGATTACGCAGAATGGACAAGCCTTCTTGTAAAATGTATTCATCAATTAATTATTGAATATTAATAAGTGTAAAAACCTTGTACTTATTACCAACTTTATTTTATGCCAATGACAATTTCCTACCATATGTGGGCAGCCTTTTGTGTTGGTGTTAAAGTTGCTTACCTGCAAACCTCGTGCTCTTAAAAAATAATAATTTCTTGTACGCATGCACAATTTGTGTGTTTTGTTTTACCAAAAAAACCCAACTTTATTCTGATTTTGGCGTCTGCAACCCTCTGATATGAACCGCCCTGCAAGAGCAGAATTATTGTCGTGCCGCACAATCATTTAAATTTTGTAAAGAAATAATTCGATGACTTTGTCGTTGGATTTTGCAAATCAAACAATTTTAATCATGTTTTTAAAATGCTAGGAAAATAGAAATTGAAAAACTAAAACAAACAAAGCCAAATCTATTTTTTTTTCGTGGTGAAACTTGAGATAGCAAGTGTTATACAGCTTTAATAATCTTTCCACTTGTGTTTATATGGTCGAATATAGGATATGTACTTTTTTTAATAAATGCAAGTTTTGTAATAATCCGGGTTATTAAAAATTCCAAACTACATGTACATGTATAATATTTTGGTAATGTATCTTTTAACATGTTTAAAGTCCGGATTAAGGTACCGCAAGGCCATGTGAATGCGATGGTCCCAAGATACCATGCATGTATTATTAGAGACTAATAAGAATAACATGCAAACGGGGGAAGTGATGTATGGAGATCGGGGGGGGGGGGGGGGGGAATGCCAAACAATCACCGTTTTGTGTGTTTATTTTGTTGGGCACACTATTAGTCCCTTTTTTTGAGACACTGTTGGACACAAAAGGAGGGCGGCTTTAGAGTGGATAATAAACTCAAATTTGCCAAAACCAAACGGTGCCCTCCGCAAGCAGGGGCGGATCCAGGAATGTTCGCGGGGGGGGGGGGGGTGGTGGGGTGTTCATCGGCCCAAAAATCTGAAATGTAGGGTTTTTTCTCCGGACACTTGGTCTCGGGGGGGGGGGGGGTAGTCTATGTAGAACGGGTGATACTCAGACTAGGGGGGGGGGGGGGGGGGCTCGTACCATACTTTCAATGGGGGCGCTGTTCAAATTCGACGATTATTAACACTATATCACAGAATAGTGTATAACCCCCAACCAAGCTGCCTCTGTCCGTATTTTGTGCAAAGGCGGACATTATTACCAGTAAAAAAAAATTGGGTGTCAGAGCGATGGGGGGTGGGGGGGGGTTCGCATTTGCTTTCATGAATTTCTATGGAAACCGTTTTTTTTTTACCCCCCCCCCCCCCCCTGATCCGCGCCTGGCCATATCTCAAAAAGGCTCAGTACAGTGTTATGTGCTAATGGCATCACTATAATTATTGAGGTGTAAATTTAGGGGTCTGGTGAAATAACCACGGACTTAGCCCATTCGTTGGCATTGCGGGGTTATCCTATACAATAGCACTGCCTGGTTGACAGTTAACAGTAAGCTGGCAAGTTAGTCAGTCAGTGAGGTATAAAGAGGACATGAAGCTGGCCCTCTGGGACCAGCAAAATATTGTTGGCCGGGGACAGACAACTTAATATAGCAGCTGTGAACATACATCAAGATAGTTGTATTCATTAACCTTTATTTTCATCCATTATTCAAATGACAGTACTTGCATATTTATGACCAAGCATAAGGTCAATTCAAGCGCTGCATGTAAGACCTTTATTCTGTTTATGTACAAAGTAGTCCCCAAAAAAGCTTACACTTTCTCAGAGTAAAATTTATCAAAATTGAAGACACAGGTTAAAATTATTTTTTTAACTACAAGATGTTCGTGGTATATGGTGAAAACAGCGTAAAAAAATAAAGCTCAAAGTACGAAATAGTTGCCATTTACAGGGAAATGATCAGAAACTAGTTTGTCCACATATATGGCAGTCATGTAGACCTAATTACAGTAATTGCAGTGCTATTGTTTTGACCATATCTCATAGACTTGCATATGGATAAATTGGTTTTTGACCATTGCCATTTCTTAATTTGGGCTCTTTTTTCAGAGCCGTTTTCACTATATATCATGAAGATGATGTAGTTTAGGAAAACCTTGAAACAATTTTAACATGTCTCCCGAATTCCAAGAAATCTGATCTGAAAAAGTGTAAACCTCTTTTTGAACCACCCTGTACAAGAACACATCAACTTTAACCCATTCGATTGCATGTTTCAAAATTTAAAAGTAAAAGGCAAAGATTAACTTTTCCTCTATTCTATGCATTTTAATCTTTCAACATGCATTTTGATTCAGAAGTTTTCACTGAATCATGTTCTGAAAACATTTTACAAAACAAATCACAGTTTCCCTGGAGATTTTCACTTCTCACAGATTTTTTTAAAATTGTAGACGTAAGACTTTTTGCTGGATTTTCAAAACTGTCCAAAGAAGCTGAAGCGGTGGCATTAATCCAAAATTGTTGACTAGCAATCATCTACACAAAATATCCAGAGTCACCTCAACAACAACAATTCTGCAACAGATGGTCCATTTTTGACAGCATGGTTATGCTTGCAGAAATCGGTCAGATTTTAAATTGATGGTGATCAGTTTGCAAGCCATGTCCTGGTTCAAACTTGGAAGTGAAATCCGCAGTGTCTCCTTGGCTGCAACCACTATGCAGGCACTTCATAAATTATCTATCCCTCCAAGTTTCTCAGTTCCTGGAAGACAAAAGAAGGACAATCCCAGTTTTTGCTTTCCACAGTTTCACACACCGTTGCGCAGAGATGATTCTCACCGCCATTTTGTGTCCAGCAACTGTTCATACACCAAACCACGACGGTACACCGCTTCGCTTCCGCAGCTGATCGTCCCTGACTTTCTGTCTGCCTTTGACTTCCTCGATCAATTCTTCGTCCGTTTTTTCCTCTTCCGTCTTGGTGAAGAGGTTCTCTGGAAACTGGAAGGTCTGACCCTCGCCCTGCAAGAACAGAGAAATGAGGCAAAATTACTCATATTAATTCTAACCCTGCCAGACGCAACACAGTGCATTGAGAAGTTGAAAAGTCTGGTCACTTTGATGCATTCAGCTATCAACACCAGTGCATAAATGGCCGCTTCTGAGACAATGAGGGCTAGTCCCATTGATAAATGCCACAGTTGTATCCTGCTGAATCTGGTGACCACGGACTCTGAGGCAGTTTGGCCTTGAGACTTTTGACCTGATGGATCTGGCTGCACTGGGCAGGCTTGTCATTTAGACAAGTGTTGCATGTTGCAAAGTTAGGCAGGGATTCTAGCCAAAACACCCTGGAATCACTTCCAAAAATCAAAATCAGGTTATCAAATATTTGATTACCTTTTCCTAGTGCATCAAGCCCCATGTAAAGAAACAAAGGCTCAACTGTAAATCTTAAAGCAATTCTGTGGTTGCACGATCTCACAAATCTCTGTTGTGAGTTGGTGAGTTTCTGAAAAAAACTGGGGAGAAAATCACCATTTTGGACGACATGCTCTGCCCATCGGCTGCCCCACTGATCGTCTCGCATCCCCTACCCCAACTTGGTCCCCTGCCCCAACCTGGTCTCCAGATGGGCACGGCATACTGTCCAAAACATTGAGTTCCCCCCGATTCTTTTCAGAACCTCACAAACTCACAAAAGAGATATGTTACATGGTGCTACCGCAAACTTATTTTATATACTGCAAAATCCTCTAAAACTTCTTGGAACATTTTTGAAGGATCTTGGAGGGTGTGGATGGATGTGTATCTACTTACCAGCGTGACATGCGCCAATTTGAAGTCATCCTTAGGTTTGTATCTCCTGTTTTTATGGTCCCGTTTGAATGCCACGTAGATGATATGTGTGTTAACCCTTGCAACGGGGACATTGTAGATTCTCTCCAGGTAGTTTTTGACGTCAAATTTTGTCATGCTAGGAGAAAAAAATTAAGTGTGTTGTCTCATAAATTCTTGGTGCAGCTTAAAAACTAAGTATTGCAACTTGCAAGTTTCGTTTTATTAAAACCCTGACCCTGCTCAATCCAACAAGATCCAACTATTTTACATATTTGTTGGGTCCTGTTGGACTGAGCAGTAAACCCCTTGTATATACTCCTGTTAGACTCTGTTGGATTCAGCAGGCAACTGAAAACATTCAGAGTCGGATTCTGTTGGGAACTGGTAAATAACCCTAAGTTGGACTCTGTTGGATCCAGCAGCAAACAGAAAAATAAGGCACAGTTGGATGCTGTTGGATTGAGCATGCCAGTCATTTTATATTTTCAGATACCCAACAACTGGGCAAGTTGGTTTGTGTGGGACTGTGTTGGATGGAGCAGGAAACTCATGTGGATATGCAGTCATAAACAGCTGTGTGTATCTATAGGCCTAGAACTTTTCGGCAATTTGTCAATTTTGTTGCTGGTTGAGTCTTCAGACCCAAGGGGAAGCCACTTCATCCCCACTTGCCTCTCTCCACCCAGGAGTACAAATGGGTACCAGCATTAGCTGGGGAGTAAGTGCAATGGACTAGCATCCCATCCACGGGGAACAGAAATACTCTCAGTTGTTTCATGCCACTGAAACCGGAGATAAACGCCGGCCTAGTGAGCCATATTGGCTTGTGACAGACTTTACTACTACTAGTACTACTACTTTTTCAGACCCAAAGTGCAATTGAAAATCATGGAATGACAGAAAGGTATGAAAGGGTTACCAAAGTAAAGAAAATAGAAAACATGGGTAGTTGGTGCCTCACATCCAAGGATTATTAATGTGTGATCATGGCTACTTACGTGACAGGACATTCAAATGTAACAACATTGGGTGGTCTTTCTTTGTCCGACTTCAGCAACTTTATGAAGAAATCCGTGAAGAACACTCGTCGCTGCGGATTGCCTTTGACATACAGTGGGTACCTGTGCATGGAGGAATTGAAAAGGAATAGTCTGCAGTTTCAGTTGTCCAACATTGCATAGATGCTTACAGATGGATTCTTCGAGGGAAATACAGAGCATACACCTATAGGTTTTACATATAACAGGATTAGGCCAAGTAAAAAAATAAAACAGGTTCTCGTCCCCGGCTGCTTCCTTTTTTCCGCCCTCCTCTCTCTCTCTTTTTTTTTTAAATTCATACAATTGCAATATATTTTGCAAATATATATTGTCAATATACTGTCTTTTTATCTGTTTCCAACACAATTGTAGCTATGTAGAAAGGGTTTCGGCTCTTTTGAACACAATTTTGTATCTCCAAAAAAAAAGGCGATAAAATGGAAGAGTCCATTTGCCATCTTGAAAGAAAAAAAAAAAAAAAGCGCCCGCCTCCATCATGATTATAAACAACCCGGACGAGAACTATTATTTTTTTTACTCGGCCTTAATTGATGGCTTGTTGTCCCTTGAAGCCAGTATTTTGGTTCTCTAAGTTTTTGTCCAAGCTTAGATAGATGAATTCTTCTCTTTCTGTCTTTCGAGTTTTGTGGGTGCCCCTGGGGTGTGTGACAATCCCCTGGGTATGGTAGCCAGGGAGACGGCGATGGTGGTCTCCAACTAGTTGCTATGGAAGAGTTGTAACAAAGTGGACAAAGTTTCAAAAAGAATAAACCTTTCCGCAATTTCATGAGATATAAATAAAGCAGATGAAAGCACACAAGTCTATGGGGGACGTGGTAACCGAATCCGAATCCGCATTCTGCCATTTTTCAAATTAGGCCAAAAAAGTAATAGTTCTGCTTTCGGTTATTCTACATGTACCTACCCTATTTTTACAGCCCCTACCCTAATTTTTTTGGGGGAAAATGAGGACAAAAAACTAGAAAATCATCAATTACTACCTTTTACCCTTGACTACACGCAGATACCTCCACATATGATCGTACATTAAAAAAATATTTCCCTACCTACCTACCCTATTTTCAAATGCCATGTTATCGGAAGCAGAACTATTTTTTTTTGGCCTTATCAAAAAAGAAGATGGAAACTTTTGTACGCACAAAACTTGTAGAGCATACATGTACAAAACATCTTAAACATGTTGAACCATGTCATGGTGCTGGGAAAAAAATGCATTTACTTCAAAACATTTCGTTGGTACCTCGTTACGATTTCACAATTGTATGGCAAATTGTTTATCTCTCGAAAATTCGTGGAATCATGATGTGTACACTACACGTGCGTTGAAATTGCGAATGCGATAATCAGTTAATCGTGTTAATTAGTTATTGACCAAAATACTTTAATGTAGGCCTATAATTATAAAAGCTTAATCTCTCTCTACAAAACTTGTTCTCCATTTCTTTGTAGGCCTAGTATTCATTCATTCATGTAATAAAAAAATCATGTTTAAAGGCTTGAGGAAGTTGAGGGCGCTATTTACTGTGAACGAAAACTAGGCCCTCGACGACTCCTGCAGTACAAAAAACTACAAATTCCCTTTAAATGATTTGAATTTAACTTCCGATTTAGATACATTATTGTCCTCTGTAAACCTACAACACTAAAACAACATATGCTATATACATTTATGAAGTTATTTACCTTAAAAACCGTGACATTTTATTCTAAAAAAACACGAGCCCCGCCAGTGTGGTTCCTTGCTCTATGCTCCAACCAACTACAGAGGGCGCTAAAATTGTAGTAGGTGGACCAAACGGCTACTTTATGTACCTCCTTTCATCAGATATATGAATATTGTTTAAACACCGGTGCTAACAATTATTTTTTTACTCTAAATATTATTTTAACATTAAAAGAGGCATGAAATAAAGATCTGAGACCCGAAAGTATTTTAAAAACGAGTTTGTCTAATACTTGATGAATTGAAACATTAAACAGTCAAAGAATCTATGGAGTGCCATCGGTGTCATGTCAAAAAGTGTCTGGTGCGAAATATTATCCATTGATTAAATTGTCATGCCTCGATGACTGTTGCCGGAAGTGTAAATATTTGCCGAGTTGTAGTGACCCCCCCCCCCCTCCTCCTTTCCGTCTTTATTTTTTTATATTTGTTCTTGTTCTTTTTTTCCCTTTTTCCAGGCCATTCAATTTGAATTGAATTTAAACTTTTAGTATACCAGAGATGTGGGATACCTATAAACAGTAGAAAACACTGCAGCTAGGTACTAGAAATCGAAAATGCTGCAAAAATCCAGCAAAAAATCTTGCGAAAGGAAGGCACCAGAAATAACAATTTTCTGTGAAAGATTGCAAAAATACATCAAAAAAATTAGCATCGGAGATAAACCGTGAAAATGATATTAAAAAGCTGGGAAAATATATTTTTAAAAAAGAGAAAAAAATATTAGCTAGTGTGAGTAGTGTAATATATAACCCTGAACACACGCTATCTCGGCTGCGCTGCCACTATTTTGCGCCGGACACTTTTTGCGTGACACCAATTGGCTGCTCACTTCATAATCACTTCGCCCCACGACCACTTTGTTAATTGCTACTTCGCCCCCTCAAAACTTTGCCCCAGTTAACATTATAAATACGTGTACTTTTATTGCTTGAACGAAGTGTCAATGGGGCGAGATGATTATCTGAGAGAGTATTAATGGGGCGAATTGTGGTCTGAACAAAGTGACCGAAACCGACACCGCCTTCATTATCATTGTAAATTCGTAGAATTATGTATACTCTATTGATCACTGATAAATTCTAACTTCACAGTATCATAAGCATAAGCAGGGTTAGCTTAAATAACTTGTGAAAGGTTGTCTTGTTATCGTTTCAATGTTAAAGAAACATTGAAGTGAGTGGCGCCGTCCCGCATGAATTTGGGTCGCATCTTCTGCAATTGCAACTAAACGCAGACTGTGCAAAAAAGGATTCCTTATTTTGTGATCATCTCTAAAATTGGTTTGTCATCACTCCGATTCTTGAGATACTTCATCCACAATCATTTGCAAGGTAAGATAACGAAAAAATGTTGCAACCTGACGCCAGTTTTTTCTTCATATATCATCTCAATGAAGGTCATTCATTGCAAAAATGATTGATTATTGATGTCACGCCCCAACTGTCGCATCGGTCCCAACTATAGTTGGGCCTGTCCCAACTATAGTTGGGCCTGTCCCAACTGTAGTTCCACAGTTGGGCTGGCCCAACTATAGTTGGGCCTGTCCCAACTATAGTTGGGACGGTCCCAACTGTAAGTTCCACTGTTGGGCTGGCCCATCTATAGTTGGGCCACTCCGATCTTTTTATTTTGCGGTGTCCCAACTATAGTTGACATTGATGTACAACTGTAAAACGTTCCCTACAGCTCTGATACACGTCTGACTTTACTGGGGACCACTGAAATTAGTTATTGATGGGGCGAATCTATAGTTGGGCCACTCCAATCTTTTTATTTTGCGGTCCCAACTATAGTGTACATTGTTGTACGATTATAAAACATCTATACTACAATTCAAGGAATCTCTGTCTGTCTGTCTGTCCGCCGATTATCTCCAGAACCGGGCACCGTATGAAGTTGAGAATCGGCGGGTGTATTTCTCGGGGCCACAGAATGTGCAGTGCCAAGTTTGAAGTTTTTTGGAACAGCGGTTCTCGGTTCTCGAAAAAGCTGCAAAAAAGCAGTATTTTCGGAGACAAACGTGGCAGCTTAGAACATAACACCACGCACTGCCGTTCTTTTCAATTGTTTACGTCATGTATAGGCTAAAGCGCGCGCGCTCAATATGACGCAAACAATGCACGGACACGCGCACGTGCAGTGGTGTAGGCCGACACATTGTCCAGTACGGGTGAATAGCACTGCATACCATGTTTTCGTATGTACACGGGCACATTATTTTTGCAGTCGACTGAGCGACCATTGTAGGTGGTCGAACTTCAAACTTGGCACAAACTTTAACGTAAGTGTGCGTTCAACCTGTGAAAACAACACCATTGAATCGCGTGCGTTGTTTGCACGAGCAGTTCTCCAAAACTCTGCAAGTATGCAACCTATACCAGCGGCAAAGCAATTTGCGCTTCCCGAACATGCACATTTTAGACGGGCACTGCACTAGTTCCCTACAACTCTAATACACATCTGACTTTACTTGGGACCAATGAAATTATCTATGGGTGGGGACCATCTGTAGTTGGGCCACCGCAATATTTTTATTTGGCGGTCCCAACTATAGTTTACATTGATGTACGACTATAAAACATTCCCTACAGCTCTGTTACATACTGTCCGACTTTACTTGGGACCTTTGACATTAGCTATGGGTGGGGCCCATCTATAGTTGGCCGGCCATGGCAATCTTTGAATTTTGCAAAATGTTGCTGGACAATAAAACCCAGCAGCAGCTGGACAACTCATCCAACTAGGCAGTACCACGTGACCGGCCAGCCTTGCGGCATGCATGCACGACGAATACACGGTGCCAGCGCCGCGGAACATCAAGTAATCCAACAAGATCTATCAAGCATGAAGCATCCGGCGCAACTCCAGTCCTAACTATAGTTGGGCCGACCCAACTGCCGCACTATAGTTGGGACAGTCCCAACTATAGTTGGGACCGATGCGATAGTTGGGGCGTGACATTGATATGAATCTGGGCATGAGAAACATTTTCAACTTTGTTAGGAAATACTTAGAAAATTTTCTTGACTCCCCATAGACTTTGTACACAACCGCTGAAGCGGCGTCAAGTTGCAACATTTTTTTCCAAGATAGCATTAGGACTTGTATTTAATTGTCCGAAGTGCAGTGAAGTTCTAAACAATCCAAATTATTATCAACATTTCGCAGTTTAATTTGTCATGTTTGTAATGTTGCCATTCCTCCTCTCCCCTCCCCCCAATTCCCAAGCCAATCCTACGTCATACCAACCCTTATTTTGATATATTATAAGCTCTTTCACCAAATTTGTAGTTTTGAAATTTCATTGGAAAGAATGTTAGGCCTACAACCTGATGCCACTTTTTTTTCTTCCTCATATAAATCATATATCATCTCAATGAAGGTCATTCATTGCTAAAATGATGATAAAGACATGAATCTGGGACTGAGAAATATTTCCAATTTTGTTAGGAAATACTTTAAAAATAAAAGGATTGACTCTCCATAGACTTTGTACACAACCGCTGAAGTGGCGTCAGGTTGCAACATTCTTTCCATTTCATTAATTTTTTCCCTTATTTTTAATGAAATAAACCACAGAGACAAATGAATTTTGTTTTATAGGCCTACTTGATTGCGGCTGACATGGGTTGGCTGTTTTTTGACATGTATGACTATGACCTAGTCCATGTGTTTTTTGGTTGTAATATTGTGGGTTTTTTTGTTTTTTGTTTTTTAAATAAATAGACCTAGTCCCCCTATTTAACAATACAGTTTTTACTTTGTAAAGCTGACCACAATTTGGCCATTGGCATTGCCATTCTGTGGTTTTGAAGTAAGAAAATCATGAAAAAGAACAAAACTAAACAGGATACCACATCAATCAAAAATGGTGAAATAGTTAAGATATAAATGCTTGGTGTAACAATGCTTACATAATGCCCCCCCCTCCAAAAAGGGAAAGAGTGTAGTATCCAGACGCCATTTCTTTGGTTGTGTACAAATCTGTGGAGAGTCGAGTGCATTTTCAAAGTGTTTTCTAACAAAATTGGAAAGATTTCTCAGTCCAAGCTTTTTGTTTGGTGCCCCCACCGATGACTTTTACACAAATTGCACGTTCGGGTCGAAACAGGACCTGAAAAATAGCTCTCAAAAGTACCTTTTGTATTCATTTCATGACAGAAACAATAGTCGTTTTTATTTCATCACACCTTAGGCTACATATACCCGAAAAATGACGGAAATGTCTTTGAGCATTCCACAACCTCTTTAAAACCAATGCAGGATTTAGGAGTAATTTGGAGGGGCTCGAGAAACAAAACAAATGTACTTTTCTTATGATAATTATCATACATGATTCATACATATTTTTTTTCACAGGCATCCCTTTCTCTTTGAGCAAGCTCCCATGATGTGATCACACACTGCACAGAGGTCTCTGAGCATCCAAGCATGTCTTCAACGGAGTCCAGCTCAGGCCTGGGCCAAGGCCAAGGCCAAGGCCAAGACCTTAGGCCAGGCAGCGGCAATGAGCAACTCTATCAGTTATGGATGCTCTACACCAGTACGGTATGTGTTCTCAAGCATTAATGGTGTCTGTGATCCAATATGCAGAGTTGTAATTGAGTCATCATAAGCCATCATATGTCAATCACAAGTCATCCTAAGTGATCACAAGTCATCACAAGTCAGTCATAAGTCTGCTGTAGTCTTCAATTGTGAAGTTAGCGCTTAACTGGAAGAAGAAGTCAATGTATGCTCGAATATTGTGTCTGTGATCCAATATGCAGAGTTGTAATTGAGTCATCATAAGACATCATATGTCAATCACAAGTCATCACAAGTCATCACAAGTCAGTCACAAATCAATGTATGCTCAAATAACGTGACTGTGTTCCAATCTTCAGGGCTGTAACAATGCCATATCAAGTTAATCACATCAGTCACAAGTCAGTTTATGCTCAGATATTGTGTCAAGGTTTTGATATCGTTTGTCAATCACAAACCAATCACATTTCAATTTGGGCATTTCACAATGCAGTGTGCCACCAAGAGTTTACCACAGAGAGTTCATTTTTCCCAGTGCATTGTGGGAGATGGTCGACAAATTTGCAGTGCGGGACATTTCAAATTGTTAGTTTTTCCGGTCATTAGTTTCGTAAGTGTATGATTCGAGTATATGTTTGCGCTTTTCTTTATCAATTTTTTTTTGTAAGGTGGCAGAATGCTATGCCCCAATCTATAACAAATCAGCTCAAGTTGTCTACTGACACTCATTCAAATTGGCCGTGTTTTGTCGACCGTAAACTTAAAAAATGGACTCTCCATGGCAAACTCTTGGTGGAGCACTGCATTGTGAATCGCCAGAATTACAAGTCAGTCGCAAGTCAACAACACATCCATCAAGTCATCCACAAGGCAGTCACAGGGTAATCAGAAGTTGCTCACCAGTCATCATTTATGTTCCTGTTGTCTTAATTTTCAAACCATTTGAAACACATTCCTGTTTCTTTTGTAGTCGGACGTGCAGTTCTTCAGGCAGTATCTTGAGAGGTTTACAGAGGACTACAACAGAGAAATAGACCTGGAATTCAGACATCTTGAAGAAGGGTAAGTTAGCAGAAGGGTCCGACATTGCAAAACATTTATGGGTTTTTTCGCAAAATTTACAAAAACTCTTTTTTGTGTTTGGACTTAATTACAATGTATGTTCAATCCTTTTTTTCAGAGGGTAGCTTATTTATATGAAACACGTCCATGTTTTATCAAGTTTATGGTTTCCATGGCAATGCGGGAGGTCTTTTTTGTACAATCAATCGTACAATCAGACAACTGAAAATGCACGATCGATATTTTTTTAAACACTCAAACGTACCAGTCTATAACACTGTTGTTTTGCATTTCAACAAAATAATGGGAAAGATTCCCTTACCAGGCCATCACTATTTTTTTCCCTGCAGTGACCTATAAGCCATCAGAAAGTGATAATATGTCGTAAAAAGTCAAATTTACCAGGGAATATATTGAAGCATTTACTGAGAAAACACTCAGAAATTTTCAGACAAGCTTCATAGGGTTTGTGCACAGGGTGACCAGTGATGTCCAGGTATGGAAATCTTTCCAAGTAATGCGAAAAAATACGCAGGGCTGGATGGCTCAATTTGTATACCACTAGTAAAAGATTCTGGAGGTCACATGTTTTATCTCCACTAATTAGTCAGTTAGTCACTAATTATCTCAGGAATCCGAGCTTGAATTTTTAATTGGGAGGCCATTTAGCGTTAAAATGCTTAAAAATTTGCTCAAAAAGGCCACCGTTAATTTTAACAATTTGCACTGTTTCAGAGAAGCCTTAACCATGGAAAATAATGACCATTTTAGTATTGGTGCCCTCTATGATATCAATCTCGACAATTTTCTGTCGTCAACTAGAAATTGTAACTGTTAAAACTTGTTTTTAACAGACAACCCTTAGAAGGGCCAGGAATGGCCAAGCTGCCTGGGAACATCTTACAAGTCATGACTAAACAGCTGGACGGGTGTGCTCAACAGTGTGCTGAGAGTGAGAGTAGCACCGTGTCACAGGACACCATCGACTTTGCTGTGCAGATAGTGCAGGCACTGACTATCATTTGCAGGTAGGAACGTAGCTGGTGTTATCAGTCACTGGAATCTTTGAGATCTTATTTCTACTGAAGTTAGATAAAGATATCAAACAAGGGAGAAACTTCTGTATTGAGTCGATAAGTGCAAAAAAAAGGGGGGGACTTTTTTCTATTTATATGTATATTGGAGTTTGGCTTGGAAAGGAATTTTGTATAATTTTGTTCCAAGTTTAATACTGAAGTTTTAATATCACCAACACCAAAATGAGATTATATTACCCAGATTCAAACGTGGCCTCTGACCACCCGGCAAGCTCGGTGGTCGAGTGGATAAGACGTCTGCACTAGGAATTAAGCGGTTATGGGTTCGAGTACAACCATAGGAAGCTGGTGAATTTTCGTTACAAGTTGTCAGAAGGCACTGAATATACAGTGTTCATAGAATTACATTGGTTAAAGTTACATGTTCGTGCAGGTTACCCCTTCATTAACCCTAACCTTCCCAAATCCTCCAAAATCCGCTTTGCAAAATGGAGGATTTTGCAGGATTGAGGCTATATGGCAAAAATGTGTGGCTGATTTTGGAGGATGCACTGTGTCAAGGTCTTGGGCCACACCTTATGTTGTTTATGCTCAGCTGTTCAGAAAATTAGGCCTGCTTGTAGATTATACTTGAAATCCACTGTTCCAGGATATCACTGGCTCTGCCTCAACATATTGAAAGTGATTGCTGGAAGATTTTGCAGGATTGAGGCAGTGGTCACCCCTCCAAGGACCACATTCAAGAAATAACGGAGGACTTAGTAGGATTGTGGCTGTAAGCAATTTTAACATGCAGGCAGTAGGAGGATTTTGCAGGATTGGGGATGCATCCTAGCAAAAAATGCCTAGGGAGTTAGGGTAAATATTTGGATTTGGTACTTACAGAGTTTTTCAACTGTTTGTTTTATTTTAGGCATCATGATAACTTGGCCTTGGTTGCATCGTGCGAGTACCTGAAATACATTGTTCCCATGACATCCAACATAATAAAGAAGATGACTGCTGCTGATGATTGGGTATACATTCACATTTTATTTCAAAAATATGTTCAAAGTAAGAAAATTGGAGGGAAAAAACACAATTCTCAGATATTAATATGTATTAAATCTATATTGCGTTTGTCGTTTTTGGAAAAAAAATTGATTTCTCTAGATTTTGTGCATCCCTTAAGCCTATGTATAAATTACAAACAAGCTTATCAATACCATGTTGTTTATTGTGTGATTTGAGCATCATAGTTATATAGACCGAATTTATCATCATATGTTCAAAACAGCAATCACGTAAAGTTCATGTTCCATCCATAAGGGTTGGTGATTCGACCATCCTGCCATCTAATCAAGTCAGAAATCTGGGCATTATCTTAGATTCATCTCTATCCATGGAACCTCACCTTACATCAATCTCTAGATCAGTCTGCATGTCGATTCGTAACATCGGACACGTACGAAAATATCTTGACAAACACACAACTGAAATACTTGTTCATGCTTTCATCACATCCAAAATCGACATGGGCAATTCACTATTGTATGGCATTAACCTAAATCAACTAAACCGTTTGCAGCGACTACAAACTAATCTCTCTCACTAGTAAACATTCTCACATCACTCCTGTACTAGCAGATCTCCACTGGCTTCCAGTATCATAAAGAATCAAATACAAACTTGGCCTATTCGTGTTCAAAATCCTCCACAACAATGCACCGGAGTAACTCATCAACCTCATCCACCCCTACTCAACAGCACGCAATGGACTCCGCTCCAGTGAGCTCATGATGCTTCACGAGCCCAGGACCTCCACTCTTTGGGGTGGCAGATCCTTTACTGCAGCATCAGCCCGAGTGTGGAACCAAGTCCCTCTGGCTATCAAATCATCTCCATCCATCACAACATTTAAGACAAACATAAAATCTCACCTGTACAAACAAGCTTACTCTCACAACACACAATCCTAACTTGACTTTCTCCTCAAGCGCCATGAGCGCCTTTTTTAGGCGGATACCGGCACTTTACAAATGTTCTTTATTATTATTATTATTATGTATAGTCTGAACTGGGTCTCTGCTTGCAGATGAGTTGCAGTGAAGATGGGGACCGGTCTTCCATGGTGTCCTACATCACTCATGTGCTTCATCTGTTTGAGTGCATGTATGACCCCTACCACGTTTGGCGTAAGCAACACAAAAAGTAAGTACATCACAGTTAGGTACATATTTACACAGATCATCACTTTTTGGTTAATTCCTTAAGACCAATCCTGGCACACTATCAATTCCATCACGAAGGCCCCCTTCAATGGCGAAAGCATTGTGCTAGCTATTGTTTAGATAATCCGTCCCGGCGCAGTTGCTTTGTACAATAGCATGTACAATGGTCACTCCATTGAAGGGGGCCTCGTGTGTGTACAGCAATCACATGCCCAGATTCGTGTATACAGAGAACTGTAAATATGCTTATCTTATGTAAATGCTGAGCATGCTTATTTTTGAACTAACATGTAAGTAAACAAAAAATAAAGTCTGTCCCGAGCCAATGTGGCCCATCAGGCCGGCGTTTATCTCCGGTTTCAGTGACATGAAACGACTGAGAATATTTCTATTCCACCTGGATGGAATGCCAGTCCGTCGCAGGTTACTCCCCAGCTAATGCCGGTACCCATTTATACTCATGGGTGGAGAGAAGCAAGTGGGGATTAAGTGGCTTGCCCAAGGACACAAGGTATGGCAAGCAGCTGGATTCGAACCCCTGACCCTCTGATCATGATTCGCGAACCCTAACCGCTGTGCCTCGCTTCCAACTGACAATTATGTAAAACCTCAGAATATAAATAACAAGTGTTTCGTCCCTGTAGCTAATCTGTCTAACCTGACATTTTGGGGAAAACTATGTTCATTTTCTTTTTTGTTTTTATGCTGACTTTAAACTTGTTTCTTTTTTCCCCCAGCTTACAAGTCAATCCATCTCTTTTTAAGCACAGACCGTCCATCCTCAGTGTAGAACTAGTGCCTTTCTTTTATGGTAAGCCAGAGATTTAAATTAAGTTATTTACAAGTGCTAACATAGGACTATAAAAAGCAAGGCTTCACTGCAGAAGGAAATTTCAGTATTTGGAAATTAAAGCAGTTTCTGTAATAGACTGCCTAACAACCTATGAAGTTAATTCAGTAGTAATTTTATTTTTCGCCTGGAATTCATCTTTTGCGGCTATAAAAGGCATTTACTGGGGAAATGCTTGTTCTTGAAAGTATCATTAAAAAGTAGATTATTAATGTACACACCACTGTACCTTGAAAATTTGTGTTACTGTATGTGCAATAATTGTACGAAAGATTTAAAACAAAAACTGGTGAAGTGCTAGTCTGGATTCAAGTTACACATGTTTTTTTTCTTTTCTTTCAAAAACGTTGCTTTTAAATCTATGTGCTTTTATTACTGTCAGATCTGTTTTCCATTTATGTCATGCATTATATGCAATACAAGTATGACATATTGCAGCTGTTGCTGATAATTTAATGGCGAATTCAATATTTCCCTGATGGGAACAGTGTTTTCCAACATTTCCTTTTGCAAATGTATGAATTTCCTGTTACCCCGACCTTCACAAAGGAAACAAAAAATGAAGAAAAAACTCCCCAGAATTCAAGTTATCTGCGGACAAAAGTGAACCTCTAACATTTCTCACTTTCCTTAATAACAAAGGTACATGTTTAATTCATTTCTTCTTTTTCTTTCATGGGAGGCAGTACGATCATTTTAGTTTCCATTTTCCGTTTTGTTATTTATTTTCATGACAGACTGTTTGCAGGAGGGGACGTGGCAGTTATTGCAGTCCCTGGATATTCATGTTCGAGTCATTCACATGTTTGGTGCTGTACTCACAGGGTCACAGGTATTTCATATATTTCATAGTTCTTTTTGTAAGAAAACAAATCCATTCAACCCTAACCTTCCTAACTCCTCCTCCTCTTTGCAAAATAGAGGATTTGATTGAGGCTATATGGCAAAAATGTGCGGCTCATTTTGGAGGATGCACTCTGTCAAGGTCTTGGGCTGAACCTTGTGCGCAGCCGTGCATAAATTTAGGCCTACATTATACTTGAAATCCTCCGCACTTCTCCAGCATGTCGCTGGCTCTGCCTCACTATACTGACAGTGATTGCTGGGTGATTGTGCAGGATTGAGGCAGTGGTCACCCCTCCAAGGACCACATTCAAGAAATAACGGATGATTTTGCAGACTTGAGGCTGTATGCAATTTTTACAAGGATGCGGTTGGAAGATTTTGCACGATTGAGGTTGCATCCCAGCAAAAATGCCTGGGGAGTTAGGGTTAAATCCACTAAATCCTAAAATATTGTCCTTACCGCGTGTATCCCCAAGGATAGATCACCATACATTTAACCAGTATCTTGAGTTTTAGAAGCCATTGGATTGTTTACTTTTTTTAAATTTATTCTCTGTGGAATCACAGCTTTCTCCAGCTTTTTGATGGTCCCAGAGGGCCAGCTGATTGTCCTCTTTGTACCTATCTGACTGACTGACTGACTGACTAATCAGACTGGTTGTAAGCTGGTGATGAGAGCTGGGCAGTGCTATTGTATAGGATTACCTGTGAATGCTAATTTAATTGGCTAAATCCGGCCATTGTGTAAACCAGATTCATAAACAGACTTCCAGTGAATAGCCATTCGGAATAAATAGATTAGATTTTTTTTGGGATCTGACTTAGACCAGCTCTACTAATCTTCTCTAGTCTTGCTTTATGCAAAGCTTAATATACACTGAAACCCTATTATTACTTTGTGATTTCTTTTGGAAGGACAATGCCCAAGTAGCGGTATGCCCAGCTACGGTGGACGTTCTCTTCGGCTTGCTGGACACGCCGGTACCCGGCAGTGATTTAACCATGGCTCAAGCTGGTAACCCGCAGCAGGTGCAGGAACTGGCATTGAAGTGCATAGTTCAGATGATTATTGCCATTCACGGATGTCCGGCTGAACAAGTAAGTAGCCGGAAATGTCCCTCTGTATAAAGTTTTGGCCATTTTGCAAATCCTGGCTTTATCTCCAGCCTCGGCCCTGGAAACATTTCGGATGATTTGATTTCTGAAATGTAAAGACTCATAGCTTTGACTCGCTGTACAGTGGAACGCCACTATACCGAACACCGCTATACCAAACATTCGGCTATACCGAACATCATCCTTGGTTCCCGGTTTTAATGTACAAAACGTACCGAACATTGTTGTTGAAAAAAATCTACCGGTTGTACACGTATTAAACACTATTTGGGCCACTTTTAATTCCCGAACATCAAATGACCCATAGATACATCATGTTTGAATGTTGAAGAGTGATAGATGGCTATTACTTCCCCAAGGAATAGAAGGGAAAACCACCCGTTGCTAAAGTTTCGTGACGACTCCTTGTGCGGCCGCGGGATGTGAGAAATGCCACTTCACTATTGGTCAAAAGAGGGTACCGGCGGTTCAAAATCGCTATACCGAATGATGGTTATTACGAACACTTTCTGTGGATCCAACGATGTTCGTTATAGCGGCATTCCACTGTATAGGATTGTATGATGATATTAATAAATGAACACATTGTGCCAGAATCTTCAAAGTTGGCGACAAAACATTTTGTAGAAGTAAGATCTGAAAAAAAAAATGGCTTCAGATCCAACCTTTTGTATCAAACATTGTTTTCTACATGTAGGGCTGCATTGAGTTGTTATGTGATTACTTTTACTAATTGAAAAGATTACAGAAAGCAGATTTTATTTCTTTGCATCATCTTAAAGGGAAAATACAACATTTGCAAACATCAAAAAATAAAACTACCAAATCATTTTGAAATACCTTGCTGGACTGTTAGTGAATGACAGTGTAAAGCATCCTGTAAAATCATGGCACCTGGTATACTGTCATTTTCAAGAAAAGTGGTATTTTTGTATCAATTTCCAACGCTGATCGGCCGATCAGCGTTGGAAAAAACTGGGTTTTTTTCAAATAGGCTACTGGCCCCAGTTGACCATCGCACTTGTTTGCAATCGATTACACACCTATGAACGGGTACAAGCCAGCTAGACTGGTTCCCTGACCTTACAATTCCCCAAGATATGTAAACTGCTCTGTTTCTTCTTAAATGGAGTCAGGGAACCAGACTACAGGAAAATGATTGTTTTTCTTGGTTTTTATAGCATTTCCGAACCCAAAAGCTCAAAAAAGTCAGTTTTACTATATTTGCTATATATTTCCAACCCCCCAATTCCATCCATTTCTGAAAATTACAGCAAAAGCAAATGATGTATATTCCCTTTAACATCATTTACGAATGTTATGGCCAGTCCATATTTCCATGCGCATTTCAATTTAGTAGGGTAATGACCTATGTTTGAAACCTAATTTTTTGGGTACCTGTGTGTACATTCACCATACCCAGCACTGTGTCGTAGAACAGTGGTGCATCTTAACTCTCAGTACATCTTTCAGCAAGTGTTTGTGCTTGTAACTTACAGAGACAAGTGGAATTGTCAGAGATCATCCAGCAGTTACTTCAGAAACTTTCCAGCGACAATGTGCCCCACCAACTTCAACTAGCAATATTCCGTGAGTATGATAACATGTCCAGTAAGTTACACACAGCAATTTTTGTTCTTCTGCACAAACTCGCATCCTCTTCGCTTGTGGGTAAAGCACCATTAGCAATGCATTCAAATGTCCTTCCTAGTGGTATCTCCCAACTCTCCCTTTTGGAGCCAGGGGGTACTTGTGCAGGCAACCCATGTGCGCAAGAACCTGTGGGCAGGCCGTCAACGCATTATGGGGAAGTTTTTTTATCGTTAGGGAAATTAGGACCGAGTTATATGGGGACTTTCTGCTGCCCCCATAGCATCTTTGGTCCCCGTAGCATCTTCGGTCCCCATAGTACCATGGGACAACTTGTGTATACTCCCCACAGTTACGGAACAAGAATGGGTGGGTGGACCGTCCCGTGTTATGGGGAATTTGTTATCGTTAGGGAAATTAGGACCAAGTTATGGGGACTTCTGCTTTCCCCGCAGGCGTCTTAGGTCCCCATAATACCATGGGACAACTCTTGTGTAGTCCCCACAGTTACGGAACAAGAATGGGTGGGCGGGCTGTGGCTGTGTTATGGAGAAGCTTTCTATTGTTAGGGTAATTAGGACCGAGTTATGGGGACGTTCTGCTGTCCCTGCAGCGTCATTGGTCCCCATAGGACCATGTGACACCTCATGTGTAGTCCCCACAGTTACGGAACAAGAACTTGTATGTGCACACTTGGTGTGCATCCCACACACACAGGAACTGGTACTAGATTGCAAGACGTACCGTGTGCGCATTTATTACAGATAGTGTATGAAATAGTGTATGTAGATTTGATCTGGTGTTGCTTTCGCTTGAGCCATTAAAGTACGGTTGCAAAGGCCTAACTCTCACTTTATGACTGTTGAAGCACAGAGCTTTAATTATAATGGTTTCTTCCATTACAGGCAGCATACCCCAGATCCTTCACAGCCGACGCAAGTTGCCACTCCAAGAGGCTTTCGTTTCAGCGGATGTCTTCAGTACCCTCATCAATATCATTGAAAAAGCTATCGTGAGTACTCCGTAACACACTTTGTAAAGTAAAGGGGGATGAACCTGTATTCACAGGAACGGAGCGCCCATCTCTCTTTCGTTTTGGGCCAGACTCATATGCTGCTGTGGGGGGATCGCCACACCTCCTCCACAGCGAGTCTGTTACCTTCCCAGCATTGAATAATGTCGGTACCCATTTAACACAGTGTATTAAATTCTAGAGTCCATCTCTTCGGAACCTTGTGTACGATAGTAGTATAGCTGTAATGAGCTGCATCACAGAATGGGTACAAAGTTTGCCGAAAAGATGCCGAAATACACCTTGTATGTATGTTTTTTTTGGAAAATATTCCGTCTTGTGAAATAAATCTGGGCATTCAGTATTATGCACTGAAAAAGTGTGCGTAAAGGATCTTGAAGTTGGGCCATATATGGATTTAGTGTTGTGCATTTGCGAATATTTTAATATTTGATTATTCTAACTTGGATTTGTTTGAATAGTTGAATATTTAAAGTGCGTCAATCAAGTTTTACATTGCGTGCGCCAGCGACTGTTGAAAATGGACAGTGAGCTTATTAAAATGATATTAAGAACATCAGGTAGGTATTGATATATTCTTGAGTTATGTGACTGGCTGATATTTAACAGACTTTGAGGAATCAAGTTAGAACTGATATTTCTTCTGGAAGCTCTCAACTCTTGCGTGTAAATGGACTGTTGACAAAAATGTGGCATTTTGATAACCAATAAAACCATGCAACTTATACTAAAGGAATAAATGTCCGTTCGGGAGGTTTTATAACACTCTGTTTAAGACCGGTGGGAGTCTGGATGGGTAATTATCACCCATCCTGACTCCCACGGGTCTTAAACAGTGTGTTTAATACCGACCGAACACACATTTATTCCCATTCATCAATACCTTTTCGGTCAAAAACCAAACCTTTTCGGTCCAAAAATCAAAACAAATCAAAAACTAGACGTTGCCAACCATTTTGTCCTACAAGTTTACTTCATGTTATTTGAAACACCCCTCTGACTATAATATGGAAAGTCCCTCCACAACTCATTACCTTATAAGGACATTGGCGTGCGCGTCTGGCGTACTGCGGGATGTCACGCAAAATGCAGCTGGGCTGGTGTAGTGTGAATTTAATATTTCGGACCATGAAACACTGATTTACTGGTAGTATTGCGCATGCATACGTGAGGAATGTGAACATTCAACCAATGAAACATTAAAAGGCACCGGATTTCATGGGAGTCCAAATTTCATGTGACACTTGAAAAGTGTTTAAGACCAACCAGCTTTGTCTTTAACACCGTTTAAACCGGTCACGTAGCGGTCTCTCGACCAATAGGAGTGAGTAAACTGTATTAGGTATTTATGAATATTAATTAAAAATCACAAACATTTTTTTGTGGATGATCGAATCTTCAAATATTTGGCATATTGGGCACAGCAGTAGTATGGGTATCTCTTATGTAACTTGTGTGTTGTTCAACACAATCTTGTTGAGATGGAAACCAAATCAGTTCTAGTCTGTACAAAACATTCTTGTTACAATACTCATAGGAAACACATGAATTACACATTGTTTACCGTCTTTTCTTTCTAACGCTTAATAGCAAAGTGGCAACAAGAGACAACTGACAGGTTTCTTCTGTCTCCACATCATGGCTGCGGTCATGGCCGATTGTTCCTTAGCCAAGACCACGTTCAGAGAGACGACAGGCTATCATCGCCTCAGTCTGCTGCTCATAGAGCTAGGCCAGCCATCTGAACAGCTTATTGGGGCTCTGCTAGACATGGTTAGACATTTTGTTCAATTTTGTTTAAGATAAAGAATATCTGAGATATTGTGAAGAAATTGCCCCACCTCATTGGGTTGACTGTATCTTGGTCAGCGATATGTGAGACTTCTGGTGTGTCTCTTCAAGACTCCCTGAAGTGATGTGGAGGTTCTGGCGGTCAAAATCAACTCTCTTTGAAAAAAAGTTTCCCTAAAACCTTTCTGGACCTACTATATTATCTGGAATAGTTTTCTGGTGTTTTCAGTGATATGTTTAGAAATTTAACCCTCAAAGGGCCGGGGGGGGGGGGGGATCCGCCCACAATTTTTTCTGCAATAGCCTTGAGTCTTGCGCATCTTTTGATACCAAAAACAAAAATGCCGACCACGGGTTGTCGCGCAGCGAAAGAAATTTTTTTCTGAAAACTGGATTTCCCCATATATGTAGTGTACCCAAAGCAGAATTACCATTGGTGCATATGAATAATTAATTAGCCATAATTCGAAAATCCTTTAACCTATAGTCATGAAATTTCTTGTGTATGCTCATATGTTTTATGTAAGCACAGAGTTTCATAATTTTTCGTCACTCACTGGCCAAGATCTTATCTTATTGTCTTTGTTCAGATGGTAGACACAACCTTCAAGGCAGAAGCCAAACACGTCCTGCACAACACAGGAGCAGCTCACATCCTCATGCGCCTCCTACCGCTCATCAAAGCTGAAGACTTACAAATCTCCCTGTCCAATAGCCTAGCGTCGTGCTGCACGCAGAGTGACTACAATCGGATGCAGTGCTGTAACGATGGAATACTGTCCACAGTCTTAGATGCTCTGGAGACTAGAGAAAGTCTACACAGGAAAACACAAGGTAGGAGAAATTTGACTAACCCTGGACCTCCCAGATCCTTCAAAATCAACCGGGAGGTTTTGAAGAATTTTACAGGTAGTATCTGGTTGGTTAGTGATTTTGTCATACACGCACATGCACCACTGATTACAAGTGCCCATAGAATGAACACTCAAGCTGCCTTAACTTCCGGTTCCCATGGTTCCAGTGCTACTCTTTGTGCAGTGGGCGTGGTTTAAACTGAAGTGACGTTCCACTAACAAACCAGATAGAGCCTGGTGCTACCATTTGCATGAGATTTGATGCTTCTTGAAAGTTAACGTGCAAAGATTGGGCCAGTGGTTCCTGCACGGTGGAAGATTTTGGACAACTTTGGAGATTAAGTAAAACAGCCAAAAAATAACAATTTAATCTTAAGAAATGGCCATATCTCCAGACATAGCCGTGTCTCAAACTTTGGCTTTGAGCTGCAGCTAGATGTTAGGTTGCAAATACATGCTTTTCTCTTGTTTCAAAAACATCAAATCATGTGATACTAAATTCAAAATCTGCAGCAGGGCTTTGTGCCATTTTGTTCTTGGTGGCTGCATGATGTGCCAATCTAGCAATTTGAATCCAGTGGCTAAGGCACTCCAACTGACTACCATAGAACATTGAATGATAACTAGTCTTTAGCTAGAGTTGACACAAGATGATCATTGATGTAATGTCTTAGACCTGTCTGGTTTTTGTTTTTCCCTTATCCTTGTTTGCCCATTCCAGAGAGGTTAATCATTCTGACCGAGGCCCTGGGTTCCTACAGCATCAGCTCCACACAACTGAAGCGTCTGATTGGCCTGATGAGAGGTTCTGACGACCAATCACTGTCCCCGCAGTGTCTGCGCCTGATGTACGCCCAGTCCATCATGGCACGCAAGGAGGGGAAGCAAGGCGCGCATCATTACTTTGACCTGCAGGAGACTCTGTCGGTAAGTCTGAACCACCCTGACTCCAATACGGTGGAGTTTTACAGGACCCGCTGGATTTCCTTATGAGAATCAAGCACCTGATGTTCGCTAGTGAGGAGGAGGTCAGAATGTTAATGCTTATAGTGGCTCTGTGCTGGACCCGGGTCGAACCTCAAGATTTGTGGCAAACCCTTGCACGACTGTTGGACAGGTCCGGTGCTCTACACAGGTAGAAATTAAGCCCTAGGGTTGAGAAGCTCTACCCATGTAGGAAATTGACTTGACATTGGACCCATGTACAAACCAATACGAATGTGAACAGTATGCCTCGCTGACCTGTGTTTGTTCCGACTCGAGTCTTCTCACGTTGGACCTGTGATTATTTAACCACAGATAGGCCTTTAAGTACAACACTTGAGAAAGACATGTTTTTCAAATAAGGGAAAGATTCCCATATCTGGCCATCACTTGTCACCCTGTGCACAAACAATATGAGAGTGGTCTGAGAATTTCTAAGTGTTTTCTCTGTAAATACTTCAATATTTTCCCTGCTAAATTTGACTGTTTAGGACATATCACTTTCTGATGGATGATAGGTCACTGAGGGGAAAAAATAGTGATGGCCAGATATGGGAATCTTGAGTTCAGGGCAATTCAGTAAAATCCAGTTCTCTGTGTGTGTATGCCTAACCACATGTTGTACAAGGCTGTTAAGGTGGTGGTACCTTAGTTTGGTCTGTAATTGTTTTCTACTCATTAGATGTCGCACATTAGTCGTGTTTTTCACCTTCACTTTTCCAACAGCAGCTCACTAAAGTGTCTGACATGTATGTCCGAATATACGGCCTTACATGAAAACAGTTCAAGCAAAGAGCTTTAAAAAAAAAAAGTTTTGTGTTTTGGGTAAATGGAAAAAAAAATGATGGTGGCAAGTAGGAAATACTGTGAACTTACTGCATTTTACACTAATGAAAGTATAGTTACTAAAGAGTTGACAGAGTCAACATGAAATGTTTTGTTGATGTGCAGGGTATCACCATTCCAGTGGTGCGTAAATGGCCCGGTCACGGCTTCACATTCCATACCTGGATTTGTCTCAACAACACGCCGGTCACTGCAGCAGCTATTGAACATGGCTTTTACCGCAGACAGTTATACAGGTAAGACAAAATCCCTAGATCAGGAAAAACACCTATGGAAAAGTTGCGGTTGGGGGTTAGCAAATATCTGACTAGCATCGAATTTCTGTTTTTGGGGAGCGAGACACTTTTTCAGTTTTCTGCGCAAGCATTACGTTGGCTACCAAAATATACAGTAGAATGTTTTTCTTGAAAATAAGTAACCTGTTTTAAGCTTTTTGGGGGGAGCTAGATACTGTTCCAGTTTTCGGCGCAAACATTTCGTTGGCTACCAAAATGAACAGAATGTTTTCTTGAAAATAAGTTGCCTGTTTTAAACTGGATGCATTGAATTTTTATGCCCCGCGGCGAAGCCGAAGGGGCATACTGTTTCCGCCTCGTCCTTCCGTGGGTGGGTGGGTGGGTGGGTGTGTGTGTGTGTGGGTGGGTGGGTGGGTGGGTGGGTGGGTGTGTGTGTCCGGACAAATCTTGTCAGCGCGATAACTTGAGAAATACTTAACATATGAGCTTCAAATTTGGTTTGTGGATTGTTCTTGGTAATCCTAAGAAGCCTTTTGCATTTGGGGCCAAAAGGCCAAAGGTCAAGTTCACAGTGGCTAAAACAATAGAAATCTTGTCAGCGCGATAACTTGAGAAATACTTAACATATGAACTTCAAATTTGGTTTGTGGATTGTTCTTGGTAATCCTAAGAAGCCTTTTGCATTTGGGGCCAAAGGTCAAGTTCACAGTGGCTAAAACAATAGAAATCTTGTCAGCGCGATAACTTGAGAAATAATTAACATATGAACTTCAAATTTGGTTTGTGGATTGTTCTTGGTAATCCTAAGAAGCCTTTTGCATTTGGGGCCAAAAGGCCAAAGGTCAAGTTCACAGTGGCTAAAACAATAGAAATCTTGTCAGCGCGATAACTTGAGAAATAATTAACATATGAACTTCAAATTTGGTTTGTGGATTGTTCTTGGTAATCCTAAGAAGCCTTTTGCATTTGGGGCCAAAAGGCCAAAGGTCAAGTTCACAGTGGCTAAAACAATAGAAATCATGTCAGCGCGATAACTTGAGAAATACTTTACATGTGAACTTCAAATTTGGTTTGTGGATTGTTTTTGGCAATCCTAAGAAGCCTTTTGCATTTGGGGCCAAAAGGCCTAAGGTCAAGTTCACAGTAGCTAAAACAATAGAAATCTTGTCAGCGCGATAACTTGAGAAATAATTAACATATGAACTTCAAATTTGGTTTGTGGATTGTTCTTGGTAATCCTAAGAAGCCTTTTGCATTTGGGGTCAAAAGGCCAAAGGTCAAGTTCACAGTGGCTAAAACAATAGAAATCATGTCAGCGCGATAACTTGAGAAATACTTTACATGTGAACTTCAAATTTGGTTTGTGGATTGTTTTTGGCAATCCTAAGAAGCCTTTTGCATTTGGGGCCAAAAGGCCTAAGGTCAAGTTCACAGTGGCTAAAACAATAGAAATCTTGTCAGCGCGATAACTTGAGAAATAATTAACATGTGAACTTCAAATTTGGTTTGTGGATTGTTCTTGGCAATCCTAAGAAGCCTATTGCATTTGGGGCCAAAAGGTCAAGGGTCAAGTTCACAGTGGCTAAAACAATAGAAATCTTGTCAGCGCGATAACTTGAGAAATACTTTACATGTGAACTTCAAATTTGGTTTGTGGATTGTTCTTGGTAATCCTAAGAAGCCTATTGAATTTGGGGCCAAAAGGTCAAGGGTCAAGTTCACAGTGGCTAAAACAATAGAAATCATGTATTTATTCTGAGATTATAGGGATTAGGGATTATTTCATATAAAACCTACAGAAGACACTAATGCTGTCAATGAATGTTCCATGTGACCAAAGTACATGTAAGTTGATGTTAAAAGAGTGGTGTTATGTCATGGGAACTGTCACCGTTGCGGGGCATTTGTGTTTGTAAACACACCTGACTTGTTTTGTTCTTATTCTGGGTTGAACTTGACTTTGGCTGAGTACCTTGTCCATTTGCTTCACTTGCAATCATCATTAACTTGCAATAATGGAACCACGTTTGCTTGCCTGTAATGCATATTCTTATAGGATGGGTGCGCGCATATCTTGGTAACCCTATTGGTCAATAAAAAATTGCGTATGCACGTATAAACTGCACGTGAGTGTTGTACAACCTCATTAATGGCTTTTAATTGAGGTCACGGAATTAGTCTATATTTGTGATGCGATCAAGCTAAATGAGTCGTTTGTCGACCCCGGTAAAAATTTGGTTTATTACAGATTTGAAAAGAGCACAATCTCAGCATTACTGCTGTGAAAACTGCATCCTGATGTCATCTTTATTTTAAAAATTATGGAAGTCGGAACACCAAGAGATGTGATGAAGTGATGTGATGAAGTGGCCCTATTTTGGCCTGTATCTCCAAATGAAAATTCCTGACAAACGACTCATGTAGCTTGATTGCATCACATTTGTCCTAATCTTAATAATTTCTGACACATAACATCTGCGTCCTTTCTTACTCGCCCCTATTTTTCCTTCCCTCAGTTTCTTCACTGGCAACTGTGCTGGGTTTGAAGCGTTCTTCACCCATGACGGAGTCCTTGTGGTGGCGGTCTGCACCAAGAAGGAGTACTACACTGTCTCACTGACTGACTTCCCAATCAGTGATAACAAATGGGTACATTTTACTAAATTTACAAGTTTATAACCAATTCAATCTATTAAACATAAACCTGTTGGATCTACTTTTGCCCCAACATTCTTCTGCTTGGCACCAAACAAAATATAAGTGTTCCATAGTACCTTTTTAGAGTTGAGAGAAGGATAACAAAACGTATGCTATCATTGAAAGAAGCTACGAGAATCTCTAATGAGAAGCTGATGGGATGTGGGTTCGAACCTGTCAGGGACTGTGGTATTTGTGTTCTTGGGAAAGATACTTTACCACAATTGCTTCTCCTGAACCAAGAATATGAATGGGTGTCTGTGAGGGTAGAGGCCAGATTACCCTGATCTCGAGCTTCTGCAGAAAACTAGTCTTATTGCCTGATGTACAGGAGTAATAATTATTGTCAATTGTGCTATAGTACATGTATGCAGTAGCCAAACTGTTTTATTTTCTGCCTTCAAACATCTGTTTGAGTATTTTTATCAATTACAAATTTAATAAAAAACTTCGCCATGACTTCGAATGAATAACCAATGATTTATTACAAATTTCTTTTGTCCAGCATTGTGTTGACATCACACACATATCGTCAAGGCGACCGTTTGGTCAGAGTCAACTCTGTATTTACGTTGACGGTCACCTGCGACTTACGTCGCAGCTCAAGTTCCCGGTCATATCTGAGGCAAGTAGAAAGAGACACCCTGAACCTTCAGGAAAAATCGGACGTCTGCTTGGATATAGGACTTTCATAATTCACGAGTAAGAGCAGGCACTCTGTAACTTAACAGTGACAGTGCATGATGAGGAAAAGATGGTGCCCAACGGTCCGTCCATATTCATAATTTTTCTTAATTTTAGACGTTGAGGGGTACTTGTGAACAGAGTCCAAATAATAAGGGAATAAATTTGTGTTTGGCTGGTTTTAAACAAGATGTTTAAGACCGGTTTGGAGTCTGGACGCTGATAATGACCCGAGCCTTGTTCGCACTGGAGGGCGTGTATACACACAAAACTTTCCCGAAATTCAGAGCAGATGACTGATAAACGTGCAAAGAGGAGGGCCAGAAAATCAGGGTGTGCTACCCGCAGATCATGGCCTGAACCCATTTGGCATTGAGGTTCGGGAAAAATAATCCCGCACCTGGGTCCGGTCAGTGTCAAAATAAACCCAGCTCGAACTGGTTAATACCAGCCAAACACAAATTTACTCCCCCTTCATAAATGCATTTTGGGTAAAAAACCCAGAGGAATTGATAAAACGTTCGATAAACCATGAAAACGGTATCGTAAAATTAGTGTCACATTTTCAAGCTCATGTACGTACCAACGGCCTACTTGTACGACAGTTAGAAAAGTATGTCAGTACGTCTACATGTGTTGTTTTGAAGAAGGGTTCTCGCTAAAAATAACGAAGTATAAACAATTACATACAAGTGCCTTTGTCACGGTTCATATGTCACTTTGCTTGAGACTGGATGACTTGTGATGAACTTGTGAAGACTTGAACATAACTCTCTAAGATACTTACTTGAACTTGTCTCTCTCTTCTTTCTTTTAGCCGTTCATACATTGCCGCATCGGTTACCCCATCGCCCTGACCGGTCCCCAGCACCAGTCCACCGAGGACCCCAACCCGTCCACCACCTTCTCCTTCCATTCCTCCCGCCTCCACTTCCCCTTCAAGCTTCCCACGTCCCGCGGCTCCACTGCCAACGATGCCAACGAGTCCCCCGTCGCCATGGTACCGGCGCACATGAAGGACATGGAATGGGGGGAGCCCAGGTCCCTGCAGGGCCAGCTAGGCAGCGTCTGTGTCTTCCATGACGTGCTTACTCCTGTACAGATCAAGAAATTCTACGCATTAGGTACAAAACTAAAGTATAATGACCCAGGAGGTTTTTCAAGAAGCATCGGTCATCTAGTAGTTGAATCATGAAGTCTTATCTTTTCTGACACTCAAAAACAGCGTAACTTAACTTTCTTGCTTTGGCGATCGCGCAGCACAGGAGTGACGCTCGTTTTTCGCCTTTTATTATTTCAATTTTGAAAATACATTCTACATTATTTTGATCTGTCTTTTATATTTTCTACTCAAGTTTACTCCAATACTCTTTCTATACAAATTACAGTGATCCTTTTATCCGGCTGTTATACTGCATGTAGTTTTAACCTTTATCTTAATGAAGAAATAACTCTTATCAAATGCTTGATGACACTTTATTGGAGAACACAACGTCCATGAAAAACCAGAAATAAACAGTTTTAAAATGCTCTGGAAACCTGTACCGAAAAACGGTCAGCCCCCTCCTCTGTGTTGGGTGTTGGACCTCACCCTAAAACAAAAATCATCTTAATAATTTTATATTTAAGTGCGAAGTTTTCTCGCAAAACCTCATAATGTTAGCTTTTTCATCTGAGTAAAAATTTGGAAGAACTCTGGATGATTTGACTGCGCATTGGCTTCTGATCAGTCGTCACAGACTGTTGAATGTCTATAAATGTCTGCTGGTTCATTGTGAAGGCCAAACAAGTTCTGTTATCTTTTTATAAAGTCACTTCAAAAGTCAAATCCTTCATCCAACGGTTGTGCTGTCTGCACCACCAAGTGAATTTTTAGCCTAAATTTATCACAATTTTCCTGCAGGTGCCAATATGACGTTATTCCAGTCGGAAGACAGCGACATCTCTGATCTCAGCAGTAAGCTGTTGCTGTACTACCACGGCAAGGCTTGCAGAGACCTGATGTGTCTAGACTTAGCTCCTGCCCACCTGTACAACGGACGACTGAAAGGCCACAGCTGTGATACCTGGGATGTTAAGGTAGGTTCTCAGGCAACAAATGCATACTCTCATCCATTAATTGTCACAATCCCAGGTTTTTTGCATATCCGTTAGGGAGTTTCCAGGAGTTTGTACTTTTGAAGAAAGTTTGGCCTAATCACTGCTACATTTCGGCAGGCTAGTTGAAACCAAAGACAAGTTCTTTTAGAACTTAAAGCAGGACTGTTTTTATCAGAACAAAACTACATAGCGAAAGTTCATAAAAAGCAGGACAAGTTCTTTTCAGAACTAAATATCTTCTAAGCAGTAGTTATTACCACATGGTGTTAAAACAAAGATTCCTACTAAATTTGCAAGAAATTGAGAGGATAATTGTTACGGAGCAGTTATACCGACTAAGGAAATCAGCTGTAGACATGTGTAAATTTCAGTACCAAAGGCATTTTCATATTTGGTAAGTGTAAATTTGATGTCACAAATACTTTGCAGTGAAATATGCCCAAGTTTCAAATTCTCAGTGCAAATATGTGTTACTACATCATTTCAAATGCATTTACTTGTGCATGAAAGTGAATTTTTATTGTAATGTTGATATTATTTTTTCTCCCTCTTTTTGCAGGACGTCCTTAATTGCATTGGAGGAGTCCAGGTCCTCTTTCCTCTGTTGGAACTTGCAACTCAGGAAAACGAAACCGGTCAATCACCACCACCGACAGATTCTGATGAGGACGATGTCGACAACCCTGAGCCAATCGGGAAGCAGCTTAGTGAAGACGACTGGGAGGTCGTACAAGATGAGCAAATAGGTCGGTCCTTTGGAATATCAACTTTTAAAGTATCAGCCAGTTTAAGACAAATGAGACGTGATCCTAGTACGCCTAATAATGCCAGCCTCAGGTCGGCCTGCCATTTGATTGCATCATGATGGAACTAGCCTTGGTCAAGGCGTTCTTTGAAAGTGTTCGCTATGGTATCTGGCCGCTCTTTGCCAAAATGATTTGTACATCTTAATACCACGTGAGGTCACTGTTACCGCTCTGTACACTGCATAGATCACGGCTAATGTTTATGTTGTTAGCGGCCAGACACCATCACATGCACTATTAAAAAACTCCTACACCAAGGCAAGCAAATCGCAGGTCAACCTGAGTCCGGCTTGAGACTGTGTCCAAAACGTCTCTTTGCCTGTGCCTACAAATATTTATTGTAGTGCTTCCATGTCAAAAAAGGTACGGAAAGCTGTAAAACAACTGATTTGAACTGTGTTTAGGATTTTCCTGTGAATCGTGACCAGCTGGCGACCAATCTCATGGAGCTTCTAAGAACAGAAATTTGCTAAGCGCAAATAATATTTACTTAGCAAAAACAGTTACCAGCCAAAGTGCCATGCAATGTCTATTGGTTGTGACTGGTTCTCGGCTGATTTTTTGCTAATCACATAAATTTGCTAACCAATATTTTCTGCTAAGCAGCAGCATGAAATCCATGAAGTTGGACCCTGACCAAACAATCTTTAAAATAGAGTGGCACGTTTTTTCTATTTTTTTGTTTAAAACTGACAGGTCACCTAAAACATTTGGTACAGTAAGAATTTAGCCCGGGAACTAGGCAGTGTGGTCTGAGAGTTTGGGCTTTTGATGGTGGTTAGATGCTGTGTTTGGACAAAAAGGTGTGCTGAAAATGTCCAAAAAGGATTCACACTCTGTCTGAGTGTAAGTCCTTGTGCAAACATCTTTTAGCAAAGTATTGAAATATTTTTGAAAAGTGTTTGTAAACGTGGAGTGGTTTTTTACCTGTTCTGACAGATCTGAGGTATGAGAAGAATCACGTGGCCGGTTTCCTGACCCTACTCAAGAACATGTGTGTTGGGCATCCCATCAACCAGGATATGTTGCATAAGTCTCAGGGCATAGCGACCATCGGGGCTCTCCTACAAAAGGTACAATCAACATGACACTGACAAATGTTGCCAGTGTTGTAGTCGAGTCCACCACAAGTCCTCACAAGTCCATCACAAACCATCCAATCCCCACAATCCCCACTCAAGTTTGCGAGCTATTAATGTGAACTGGGACAAGGGCATTCCTTTGCTTCTGTTCATCCTCTGTTACTAGTGACCAACTTATTACTGTCTTGTGTTGGACTTGACTGCAACACGGTATTTTGCTACTTTTAAGCTATAGTCCATCATTTGCAGCTATCCGAAAAGTAAATGGCATAATTATTGTTGAAAAACATACTTGGTTGAAAGATAGTAAGGGGACTAAACTCCCTGTGAAATTATTCCTTCTGGCAAGCTGTCATTTTGAAGTAATCAACGAAAGAAGGCCTTTCCAACGGTGCTTCTTAAGACGCACCATAGGAAATATAAAGTAGTTTGTTTTGTTATTCGGCAAAGCGCGCGCAAGCATTGGCACGACGCACACACACGCGCGGTTGCTATAATTCGTCGGATCAGTGCGCGACATCGCGTAGCTGCAATCCGCTCAGTGAGAACGTGTCTCGGATGCTGAATTCAGGCCCATTTCAAAATGTGATTCAGCAACTTTTGATTTGAAATTGAGATCCTGGAATGCTGGTTTTCTCGGAATATACAGCTGCAGTTGAGCTGAAACTTCATCAGGTTAATTGTTCAGCACCCTTCTTTAGATTGTGAGCACTTTTGTTGCTTCAAACGAACAAAATGTACAAATTACAAATGATGGACTATATCTTTAATCATCATCATCATCATTGATTTGAACGCTTCCGAATCCTTCAGAAGCCACAAGAAGGTTTTGATGGATTTTGTGGGATTGAGGAAGGTAGAGCTCACCCTCTGTTACTTCACATGGAGGCTTGATGCCCCTTGAAACACAGAGTTCTGCACAGTGGAGGATTTGGAAGTCATCTGGCAGGTTTCCTTCAAAAATGTCTACAGAATAACATTTAATAATAAGGTTTTTTATGGGATGCTAGATTGGTCATGGGTTGTCGGCCAGGTAAAGTATGCGTTGACTCTATTTTGAGTGGAATTGCTGTAATCTTGCAGGTGGATTCATCCTTGATTGACGTGAACGTGTTGATTGCCATCAAGCAGCTAGTGGAAGCAGTCTGCTTTGGCAAACCATCCCTATTGAAGCAAGCACACAGGTGAACTAACTTAAAAGTCTGTTTTTACTTCGTATAAAATGAGGTGCTCTCATAGATAACCTCGTTATTATGACATTTTTAGGTCAGAAAAAGAAATGATTGGAGCTTGACTTGAACCTGTGACTTTCAGAGCACCATACTGGGGCTCTATACCAACTGAATTATCTAGTCTTTCGTTAGACCTCTTTCAATTTCTTTCTCAATTTCATTCAATAAGTGACGTTTTTCAAGGGGCGTTAGTCAGACACCAACCAATGTGTAGTGCGTGGCAAGGAATCATACCTCGAAGCACAATCCCAGCAAAAGAAATGGTGCCATTGTCTGTATAGCCCAACAAAATTTGAGTGAAAACATTGGGATCATTTGTTTCTCCTGACATAGGAACATCCTCTTTGACTTTCGGATATGGAGCAAGAGTGCCTTTGGGATAAGAATCGGTAAGCGTCCTAGAACTCTCTGTTTTGTCAAAATTTTAGTGCATTGTATGAAAAGAGCAAACTATCATTAGACGTCAGAGTTGTTTGAAGTATTGACACAGCCATAGAAGTCTCCCTGTATTTTCAACTGTTGGCACGTCCACACCATGAAAAGCACTTCAGGTTTAGCAAAACTTTACTGTAGTAGATACAGTTGTTAAGCTTCACCTAGAAATTGGCCTTTGTTTTTTGTTACCTTGCGTAAAGTGACCGCTCTGTTCAACAATATCAAGAAATGACTGCACTCTTTGTTTCATTTGCAGGACATATCCAGTACATATCTACCATAATCAAAGATGAGAAGAAGAGATTCCGGAGAAATTTTGGAGTTCAGTTCCTGCTGGATACCATTCGAACGTACTACAGGTACCCTCCATGTTACCATCAAGGGAACTTCATCATCTATCAGTTCAATTTTGTTCATGGAGATTGTTACAAATCCTGTTAATTAGCTTATTCTATTTGATCTCCCCTTACCCGACGTGGAGTGCTGTGGCCTCGTGGTTAAGGGCACTGGATTCGTGGTCTGTGGGTAAAGCTGTGGGTTGTGGGTTCGAGTCCAGCCGGGGTCATGGTGCGTGTGCCCTTTAGCAAGGCACTTTGTCACTCATTGCTTCTCTCCACCCAGGAATAAATGGGTACCTGTGAGGGCAGAGATGGTTATTGTGACTGAATAAGCTTGCTTGCGCCTAACAGGCAGCATCCAGCTGTATACTCCTCAGGGAGCTGAAATGGTATTTGGAATGTTTAATTGGCCTAATGATCAGGGGTAATAATAATACTGTAAGCGCTGTGATTTAGTTTACTAATAAGAGCGTTCTTAAATGCCGATTATTATTATTATTATTATTATTGTAATCAAGCTGTCGGAAGTCAGTCAGAAATAAGTCAATAAGAAGTCGTCCAATCTGAAGTGACAAGATGTTCAAAGGAACTTGTGATTGACTTGTGATACACCTGATTGACTTGTGATAAGCTTGTGATTGACATGTGACTGACATGTGACTGACATGTGACTGACTTGTAATTGAAATGTGTCTGACTTATAATTGACCTGAAGTTGACCAATGATGGACTTGTGATTGACATGTGATTGACTGTGATTTACACTTGAATTGAAACTCTCCATATGTTCAGTATCTCCTAGTTCAGTATCTCCTATACTAGTGAAACAATAATTCCAAGTTTTCTCTCCAAATTTTACATCAGTCCCAGTACAACGGACCTTTCAGCGGAGGAGGCCCGCATCATCCGCAGCGCCATGCTAGGCCTGGTGCACTTCTACGTGTACCGGCAAATCAACCACAAAGAACTGAGTGCAATCATCAACTTCATCACGGCCGTTGAGGACGAGATTCTTGTAAGTCTTATTGACTGTCTCTTGATGACTGTGTCTTGATGACGGAGCCTTGTTACCATGCCCTTGTATCCAGTGTTGCAGTGCAATCTTTTTAATAGGTGTCCTAAGTATACTGCAGTACGAGATGTTGATCCCAATTCACGTATGAGGAATTAATCCTAAGCCCCAAGGTGTTTTGGACTTGGTACTGTTAGTAAATTGAAATGTGAGTAGTTTGACATTCAGCCTTAACTCTTTCCATATGGAATTATTTTCTTAATTGGGAGGAATTAAATGCCATTGGGTTGTCATAGAATGCTACTGAAACTTGTGTCACTGGCGGTGGAAGCTACCCCTGCCTGGGTCTTTGGTCTGAAATTGGGATCATATCTCCAGCTTGGGATGGAGATATGTCCTCTTTGCAGGTCTTAGCCCCAGGACGACCGTTGTGAAAGTGTGTGTGGTGGGTTGCCGGCTGTTTTGTTCCGTTCTGTTCATGTCTGTCTGTTTCGTCTCCCTATTTGTCCGGGCCCACTGTGTTCACCCCTTGTTTCAGTTCCGTTCGTCTTCATTGAATGTTCAAAGATGCAGAGTTTTGACATTTCACTAACACTTTTTGCTACTGGATATGTGTCAGTTTAAAACAAATCAAAACAATGTGCGATGATTTCGAGCGATACATCAGCTCCCAGTCTCCAGCACTCATCACAGATCATCAGATGCAAAAAATTGAAGACATGTGCAAAAAAGGTACAAATATTTGCAGATCAAATTGGGACTCAGATCTGAGACTTTTCCAGTATACTTTTTGTGTCCCAATGTTGAATAATGAGAAGCTACGTTCTGAGACAACACTGTCTAGTTCACCAGGTTCAGCTTCTTGTATACCACAGTACATTTAAGGGTTTTAAAAAAAAGACTTGCTTTAGCTTTCAACTACAGTTATTGCTTGTGTCGTGCCTAATTGTCACATTGTGTCATTGTCAGCATTACGTTTGTTGTTTTTCTATCATTTACATGGATTGTCCTCTGCATTGTGCACAACAATACAGAAAAAAAAACCTCTTCTTGTGTTTTCCATCAATTTTCTAATTAATTTCCCTGCTCCCTTGAATGTTATCTTGCATTTGTTCTTTACACTTCTAGATTGGGGAGGTCTTGGACACACTGATCACCCTCCTTGAGAGCACAGGCAAGGACCAGTTGTACCTCTTACTGTTTGAAGAGGGTCAAGGAGATCTCCTGTATGCACTGCTGACTAAGAAAGACTACACAGATGCTCTCAGGGTCCGTGTGTTCAAGGTACGTGGCCGAGTAGCAGAGTTGTACGACTCAAGCCCAGGATGGAGACTTGAGTCACAATTTTGGTCACTCAGACTTGACTAGAGTTACGTCAGCAAAAGACTTGGACTCCAACTCGGACTGGACTGTCACTGAGTCTTGTATTCTTTATCAACGATACCGCTATAAAAAATATAAAAAATAATTCTGATATTAATTTTCTAGTTGTATTGGCAAGGAATAACATCACATGTTTGTAAGTAGATGAACTACACACATGTACTTGTACATGGGGCAAGTTTGCTGCCGTAACGAACACAGTTCCCCAGTATTGTGTTGTCATGATCATTGACTTTTGGGCTGCTACATGTATTTATACATCTACAGAATTCAAACAAGTGGCTCTTGAGTCTGACTCAGGCTACAATAAACTGACTGGTTTCTGGGACTCAGACTCAAACCAAGTGACTCAGGAATCAGATTTGGACTCGAACCAAGTGACTCATGACTTAGCCTCGTATTCATACCAAGTGACTCAACTACAACTCTACCAAGTAGTCAGAGTTTGATTAGTGGTTGTAAATATTGTGTGATAGCTGCGTAAGTGCGATGTCACTTTTTTCAGGACTCAATTCCTAGTTCACTACATTGTTTCATGCTTTCAATCATTTCGATCCCCTCCCATCTATTGAGACATTTTCCTGATGATGGTCCGAGCATACTAACTTGAAACGTTAAGAAACACTTCTCTCTTTCTTCTCAAAACACCTCTTTTGGAAAAATGGTCTGCCCGCATTTTTTTCAAAAGTAATAGTCCTCACTTTTATACAAAGCCTCAATTTGCATTTTATTTTTTGAACTGTATCATCAGTTGTGCCCCTCCCTTCTAAAATATCCTGTGGCAATACTCTTCCCCTTTTGAGTAACCCTGTTGTATTGTATTTACCTAGAACATATGTTTTGTTTTAAAGATTTCCCCCTGTATTCCTGTTTTCTTAAGATATTTTCCTTGATGCTGAGAACCACCAAAGTCTATGAGAAGAGCAAACATCGGATGCGGCTGATGGACATCGGCTTCTCTGGACTGACGCTGCTGATGGGAGAAATGCCTGTCACTATGCCCATCGCTAAGAACATGGTGGAGATGGTCACAGGTCAGTAAATTATCATGAAAAACAGTCCAAATGCCCTCGTTGGTTGCCATTATAGCCTTCATAATTCACATCTTCTGTCACACAGTTAATTTTTGAATCAGATTTCACAGTTACAACAATTTTGATGTAGAAATATGTAGTTTGTTTGTCGTCCCCCTCCCCCATAGTTTTTTTTTTAATGGGAACTTAACAGCTCTAACAACTCTTAGTCTAGTTGCTAAGTGTGTTCCTTTGAAGAGTTTTAAAGCATTGGTCATTTGTAGCTGACTATAATTTTATGAATTTAAATTTGACATCAAGAAAAGACTCATCGTGAAATTGACCTATCGCCATTTGCGAGTTAGCCTTGCCCCTAACACAACCCTATGGAACTTTGCACGTCAAGTTTTGTTTGCCACGTCCATTTGTATATCATGTAATTGGACAATATTTCACAAGCTACGTCTGCGCGATTCTACCGCGATAGGTTAGTAAAGCAGTTCAAGTGAATTATTGTAGTAGTAAGCTTTAAATCACATTGTTGGAAACTGATTATTTTCTGATTATTAGCACCCCTAGAAGACAGATGATTCCAAGTTGGAAGACTTGCAACATAGGGCTATATTGCTCAGTTGGTACAAAAACCCCAGCCTTATATTACTGGTATTCGTATTTTGACAGAGGGTCACATCAACTATGCCGGGCTGCTAGCGGCCCTACAGCTGCTGCACCGTGCCAGCTCCCTCATCAAGCTAGAAGCCTGCACCCAACTCCTTCACATACTCTACACCGAGAAGGACTCCAAGGTCAAACTGGCCAAGGTACCCGGCTGGCAGGACACGCTGGTGCGACTGTTTGTCAAAGACGCGTCGACGGGACCGGATATTGGTCTAGACCTGAACGGCTTAGCTCTTACCCCACAGAGCATACCGACAACACCTACCACTCCGCATAGGAACCAGTTGGACACTACCAATGGCAATGCACAGGGCGCCAGCCAAAGCTTTGTGCTGCCGGACGCCGGTGACTCGCAGGCCACGGGTGACTCGGACACCATGGGTGACGACACGAGCAGTATTGCGGACAGTGAGGACATTATGTCCCAACCCATCCCTCGAGTTGTCGTGGGACCGGACACACCGGACACACCGGACTCGCTGTCCTACTCGGAAAGCTTGTCAGCAGTCAGCAGTGACGGAAATTTTGGGCTGTTCGCTGGTCCACAAGGTGATAATAGTCAAGAGCTTGGTGGAGAGAGTGACGGCTCGCTGCCTACAGGAAGTTGGCCTGGTGGCGATTGTAAGTAATTTTAGTCTGAATGTTCTTGCACAGCGCCATAGCATCTTTGAGTGAAAGTTAGGTTTTGTTGGCAATGCGTTTTAAATGTCTCTCCCAGTTGTCTCCCCGTCCCTTTCTTACCGTTGAAGGGGGCTTGTGCATGTAGAACATAATCAAACAAGTCAGAATGTCATCAAGAAACGTCCCGTCCCTGGCTCCCTGCTGTGCATCATGAGCAGGAATATTGGTTACCAGTAGTGCAACAAACTTTGTTAGGCTGGTCACAAGTAGTCAACCAGCTTGAGTTAGAGCAAAGAAAATCAATTATTAACTGTAGTTATTGCTCAAACTTGTTGGGATTGGCACCCTCCAAGTTCCTTGAAAATCGACTAGGAGCAGTTTGCAAGATTTTTATGGGATTGAGGAAGGTAGCTCCCAGTTTGCATTACTTTACAAGGGGCTTGAAAATTAGAAGTTGGAAAGACTCAGGAAGGTTTTTATTTTTTGTGTGAAAAATGCTCGTGAAGTGAGGGATAATCTTGCTCATGTATTAAGCTTTTACATAATGAGTGGACCTAGTGTACACATGGACATAATGAGTTTTAATATTGTTACAGCTTCACACAATTCCGCTACAGGTGGCGAGGACGCCGATTTAATAAACCGTTTATCTATCTTTCTATCTACCTCGACATTGATTAAGTACTTCAGAATATGCTATATTGCATCTTGGCAGAAATGTTGTATTTGTGTGAAAGGATTGGGATTAAATTAGAGTCAATTTATTTAATAACAACCTACAGGCCGTCTTCAGGGTTGAAACATTTCCTACTTGTTACAAATATTGTGGTACTTGGCCAAAAAAGAAATCCACAACCCTACAAATTCTCTAAAATTATCCCACAAAACATTGGGAAAAATGCCTGTGCAGATTGCATCATAGGAATATAATTCAAAAATTATTTTGTTTTTTTTCTTTTAACTAATAGACGACGGCCCTAACTCGCCTGGCAGTGGCCTTGATGTAACCCTCACATCTCGCTCAGCAACCCTCCGCCCCTCCCACCTGAACCTGAACACACCCGGTGACGCACCCGGTGAGGATGAGAGCCCCGAGGGGTCAGCGGCCTGCGAGAGGACACAGGAGACCCTGGCAGACACCCTGACGGAAGTGGTAGCGCAGCTGATGTGGCGAGGGGTAGCAGGATCAGATGAGGAGGCTTGGGCAGTGAGTAGATCGTATAATTCTCACTGCTTTCCACATCCAATTTCAATTTTATTATTATGCTAAGACCAAGAAAAAAATACCTACAGGTGTTTCCAGTTATCCCAACCAACCTACATAATCATGCAGAACCTAATTTTTTTTATAAAAAAAAAAATTATGGTGCCGCCCTTTCCCTTGTTTTTGCGAAAATTGTCCTGGTTTAAAAAAAACAAAAAATCTTATTTGTAAGTTGGTCGGCAGTGCGATCTAGCTGTGCCGTGCAGTGAAGCTTATAATTGCGCAGCAAACGCATGCAAATTTTTTTTGTTTTTAAAGCAATCGACCATCATCCCACCCAATTTTTTTTAACTATAAAAATTTTTCCAATGAAATCGAAGACACAATTTTTACCAGGAATGCTATGGAGCCACTTGCCTATTCAGCAGTGTATTTCAGTTTGTAAGCCTAACCCTCCAAGATCCTTTCAAAATCCACCAGGAGCTTTTAGGGGATTTTGCAATATTGAAGGCAGTAAAGACCAGTTACTGTTACTATTATTGGGACTTGAAGTCCCTTGCAAGTAGTATATTGGATAAGTCAAGAAGGTTCTGAGCAAATATGCCTGGGGGTTAGTGTTCAAGATGCAATTCAGTCTCTCGTGACCATTTTCTGGAAAACTGTCAAACCCTCCCCCAGCAGGACCCCCACCCCAATACAAACTTCATCCTTTGTCACCAGCAAAAAACTTTACACCCTTACCTCGGAACTGTGCCTTCTTTTATTTTACATTATTTTAATTTGATGTTTCTCTGACTTCCACAGGCACGTGGTCAGGTTCTTGTAAGCCTATCCAAACTCTCCGAGAAGTACGAGCTCTTACGGCCGGCCATTCAGGTCAAGCGACACATCCTGGAGAAGCTGCTGGAAGTCTCGGCCAATGACATCAAGAACTGCGGGTCACATGACCGCGCGGCGCACGAGGAGAACGCCCTCTGGATGATGAAGCTGGTTCAGGATTTCCTGTTTGAGGAGAATGCAGGCGACGGCCAGGCCTGGAGCTACAAGGTAATCAAATGGACTTGTTCTTTGATTTACAACTTCTCTAAAGAAAATCCCTCACTTCAAATTACCTAATCACGACTGTAGCTTTCATTGCAACACACCATAATATACAATGAGTCTTTGGGTCATATCCAGGACGAGTTCCGAACAAGTAGAATCATTCACTTTGTCCGGAAGAAGCTCTGCATTTGTCCCAGACATGTTCCGAGGAAATTTTCATCAGCAACTGCTTGACTCACCAGTACTGATATCTTCCTTGCAACAGAATCCTGCAAATCAAATTAGGTTTTCCCTTCACCGACGTATAAACACTGTATACTCAGTGTGTTGCCTCCCGAGTGAAAGTTAGAAAAAAGTCACTCGGGTGGGACTCAAACCCACGACCCCCTGCTTTCTAGTGCAGATGTCTTACCACTCGACCACCGAGCTGATGGGATTGGTTGGCTGGTTCGAATCTGATGTACAAAGCAGCAGGTAAAGGGCAAAACCTAATTTGATTTACATCACCCCGACGCAAGAATCCTGCAACTTATAGCCAATGCAATATACGCAACTTGTTCAGAACTCGTCCGGATATGAATTGAGATGGCCCCTAACATACGACAGGGCTGTTCAATGCCTGCTTTTATCAACAATCACACAAACAGCCAAAAGTCTAGACATAGTCAGTATAAGTTCATGAGATTAAAATACATTAATGGAAAAATGACTTTTTTTCATATCATGAAAATGTGATTATGAATTAAGCATTTCTTATGCGATGTTATTCTCCAGTCAGACAAGGTATATTGTCTGCCGTTTTGTTGAACTTCTGAAAGAAAATCTGAAAACTCTCTAGTGGATATCTGTTGACTATTTTTTTGTTTTTTTTGTGTCAACCAATGTGCACTTGTGACGTGTTTTATGTATGATGTGTTTAAGTGTAATTCTTTGTAGAACCCATTTTGTAGCCACGATGGAAAGTAGACCATTAGATTATAATTTACAATGAGTTTCGTGAAATTGACCCCAAGGTTACACACTGTTTCTACTTTTTTTACACAGTTAGTTTTATAAGTCTAAAAAAAAAAACCACAAATAGTGGAGAAAAATTTATTCAGCTGAAAGTAACATGACTACGGTGAGCTGAAGATATCATTTGAGGATTTGTGAATTCTTGTGCAGAATCGACTACGTCTCTGTCATCACACTAATAATTTCTCCAACTTCATTCAAACCAGTTGGCAGAGGCGGTGGTAGACGTGATCGACGCCTTAGGAATCTGGGAAGACACCCAGGCCTCCGACGAATGGACCGAGATGTCTCAACTGTGCCTTCGCATCATGCTAGGCTGCACGGCACGGGATGATTTCGAGGTGTGCGCCACGGCGGCCGCCAAGCTCCACCTCATGCTACAGACGCGGCCGATTCCGTCATCCAGCGAGGCGTGTTTCCTGCTAGGCTCGCTGGATGCAGCACTCATGAGGTCGCTGAATGGTGAGTCAATTTGGGAAAATTGTAGTCTGTAGACCAGGGGCCGGTCTCATGGAGCTGGGAAGCACAGAAATATCCTAAGCACAAAAAAGAAATTAGGCCGTGTCAGAATTAACTGGCTACGGCTATGCCAGCTGCAACAGCTATGCCAGCTGCAATGGCTGCAGCCACTTCCCATAGACCTGCATGTTATTTCTAGCCATAGCGAAGTAATTCAGACGCAGCCTTAGCCGAGCAAAAACAGATTACCAGCCAAAATGACATGCAATGTATATTACTTGTTACTGGTACCCAACTGATTTTTTTAACAGATGAGCAGAAAATACTGCTAAGCAAAGTTTACATGCTTAGCAAAAATCAGCATGGAACCAGTCCCAAGCAATAAACATTGCATGACGTTTTGGCCGGCGACCCATTTTTGTGCAGCCAGTATTTTTGTGCTTAGCAAATGTTTGTGTTTATACCGCTCAAATTGGCTGGTGACCGCAGACTACACCCCCAGAACAATGAAATAGGAGCAATTCACAGTACAGTGTGCAAACCATTATTTGCCTCAAAAACATGCTGGTTTTTCAAAGTAACGGTCGTCCAGGAGAATGTTCAGAATAAAGAGCCCAGCCACTGTTAAAATGGATGGAGCTCGGGATCTGTTGATAATCAAAACACAAAGACTATGCCATCGGTTTCCTGCAGAGTGTACATTTCAAGCAAACTAAGGGTTCAAATTTAAAGGTTCCAAGGAAACTATGCTTGGAGAGTTTGGTAAATATTGGAAGATCTCGTTGTTGTTTTTGTTTGTAGCAGAAGAACGTGAAACCTACTCGTACCTGGTCCCTTTGACCAGTGCGATGATTGAGCTGTACCACAACCAGCTTGGGATGCCCGACTTCCTACCCCACCTCCCAACCACGGGCACCAGTCCGACGTTCTTTGAGGATTTCCAGTCCTACTGCCGGTCAGAGGAGTGGAGAACCTACGTCGAGAAACAGGTATCGAGCCCATGACCTCCTACTAACTAGGGCAGACACCTCAACCACGTGACCACTTAGCTTGCTGAAGGCGGGTTCGAGTCTCACTCGAGCACTTTTATGAATTTTTTATTGCAAGCTTTGGACAGCACAGAGTATATAGTGCTTATAAAATAATGTTGTACGGGCTCCGTGCGCGGACGAAGAGGGCGCCCTTTTACCTAGCAACGACGTCTCATGGGCTGGACATTTCGCTGGTTGACGCGCACCGTTCCTTGTGTGTGAGGCACGTACACCAGGGGATTTGTACTTCGCGGCAAATGAATTGCAGTCGGGCAAGATGGCGTCGGTCGGTCACCCCCAACTGTACTTTCTTTGCCAGTGAGGGGGTACTTGTGAACAGAGCGGATAGGGCAAAGTCCACTATTTAAATTAAAAACAACTTATAACTACCTCAAAACAATGTTCCTGACATTTTTCTTAATTTTTAATTTTTTTTGCAGCTGCCAATAATTATTGTAGAAAGCAATTTCATACTTACAGAAATTACAAGAGGAAACACCACTTTAGTTATTTCATTTACTATTTCATTATTTCATTGTTTTGTCATTATCCTCAGGTTCAGCCATTTATGCAGGAGTACGTGACGGTCAACTTTGCCAACATTTCTGCCAAGATGGGCAAGTTGTGGAGGAAGTGCTTTGATAAGATGAACACGGACATCCACCGACGGGAACGGGAACGAGGAGAAAGCAAGCTACGATTTCAAGTTAGTGATTGTTATTGTTATTAATAATTATTTCTGGTCAAGAATCCAAAGATTCCTCAAAAGGCACTGTAGCTCGCAAGCCTGATAAAACCTGTAGAGAGAAGACAATGAGAAGAAATTACAGTTTTAGATGTGTTACAAGCACTTGTTTAAATTCATTTTCAACAATTTTTTTTTTGACTTTTTAATATATACCTTGAATTGGAATATTGAATTTCAAAAAAGTTTGGTCCAAATTTGATAAATGTGTTGTCAACACAAACGTAGGCATGAGCCAGAAAATCAAAAAAAAAATCATAGAAATTTTTTTACAAGTAATAACACTTATTAAAACATTTACCCAAGCCTCATTTGGGTTATACATTGCATTAATAAAATAATCATAGAATGACATTGAAGAAAATCACATACTTATTCTTATTTATTTTTCACCTTTTGTGTGCTTAGTCAAAGATCATAGAACCGTTCAACGCATTATGCAAAACGGAGACAGTGAGACATGCGAGCATACTAAACAAATTGCAGAACCAGCACCAGTCCACGCTGCGACAGTGGAGGGCTAGTAAGCGCTTCTTGACAGGGGAGCGAGGAGCATGGGCTGAACGGTAAGAACAATTTGGGCCTGTAGCTGCTAAACAAGGGAAAAATGTTTAACAATTTTATGCGCTAAGCACGAATCAGCTGAGTACCAGTTAAAGCTAGTATGCCTTTCATGACCTTTTGACTGGTAACCAGTTTTTGCTTAGCAGTTATTTTCTATGCTTACCAATTTTCTTTGCCTCTGTGTAATGTGAAGTGTTGCAAGTACCTTAGGGTGGAAAGGTTGATATTTTAATCATTTTTTCGTTTATCTTCTCAGAACTGATGAGCACATTTACTGGAAGTTGTCCTCTCAAGAAAACTTCTCGCGCATGCGGCTGAAACTCACCCAGAATTTCATGTTTGATCTGCACATCGAGGCCAGCCAGATGAGAGACAACACAGGTATGTTGGCAGATATGATGGATCAAATCTAATTACAAGGTTGAACAAAGAAATTGAGTGGAGTTGGAATCTGGACCTGTGACTTCCAAACTCTATTAGGGCTCCACCATCTGAGCTATCCAGCCCTATGTTGGTGGTCGTCTAATTTGTCTTTGGCCTTGTTGAAAGCGTGTTAGATTCTTACTAGTGCCTCTTGAACAAAGACATTGGCAAATTAGAAAGCTGGATAGCTCAGTCAGTAGAGTGTTGGTTGGTTGTTGCAGATGGTGTTTTTTTTTTAAGGCTTAATTACTACTTTTGTTTCTGAGTGATCATGCTTGTCAGTAATAAAGGACGGCCGATCGACTGAAGGATAATAATTATTTATGCAGGAAGTAGACCATATAGTTGAAAAGTAATCTCGTTGAAGCAGTATCTTGGCAGCGGGTTTCTCTTAAGAAGTCCCTGCTAAATTTCATCTATTTGTTTTCCAACATCATTAGGGCCAGTCATAGAACCAGCGGACACCCTGGCTTTAGAAATAGTGAAGGAGGCTAGAGTCAGCGACATGGAACTACAAGATGACAGACTGGGAGACGAAGAGTGGAATATCATCTCAGAGAGGTAGGATACCAGACTGTAGAGTTGATAATCACTTGTAAGGTACCTGTCACAGATGGTCCCACTGGTAATAGAACAGCAGGCAAAGAAGAATGAATGTGATTGGTTGTATTTGCTTTTGTCCTGACTCTGATTGGTCAATGAGGACAACAGTAGCCCATCCAGTTCCAGGGGGATATTCAAAGATGTGACTGGTACCCGTGTTCAAACATCTTTGAAAAGATGATCTCTAATCTCTACAGTTATAGAGAATCAAATTCTATTTGAGTCAACTTGAGTCACTCTGTACAAAGTTTGGTTAAGGTGACCCCTGAACGCTTGTCTGAAACGTGATTGTTTCCTTTCTATCAGCACTGAGACAGAGCAGGGCGGTACAGTCAAAGAGAAGACGGTAGTATCAGAGGAATGTAACCTCATCACCTTGATTGACGTCATACCGGGTAAACTGGAGGTCACAACGACACATGTCTACTTCTACGACAGCAGTCCAGACAAGGAAGAAAGTATGTATATTGATTCATTGAAAGTTTCCTTTAAAAGAGGGAAATGCGTTGATTGCATTGCTGTGTGCAAAATACACTGTTGTCTACCGCTTAGTATAAAGCTACAGCCATCTCATGACTTTTGGCTGGTACATGTAGCTTGTTTTTGCTAAGCATATATTATACTTATTTCGTGCTTAGCAGAATTCTGTGCATATCAGGCCAATGAAATCAGCCCTATTCACTGTAGCGCACCAGTGGCAGAGAACAAAGCCCTAACCACAAAATACTGCAAAATGAAATCAGTAACGAATAAAAAAATTCCACAGCACTTGTGCTTCGTACCACAATAAGATCGATCGGAAATATCTCGGAAGCTGCAAGCCAACAAATTTGTGTTCATGCATGAGTCACATGATTGTGCCATGTAATTTCTGGAAGGAGTAGTGTTTTGAGTTTAAAAAAAATCAGGTTTTTGACCTCGGTGACCCCATGATGACCTTTGACCCCAGTTTGGTCATGTGACACGTCGGGGCTGGGCTACAGATACTTTTGTCAAAGTTTGGGTGAATCGGTCAGAATATGTAGGAGGAATAAACAATGTCAACATTTGTTACTAACTAACGGATGAACGGACGAACGGACTAATGGAGAGACAGGATGATTTGTTGAGCTGCCACGCCGCTGGGTTGTGATTGCTTTGCAGACAAGATTGATAAATGCAAAAGTTTGGATCCTGTGAAAGTGGTTTTAAATACACAATTGATTTAGTTTGCCTTGAGGCAGGAGATGCTATTTTGTAACAATCAGTGGCAGAAAAGAAAAAGAGGGTAATTTAGACAAGGGAAAACATTAAGATAATTCACAGTTTTTGGTTATTTACTTCTTAGATAGCGGACAGGACTTCAAATGGTCTCTGTCACATCTGAGGGAGGTTCACTTGCGTCGCTACAACCTGAGGCGTAGTGCCATCGAGATCTTCTTCATCAGCCAGACCAATTACTTCATCAACTTCACCAACAAAAAGGTAGGGATTTCAGGCATCGGTGTTCACGGAAGTTTTCAGCAGAAAATCGTTGCATCAGGAAATTTGCTCGGAAACGATGATACTAAGCAGGACAAGTTCTTATCAGAACTAAATATCTACTGAGTGACAGTAGTTATTGGTGCTACCGCAAACCGAAACGATACTGATACTCCACCATGCAAAACCTAAAATCTTATATCAGTCTTAAGTATATTTCTCAAAAATTAGATTTTCTTTTCAATTTAAACCATATCCTGTAAAAGGATATCTTTATCAAGCATGTTCTTGAGAGATTTCTTTGTAGGTCCATACCAAAGGATTTCTCTTACAAATTCTCTATTAGATTTGTCTTGGAAGTGTTTGATGGAGCATTTTTTTTCCCTAATCCTGCAGTAGACTTTCTCTGTTGCAACACATACACAAATCCCGGCTATACCACTTGCTTTGGTTTTGGGTGCAATCTACCAGATATATTTTGGAAATTCCTCCTCAATACTGCTCCCCATTTTGTCCCCAGAAACATTAAATCCTACACACTTAGTAAGTGTTCATTTGGTTTGAACATTAACAGGCCAACAATCGGTTCTGAGCCTTAGCCAAAGCCTAAAGCCAGAAAAATAGCCAGGTTTTCAGAAACGACTAATTTTTATTTTCTTCTAATGATTATCTAATGGTGATTTTTTCCTAAATAGACGAGGAACAAGACCTACAGTCGTATCCTGAGCCTGAAGCCGCCCAACCTGTACTACACCGGGGCCAAGTCTCCAGCAGACCTACTCAAGTCCTCTACTCTGACCAACAAATGGGTGTCACGAGAGATCTCCAACTTTGACTATCTGATGCAACTCAACACCATCGCTGGCAGGACTTACAACGATCTCAGCCAGTATCCGGTGGTAGGCAGAGACAAACTTCTTCTCACTTTCCTACAGTACAAAAATCTGTTAAGTCCCACCCAGTTATGTGTTAGTGGGGAGTGTGGCCTAGTGGTTAGGGTTCGTGACTCATGATCAGAAGGTCAGGGGTTCGAATCCAGCTGCTGGTCATATGTTGTGTCCTTTGGCAAGCCACTTCACCTCCACTTGCCTCTCCCCGCCCAGGAGCATAAATGGGTACCGGCATTAGCTGGGGAGTAACCTGTGATGGACTAGCATCCCATCCAAAGGGGATAGCAATATATTCAGTCGTTTCATGCTACTGAAAAAACGGAGATAATCGCCGCCTGATAGGCCACATTGGCTTGTGACAGACTTTACTTATTTACTTACAGTTAGGTTTGACCATCACAAACGTGACAGCACAACAAATGTGCTTAGCACAGAAATTATTTGCTAAGCAAAAATGGTTTACCAGCTAAACTGTCTTGCCTCCTGTATCGCTTGTAACTGGTACCTGGCTTATTCATGCTTAGCACATAAATTGGTTAAGCAATATTTTCTGCTTAGCAGCTAATGAAATTGGTTTTGACTTGTGATTTGACTTGCGATAGACCTAATTAAATCTTTGCCATTATTTTCTGTGTCTTCTTGCTTTGCAGTTTCCTTGGATTCTGTGTGACTACACCTCAGAAACCCTGGACCTGACTGATAGCAAGATCTACAGGGATCTGTCTAAACCCGTCGGTGTGGTGAACCCAAAGAACATTGAGGAAGTCCAAAGCAAGTAAGTGTAATCACAGACAAAGTACGAAGTAGGCCAATATTATAACTGCACAAGTATCCCTGCAACAAGGAAAATGATACAGAGGGCTGATGGTGAAGGATTTTATTTTTATTTTATTTCTTTCTGGTAATGAAACTAAGGATTCCTCAAAAGTACCCTAAGCACTGTAGCTCGAAAGCCTGAAGAAACCTGTAGAGAGAAGACATTGAGAAGAAATGACAGTTTTAGAGGTGGGAGGAAAAGCCCAGAGGAATATTGTGAGGAAAACCCACGGAATCAGGTAGGGACTGAAAACCCAATCCACATGTTGGCCAGGGAGGGATTCAAACCCGGGTCACAGCGGTGGAAGGCGAGGAAAGTACCGCTACGCCAACCTGACTCCCCAATGTCTGACTTTATTGTCACTGTGCGCCTATGTTCTGATACGTTTGTCCCACACATGTAGGCCTTTTCACACTAGAGCCTCTCAACCCGGGTTGAACTCATGGGCGAACCCAGTTCCGCCCCGGGTTGAGTTTTTTATTTTTCAACCCTGCGTTCAACCCTGCATCGTTTTACACTTGTTCCGTGCAAACTGAGCTTATTTCGCTTGGTTACTACTATTTTGAACACTGGCGAGAGTTTCAACCGGGGTTGAAAATCTCAACCCTGGTCAGGAGCAGGGTTGAGTTTAACCCGGGGCGAAATTGATCTCAGGGTTGGCGCGGGGTGGGTGCAGGGTTGAAAATTTAGTGTGAAACACCGCAGGTTTTCAACCCTGTGTCAACCCAGAGATTCGTGCAGGTAAGAGTTAAAAAAAAACTTGCACATAATCTATGCCTTACGTTTGTGAAAACCAGTGCTCAATGCAGTGTTTCCTTAACTGGCTTATGTATCAACATGAAAAGATGTTTTTGGGTTGGAAAAATTTTGAGGTGGAAACACCTTTTTTGGAAAGAATGTAGTATCCAGACACCACTTCTTTGGTTATGTACAAAGTCTGTGGAGAGTCGAGTGCATTTTCAAAATATTTTTTAACAAAATTTGGAAATGTTTCTCGGTCCCAGCTTCATGTCTTTTCAACATTATTGCAATGACTGACCTTCATTGAGACAAAAAATGATGAAAAAAATGGGGTCAGGATGCAACATACTTTCCCTTTTTTTATCAATTAACATGTGGAGAATGCTTAATATGTTTTACCTTGTTTCACTAAAACACATTTTTTTCATTTGATGATCTTTAGGTTTGAGAATTTTGAAGACCCATCGGGCACCATAGACAAGTTCCACTATGGCACTCACTACTCCAACGCTGCTGGGGTGATGCACTACCTAGTCCGCATCGAGCCGTTCACGTCACTTCATATACAACTCCAGAGTGGAAAGTAAGCTTATCTCACATCCGGTAGGAGCCACCAAGGAATTTGGTTCTCATGATCCACCATTCTGTCTAGCAGCACAACCTTAGAAATTCTGTGCTTAAGATTATCAACTATTGGGCAGTTCAAACCCGGCACGAAAGCGAACGCAAACACGATTTTTTGACGTCGGGGCATTCGCAAAAGTTGAGCACATTTTAACTCCGGCGATTTTCGCAGCGAATGCTTCGTGACGTCAAATTTGCATCACATTTGCATACGCAGGAAGTATGTAGGCATGTATCTTTGCAAAAAATCCTTCTCCTCAAATCCGCTGATTTCCTCGTTTTTTACTTCTCATGAATGCCATTATAAATTGAAAAATACTGTACAAAGTCTTGTTTGGTTTGGAATTTCCTTGTTTTTTTCCCCCAAAAGTCCCAGTTGCATGCCTGAGTATGAACCAGCTGTAATGCTGAAAGTGTTAATCTATGAATACATATGTTGAATGAAAGGTTTGTGGAAACACCAAGTGCGAATAATTTCTCTACTAAGAGAATGGTTCTGAAAAGAACCAGAGGTATAAACTCGACGTTTATACCTCTGGTTCTTTTCAGAACCATTCTCTTAGTTGAGAAATTATTCGCAAATGGTGTTTCCGCAAACCTTTCATTCATTAGTATCTCCACCATGCAAAGCCTCAAATCTCACTAATACACTTGTTTTTTCCATCAGGTTTGATTGTGCAGATCGACAGTTCCACAGCATTCCGTCGTTGTGGGATACGCTGATGGAAAACCCCAACGACGTCAAGGAACTCATCCCAGAATTCTTCTACATGCCAGAATTCCTTGAGAACCGAAACAGTAAAGAATTCTTCTTTTATCTGTCTACTGCACTCGCTATTTATTTTCAAAAGAATGTACTTAAACTAATAACATCTGAATATTAGAGAAATGCAAAGTGTGTGGGAACACAGCAACAATACAATTGTGACCCAACCCAACAAAATGTGTCATAAGTTGCCTAAGCTCCGTTTGAGTTAATAATAGGGCTTTTTAGACATCTTGCACCATGGGAATCAAAGGGAACAATCATCATTTTGACTGTACCATGTATCAGAATGAATAGCGGAGTGTGTGGTCTTACCACTACGTTCACAAATCTGATAAGTAAATATTTGCCCTTTGAAACCCTTTTGATGGGATCAAAAGGGTTTCAATGGGATGTCGTTTTACTGCAAAGGGAATAAGCAGGCATTAGGCAAGGAGTTATTGTGGCAAATCAAAATGATATCACTGTTTTCTTTGCAGATTTCCATCTCGGTTACCTGCAGACTGGGGAAGACGTCAACGACGTGATCTTGCCAAAGTGGGCCTCCTCACCGGAGGATTTCATCTACAAACACCGACAAGCCTTGGTGAGCACAATCCTTTGACAAGCCTTAACCCTAACCCTCTAGGCCCTTTTTGCCAGGAACATCCTCAATCCTACAAAATCCTTCAAAAGGTTGCACTTGCATGTATGTTTAAATGAAGGATACCGACTGCCTCAATCCTTCAAAATCCTCCAACAGCACCCTCTCAAATGCATTCAGCCTCAATCCTCCCAAATCCCACTTTTCTTCAAGCACCAGTCATCCTCAATCCTCCAAAATCAACCGATACTGAGTGCCACGTGTCCTCGACTCTCCACAATCCTCTAAAGTTGTATGTTGCATTCATCATCCTCAATCCTCCAAAATCCTCCAAAATCGCCCAGAGGACTTTGGAGGGAATGAGGTGGGTTAGGGTTAAGCTTGTTTATGTTGTTTACAAAATAACACACATTGTTTATTTTTCTGCTAAAAAAACTTGTAAAGTTGAAGTGGCTTTAAAAAAAAAAAAAGGTTGAAAAAAAACCTTTTGGCCTGATCTCTTGCCTCATGGCACATCAAGTTTGCTGGCTTCTGACTTGTGCCCTATGAGTGAAGACTTTGACAAGTTAGGAGACTGCCGACATCCTGCCCTCTACTGTCCATGCACCGATTCCATTTCCTTGCTCAGGCATATATTCTTCAGGTTGCAGACCAGTAAATATATTTTCATAGACCCCAATGGTAAATGCCCCCACTTCAGAAATTGCGGAAAAATACTCACAGCTCTCCAATGTGTTCCAGACGCACATCAATTAAAGTTTATTTCATCATCTTTCATTTTCTTTTCAATTGTTTGGGGGTGATCTGATGACGTTTGGGAGAAATGTCCATCCGAAGATGATCACCCCTTAAAATAGTCCTGAAGCCCATCGTTATTTTTGAAAAACGGTTCCTACACTCCATTGCAAAATGGAGCGCTTTTAGGGCCCCAGTTTGATCCACATTTCACAGAAATACAAGCTCATGGTCCTGTGCAAGGCTTCCACCGTTATTTTCAACAAACCCTCAAGTTCATGGCTCACAATATGCTCAAAGAATTTGAGAGTATGCAAATCGTGATTTGGCCGGCGTAGGCAAGTTCAGACCGATTTACTGGTCTGCAACCTTCGAGAAGGAACTCTATCTATTTTTTCCCCAACAGGAGAGTGAGCATGTATCAGCCAATCTGCATCACTGGATCGATCTCATCTTTGGCTACAGACAGAAAGGACCTGCAGCAATAGAGGCTCTCAATGTCTTCTACTACTGCACCTATGAAGGCGAGTGACTTTAAAAATGTTTGTATTGAATATCGATAGGGGAAGTTAGCTCTCCATTGATAAAGAGGGCCCCACAATTTCACAACACCTTATCAAATGGTTTTGCTTGCAGAAGCATTTTTGAATGTATACATTAAGCATTTCATGCTGACACAGCAGCAAAAAGGTAGTAACAGTGGAAATGTCCATGCACAAGCAGACATTTGTTTCTGCGTAAACCCTAATTTCGGTTAGTATATGTCGGGTATAAGTGAGAACTTTACCTCATGTGCATGCATTCATTCTGAGTCCTGGGTTTTGTAGTTGTAGCCAAAAATTGGTTTGCTTGGTTCTGATTGGTCCAGTAGTTTTGGTGATTTGGGTAGTGCAGTAATTCTTATGTGATTACTTCCCATCTTAAGTGGACTGGGCCCAATTTCACGGCGCTGCTAAGCACAACAATTTGCTTAGCACCAAAAAAAAGTCTGGCTTATAAAAGCAGGTTATCAACCAAAACTCCATGTGATTTTCATTCTAAGCACACAACAGCTGAATGCTAATCACGAGCAATATACATCATATAGAGTTTTGGCTGGTAACCTGCTTTTATAAGCCAGTCTTTTTTTGTGCTAAGCAAATTTTTGTGCTTAGCAGCGCCTTCAAATTGGCCCCTAAATGCTAAATCAATGAGAAACAACTGAACAAGTTTTTGCGTTGATATCGTCAAAATGTGCCCCCATAAAAAGGCATGGTCACAAGCCAAAATTCTGTGCAAATCTGTGTGATATGTGCAGCGTTAGTGTGGAATTAAAACTCAAAATAATTTTTGGACCTATAGGAGCAGTAGACCTGGACGCCATCAAGGATCCCTTGGAGAGGGAAGCTGTAGAAGGCATGATCAACAACTTTGGCCAGACGCCTTGCCAACTCCTGAAGGAGCCTCACCCAAAGAGACTGAGCATAGACGAGATCAGCAAGAAGGCTTCCAAGAACCAGACCCAGCTCCTGAACGTCTTCGATCACTTAAATGAGTTGAAGGCCTTCTTTGTGGAGGTGTCTACATCAGACAGCGACCCCTTGGTCTATGTGAATGTCCCCCGCAGCCAGCCCAAGTCATTCATCTACCAAGGAATGCCTGACGCCATGGTAATTGAGAGATGTTATAAGTTGTTTTTAATGAGAAGCCTGTTTTAACCATTTTCGTCACTTGGATGTTATTCCACAGTTGTTTAAGTTTCAAGTGTCTCGTCTTTCTTGATTGACTGACACCAAGTTAACAAAACTTCTTGTTTAGTAAGATTATCTAAAAAGAAAATCTCATTGTGGAAGGACTCTTAGTACTCTGTGGCTAACTCACAGAGCCGGTAAAGGACACCTGGCTTGCCTGCATTGGTTTGCATTAGCAAAAGGCATGGAATGCACATACTAATAATTTCAACTATATGTGCACAAACTCATGGTGTCTTCATGTGAAATACTCCGCAGTACTGTGTTAATCATGACGCATGAGTGTGCAGGAGAATTAGGCCAATCAAACTACAGGGTGAGTAAAAATAAAATTGGAAACCCAAATGGCAGGACCAATTTTTTTAATGTAGTTCTGCATGTAGCACTATCAAAATCCAGGATATAAAAGCACAATTCATAAGCTTTCTTTAAGTACAAGAATCATTCAAATCACTCGTGTACTTTTCAAGTTACGGGATTTTAAACACAACCACCGTTTAAAGTTCTGTCCTCAGATCACAAAAAGTTTAAGTGTTCTTTCAGCAAAATGAAAACAATTCACTTAGGATGTGTGTGAATTGTTTTTGTTTTGCTGAAAGAACACACTCCTTTTTTGGTGATCCTTGGACAGATTTTTAAAACAGTGGTTGTGTTAAAAATTCATAACTTGAATAGTACTTGAGTGATTTGAATGATTCGTGTACTAAAAGAAAGCTTATGAATTGGGTTTTCATATCCTAGATTTTGAAAGTGCGACATGCAGAACTTTATTAAGAAAATGGTCCTGCCATTTGGGTTTCCGTTTTTTGACTCGCCCTGTATAGGGGAGAGGGCACAGCCAAGATACATAGCAACCAATAAGATGTCAGAATCACAAGGCCATTGCCTGCCCTCATATACACGTGTGTTATGCAGAGAGGTCTCCAGTCTAGCCACGCAGTGCCATTCGCTGTTCTACGCAGCGACTATGATTAGAGTGGCCATTTTCTATTCTATCTTCTATTTGACTAGGTGACTGTAACAGAGAAAGGCACACTGGGATCACACGGCTGGCTACCATACGACAAGTCCATCTCCAACTACTTCACGTTCGAGAGGGATTCCTCGCTTATCAATGCAAAGTAAGCACGTCTCAAAAACCTACAAGTGGTTTTTATTTCACCAAAGTTTATTTCTTGTCTTTCTGTAAACAGTTGTGAAGGATTCGTCTGCCTTCCCAAGCTGCCAAGCAGAAAAAAAATTATTCATAATATATGTCGTGGGTTCGAGTCCCACCCGAGTGATTTTTTTTCCAACTTTCACTCGGGAGGTAACACACTGAGTAAACAGTGTTTATACGTCGGTGAAATGCAAACCCTAATTTGATTGACCGAAAATACTTATTATCAAATTGATGCGCTAAGTTAAAAAATAAAACCAAAAGCAATAGCTGATTTGTAGTTCCAAGCAATGGACATGACTGGACACTGCTGGACCTTGTAATTACTAAATAAAATGTTCCACTGCTTAGCTGATTGTCAATGCTTAGCAACTAAGGCTTGTAGAGCGCTGTGATCCAGTGATTACAGTGTTCAACAGATGTTGCGTCCTCCGAAGCACTCAATTTCGAGGGTATATATCCAGCCATCTGGCATAGCAATTACACCAAAAGAGCTAGTGTTACTTCTAATAGTTATGTCAGTAGAGTGCACAGTTTGCTCTCCAGTAATTAACTCCTTTTTTCCCCATTTTTTCACCAAATTATTTTTCTCAGAAAACACAGACGCCTTTCTAAACATGTGTAAGTCTATAAAAATCAATCTGAATTTACGCACTCACAACTGGGAGTAAATGACTAGTCATGTTTTGCCTTTAAAGTACAGCTTTAATGCTATTAAAAATGGGGGAGTATCATCAACAGGCTTCTAGCCAGGCATACAATAGGATATCGGGCCGATACGCTTCGAAAAAAATCCGATACGCTTGAAGTTAACCGATATGCTATCAATACGCTTCACATTTTCCGTGACAAAAAAAACTACCCAAGGTTTTCTCACTACTTATAAAAGTTATACACAGGGCAAGACAGGGCGGCTTATACGCCAATCCTTAAAGAATAAAAATGAGATTCAAATGTGTATTAAATGTACTGGTATAAAATAAGATCTGTTGCTGAAACGAATTATCAATTGATACCTGAGGCAAATCATTTTTTTAAACGAACAGTGGAAGCACATCCCACGAAAAGATACTGAGGTTCGCTACCGAGCGCTAGCGGTAGTACATGTACACTGCCGCGCTGGCCGGCCGTGCGTGAGCGAACTCTTTCGTTGGAATCCGATGTGATTGCATGCGTGCCCTGGTCATGCATGCAACACACACGCTGTATGATCGGACCAAACCAATTGTTGGTAATACTAGTTGTTACCCCATTGACCCCACGCTGTAAGGACTTCGCGCTTCGCGCTCGCAAGATCCATTCGTCGCATGCCCCTATCCTTTAATTTCATCCTGGCTAGAACCCTGATCATCAAAGCTTTGATCTTGTCTTCTTTTTTTAAAAATTGTTTTTGTTGTCCACTTGATGCAAGGCAAGCTTTTTTTCTTTAGCACTTCTGTCTTTTATAGAGTTGACTAAATACTTCTTTTAGATTTTTTAGAGTTTCCTTGCTGAGCTAGTGTTTATTTGATGTTCATACAACTGTAATCTTTACTAGCATTACCAAAATTACTGTGAGCGCAGATCTTGAGTGCTTTTTCAATTTTCAAATTTCTTCATTAATTTGTGCAGAATACTGACCTCCAAATTCTTAGTAACAGAAAAAAAAGTCTTCAATTTTCCTCTTACTTGAATTCTGACATGCTTTATTAATATGGGTACATGATTGCTGGCCATCACCTACAAGCTCAATATCTGAATGGTCCAAAGTCTTTGCTAATTAACAGGAATTAGTGGGCTCAACTTAACCTTTCATCTTGCAAAGTATGAGTGCTTTTTCACGTGGGGGAAGGTCAAATGATTGAGTCTTAACCCTAAAAGGGCCGGGGTGGGGGGGGGGGGAGGACGGAATCTGCATCCCCCCTCAACTTTTCTGCGATACCCTTGAAAAACTTTTTTTTTCGTGGCCCGAGCTGTCCTGACTTTTTAGCCTTGAGTCTTAGGAATCTTTTGATACCCAAAAACATAAAATTCGGACCGTGGGTTGCCCTGCAGCAATAAATTTTATGGCACTACGCGCCGTGAAAACTGAATTTCCCCATATATGTAGTGTACACAAAGCAGAATTCGCGCATATGAATAATTAATTAGCCATAATTGCCAAACCCTTTAGTCATGAAATAGTCATGAAATAGTCATTATAGTCATGAAATTTCTTGGGTATGTTCATGTTAAGTTGTTGAGTTGTATTATTTTTCATCACTCGATGGCCGAGATCTTAGAGGGATAACCCAGCCCTTTTAGGGTTAACCTTTCTTTTGTCAGGACTTCATACAGCCATCAACTTGACAAAATTGTTTGTTGTGAATTTTTATTTGTGTGAGGTAACACAGTGACAGCTGTAGAACAAACCCATGCTTCCTAATATTAGATTGGATGGTTTCCATGGCAAAGTAAGCAATAAGAGTATGTTTGTGGTTGCACCGTGTTACAAGAAATGGCCTCAACATTTGAGACAGTATGCTCTGCCGATCAGAGACTCAGTCTGCGTGTAAACACAGTGTCTTTGCTTGGAGTTCTTGAGTGGTTCACTCTTATTCTCACTCAGAGTTCATTAACCCTAACCCCTTGAGTGATTTACTAGAAACCTTCCTCACTCCTGCAGATACCAACACTGTAAGGTAAACTCAACACCCAAACTGTTGGACTCTGATTATGGTGGTATGCCTAACCCCATGTAACGCATAATCAGATTTACCAGTGCAGTACTCACTCCAACAGATTCCAACAAACCCTGGTGTTGGAGTTTGACTGGATGGGGATTGTTAGGGTATAAGCCCGGTTCATAACTTCACGCGAAAGCATGTGCGAAGCAAAATTCATGTCATCAACAATGGTGGATGCGCTTCGAATGTATTGTTGACATCACAAATTTTGTTTCGCTTTCACTTTCACGTGAAGTATGAACCGAGCTTAATGCAGATACTTTTCAAGTAATGAAAAACTGATTACAAAAATTCTAAATTCCTGTGCGCTTATAAGATCATTCTTTCAATCTCAGAATCAGAAAGTCCGTAAGCGGGCCTTTCGCCCCCGGCCTGAAAGTCACCCCGTCCCTGTTTGTCACAACCCACGATGCCAAGCTGTTGTTGACCGGAGGCCACTGGGACAACAGCCTGCGCGTCTTCAACGTCGCCAAGGGCAAGCTCCTAGCCCACGTGGTCAGGCACACGGACATCGTGACGTGCTTGGCACTGGATAACTGCGGCATGCAGTTGATGACGGGGTCTCGGGACACCACGTGTATGATCTGGGAGATTGCATACCAGGTATGTAAGACTTTTCCACGGATCCGCTGATTTCCTCATTTTTTACTTATCATGATGCCATTACAACTTGAAAAACACTGTATAAAGTCTTGTGTGGTTTGGAATTTTCTTGTTTTTCTAAATTCCCAGTTGCATGCCTGTAGACTTGCGTTCAGAGTTAAACAGAACAAATTTATTCCAAAGTCTCGAATTATGTTTGACATTTGTAAGAGGTTCCACTACAGCCAAAGTATGGATTTTTGCAGAGGTTTGAAATGACTCCATGATAATCATGTGTATTTATAAAGCACACATATCTAGCAGTATTGGTGCTCAAGGCGCTACATCATTGTTACCCCTGCATATTGGGCCAATGAAACATTCCAAAGACAATCTCAGCTCCCTGGGGAGTATACAGCTCCATGCTGCCATTTAGGCGCAAAGGGGCTAAAACAACCACAATAACCACCTCTGCTTTCACAGGTACCCATTTACTCCTAGGTGGAGAGAAGCAATGAGTGACACAGTGCCTTGCCCAAGGGCACACGCACCATAACCCCAGGCTGGACTCGAACCCGCGACCTGCAGAATTACCTGCAGACCACGAATTCAGCGCTCCAGACCACGAGGCCACGGCACTCCACTCCGGTGTCCAGTCTATGTACATAAAGTTCGCTTCTCTGCAAACCAAATTCTGTTTTGGTTGAAATCAGTCCTTGATTCTTGAAGGATTGACAAGGGTTAGGGTTTATTGTGTTTTTGTGTGTGTTCATTCTTTGTGCACAGGGAGGTGTTGCGTGTGGTGTGGGTAGCCAGCCAGTACAGACATTATATGGTCATGATGACGAAGTATGCTGTGTAGCTATCAGCACAGAACTTGACATGGCCGTGTCAGCATCAAAGGTATGTGGACAGAGAAATTTTTTTTATGGTTTTTGCATCACATTTATATGAAATGTGATGCGATCAAGCTACACGAGTTGTTTGTCGGGAATTTTCATTTGGAGATACAGGCCAAAATAGGGCCACTTCATCACATCACTTCATCACATCTCTTGGTGTTCTGACGTCCATAATTTTTTAACTAAAGGTGGTATCAGCATGCAGTTTTCACAGATGTAATGCTGAGATTGTGCTCCTTTCAAATCTGTAATAAAAAAAATTTGACCGGGGTCGACAAACGACTCATTTAGCTTGATCGCATCACAAATGTCAGTGGTGTAGAATTGTTCTCACACAACGATTATCAGACACGCATGTACATGTATGACCTCTTGCTTATTTTCACATGAATGTTCGCAAACCCATAGAGTCTGCATGTGAGAGAAACACTCATGAGAAGATGTGGGAGAAATCGGAGATTTCAAAATCCAGTTATCGTAATTGTGTTCAAACTGAATAACATTTATCCATTTTCACTGGAAGCACACAGTCATGCCAACAAAAAGTGACGGTTGAGGTGCCACATGCAATGCCCTCCAGGGTGATTGGGTATTGCTTGCAGGATTCAATGACTACTGGGCCTTTACAACAACAAAAACACACTGGAATTGTAATATTCAAGGGAAAAATGGGCGGAAACCCTCTGATCAGTCAGATGGACAGGCAATTCATGCACTCGTAATAATTTGAGAAATAAACTCATCATATTGTAATATGTGTTTTAGATTCTGAAATAAACCAATAAATTTACAAGAATGTACGATTGCGCTCACTTGTCTTATATAGTAATGTAAAGTTTTTTTAAATCGTTCCATAATTAGGTGGTTATTGTCAATTGACCTATCGCGTTAGAATCGCGTCAACGCAGCTTGTGAAATATTGTCCAATTACATAATTTACAAATAGACGCGGAACGCGCAAAATCTGAGACAAACAAAATTTAGTGTACAAAAACTCCATTGGGTTGTCTAAGGGGCGTGGCTAACTCGCAAACGGCGATAGGTCAATTGAATTAATTCGGGTATGTAATTTTTTTTGTATTTTCTGTGTTATTCTGTGTGTGTTTTTAATTTATATTTTTAAGGACTCTTGTGTTTTATTGACTTATTGACTAAAATTTGAATGGATCTGCAGTGAAATCTCGATAAGTCAAACCTCAACTTGACTTGAGCAGAGTTTTGAGCTAAGCAGGATTTTATACTTTTATATCATTGTTTTACTACAGAAGGGAATGGATTCTTTGTTTGACTTAACAGTTGTTTTGAGTTATCAGAGTTTGAATTATCAAGATTTTACTGTATATGTAATTTCTACTGATTGCACATTGGGGAACATATCTCATGCGATATTTACTTGACAAAAACAAATCTTGAATCTTGAATCTTGACACTTGAATAACCAGACACTTTCTTAGCTCGGTAAAACTGATTGCATATAGGGGAGCATATCTCATGTGATTTTTTACGTGACAAATACAAATCTTGAATCTTGGATCTTGACACTTGAATAACCAGACACTGTCTTAGCTCAGTAAAAATGCCTACAGTCATTCAACGTCTGTAACTGTTCCCCCTTCCAACCTGCAGGATAGTACAGTCATCATCCACACCATTATGAAGGGTCACTACGTCAGGACATTACGCCCCCCTGTCTTAGACCCCCAAGCACCCATCACTATCCCATGTCTTGCCTTATCCGACGAGGGTCACGTAGCGGCCGTGTGTACACCCCAGTACAGCAAGAAGACCAGCCAGGTACAAATATTAAAATGCCAAGTCTTTTTCAAATTGCAAATATACGAGAAAAGCAGGCCAACGTCTCAACTTAGGGATGCTTGAATATGGCATCGGGAAACAGTATTATTGCATCGGAAAACCTGGATTATTTTTTCTCATTTAAAAATTCGCAAGTATTCTGTGAAATGTACCCCCAAAAAAAAAAAAAAAATCTGGGACGGTCCAGTAGACTGGAATTAAAACAATATATTGGTTCGTCGTCTCAAGTCGGCACAATTTTGAGATTCACTCTTGGGTTTTGCCCATCTCCGATGTATTTTATTGATTGAAATGAATTGAATTGAAAATAACTGAAAAGTAAAAAACTTTAGTAGTATACTTGTTGTGGTATTTAATGCACCAAATTGTTTCGCTTTTTTGTGGGCTCAGAATAATACCTGAATTGAATCTGTCAAAGAAGGTTGATTGAAAATTACATTATGTAAAGAGGGAATTTGGGGGGGGGGGGGGTAGTGACAGACAACATAATCACAAAAGTGCATATCACACTGTAAATTCTTGCTTTGGTTTTTTTTTCTCCAGGATCTCTGTTCTGTCCACGTCTATTCCATTAACGGCAAGCATATCTGTGATACTACCCTATCCAGCAAGATCATACATATTGATATCACTGAAGAGTTTCTGCTCACTGCTGACGATAAGGGCACGTTGACCATCAGGAGACTCTTTGGGTAAATATCAGTAGAGTTACAGTACTTATCCACCTTCAAGAAAGAGAATCAGGCTAGATCCAAATTACCGGTACACGGGCCTTATTCATGAGTCGGCCATATTGAATTGAAAGTTAGGTAAAATCTGAATTCTTGGAACTTGCGAAGAGAAATAAAAACCAAGTTAATTTATAAAAAAAATCCAGTCTGCTTCAATGAATAATTTCAAATTTGTAATTAAACATTCCCTAATGTTTAAAGCCATATTTAAAAAGAAATGACAGTAAAATAAGGCTGCATTATGCCTGCATAAATAGTCTGGCGCCGTCCCATTCACAGTAAGCCATCTCGTGAATAAGGCCCATGGCTATGGCTTGCAACTACTGACCTTGTTTGTCTTGTTCTACGTCAGCCTTGAGGTATGTACCACCATGCCGCTGTACGTACCAATCCACTGCGTCAGCGTAGTACCAACCAAGAGCCAGATACTAGTGGGTCTACGGGACGGCAAGCTCATCATTGTGGCGGTGGACCGGCCGGCGGAGGCCAGGAAACTCCCGCTGCTGGGGTAACGTAGATTCAATTCTTTGATTGCTTAAAGGGAAGATACAACATTTGCAAACATTAAAAAACGAAATGATCAAATTATCACGAAATACCTTACTGGATTGTTAGGGAATGAGAGTCTAAAGCATCCTGTAAAATCGTGGCTCCTGGTGTGCTGACATTTTCAAGAAAAATTGTCGGCCGACCAGCGTTGGAAAAAACTGGCTAATTTTCAAAAAACTACTCCTAATTTTTCATATTTAGTTATTCGCATTTTCTTTGCAATTGATTACACACCTGCAAAGGGGTACAAGCCTGCCAGACTGATTCTCTAACCTTACAATTCCCCAAAATCTACAAATCTACATCTAAAGTGGGGTCAGGAAACCAGACTACAAGAACATGATAGGTTTTCTTGGTTTTTCCAGCATCTACAAGCCCAAAACGTGAAACAAGTCAGTTTAAAAATATTTGCTACAACATTCTAATCCTCCAAATCCATTTATTTCTGAAAATTGCAGGAAAAGCAAATGTTGTACATTCCCTTTAATTCAATTTACGTCAGGAAGTAGATAAATCCCATTTTTCTTTGGGGGGGGGGTTCTCAGATTCTGATTTGCCTTTTTTCTTAAAAGAGTTTATTACACCAGGACCCAGTTTTCATGACAGTAGGTGAAAAATCATTGCCAGGGAAACAGAAAATTAAGTGCTTACAGCACATTTCATTGATAAAAATGATTTTGGCTTGTGTCACTGCAGTCATACTGGAATTTGTATCCTTGTGGAGACATTCCTTTGGTCTCGTGTACTAAAGTTTTCGAGTTTGAAAGTGTATTTTAAAAATGCTCTTATTTTAACCAGAATTAATTTCCTTGGCTGAAATTTGGACTTAACATCCGTTTTCTAAAACTCTTCCATTTGCGACTGATCAACATAGCTTGGAAATTCCTAGTTTTTGAGTAAAATCCATATATTTATTTCATGAAAACCTTGTGGAGACGTATTCATCTATAGAAATTGCCCTGTGGAGACGTATACAATCTTTTGTTCCCTATTGTACACACGTCTCCAGAGGGTATGGTGTATCAGATCAGTCATCCTGTAACTACAGTCGACTCATGTTAAATACAAACTCAGCTGGAGCTAGCCTAAATGTTTGTTGTATCAGAACTTTGTATTAAGTGGAATGCCTGTCCCATTCATTGTGCACATAATATGCACATTTGGGACCAAGGCTATATTTTATGTTTGCTATAACCAGAATTTGTATTAACAGAGTTTGTATTAATGAGAGTCAACTGTATAATGTTTCCTTGCTGAATGCCAAAAAAATAATAATTATAAAAAAAAAAAAAATCCTCTCTTGTGCAGAACCATGAGATTGAGCCTAGTTCCTTCAATGCTTTTTATGCCCCGCGGCGAAGCCGAAGGGGCATACTGTTTCCGCCTTGTCCTTCCGTGGGTGGGTGTGTGTGTGGGTGGGTGGGGGTGAGCTTGTCTTACATACGCAGTGTGGACTTCCGAACAAAAGACGTCCACATAATGTAGGTAGCAGCGACGAAGTGTGGACTTGCCCACGTCCACACAGTGTTTCCCCATTTCTGGAAAACAGGTTTAGAGGCATTTTTGGGTTAGGTTTATCCGTAGCAGAATGAAGAGAAACACTAAAGGGAATCATTGAAAAAAAATTGGGTTGTAAGAGTTTTCACAGTTTGAGAAAAATGAGTTTTTCCACTGGTGTTCCTTAACTACACGAAAAGAAAGGAAAGTCCACACTAGGTATGTGAAACAAGTCTGGGTGTGGGTGTGTGTGTCCGGACAAATCTTGTCAGCGCGATAACTTGAGAAATACTTAACATATGAACTTCAAATTTGGTTTGTGGATTGTCCTTGGTAATCCTAAGAAGCCTTTTGCATTTGGGGCCGAAAGGTCAAGGGTCAAGGTCACAGTGGCTGAAACAATAGAAATTTTGTCAGCGTGATAACTTGAGAAATACTTAACATATGAACTTCAAATTTGGTTTGTGGATTTTCCTTGGTAATCCTAAGAAGCCTTTTGCATTTGGGGCCGAAAGGTCAAGGGTCAAGGTCACAGTGGCTGAAACAATAGAAATTTTGTCAGTGCGATAACTTGAGAAATACTTAACATATGAACTTCAAATTTGGTTTGTGGATTGTCCTTGGTAATCCTAAGAAGCCTTTTGCATTTGGGGCCGAAAGGTCAAGGGTCAAGGTCACAGTGGCTGAAACAATAGAAATTTTGTCAGCGCGATAACTTGAGAAATACTTAACATATGAACTTCAAATTTGGTTTGTGGATTGTCCTTGGTAATCCTAAGAAGCCTTTTGCATTTGGGGCCGAAAGGTCAAGGGTCAAGGTCACAGTGGCTGAAACAATAGAAATTTTGTCAGCGCGATAACTTGAGAAATACTTAACATATGAACTTCAAATTTGGTTTGTGGATTGTCCTTGGTAATCCTAAGAAGCCTTTTGCATTTGGGGCCAAAAGGTCAAGGGTCAAGGTCACAGTGACTAAAACAAAAGAAATTTTGTCAGCGCGATAACTTGAGAAATACTTTACATATGAACTTCAAATTTGGTTTGTGGATTGTCCTTGGCAATCCTAAGGAGCCTATTGCATTGGGGGTCGAAAGGTCAAGGGTCAAGGTCACAGTGGCTAAAACAATAGAAATCTTGTATTTATTCTGAGATCATAGGGATTAGGGATTAATTCATATAAAACCTACAGAGGACACTAATGCTGTCAATGAACGTTCCATTTGACCAAGGTAAATGTAAGTTGATGTTAGAGTGGTGTTATGTCATGGAAACAGTCACGGTTGCGGGGCATTTGTGTTTGTAAACACACCTGACTTGTTTCAATTTTTTTTTTGACAGGCGATGATCAGCAAAAAGTGCCAGGGATGCCAACTGAATGGATTCAATGCAATGCGCTCACACGCTTGAGGGCGCTCTTGCAACTCACCGTCTTCCATCAATATCAGAATACCCTATGCTTTTTATAGCTCTGGATTTGGGTAAAAAAACCTACGGCAAAGGTCATCATAAGAATATATTAAATGTTTCTGTGCATATATCGCATTTTTTCTTTCTTTCATGATTTAAACATACCGTACCAGAAACTTAATTTTGACTAATTATGGAAAAAAAATATGACGGGATCTTTCAAAATTTCATATGCTTAGAGAACTAAAAAAGAAGTGTAAAATGTATGGACCATCAAACTCAAATGCATAAAGGTCAGAAATCTTTTGGCATGATTTCCAAAAATACCCTAAATTTATTTTGTGATGGGCATTTCTGCATCTTCTTTTGAGCTTGATTTTAGTTAACTTGATACACTCAACCAAAAAAAAAGGAAATCCCCCTAATACTTTTTTGTCCAACTCAAAAATAACTGAGCAAAATTTGACCCAAAACAGTGACAATGTGTACGAAATTATGCAATTTATGACAAATGATAACAACAAAAAAAGTTGCACTTTTGTGTACGTGCAAGTTGTGGGCGAACATTTGGTCTCTAACGCAATCTTCCAACAAAAATTTCTCGACAAATAATTTCAAATTTTGTTGGTTATCTTTTTACCCTTTCGTTTACTGAACCTTGAATAACATGAAAAGTGTGCAGTAAAGGAAAGGGTGAATTGATAACCAACAAAATTTGAAATTAATTTTAAGAAATTTTTGGTGGAAGATTGCGTTAAAGACAAAATGTTCACACTCAACTTGCACATATTCAAAAGTGCAACTTTTTGTTTTGTATCATTTGTCTACATTGCATAATTTCGTACACATTATCACTGTTTTGAGCCAAATAAAGAGTATGGCTGGATTGCTAAGGAATTTCTTTATTTGGATTAGTCTTTATTTGAGCGAGAGGTGCTCAGTAGTTTTTGAGTTAGACAAAAGTATTAGGTGGGGACTTTCTTTTTTGGTGAGTTTATGATACAACTTACTTTTTTGAAAGGCTCATATTTTAAAATTCATGGTCAGTGTTGAACTTTCATACATGGTTGGGTTTTTTTTAAACTCTCTCCCAAATCTTACCTTGAATATTGAAATAAAAATCCCTGAATTTGTACAAATTGTAGTATTGTAAATCAGATTTATATAGAAATGTGTCAGCCTTGCAATCACGCAAGCCTCTAGAGTTAGACTTGCCACAGTCTTTCCCACATTCCAAGTGACCTAATTAGTTGGCATGTATTTAAATTTATCCATAAAAAACATTGGATATTTAAGAAGTATACATAAACTATACTTATACAATAAGAGAAATTATATATCGTGTTAAGCTACTGAATGTGACACAATATGGACCAATGACACGGATGTAATGAGCTTGCACATTGCTTTATATTGCTATTATAAGCGCTTGCTATCTCGTAATTTTTAAATAGAATCAGCATTTAATTATATGTTGTCCACGTAAACTGGAGGAACATGGTACGTGTGTAGCTACTACCCCCGATGGACTAGCTTAGAAGCATTCCTTGCTCCATATTACATTCGGTGGAGGATGTACACAGTTGCTAGGCAGAACATTTTTGTGCTTTAAAAATTTATGTTATCAGCTTTATTTAATTAAACAGCAAGACCTTTTTCATTCCCCTTTTTTGTGTACATAAAGGTTGATTCCTTATAATTTGGTCACATTTATGTCTTCAAAATTTTGTAGAGGGCAAATTCCGAGAATTAGACAAATGACATTTGGAAATTGTCTAGGAATCGTCTAGGCTGGATGGAGAACATAGGTTAAGACGATTGGTTTTCATTTTTATCATTTTCTTGTGAAGATGAAACTGTTCAGGTGCAATTATTGTAAAAAAAAAAAAAAATGTTGATAGAAGTATGAGCATTAATCAGTGTGTGATTACATTCCTATTTTTTTTTCTCCAGAAGTAGAGAATTATACCATTTGAAAACCTTTCTAGAGTAGGGTTCAGCCCCAGACCTGATGTTCATTAACCTATGCATTTGATAAATAAGGACTGTTAAAATTAACAGGAACATTCCATCCTTTGGTAAGAAATCATTTTTTCTTATGCTGTGACTTGGCACTGAATGATGTACCTCTCATTAATTGTTGGATCAAAGAAAACAAAAATAGAGATTTTCTCTTTTGCATTGTACATGTATCAGCCCAAAAAACTTGAGTTCTTTTAAGAGCCCATAGTAGAAAAAAGACCGCTCGGGTGGGATTCGATTTCAGGACGTCCCGTTTACAAGTGCAAATGTCTTGCTGACTCGTCTACTTGCTGATGACGTTGTGTCGACTTGAATTCCGCATAGGTTTTTTTTTTTAGTTGGGTGGGATTCGAACTCGGGGTGTCCCGTTTACAAATCCAAAGTGTTACTGACTCAACTTCTTAAGTGGGTTGACTTGAATTCCACGCAGCCAGGACTTTACTTGGGTAGGATTCGAACTCAGGACGTCCCGTTTACAAATCAAGAAGTCTTACTGAGTCAACTTTTTACTGATGATGGTGGGTTGACTTGAATCCACAACTTTACTTGGGTTGGATTCGAACTCAGGACCTCCTGTTAACAAGTCCAGATGGTGTACTGACACAACTACTCGTTGATGTGTCGAGTTGACTTGAATTCCACGTAGCAAGCAGTTTTTATTTGGGTTGGATTCGAACTCTAGACATCATTGTTAGAAGTTCAGGTGGTCTTACTAAATATGTGGGTTGAATTGAATTGACAGGTGCAAGTAGCATAAACAAATATTTATGCAATGAAACAAAATTCTGTAGGTACTCAAAACAATCATATTTGTGATTCTTAAATCTTTTTATTTAAAAATTGTTACTATCTTTTCTACATTACTGTCTGTACTTTAAGAAAAAAAAATACCTGTTTCTCCTCAACCAACCACATGATTTTATACCAGAAAGTGAGTTGAATTAATACAAATTTGTTAAAGGTCTATTTTTTAATATAAAACCTTCTAATGTAACAATGTTTTTACTGAGGACATATTAATACATGCATGTGAATTTATGTGAATGGATTGTAAAATGCATGCTTTAATGGTTGGAAATCCTGACTTAATTCTATTCAAATTAAAAAAAAAAAAAATCAGTTTTGAAGTTTATGAAAGAGCTGCTGATTACTTGGTTTACGCATCAGTGTTGATTAAAAGTTGGCATTAGTTGATCGCATCAGAAAATTCCACCAAATTGTTCAAGTCTTTCCAGTTGTAAGATGATGAGGCCAAGTCCATGCAAATTGGATCGATTTCCAAAATAATTTTGGTTTGTATATTGCATGATGAAAACTTAAAGGAACTTTGAAAGTTTGTCTACCTTTGCAGTACATGTACACGGTTCCTCACGATCAAGAGCATTGAGGTGTGTTATGTCCAGAATCGGTTTTTGAGGGCTCTTTGGAAAGTAGGTTTTTTAACTGAAATGAACTCGACTACCCTCGTAAAAAAAATTACAATAAAATAAAATGAATTCAAATGTCACATTCAAAATAGTGAAAATCTGGTCACAACCGCAAAGCGTGTACAATTTCTAAAACTATAGAATTTGTATTCAATTATAGTTTGTATTTGCTATCCAGTTTAATATTCAGCCTTGTAAACTATGCTTGGAAACCTCAAAAATTACTTAAACAAAGATTTATTCTTGTATAAAGGCCACATCAGTTCTCGATTTCTTCTCAAAACAAAAGGATTTCAGATTCTGTTTAGATTTTGCTCAACTTTCAAATAGAAAAAAAAGTAAGTGGGGTTATACAAGCATTAAGCGCAGGCTGGCTATGTTGAAGTGTTTATTTGTTGTATGGGGCTTTGGGGACAACACGAGGTCATGTCACAGTGTCTTACATTTTGTGTCCTAAATCCTTAGGTTAATGGTTTCTTTTGTTTAACTCTGTGGTGAACCAAAGTAAAGCAAACTTATTCCTATATTATGTACACACACACACAAAAGTTCTATTTGCAATCTCAGAATATTTGTTATTACATGTATATTGTAATTCACATGAAAAAAAATAAAGGAAGTTTAATATAGTGTTAAAGCTTCATCCTGAAAACAGTGTGTCGGTAATTGTTGTATTTCAGCAAGTTTCGAACGATTGGACTATTGTTTAAAGTCTGAACAAGGTATCCCTTGCTTGTATTTTAATGAACAAATTTGGGGGAAACAAACATTTGTCAACAACTTTTCTTTTATTTACATGATTCATAATTCAAGTACACATTACTTAATGAAGATTCAAATTGTAAAGGAAGATAATCTTTCTGTGCTATGGAGCATTTATGAGTGGCCTTTTATGCACATAAAAACGCATCACTGTCACAGAAGTTTTTGAAACCTGGTTTCATCTTCAGGACTTGTCTCACGCCCAAGAGTCCTAAGAATCCTAGGCTACTTTCAAACCTCATCTGAATAAACAAACCAAAGGCCTTGTGTGAGAGAATTTGGTCTCCGCAGAAAATGCACCAATATTGTAGTAGAGACTGTGAAGCTGTAGCCGGAAGGCAAAGCTGGAAATGAAGCCATGATTTCACAAACCCCATCAATTCCACTAAGTAATAAATTTTACCTTCGCCCTTTTAACATTTGACCTCTGCTAAAATCTATATGCAAATCCAGCCATTGTAAACACAAATATGGTGTCCAAGAGTGTACTCAAGCATTGTAGAAACATGTAGTCGAACACGAACTCTCACTCGCTTCTTGGATCTATATTTTTACTTCTGAAAACTGTTCATCGCACTGCAGTACATTTCCACTGTATACTTTGGCTGTATCCATAAAATTGGCCGATGTTGACAAAAAAACTACAGAGGAAAACAGAGGGTTCACACTTCACAGAAAAGCCAGTGTCACATATTGGTGAGGTCAACAGGAAATATCTCCAATGCCTATGAGAACGTGCTTTGCATGTTTTGACACTTTTCACCAGGAACATTTTGCCATGCATTCCCATGTCGTATGAACTGGTCTTAATGTACTGAAGTTTTAATTACAAAATCAACAAAAAGTAACAATGTCAATCAAACTTCAACAATACTTTGGTTTCACAATTGGGTGGAAGAAACTATTTTAGTGGATTGCATCAGAAGAATTATGCACTTAGAATTAAAAAAAAAGAAGCAATAATGTTCTTAAAACATGTCAAATTCCTAAATTAAAAAAGCAAAAAGGAAAAATTAAACGTTATAATTCAGATGTGAACAATACTATGGAGTAAAGGGTAATCTCCATGATCACACACCTCTTTAAAATATTTTTAAAGAAAAAAACAAAACGCGAAAAATAAGCACCTATTGACATTTCCACTAACATCTGGTGCAACCGAAAATTCTCTTCACAGTTGTCAATATGACAATTACTGAATAGATACAGTTATCAACATTTCCCTTGTACCAAAATTTAAAGATTAATAAACAAAAACCTTCAATGTCAAACTTTAGGCAACAACGCTATCCTGTGGCTACTTGACAACAGGAAAAGCTTTTATGCTTCTTACTTTACAATATTCACCACAATAGTACAGTTGTCAAGATGATCTCGAAGAGAAGTTTTTGTTTAAATACAGGGGATCACTCCCAAAGTTACAGTCCCGAGTATCATCTGTTGTTCAACGGAGCCCACAAGCTCCACAACATCTGATATTGTGCGACTCCGCGCGCTAGCCAATCGGAGTCGATTTTAGAAACTGTGACGTCATGAGCAGAAATTCGGCCTTAGGCCAAAAAAAAAAATATTCGGTCTCTGGTCAGACCAAAGTTCCGGAATTGACGCGGGGACGCGGCTTTTTTTTTTGGCTTTTTTTTTTTCCTTCAAGCTTGGATTGTACAGACAAGGTGGGGTACTATTTTGTTTTTTTGGTGTCCTCATGTACATTGGTGTCCTCCATAATTTGCCTTGGTGCTCTCGATCATTTGCCTTGGTGCAATTTCCCATTCCTTGGTGCTCTTTGGTAAAAAAAAATTGAGGAGGTGCGGCAATAGAGGGCGCTGTTGGAGCTACCGCGGAACATTTTGGAAAAAAAAAAAGATTGACGCGCATGATTAAAATCGACGCACGCGCTGACCAGAGACCGACTTTTTTTTTTTTTTTGCCTTAGCTGTTGATTGCTCAATTGGCTGCCAGGTTACCGAAAACACGATAGAAGGCGCTGGCTAAATGGTCAGAATGTGAAGGTCAAGACGCAGTCGTGTTTTGCATAATTAATTGCCGAGTCTGCACGCTTATCATAGATGCTTGCTGTGTAAGCGGCTATTCCATAGACTCCCAAAGTTACACATATCGTAATAAATGTGTTCAGTTGTACTTGAAGTGGCAGTGTTTTTAAGTACAGGAGTAATATGATGCAAATATGTTTCGGAGGTGTTGATGTCTTCTATCAAAAACACAACAATTCAAACAGCCTTATATCTAAAATCTACATGGTGCTACCATCAATTTACATGTAAATCTACGGAGGTAAGAAAACGCTTTCAAAATAGTCACAGATACGTTGCCAATTTTTTTTTTTTGTATATAGTTTGCAGGATAGTAATTCCTGATGTGGAAACACTTTGGATATTTCATATCAGCAGTAATTTGGACCAAGACTGGTTCTGCGAGGGCAGCATTCAACAGCTGGCTCCCCGCTACCTGGTAACCAGTCTGTTTATCAGCGTCTGTCACGTACACGCTCGCGTCTAACCCTATCATCCGGGGAATCACTGTACTCGCGTCTCCGCGACTTTCCGCTTGAGCTCTCGCGGCTTGACTTTTCGTTTGAGTAGCTGCGATCGTAGTCCCTTTCCCTCCTGGAACTCTCTCGTTTTTCCAAAACGTCGTCGCGATCATCCACTCTCTTTTGGGATTGTCGCAGACGGTCTCTGTGTCGCTGGTTCTCTTTGTCTTCTATCTCGTATCGACCATCGGTGCGCCGTTTGTGGCTCGTCTCCTGTCTTACATCGTTCTGTTCCTCATCATACTGTTCTCGGTCGTTATCTCTGGCAGACCTTCTCTCCAATCTTGGGGGTGATCTGTCATCATATCGGTCCTGTGTATCCTCCTGGTGTTTATCACGGTGTCTCTCTTGCCGTCCGTTACTGGACCTGTCGCGTTTGTCACCGTGTCGATCACGGCGATCGATGCGCTGTTCCCGATCGTCTTCATCACTGACGATCTCGTCGCGATGGCTGTTTTGGTTCCTCTGTTTGTGATCTTTTGGACGTCTCCTAGCAACGTCCTCCCCTCTTTGATCACGCTGATCGTAATTCTGACGATTTTCCGGATAGTCCCGATCCCTTTGACGTTCCCTCCTTCTATCCCTGTCCACACGGTTGTCATTCGGACGTTCAATGGGTCGTTCTGTTGTATGTTTTTCTCTTCTGCTTGCAGCTTTGGCACCACGTTTCTTTGTCCGTGATTTTTTTTTGTGTTTTGATTCTTCTTCACTCTCTAACAAAAAAAAGGGAACAGAAATAAATGATCGATCAATCTTTCATTTTCTATTTTCTGTATGGTCACTTCAAGTGTACTCAGGAAGTTTGGCAATAAGAGGATTGCAAACTTTTACTTTTCAGTGTTTCAAAGTTTGCTCTGTCCACTTTTTGATGATACTCGGTGTAAAAACGTGAAGAAACATACTCTCTGCACATCTTGCTGAATCTAAAAGAATCCAACGACATAATAGAGTGGAAGAGGCCCGTTCTATGTTCACTGCCCAGTGATCAACATGAACTGACAGAAGTGCTGTTTGATAGAGAATGTAGGGTTAGGTTGACCTTAAATCACCAGAAAATAAGTTTTCAAAGAACGTTCTTAACTCCTCAAAACTCCCCATTGTGCAAGATCCAATGACACAAAAGTATGCCAAGATTTACTTCAAAATGCACCTAAGCTACTGCTATTATCAGAATCACCTGAATCAGATCACTGAAATCACTGAGATCACTGGAATGACTAGAATTACAAGATTTACTTCAAAATGCAACTGAGCTACTGCTATCACTAGGATCACCTGAATCTGTAGGATCACTGGAATCACTATGGCACACAATGATTTCATAAGGCATCTGAGCTACTGCTATCACCAGAATCACCTGAATCAGTAGGATCACTAGAATTGCTAGAATCGCAAACAATGATTTCACAAGGCACCTGAGATACTGTTTTTACCAGAATCACCAAAATCAGAATGATCACTGGAATCACAAAGACTAACTTCACAAGGCAACTGAGCTACTGCTATCACCAGAATCACCTGAATCAGTGTGATCACTGGAATCACTACAATCACAAAGGCTGACTTCACAAGGCACCCGAGGTACCTGAATCAGTACGATCACCGGAATCAGTAGAATAAAAAAGAATGACTTCAAACTCACCCGAGCTACTGCTGTCACTGGAATCACTAGAATCGCTCGAATCACTGGAATCACTAGAATCACTGGATTCACTGGAGCTGCTGCTGGAACTAGAAGTGTCACTCTCCACTGGTCGCTGCTGCTGCATGATGACTCGCTGGTAGTTCTTGAGGTGTTCTCGCAAGTCATCCCTGAGGACAAACATATATTCTATGAATGATGATTTGTAAATATATATGCTTAGTGAGTTTGCCACTTTGATATGTCTCTTCTATCAGCTGTCTTCACAAGATGACATACAGCACACTGATTGAAATGCCACTCCTCTTCAGAACCACACTACACAACTTGCAAAAGAGTACATGGCGCTTCTTCAAAACTTATATTGATTCGCCTGCAAAACTAATATTGGCTCTCCTCCAATACAATCCTTCAAGTTTTATTTCAGTGCTTAAATGGTGAAAGAAAACTCAGACAATTATGAAAACATTTGAACATGGTGCAGCTGATTTTAATGGAGTAAAAAAGTTGCCTTTGAGTTTCTGATACGCCAATTTCATCGCAAGATTCTGGAGGTTAAGAGTAAAATGTCATTAATAAGAAGACAATCTTCGCAATATCGTTGAGTGCAAGGCCTCAGAAATTTACTCCAGACTAATGCCAAATGCATCCTTCTTATTTCTTATTAAAGATAAGAATGTTAGTGTCGGGAAAACGCTGTGAGTTTGTTGAATCAAAGTCTTACGTGAGGCCGCCAAGTCCAATGGTGGTGAAGAAATTGATGGAGAAGCGCGTGTTGGCGGGGTTGTCTCTGGGCATCAGGCCTTCGAAGAACGGCTGCAGGGTCCTAGGTTCAATACAACAAAGACAGAATGCTTGACGAAGGGCTTAAATAAGCAGAGGAACTGTCAACACTGATCTGAGACCACACGGTAAACCAGTTACTTTGTGACAGTAATCCATCACAAACAAAGGTTGGTTTGTACTTCACGTGAGCAGAAACGTAAAGCCAATTTGACATCATAAAAAATTCACGGCAAAATTTGCCAGAGTTGAAGTGTGTTAATCTACTGAGATTGCGATGTGCCAATTCTTACCTTGACATCAAAAATGTGAGTTTTGCATTCATATTTTCAATGAGTATAACACAGACCTTAGTACTTATTAGCCCTTCTGCTATCTGATCAGTCACAGTCAACAAATCAATCCTCTTCCCCTGACATGCCTTTCGCACAGGCTAGTCACCAACAGTCAGATCGTATTCCAAGCAAGCACTGTGACTAGTCAAAACCAGTCAACAGACAAAAGGATACAAGGGGCAGGCACAGCTGGCTTATCAATCACCTACAGTCAAAGCATATCTGTATCAAGTTACATACATATACAGTCACAACCAGTCAATCCTGCTTAATGTAGGTTGGGAGCTCTTAACTGTTGAAAACAGTCACTTGATTGATTTTGACTGAAAGGACAACTTGGCACAGAATGCATGTTTGCATAGGAGGGTCAACGCTTAGATCTTTTGGTATGAGCCCATTACTGCAAACGTCCCAACAGAGAAAAGTCTTATTATGCTTGAGCCTATTCACTGACGTGCAAGTGGCGAGTTTTTTTTTAAAACTTACGGATCTCTGAGTCGTGCATTCATTTTCGGAAGCCCCATGTACTCCGACAGCTCCTGGAACATGATCTTGACGAAGATGCGACTGGATGAGGAAGTGTCTTCCTCGTTCATCTTGATGGCAGACAGAACCTGTCATAACAAACCAACAAATAATAGGCAAGGTATAAGACAAAGGTGTCCGTAATTTGGTATCATTCTAGTGTTGCACAAAGGGAGCCTGGCATTACACAGAAACGCTGGAAGAAATTAACCCATTAGCACATGTACTACATTGTACTACATTGTATTACATTGTATTACATTGTATTACATTGTACTACATTGTATTACATTGTATTCATTCCCTGATGCATCCATAAAACCATAGAGTGCTCGTGCGGTATCAGACAGTACAGGGAGTAACAGGCAGGGCAGTTTTGGGCAGTACAGGGACTCGTGGGTTAGTTTTGAGGGCAAGTAATTTCACTGAGCTACTCAATTTTGGGGTAAGTTTGTCAAATTTACGAATTTTGATAAAGCTACTGCAAATAACTGAATACTTTAGGGGGATTTTTCTCTTAGTGGGATTTGGGGAATGGGAGGCTACAGAGGAGGGAGTGGAGGTTATTTTACCCACCTATGTAATCTTTTTACGCAAATCTGGAGGGTGTAATTACGGTTTCTATTTTATATGGAAACAAGCTATTTTATTTCTCAAAGCAGAATTTGCACCTTGAACAGCACTTGTTTTTCAACTGAGAATTCCTTGTGTTTTTACATTTCTAAAACAAAAAATGTAGAATTACTACCTTAGATTTCTTATCAATTTTTTTTCCAGATATTTTGTGTGTATTTACTCACGGTCCATGATATGGCATCGGTGTGAAGCAAGTGAGCGAAGAACTTGGCTACATTACGGAGCTTGTTGGTGTCCAAGCGGTGGCAGGTCTCGTACTGGTCTGGGAAGATGATCTCATACTGCTGCATGTACTCCCGCTTCAGCTGACAAAACCGCTAACAACAACAACAAAAGTATTTCCAAACCGGTCAGATTTTGGTAAAAAGAAATAAAAACTCAAGTCAGGTCAAGTCCTTTAGATCTCACTTTCAAATGATAACATCCTGCGATCCTGACTGGCAACTAATTCTAGCAGATGCAGAACTGATTTCAGACTGGCACTCAAGTGTCAGGCAAAAGCGAAGCATTCCAACGATTTGTATTAAAGAGGTTACATATACCCGAAAAATGACGGAAATGTCTTCGAGCATCCACAACCTCTTTAAGCTGGACATTTGAAACAATAAGGAGCAACTGCAAGCAAAAAATCCACTGTTGCAGTCGTGCTAAATGATTCTGGGTGTAGTCAATTGAAAATTAATACATTAGATTGGCCTGTTTGCCAGTCAGTTTGCCAGATTTGATTTGGGTTGACATGAGTTGCTCCTGGTAAAATGTGGTTTGGTGCGGTTTTTAGAACATCACTCTGAAATGAGTGTCATATATTCAATTGGAACATCTTATTCCCACATATGACCAAATTTCTTGTTCAGTTTATATCATTAAAAGAGGTAAAAAAAACACAAACTCTAGACTGTGAAATTTTGAGAAAAATAAGATGTTTTGAAGCATTTTATGTTACCAACCTGGGCTAGAAGTCCAAAGAACTTCTCGTAGGTTCTCTGCTGTGCGCAGCAATCTAGGATCATCAAGCAGACCTCTTTCTGTTGGTGGCAACAATTCAAACAAGAAAGTTCAAGCAGATGTTTCAGATTCTAGCCAGACTTGATACAAGCGACACTCTCAGACAAAAACAAAGCAAAACTATATCTATGATCCATTTTTCAAAACCTTTGCAACCGTCTATTAAAGGGAATATACATCATTTGCTTTTGCTGTAATTTTCAGAAATGGATGGATTTGGGGGGTTGGTAAAATATAGAAAATATTGTTACACTGATTTTTTTGGCGTTTTTGGTTCGTAGATGCTATAAAAACCAAGAAAAACAATCGTTTTCCTGTAGTCTGGTTCCTCGACTCCTTCTAAGATGAAACGGAGCAATTTATAGACGTTGGGAAATTACAAGGCCAGGGAACTAGTCTAGCTGGCTTGTACCCGTTCATAGGTTTGCAATCGATTGCAAACAAATGCAGACTAACTAAATATGGTCAATTGGGGCCAGAATTCGAAAAAAAAGAAGTTTTTTTCCAACGCTGGTGGGCTGACCAGCGTTGAAAATTGATACGAAAATGCCACTTTTCTTGAAAATGACAGCACACCAAGTACCATGATGTTACCGGATGCTTTATACTGTCATTCACTAACAGTCCAGCAAGACATTTTAAAAATAATTTGGTAGTTATATTTTTTGATGTTTGCAAATGTTGTATTTTCCCTTTAAATATCCTGACGCCTTATTATCAATTTTCACAACCTCTGAAATTGCAGGTGTCACAATTCAATTTGCTCAAATTGACTGCAAGTCACTGCAAAGCAGTGTTGTCTGAAATAAATTAAGTAACATTGAAAAGTTTGCATGGTGGTGTTATGTAATGGTGAGGTTCGCGATAAAACCATGTGGAATAATCTCTTTTGAGAAGAGGTGTGGTTCTTAAAAGAACCACTTGGTTGTGAAACTTGACGTTCCAATCAGTATCGCTGATCGTCTTCAGGAGAGAGCAGTTGATCAGAGCATACTGAACAGACATCTTCCCAGACAAGATTATTCCACATGGTGTTACCGCAAACCTCACTAGCTAAAACAAATTGTGGCGCAAATCAATGAGTCAATTTTTTTAACCTGCCACAAGTCCAAAGGCCAATCTGGGTCAAAATGGTGTGAAAATCAGGAATGTCCTAACTCCACCAATGTTGCGGTTAAACAAATGATTTTCTGTCAGCAGAACATCTGTCCTATGGACCTTTATCATGCTGCCACCATTTCAGTCATGTTCCCCGTATCCAATAACAGTACTGAAAGATAATTTGTTTGTGCAAAAAGGAACCAGACTATTTTTCCTTCCAGCCTCACTTTGGTAACGTTGATTTGAATGGGGAAAAAAAACAAGATGGCCGCAACATGATTAATGGTCTATTCACAACAAGGATCAAGCTAACAGCAAGAGACAAAATTGGTTTCTAATTCAAACCTCTTGTCCTGGTTTGAAGTCCATCCTCAGCATCTTGTGAGCGCACTCCTCAAAGTCCAGACTGGACTGGATAGTCAGGTAGATGGTGCGACGTAGGGCAATCATGTTGGTCTCTGTCTGATCCAAAATCTCCATCTTCTCAGCTTCTGTACATAGTTGTATGACAAAGATAAAAGTTAATGCTATTATTTTCACTTTTACTCTGAAATTTTTTCGAATTGTTACTTATTAATAAATACAAAAGTTTTTCAATTTCCAATTTCGCGGCACAACAAACAACAAGTTAGAGGCACTAAAAATAAAGCCTTTTTGCAGCAGATTGCCAGACACGCAAAACAGAAGGGACATATAGTAATTTGGGGGTTAAATAAAACTCAAATTAAAATTTATCAGGTGGAAAAAGTCAAGTTTGTTGAAGAGCATAGACACAGCAACTTTTTAACACTTTTTGTCTTCTAATAAATGTTATTGGGATATCTGTATTAAAAAATTCATTGCTTTTTAAAAGGTTAGTCCCTGGCAAGTCGGGGTTCAACTTCTTTTTGACTGTTTGGTGTAAAAGCGCTAGTTAAAATTACTGCAGGCAGGACAGTCTATTTTTTCACTTGTCTAGTGAGCATCCTATCGGTATAGACCAATCTAGTAACAGTCATTTTTTTGAGGTGGCAACAGGCTCATGCGAGTACGCACGCACTCCGGGCTCCTTCAACAAATAAGGGTTATCAAAATGCACGCACGCCCTGTCTTTAAGAACGCATGCAGCATGCCTGCTGATGTGGTTCCACCTCAAAAATGGCTTCTAATTTTGTTCACGGGACTAGTCTATAAAACCTGCTTGCCACTGTTACCCTAAATGCAGTGGCGTAGCCAGGAATTTTTCAGTAGGGGGGGGGGGGCTGGAACATTTCATGGGGGGGGGGCGTCATGTAGATCAATGATAATTTTTTTAGAAACTCAAAATCTCAGTGGGGGGGGGGGGGGGGGGGCGACTGGGGGGCGACAAGGTTTCATGGGGGGGGGGGCTGTCACCCCCCCACGCCCCCCCGTGGCAACGTCACTGCCTAAATGACTAAGTAGTTGTAAAGATGTGTTTAGCTTGTAAAACATCTAATCCTAAGGGCTAACAAAATTTCATGTGGACTAATGAAGTGGACAGGGAATAAAGGGGAAGAGTATTTCATTGCACTGGCTGCCTTTTTAATGGGAGGGGTGAAACATAGCTTGAACCACCATTTGTCACACACGACCCACAAGTTTCACAATTTGACTGGATAATATTTCAGCCATTCCTGTATGACCCTTAACCTTTGACCTCTAAGCATCCTGACCTTTTTTCTCTTCGTCTTCAGACTCTTCATCCTGACTGTCCGATTCCCCCTCGCTGTCTCCCTCTGAGCCGGACTCGTCGCTGTCCTCTCCGAGAATCTCCTTGCGGATGGCCTTGTATTTCTCCTCGTTGGCCAAGAATTCGGGATCCTCCTTGAAAATATCTGCAACAAAACATCAAATTTAAAATCCTCAGTCAAGCAGGTATTTTTCATTGGCCCTTAACATTTACAGGCCTTTTTGAAAAGCTTCTTTGATCTTCAAAAATCCTCCCCTATGCTGGAAACCAGCAAAAAATTCTTTCTATTTCAGTCTGCCTCACTGTGGAATTCCTTAACAGAATCTTGCTTTCCAAGTTTTATAACTCTTTCAGTTCAAGCACACATTAAGTGCCATATCATGTGGAATTGACCGTACAGTTTGGGTAAATTTCCTTTAAAGAAAATCTAGCTTTCAAGGGACACAAAGTTCCAAGTAAAACCAGTTCATACTTCAAGCTAAAAACAAATGTGAATTTGAAATCACAAAATATTTGCAGCACAATTCACTGCATTTACAATATGTGCAGTTTTGGGCTAATTTCCAGCGTGAAACATTACCATGATGTCACAAATTTGCACTCAGGATTGCTCTTGTGCCGAGTATAAAACGTATCTTTGAATTTTATTGGTTGCTGGGCTCTAATTTAAATCAACTGGAAATTTTTTTTTCAATACCTCCTGATGGATTTTGAAGGATCCAGGAGGGTTAGGGTTGAAGGCAGATCATTTGCTTTTTATGCATTCTGTTCATTTCCAATAATAACCCCAGTCAAAAAATCCAAAGAAGAATGTTCAACACCTAACCTGTTGACGTTTCAGCTCAGTGGATATCACACATTTTTGCAAAAATTGTGAAAAACTATGCACAACTTTTTTATCACAAAGCACAATTTCATCTCTACAACTCTTTATTTCCAAAAATCAGTCAATTGACTGGTCATTGGAAATCACCTACATTTCTTGATTTCTTCTATTAATCACATCAAGCCAGACGGAATAATTTCACAGGGTGTTTAGTACCAGTACGATCGTTAATCCAAGGAAGCTTTTTGACAAGAATTCAGAAGGTTAGTTTTGGGATGCATGCAAAACGATCCAATGTGCCTTTAGAAAGGCAATGATGTATAAACTTCCAGAGTATGGCAGAGGTAATCTTTAGTTACCAGAGGACATCATCACTACACCAATATGGCGACTGGGGTAAAAACAAGAACCTACGTAACGGCTACGGCTTACAATATACTAGCGCCTGTGGAAGTGGCTATAGCCACTGCATACAGGCATACATATTACAGACAGCCGTAGCCGTGTAATTGGGATGCTCCCTGACTTACTGAGCAGGTCTTCAGGCACGTAGTTGTCCTCCAGCGTAAGGAGATGAGTGTACTGTTCAGATTCCTCCACTAGATCCAGACCATCCTGGAAAACAAAGGACAAATTCATATAAAAATAGTGAAAATTATTGGCTGCCATGAGGTGGGACATTTTTAACATCTGAAGGGCACATAGTATAATTGGACAAAGCCAGATTTGAGGCCTAATTTTACAAGATTCTAATTTTCCAATTGTCGCAAGATTCTAATTTTCAAATTAACAAGATTCTAAAGTTTTCAATTGCACAAGATTCTAAATGTTGACGTAAACACTAAAATGTTAATTGTCATTATATGGCCATGTTTCAAGCAAACTTCCTAACAACAAAGACTTCATCAATTAAATAAAATTAAATAATTAAATAATTAAAGAAAAGTATAGTATTGAAGTAAGTCGAAGAAGGTTACTTTCAGCATCATTGCAATGTTCCTTAACCCTTAAGGACGGGGTGTAATGGGGACATTCCTCCACACATAGAGCAAGTGGCCCGCATGACTGCACAGCCTTTGTGTGGTAGCGGGACTGCACAAAAGCAGCAGCTGTGGAACTACCCACTAGCTGTGTGCCACGGCATACCACAGCTGGCAACTGCATTCCAATGAGGATTAGCGGCCTCGGCCATGACCGCTTCCCGTGCGCATGGGGTTAAGAAATCATCAGAATTGATCAGGCAACTGGTGATCCAGGGGGCCGGTCAAGTAACAGACAGCTTGGAAATGATTGTGTCAGAGGCACTTTTGCAAGTCCCTACCCCCCCCCCAAAAAGACCCCAGAATTAGATTAGCTTGACATTTCCTCTACTTCTACTGGATAACTGAGATGTCCTGTCATACAGCACACTTCAAAACAAAAGCGCATCTTGATGGATTTCGATATTTTTACCAGGATAGCAGGGAAGTCTTTGAAGCCGTCTTTGCGATTAGCAAAGATGACCTCTGTCATGTACTGGACACGCTGATCGATCTGAGCCTCGTGAAGGATGCCGCGGAGACGCTCAAAGATTGCTGAAAAAGAGAGAAGGAAAAGAAAATGACAATGGGCATATTAAAAATTCCATGTGCACATCTCATCTTCAGAAATTTAACCCAAACCCTCCAAGTTCTTTGGAAATTCACCAGGAAGCTTGGAGGATTTTGGGAGGATTTGGAGGATTTTGTAGGATTGAGGAAGGTACAGCCCAGACAATGCTACTTCACATGGAGTTTGGTACCTCTTGAAGGTTTAGGTCAGGGAATGTACCATTTAAGCCCACAAAGTGGAGGGCTTTGGAGGATTAAGAAACTTCCATGCCAAAAAACACCTTGGGAGATGCCTTGAGCTTAAATTCATGTTACGATTTTTTTTTTGTAATAACACGCTGCATGAGAGTTTTTATTTTAACAGGATTTTTTATGAGAGTCGCCCATCACAAATCCCTTATAAAGGGCAACTCAAGGTGAGGGCTACACAAAGAAGGGATCAAAAAGGAAATCCGAGAAAAAGAAAAATTACTTCAAGCAGAAAGACAAGCATTGAGATTGCCGTAGCGCTAGAACCAGGTTTAGATTATAATCAACTGGAAAACAAATATGTTCGGATTTCAGAGCAAACAGAAAACAACCTGGTGTTTCAACTAAAACACTTCAGCGATTTTTGTAGCATTCCTGAATCTCCAAACATCCAACTACATGTATGAAACTAACAACATCTTTATACTTATTTGCACATTCTTCGTACAATATTGGGGCATCAAAACCATGTGGGGGAACAGTGGCTGGGATCTGCAGTTCAGACGACAACTTCGGTCAGACAAGGGTTTTTGATTTCTGATGGGATCTTACCATTAAGTCCTCTCGGTGAGACTTCGGACAGCTTCAGTCCACATTCCTTCAAGAAGCCGATGGACACCTCAACGCTATCATCAGTTGGGTTCTCCAGCAGCAGGGTCAAGATTTCCAAGGCGATCACCTCGTGGGCCTAGAGATGCAAGGAGGAGAAAGTTCACCAAAGGAGTCATTTGCTTTAATAAAAACGTTACTGGTTCTACAATATCAACAGAAGTAAAAAGGGCATCTTCTTGCACCTTGTAGATTGGAACCTTCCTTTAGTGCGCATGATTAATTAGATGAGGAGTCAGATTGTCACAGCGGTTCTTTCCTCGCCTTCCACCGCTGTGACCCGGGTTCGATTCCTGCCCTGGCCACATGTGGATTGGGTTTTCAGTCCCCACCTGATTCCGTGGGTTTCCCCCGGAATATTCTTCTGGGGTTTTCCTCCCACTTCCAAAATTGCAATGTCTTCTCATTGTCTTCTCTCCACAGCACCAACTTTGGGCTGGATAGCTCAGTTGGAAGAGCAACCGTACCGTGTTCTGTAGGTCGCAGGTTCAAGTCCAAAACAAGTCAATTTCACAAGTTAAATAAAACTGACAACCAGTCACTAGCAAAAAAATTACAGAATTTTTGGCTGGTAACCTATTTCTGCGAGGTATATATTTTCTAAGCTAAGCAAGTTTCTGTGCTTGGCAGCCAAAGCCCCAACAAATTTACCACAAGTTTTCAATTCAAGAAATTCTTTCTTACAAACAAACTGTCAAATGAACGGCTGACTTACCACTTGCTGGTTGACCAAGTGTGCAATGAACCTGGTTGCAGCCAGACACATCACTTTGTCGTTGCGACGGAATCCTTTCTTGAAGTTGATGATCAGGCGTTTCAGTATCAGCTCACCATTCTGAGGGAACTAGGATGACAAAAGTACAACATTGAGATAAATAAAGCAACAACAATAATAAAGAAGAGAAGTTTTAATCTGCGTCTGGAGACCAACGTGAATGTATTGACAAAAACAAATTGAAAAAGGTATGAGTTAAGATGACATTTGTAAGATGAAACAATCTGTCTCCCACGACTTATCTGCAAGTGATCTACTGCTGATCAACTGCAGATGAAGCAAGGTCTATGTAGGATGCCAAACAAGTTTTTGAAACAGAAAATAGAATATAGACTGTGGTGACCTGTACATATGATTGATATTTGTAAACTACCCCCAAAATACGAGCTTGATGGTGCATCCTTGTTTTTTTACCTTGCAGTTGATGATTGCTACCAGGGCTGCATAGACGTGTGTGAAAGTAGGCGACGCAGACTGCGCCTGGATAATGGAACGAGCCAAAAGACCTCTGCAAAACAAAAAACAAACAAGAAAACAACACGTGGTGATTTAGACTTGATGTATATTAGCACAAAAACATTACACAACTTTGGAATAAGAAAACATTTAACTAACTATCTCTTCAAAATAAAATGTTTGTCCCAAGCCAATTTGATGCAACTGTTTGTTCATCTTGGTTTTCTGACGAGAAATGGCTGAGAACATTGCAGCTCATGCCAGTAAGCATTTATACTCCTGGGTGGAGAGAAGCAAGCAAGGGTAAGTGACTTGCAGAAGGCTACATCACACGGCAAGTGCTTAGATACAAACCTCTGATCCCTCAATAAAACATTTTCTGTGAACCTTTAAAAGCAGACGTTTTAGTCAACTTTGTAGGATTCCTCAGCATGGTGGATACAGGAAAATGTCTATTTAACTTGTGCTTAAACTTCACTACGGTGAACAAAGTGACAACAACTTTCAGCTATGAAAGCTCAGTATACATAATCCCAACATTTGGGATCCAAATGGGAAGTCTGTCATCGCTACATGTTTGATAAAAAGGTAGTTGTTGTCCCAGCTTTCTACTCTTGCTTGTGACGACCTTGACAACTTTTCATGAAGACACTCATGTCTCCAGAATAGAAAAAATATTTTTAAGAAAGAGCTTACCTTCCCCTGACAATGTTGAGCTGTAGCAGTTCCTGTATGATGTTACCAATGTTAGAAACGTTGGTCTTGTTGATCAGACCGTTGATGCTCTTCTTCAGTGCTTCCCAGGCAAGACGCTGGTAGGCCACACTGAAAGAAAAAAGACAAAGAGCATGAACATCTTGGTGAATAAGGAGCGACTCGAGTCGACCCGAATAGATTTCTACTTCAAACAGGTGGACTTTTATGTATTAATTTTTCCTTGAGTAGACTCTGGAGTGATTCCGACAGACTACAACAGTCGATCTTTCGACGTAGTTGCTCCAAACTGTTTCAATGTTGCCACATATTTTATCAAATCTTTGGAATCTGGGGCAGCGCAACTCTGAAACGCAAGTGTTACCTTGATTTTTTTAAACTTCAAATTGAAAATACAACAAAAATCAGGAAAAAAAAAATGGTAAAAAAAGTCCACACCCTACCTGGATTTGTCAGTCATCTGTTCTTGCATCATCCGTAGCTTCGCCGGTGGGATGTATGCCCCGCCCGTCTTGCTCTGAAGGGGCGTGTCTAGCGTCTCTTTCTTCCTCTTGGCGGCGGGTGGTTCCTCATCCGGCTGCTTCTTGTTTGGCTCTTCATCTCTCTCACTCCTTCTTGAGAATCTCCTTAAAAGGTAAAACGACAGCAGTAACTTTCGGGTGAATAATTTGCAGGCTTTGAATTTGGCTAAAGGAGGCCGTGGACTTGGATACAGGGGTCAATGAATGGGTGATGGTTGGCCATGGACTGGGTTATGGTAAACTATTGGATAGGTTGTAATAGGCCATAGCAAACCATAGACTGGGTTGCAGTACAGCATGGGCCGGGTTGGGCTGTGGTAGGCCATGGCCTGGGTTATGGTAGGCCATGGCCTGGGTTATGGTAGGCCATGAACTGGGATCTGGCAGGCCACAATAGAGTGGGTTGTGGTATGCCATGGCAGGCCATAGACAGAGTTACAGTTGACCATAGACAGGGTTACAGTAGACCGTGGTTTGGGTTGCGGTAAGCCATAGTAAGTCATAGAAGGATAATAGTAGACCAGTGACTAGGTTATTGTAGACCACAGATGGAAGGCCATAGACTGGGTTGTGGTAGGCTATAGACAGGGTTTAAGTAGACCACTGACTGGGGTGTAAAGGCCATATGATGGTTTTACATTGGATTCACGCAGGATACTTGCTTCCCAAGATCAACAATATTGGACCCTTACTCCTTGGTATTCCTGTCTCTATCCTGCTTGGACCGTTCCTCTTGGGTTCTCTCAAAGCGACGTTTACGGAAGTTCCTCTCTGCCTCCCGATAATCCTCCTCCTTGTCTTGTTCCTCTCCCCCTCTGTCTCTACGACCAGGTCTGTCTGGGTGTCTATCACGCTCTCTCTTGCTGTCCCTTGATCACACAGATAGAAGTAAAAAAATGTGCACCGTGTTTCCATGAAAATTTGCAGGATTTGCAATCAATTCTGGGGGTGTGAATAAGTCAGAAACTTATGAAGCTTAGGGATTTTTTTTTTATTAAATTGGATTATTTTAAGGTTATTTATTTATTTGAAACAGAGACATTGTTTTTTTGCTTTCTGAAAAGAAATTTTAATGTAATAGCAGGGTTTTGTCCCTCGGAGTCAAATTCTAATATACTACTTATACACAAAATATATATCTACCTCATTTGAGTAAACTATTTCTTAAAACATCATTTCCGACAGACTTTCATCAATATTTGCATGCTGGTTATGTTTTTAAAGTACGCATTGGGGTACTTTGGCTCACTGGTTCAATATTTCACATGTTCAGTCTATTTGCATGCATAATATTGCGATTCACATTCATATTGAATTAGCTGGGGCCCATTTCATGGACTCCCACGTTTCAAGCTCAAAACTTAGCACAGATAACATACGCTTTGCAAAGACAGGATACCAGCCAACATCTCTTGCAATGTACATTGCTCGCAACTGTTTCCAGCTGATTTTTTGGCTAACCACAAATTAGTACCCTCCAGAGCAGGGATTGGACACATTTTAGTCACTAGAGGGCCAGAATATGCAAAGACATTCTATCTCTTACCTATTGCGTTGTGATGACCCCTTTTCCCCTGGGTCTCTATCACTATGTCTGCCACCATCTCTGTCAGTGTGTCTGCTCTCCGTTTCCTCCTCGCTTCCAGTGATTTCCCCACTCTCAGGAGAGTCCGGTCTCGATTGACGCTTGATGGTCGTGCCAATCACGCTACGGAAACGACCACCGGATTCAAACTCCTCTCTGACAGACCAAAAGAAAAATCAATTCAGCTTCAATTTTAAATTTTGTTTTTTTTTACAAATAATTGTAGTTTTTTTTTTAAAATAATCCCTACCTTGTTAAAAATATTCCCTATGCACCAGCAATATTAACGGCTACTTAATCTCACCAGATCCAACAGCAGAACAGGAAATATTTTTGTCACTCCACAGATCAACAAAAATCACCAGAGACATTTTGTGGTTGGAGCTTGTCAGATTTAAAAGGGCAAGGACAAACCCTCCTGAAAAAAATCAGGCTTAAAAAATGCGCCACGCTTCAAAACCTTTCAGGTTTTCTCAAGTGAAGGGTTGGAGTGTTAATGAACTGTGCTGTGTACAATAGGCGATGAGTCTTGCACATGTGGAGTGTAGTGGAGTAAGCCAGACGGCCCGCCTGCCTGGCCAAACGCAAGGCCATAAAGGATACAGCACAGTGGACATGGGAAAACTTTGAATATTTTGTGTAGTGTGTCTGCTATGTCTATTGACAAAGTGTCAAGGCAAAACTTGAAGGGATTTGAAGAGTTAAAGCTATAGTCCATCATTTGCAGCTATCCGAAAAGTAACTGGCGAATTATTGTTGAAAAACATACTTGGTTGAAAGATAGTAAGTGGACTAAACTCCCTATGAAATTAATCTTTCTGGCAAGCTATCATTTTGAAGTAATCAATGAAAGAAGGCCTTTCCAACAGTGCGTCTTAAGACGCACCGTAGGAAAATTTAAATTAGTAGTTCGTTTTGTTATTCGGCGCAGCGTGCGCAAGCATTGGAACGACGCACACACACGAGCGCGGTTGCTATAATTCGTCGGATCAGTGCGCAACGTCGCGTTTAGCTGCAATTCAAAACAATTCAAAACATGATTCAGTAACTTTTGATTTGAAATTGAGATCCTAGAATGCTGTTTTTCTCGGAATATACAGCTGAAGCTTAGCTGAAACTTCATCAGGTTAGTTGTTCAGTATCCTTCATTAGATTTTGAACACTTTTGTTGCTTCAAACGAACAAAATGCACAAATTACAAATGACGGACTATATCTTTAAAGACTACAAGTATGCCAAAAACCTTCTGGGTGAATTTAATATAACAACTGTCTAAAAACCAATTGTGCTATTCAAGACAAAAAATCAGCAATTATATTTCTCCTTTTTTTCTCGATAATTTTCAACATGATAAACCTGTTAAGTGCAGTTGCTCAATTCCTAGCTCATCAAAATCAAACATAAATTGCCAGTGGTGGATATCATTAGATTATTAGAATTAGTATCAGTGTACCTTTCATAGGAAGCTGATCTGTGGCGCCGGCGTTCTTCCGTGGGTTTGTGAACGCGACTTTGAAGCACAGATTTGACTCTCTGAGCACGCCATGAGTAGCTGTCGTCACTGTCTGAGCCGCTACCTTCACTGTCACTGTAGGCTTGGGGTCTGGTACGGGCAAGAACACAAGTACACAATGTTAATAGGGAAGATCTTTCAAAAGCTTACAACAAATTGGGAATAATCAGATTTAGATCATTAAAATTTTACTGCGTGGCCATTCTGTTTCAACTCACTCACGAGAACAGATTTTCTGAATGCATAAGAATTTATAAATAAAATAATGGAGTACATCTAGTGTAGAAAGGGCAATTCCGTAAATTTGGACGCACATGTTAGACACTTTAATGAGCTGCTGTTGGAAAATGCTGTTGGTACCTGCTAGATTTCGTCTTCTTCGGTTCTGGATGTGTGGGCATGTCTTCGTCCTGATACATGTCCTTATCGTCAGGTCCGATAGAGAGCTCGTCCTCAGATCTTTTGCCTGGACTGGTCATCTCCATGTCTGGGTCCTGGATGGGGGAGCGAGGGGTGGACCTCTTGGAACCTTTGTCCTGGGCTGGGGATCTATGGGTGGCCACCGGGGGCGTTCTGGGTGATCTGTGGGTTAAAAAAATGACAATTTTGTTTTAAGAATCTCAAGCCAAAAGTTGGCACATACACAAAATATTGTAAAAGACCAATCTCGCCACCCTATTAATTCCCTCTTCAATGGTGAAAGCACTCTGCTAGCTGATGTATGGATAATCTGTCAAGGAGCAGTAGCTTTGTACTATAGCCGATTCGTCTAAAAAGTGGGACCTGTTCTATGCACGAATTTAAGTGCAAGCAACTTGATTGAAAGACAGTAAGGGAACTAAACTCTCTGTGAAATTATTCTTTCATGGCATGCTGTCATTTTGAAGAAATCAACGAAAGAAGGCTTTTCCGTTAGTAGTTCCTTTTTTTTATTCCACGAAGCGCGCACAAACGTTGACACGACGCACAAGCGTTGACACGACGCACACGCGGTTGTTATAATTCGTCGGATCAGTGCGCGACATCGCGTAGCTGCAATCAGCTCAGTGAGAACGTGTCTCGGATGCTGAATTCAGGCCCAATTCAAAACATGATTCAGCAACTTTTGATTTGAAATCGAGATTCTAGAATGTTGTTTTTCTCAATATGTACATCTGAAGCTGAGCTGAAACTTCATCAGGATAGTTGTTCAGCACCCTTCTTTAGATTTTGAGCATGTTTGTTGCTTCAAGCAAACAAAATGCACAAATTACAAATGATGGACTGTAACTTTAAGCAGTCCAAGGCAGTCAATCCTGCTTTATGTGGGCTTGGAAATCTTACGGGTTAAAAAACAGTCACTTGGTTGACTTTGACTGAATAGAATGTATGTTTGCATAGGAGGGCTAATGACCACAAAGATTTCAAAATTGTATTGAATGATTGATATATATCTGTATTCTCCATGAGGTGTTTTGTGACGGCACACTGTACTGCTCGAATGTAATGCCTGCTTGTAGCCCTGCTGAAATTGTCCAGCTTTGCTGTAACCTTATCTGAAGTAAAAGGAATGTTACATTGGTCTTCTGCACACAAAAAAGCCTTGCGAGTTTAGAATGAATGCCTACCTAGGTTCAAATTCCGGGGGTGGTTCAGCCGGGCTGTGAGGAGACGGAACCCTCTTTCTTGAGCTAGTCCTCATTTTCTCCTCATCTTCATCACTTTCATTCCTCCTTGTCGACCCCCTACGGTCCCTGTCATCCACCACTTCGCTCCTGTGACTCTCCTTGGGGTTCCGACGCCGCTCGTCACGGCGATTTGCTGCTGATCCTGAACTGCTGCTGCTGCCGCTGCTGCTACTTGAGTCACTCCCACTGGAGTCGGAATCACTGCTGCTACCACTGTCACTACTGCTGCTGCTGCTGCTACTTGGATGTCTGCTTTTTTTGCTGTTGAAAAACCAGAGGTGAAATTTGGGTTGGTGTTGTTTAAAAGTCAAACACACTGTCATTTACGTTAAGTTAACTCTAAATCCATAAGTCCCCCAACGTGTGCGTTATCTACCAAGGCGTGGAAGGCCTTGGCAATCATGAACCTTTTTGGTAGTTGTGGCAAATTTGAAACATGTGCTGCTATTTTGCAATAATTTTGATCAAGTTAAATTAATTTTTCAGCTCCCCCAGCAACGGGACTATCCATGCACAGACAATATGTACAGAATGTACATGATGTAATACGGAGGTAGTCCAGTATTTCAGTCACATTTATGGGACTATCTCAACAACCCTCAACCATGCCTCAACCATCTGACCATGTCATGCATCATTGTATGTCAACGGTCAAGTTTGTAGGTTGTATTGTTGTACATGGGTGTCGGACGCTTCGCCCCATTTCCACTTCGCCCCTCACCACTTCGCCCCATCCCCACTTCATCCGAGCCCCACTTCGCTGTTACATGTAGTCATGAACTGCCAAAGACCCCGATACTAAATGCTTCCAATTCAGAAACTCAGAAAAATACAAACTTTTGAGGTGTTCGAGACACAGGGACCGAGCCACACATCAAATTAATGTTTATTTCATCATAATTTTCTATTAAATTGTTTGTATTAGGCCCCTATCATAACTGTATGATATTACGAAGCAAGTGATTTAGGCCCTATTTAAAAATTTGATTAGAACATTAAATTAGCTAAAAGTGATAAAGTGAAATGGGAAACGAAGCCGAGCTTTGAAAAAGGGCCATCACTGTCGTCATGTTTATTTTTAGCCACGGAGGCTGCATGATCTACAATATTTAAAATGATGAAAAATATGCCCTTTCCGCACTGAGCCAACCTGACACTTCAAACGTGCACGCATATGATCCAGCGATGATTTTTCGGTTCGCTCGGAGCGCGCCGCAGGGGTACGGTACTTGCACTTGTACGCATGCGCATACTATCATTTCGCTTGTACCGTACCCCCCGCGGCGCGCTCTGAGCGAACCGAAAATCATCGCTGGATCATAATCATATGCATGCACGTTTCAAGTGTCAGGTTGGCTCAGTGCAGAAAGGGCATATTTTCATCATTTTGGCCAAAAACTGACAAAATCCAGCAATGTTTGTTCTGCACATATTACCCGAGTATGTCATGAGGTGTAGTACGGAGTTTGGGGGCAAACTGTGCCTCATAGTTCTACTCCTAGAACTATGAGGCTCCAAGAAGCCCGCAAAATTGCCTGCAGCACAAAACACTAATAAAGTACAAAAACGTCCATCAAAAAGGAGACATTTCCCACAGAACCGCTGCACAGTTTGCCCCTAAACTCCGTACAATACCTCATGACATACTCACGTAATGTGCACCCAACATACTCCTAGAACTATGAGGCTCCACGTAGTGGAGCCTCATAGGTTCAGAAGCCCGCAAAATTGTTGTCAGCACAAAACACTAATTAAGTACAAAAACGTCCATCCCAACCAGGCCGTTTTCCACAGAACCGCTGCACAGTTTGCCCCTAAACTCCATACAATACCTCATGACATACTCACGTTATGTGCACCCAACAAACATCGGTGGATTCTGTCTGTTTTTCGGCAAAAATGATGAAAAATATGCCCTTTCCGCACTGAGCCAACCTAACACTTGAAACGAGCACGCGTGCAGAATGATCGCAGTCATTTTCGGTTCGATCGCTCGGAGCGCGCCGCGGGGGGTACGTACTTGCACTTGTACGCATGTGCATACTATCGTTCCGCTCCTACACCATACCCCCCGCGGCGCGCTCCGAGCGATCGAACCGAAAATGACTGCGATCATTCTGCACGCGTGCTCGTTTCAAGTGTTAGGTTGGCTCAGTGCGGAAAGGGCATATTTTTCATCATTTTTGCCGAAAAACAGACAGAATCAACCTTTGGAAAACGGCGGTTCTGTGGAAAACGGCCTGGTTGGGATGGACGTTTTTGTACTTAATTAGTGTTTTGTGCTGACAACAATTTTGCGGGCTTCTGAACCTATGAGGCTCCACTACGTGGAGCCTCATAGTTCTAGGAGTACACCCAACAAACATCGGTGGATTCTGTCTGTTTTTCGGCAAAAATGATTAAAAATATGCCCTTTCCGTACTGAGCCAACCTAACACTTGAAACGAGCACGCGCACAGAATGATCTCAGTCATTTTCAGGTTCGATCGCTCGGAGCGCGGGGGGGGGGGGGGGGGGGGGGGGGGGGGGGGCGTACTTTCGTTCCGCTCCTACACCATACCCCCGCGGCGCGCTCCGAGCGATCGAACCGAAAATGACTGCGATCATTCTGCACGCGTGCTCGTTTCAAGTGTTAGGTTGGCTCAGTGCGGAAAGGGCATATTTTTCATCATTTTTGCCGAAAAACAGACAGAATCAACCGATGTTTGTTGGGTGCACATAACGTGAGTATGTCATGAGGTATTGTATGGAGTTTAGGGGCAAACTGTGCAGCGGTTCTGTGGAAAACGGCCTGGTTGGGATGGATGTTTTTGTACTTAATTAGTGTTTTGTGCTGACAACAATTTTGCGGGCTTCTGAACCTATGAGGCTCCACTACGTGGAGCCTCATAGTTCTAGGAGTACACCCAACAAACATCGGTGGATTCTGTCTGTTTTTCGGCAAAAATGATTAAAAATATGCCCTTTCCGTATTGAGCCAACCTAACACTTGAAACGAGCACGCGCACAGAATGATCTCAGTCATTTTCAGGTTCGATCGCTCGGAGCGCGCCGCGGGGGGGGGGGGGGGGGGGGGGGGGGGGGGGGGGGGGGGGGGGGGGGGGGGGGGACGTACTTTCGTTCCGCTCCTACACCATCCCCCCTGCGGCGCGCTCCGAGCGATCGAACCGAAAATGACTGCGATCATTCTGCGCGCGTGCTCGTTTCAAGTGTTAGGTTGGATCAGTGCGGAAAGGGCATATTTTCCATCATTTTTGCCGAAAAAAAGCCAGAATCCACCGATGTTTGTTGGGTGCACATAACGTGAGTATGTCATGAGGTATTGTACGGAGTTTAGGGGCAAACTGTGGAGTACGGAGTTTAGGGGCAAACTACGTGGAGCCTCATAGTTCTAGGAGTAGGAAATGTCTGCATTTTGATGGACATTTTTGTACTGAAAACAATTTTGCGGGGTTCTTCATCTATGAGGCTCCACTACGTGGAGCCTCATAGTTCTAGGAGTAGGGATTAGGCGAAGTGGGGATAGAGCGAAGTGACATGGGGCGAAGTGGAAATGGGGCGAAAAGTCCGACAAGCGCGCGTTGTGCATGCATGTGAATTGTTAGCCCCACTAGTGTGGCCGTCGGTATGCTGCGCTGAACCTAAGGCCACACACCGTGGTACCGCGCGCTACTGAGGACGAAGTTTTCATAAAATTCAGGGCAGTTTCTTACATTCTCAGTTTCTTACTTTCTTATGGTTGTATTCTATGATGTCTCACCTATCACTTCTGGGATGCTTAGGTCTAATGATGTTCCATTTTCCGAGATATTCTTCAATCTTTCTGGAGCCCATATGCACTCGTGAAACGTCTGGTGGTGGCAGCCATTTTGAATGTGACAAGAGATGACCTCAAGCTGTGACGTCGCGTTTATGCAAATTGCTTGTCGAGCGCGCGAGGGCGCGAGTTGCAAATGCGACGGCTGTTTCCTGTGCCGTAGATCCTGAATAGAGATCGGTGCACGTGGCCCCCCTGACGATAAATGCATGGTACAGGAAACAGCCGTCGCATTTGCAACTCGCGCCCTCACGCGCTCGACAAGCAATTTGCATACACGCGACGTCACAGCTTGAGGTCATCTCTTGTCCCATTCAAAATGGCTGCCATCACCAGACGTTTCACGAGTGCATATGGACTCCAGAAAGATTGAAGAATATCTCGGAAAATGGAACATCATTAGACCTTAGCATTCCAGAAGTGATTGGTGAGACATCATAGAATACAACCATAAGAAAGTAAGAAACTGAGAATGTAAGAAACTGCCCTGAATTTTATGAAAACTTCGTCCTCAGTAGCGCGCGGTACCACGGTGTGTGGCCTTAGGTTCAGCGCAGCATACCGACGGCCACACTAGTGGGGCTAGTGAATTGTGATTCCAGAGTCATGAGAATTGAGAATGAAATGGTCGTTAACTCAAATTGTAATGTCAAAAATCGCCAAGTACATGATTAAGTAGTTACCTAGGACTTCGTGCCCTTGCTGTATCTCTGAACACTCCCATTTTATATCAAAAACGCGTACAGGATGCTTTCCCTTGAGAAGGCAAACCTAAGCAAAACGCATCGAAAGCAACTCGTTTTTGCGGAAAAGTAACGCTAGTGCAAACGACGCCCTCTATCGATATTAGAAGTAAATCCTTTTTTTTACAAAACAGAGAGGGCGCTCTAAACTTTATCAAGACAAGTAGAGAGGGCGCCCTATACGGCTCTGCATTGACTACTGATCTCTGTGGTAGCAGACCAGTAAATAAACTTCCATAGACCCAAATGGTAAATGTTCCCGCTTCAAAAATTCGGGAAAAATACTCACAACTCTCCAAGGTGTTCGAGACACACTTCAAATTAAAGCTTATTTCATCATCTTTCATTTTCTGTTCAATTTTTGGGGGGGTCAACCCATGACTTTTAGGAGAAATTTCCATCAGAAGATGATCACCCCTGAAAATAGTCCTGAAGCCCATCGCCATTTTGAAAAAACGATGGCTACACTCCATTGCAAAATAGAGCGCTTTTAGGGTCCAAATTACATCCAAATTACACACAACTGCAAGCTCCCAGTCCTGTGCACGGTTTCCACCCATATTTTTTTACAAACCCTCCGTTCATGGCCCACACTACTCTGAAATACTGAAGATTTTGAGGGCATGTAAATCGTGATTTGGCCGGCGTAGGCAATTTGGGGCCTATTTACTCGTCTGCAACCCAAAGGGGAATTCCCCGTTCGCGTAATGAAAAAAATGAGCAATCATGGGTGGGGTTCTTCAGGGAAATTGGCGTACACTGTGTTCAAGCCTGCATGCAGTACTAATCGCTACTCTGGCTTAAAAATTGAACGTTTTTCAACTATTTATTCGGCTGATGAGGAGAGAGCAGAGACCCTGAGAAGTAAGCTGTACTCACATCTGAGGAAAATCAACGTCAATTCATCAAATTATTACTGTTGACGGCTTCACGACCGGGTTCATTTCCACCAGCTGCCAGTGCAGCCCACGCGCATTGCACGGTAGGGTTTTATGGGTGTGTAGAGATCTTTTCCGGAACCAATGTCGTCTATCTTCGGTTTCCCTAAAATAAAATGCCAGTCCATCGCAGGTTCCAATACCAATGGGATGTACATGTAGACCCAGTCATACTCCTGGGAGGAGCCTAGACTACAGGCAAGTTTTCCCCCGAAGATACAAGATATTTAATTCCGGCCGATGAATAGGCTGCGACCAATTACCATAATGTGATCGTTAGTCGCCATCTGTTATAGCTCCATGGTCTAACTCTCTGTTGGTGGGTCACTCTCCACAAATATTTCATTGTATAGCTCAAAGTATTAAAATTCAGACATCATACCATACTGCCACAATTTACTATCACGAGGTATAGGCCTAAAGTACTATGTACATTACAAATAGTGGCGTTTCATTTCACGTAGCGCGTCATTAATTTTTATGTCCATGAGCAAAGATCCTGTAGCGCCGCGTAGCGCACAACTGCAAGGTACACACATTATGAAGGTCAACCTTTTCATGCTCCGGGCTCAGTAACTAAAGAAAATCAAACAGTGGCCACTTCAGATTCTGTTAAAAAAATATTTCTGATTCGTTTCATGCCAGTTTATGCGGGTCATGCTCCCCAAAAATGCACCCGCTATATTGAAATATTTAAGTTCATGTCATGTACGTGACCCGCCATGTTGTAGGCACGTGCGCGAACGCGGTGCCAGATTGCGACCCGTGCGCATTGAACAAACGTTCCCAACGTTCTTATCGGGAACCTGTTGACTTTTGGCACTTGAAAACGAGGTTGTTCAGGTCCTAACGACGATGATGGCTGTTAATGTTTGATTATTTTCATTCAAACCGGGCTTATATATCACACTATAGTCCTAAAAACACAAGCTATCACTGTCTTATAACTACGATAACCCGACTTGCCTGGATTCTTGGCCAACTTGACAACCTCAGGCCTCAAACATTCATCGCAAAATTTGGCAAAAACGAATGAAAACTCTTCGTATGCGGTTTTCTGTGTGTGTTATTAAACAATTCAACAATTCGGCATGTTTCCGCAGTTAATCATGGGACCGTAAACTAAGTTGAAAATTATTTCCTTTTTCTATTCTTGATGGGTGATTGGGTGTAAATGTATTTTAAAAATATATACAAGTATTAAAAGATAACCAATAACAAAGAAACGCAGGACACATAGGGTACATACAAAACAAAATTCAAACATCAACTGAATATGTATTAATTAATAAGTACGTATTTTTAAATTCACATCGCAAAATCAATAACATAACAATAAGAAGTATTATTTACATTATTATTATTTTTTTTTACATTATGTATTTGACTCCCCGCGCTTTGAAGATTTTTATCCGTAGTCGGTTATTTTCGTATAATCTAGAACTTTTGTTCTGTTACCCGCATCATTTCTAATGGTCCAAAATAGTCTTTGTATACTCGAATGGTGGCATCCGTTGACGTCAAGTCCTGTCTTGTCCTGTCGTAAAACTAGGTCGAATCCGAATTCGCGGTGCTTTTCAAAATCTCCATGTAGGCAATCGGCCTTTATTAGAGAAACGTTCGATGTGCATCGTTTCGGGGGATTAGCGGTGTCGTAGACACAGGTCTGAGCAGAGTATTTTTGATTGAATTTCAGGAAATCTTGACCTTCAGGATTGAATCAGAGTTTTACAAGGTACGTGCCACAACTGTTTTCTTTTCTACCAAAGGCACTATTATTTCAAAAATTACATTAGTTTTTCTTAAACTACTAGTCTTCGGTCATCACTGTTTTTAATCAACACTAGTCTTTGAACGAACGTCCCCAACGTTAATATCGGGAACCTGTTGACTTTTGGCACATGAAAACGAGGTAGTTCAGGTCCTAACGACAATGATGGCTGTTAATGCTTTATTTTTTTCATTCAAACCGGGCTTATATATCACACTATAGTCCTGAAAACATAAGCTATCACTTTCTTATAACTACGATAACCCGACTTGCCTGGATTCTTGGCCAACTTGACAACCTCAGGCCTCAAACATTCATCGCAAAATTTGGCAAAAACGAATGAACACTCTTTCATATGCAGTTTTCTGTGTGTGTTATTAAACAATTCAACAAGTTAATTAAACAGAATACTGGTAAAGGTGTCCGAAAGTTAAGTTTTAAAGACCAACAGACGAACAAAAACAATACAATATTTTTATTATTTTTTGTCCATGTGCAGTCATGTAAATAATCAATTCATAAATACCTCAAACAGTTTAGCCATAATTCCTATTGGTCGAAGGCCCGTCACGTGGCCGGTCTTAAACGGATGATAAAGACATGGCTAGCTGGTCTTAAACATTTTTCCAGTGTCACATAAAATGTGGACTCCTAAAAATCCAGTGCCTCTTACCGTTTTATTGGTTGAACGTGCCACGCGCGCGTCAATCTCCATAAAAGGGTTGTTTACATCTTTATCGTCAGCTGAACACTCCATTATTTAGCTAGAGGGATGTTTAAAAAAACATGAAGCGAACTTGTTAAACAAAATCGGGATTTTTTGACCGAAATATTATATTTTTTTGAATGGAAATAATATATTTATGAATGGGAATAAATATGTGCTCGATCGGTATTAATTACTCTGTTTAGGACCGCTTAGAGTCTGGGTGCTGATAATTACCCTCGCCCCCGGCTCGGGTAATTATCAGCACCCAGACTCTAAGCGGTCTTAAACAGAGTGATTAAAACCTCTCGAGCACACATTTATTCCCTTATTTCATGTACGAACAAAAGGTCATGAAAATAAGACAACTTATGGTTTTTTTGGACATTGCATTTTTATGCCGTCATAATGACTGCACACATTTTGTTTTCACATATTCTGTGCACTTAACATGACCTACCTAACCTAACATGCTGCAAACAGAATACTGATTTTACATTTTTGTTTTCTAGATAAAATGAAGATTGAAAATTTAGAAATCCATATCAACTCACGTAATGACGTCATCACGACATCACATAAGTGGTTTCTTGGAAAACGTTCCTTTCAATGTATATACCAAGATTCAACACGATCAGACTTGCATTTCTCTAGATAGAGCACTTCAGATATAATGCACATGACACATGTCACGCCGACATCATGGCGTCACTTGTCTTGGACCAACTTTACAATGTGAGCTTCGTCTGTTCTCAGTTTAAAGTCAATCTGATTTCATTTTATCATCACCAATCTGATTTCATTTTATCGTCACCTTCTGCTAGTACAGATACAGTTCTAAAATGTTTTTAAAATCAGTTGGCGAAGTCATAGTGAGTGACGCGTCGCTTACAATTTTGCATACTAGTACCAATACCTATACCGTCTAGGTTTCATGATCAAGACCAGAAGTACCCTTTTACGTATTTTTAAAATCGCATTTTGATGACATTAACATGACAAATATCTCAGATATAACAAACCTATACTAAAATAATTTTGAAGTTGGCATGTTCTGTTCATGAGATATGAGTTTAATGTTCAAAAACTTAAAAAAAATTATATCACGGACAAACCAATTAAGTTTCAACCCGATCGGATTTGTAGTTCATATAATATGACTATAAAATATGCATCTTTAAGATGACGTCGAGTGATCCGTTATGACGTCATCACGCCGTTAGTCTTTGAGACATGACTTCACTTTAGGGTGTTTGTCTATGTTAGTTATAATATTTTTTTCTATTTTCAATAGCCAAAGAGCAATATTTGACATCCATATAAATTTGTGTCTCTGTCATATAGACCAACAAGACCGTCAGTTATCATCACCAAAACATGGCTGAGGGAGGGATGTGCAGCTCAACACTACGGAAGTTCGGCGAAATTCATCTACAATGTCCAATTTGTCTCGATATTTATCGGAAGCCTAAGACTTTAACCTGTCTGCACAGCTTCTGTGAGGAATGTCTTGTCTCTCTCGCAAAATCAGCCGAGGAATACGTCAGGTGTCCCCTGTGCAAAGACTGGACTGTTATTCCGACGGGTGGCGTTATCAATCTGCCCACGGATTTTAGACTGGAGAGCATGAAAGAAACGGTGCTGCAAAACCAGACGCAGGCAACACCGACCTGCACCTCTCACGCTGGAAAAAGATACGAAGTTTACTGCGCAACCTGCTCCGAGATCATATGCGTGGCGTGTATTACGGAATCCCATAATCGCCATGATCTGAAGGAAATAGCTGACACGGTGGCTACTGCAAAAAGAGATTTCATGAGAGATTTCTTGCCGATGTACGAAACATCTCTCGCGAATGTCGAAGAGACTTTGGGGACAGTCTCGGGAATTAAAAAGGATTTGCTGACAACGGTTGAAATAATCCGACAACAGATCGCGGACACATCTGAGCGTGAAATAGACAGAGTGATGGCAGCAAATCGTCGCATCACTGACAAACTCATTCAGATCCAGACGACGAAAGAAAATGACTATGCCGAGCTCACAAAAGACTTACTCTCCCTGAAGAAAGACCTAGAGGATGCGATCGGATACTCCACGGGCGAAATGCCAAAGAGCGATTACGATTACTTCAGAAAATTTCCAGAAATGAGCCGCGGTTTCCGATTGTTCGCAGGCCGTAGTCAAGTGCCCCGCATCTTGCCTTGCGTGCCGCTGGTAAAGTTCAAACCATCTGCAGAGCCAGGCGAAGACATCAGTCTCGGTCGCTTGTCGACGAGTTTTGAGAGAGTGAAATATGTCTCAATTTTTGATTTCGATAAAGACGACGATGAGGACGACGATGGTGGTGATGGTGATGGTGAGAGTAAGGTGGAGGGTGAGGGTGAGTAAGGCTGCGAAGACGAGGATGGTGATGCAGTGAATGAAACTGACAGTATTAACGGCGATGAAAGCAACAGTAGCAGTGGCGTAGCCATGGGGGGCGTGTGGGGGGCGACAGCCCCCCCCCCCCATGAAACCTTGTCGCCCCCCAGTAGCCCCCCACCCCCCACTGAGATTTTGAGTTTCTACAAAAATTATCATTGATCTACATGACGCCCCCCCCCCCTGAAATGTTCCAGCCCCCCAGCGGCCCCCCCCCCACTGAAAAATTCCTGGCTACGCCACTGAACAGTAGAGGGCGCCAACAGACGCCTGTCGGACGTCTTAGTGAGTATCTATCTGCCATCCTTTTGACATCTGTTATTTGACATTTTGCATCATCCTCCGATGAGATCTAAGTCAGATTTAGTTTGGAAAAGGTCATTTTATTTTTGAGTGATTAAGGACGCTAAAAGTAAGTGAAGCCATATCGAGGTATGTACAAATGGGCAAGGTTAGGCCCAAAAAAAGTCTCCGGTTTCTGGTATTGAGCTTGCCCAAAAAGTGGTGCGGCGACGCGGCTTTTTTTTTTTTTTAACCTGATTTTTTTGCTTCAAAGGTCGGCTGATGACTGCAAATGGTGCCCGACTAAACTTAGTGCAAATAGATGGGAGTGCAGGGAGGCCACATAAACCTTATTCTCGACCATAACCCCTTCTAAAAACACGTTAAAATTGTGCAGCAGCAGGATTTCAGTCAAACCAGTGAGTTTGGCGGTTTTGAGACATCATCTTTCATTGAAAAAAAAAAACTTTTTCATTTTGCCGACGCGCATGGCTACGGCGACGCGCGCGCATACCAGAAACCGGAGACTTTTTTTTTGCCTTATTGACGTTAGTTCACGTTGCTATTGATTAATAGACAAAATTATAAACACGTATTTACAATATTTTTCGATTAACGTAAATGTACTTAATTGCTTTAATTAATGATGTTTAATCTAGAATATAGTTTGGTACGTTTAAATATAGGTTTTCCCGGCGAATTTCCGAATTTTTCTAATCATTTTCATTATCAGGCATTCAATTTCGCATGAGTTTTCCACATGTGGTCCAATGTGGGTTTCTTTTTCATTTGGGGTTCATTCAATTTCAGTTTTAGGCAGCCAAGATTTTGCTGTGAATGCTCTTTTTCGTTTTTGGGTAGCCTATTTAGTTTTGGTGCATTCAAGACTTAAATTGTAGCAGTCTAAAATTAAGTCTTTGCAACCTTTTGACGGTTGACGCATTCAAAGTAGCGAACATCTGTGCGCTTATAACGTATAACCATGCTTTTCGTTTCTTATTCGTTTATGGGCAATCGCTTTTATCGTTTGGTCATTTAAATTAATAAGAATTTTTAATTGATATTTTTTCCTATTTTTCTCCGAGGTTCATTTCCCCCCAAAAAACAATCTTGATGACTGTAAAATTTACAATGTTACAAATCAACTGATATGAGGGAAACAAGATGCAACGAAATCATGAATTGAAGGGGACAAAGATAATTTCTTTTTCACTGTTGATCTTTTCTACTTGTTGAAACGTTTGATCAAGGGGTTTTTATTACGTTGACGATTACTTGACGTGCAAGACATCGGAACACGTAATATGTTTGGAAATGGTTGTACCGTCGGGAACACTTCTCTTGCGTTATTTCTTAAATGTTTTCTTGCGTATGTCTGACCGAACACTTACCATATTCATAGGGCCCATGCAAAGTTTTCATTAATGAAAACGAATGCCCGATCAACCTGGTTTAGACAAAATTGAATGACCAACGCAATACTTTTAATATGAATGCATCTTTGATAGGGACGAGTGAAGCTAAGTTAAGGAGAATACACGAGAAAGTGTGGATTCGTTATTTAAGAATCCACACTGCGAGTGTATTCTTCCGGACTTAAACCATTGCGTCAACAGAGGTATTGGAAAGAATGCTGCAACCTGACGCCACTTTTTTCTTCATATATCATCTCAATGAAGGCCGTTTATTGCAAAAATGGTGATAAGACATGAATCTGGGACTGATAAATGTTTCCAAAATTGTTAGGAAATACTTGAAATGACTCTCCATAGATGTTGTACACAAGCGCGGAAGTGGCGTCAGGTTGCAACATTGTTTCCTGACGTGTTTATATTTAGCATGTGTATCGACAGTCGACACACAGGCTCCTTACGTCAAAATGGATAGTTCAGACGACGATTTCCTCCTGACCAGTGGCGTAGCCACCGGGGGGGGGCGTGGGGGGCGACCCCCCCCCATGAAACCTTGTCGCCCCCCCCAGTCGCCCCCCCCCCACTGAGATTTTGAGTTTCTAAAAAAAAATATTATTGGTCTACATGACGCAATGGGCCCTATTATGTACTACAATGTATCTTTTGCTTAGAAAATATTGGTAAAAGTGATCAGAAATTGCCTCAGATAGCACCACAGAGCATTTAGAATCCAAAGTTTTTCGGGGCCCTCAAGCGGGCCCCGAACCCCACGCCTATAGCTCAGAATTCTGATTCAATGACTCCAACCTCAAAAACAATGTTCAAATAATTATCTTTTGCAAGAAAATGTTAGTTAAAGCATGGAGGAAAGTCGTAAGAAATTGCTTCAAATCACACCACAGAACATCTAGAATCCAATTTCTAGATATCTAGTCGTGGTGCCATGACTTTAGTAGTCGTGGGGTCATCACTGCCATGACTAGTCGTGGTGCCGTGACTAGTGGTGGTATTTTTCCCGCTGAATTTAGGTTCCGGATCCACACTTTACTAAAGATTCTTCGTTCCGAATCCACACTTTGTGACCAGTGTAAGAGATTCGTAGATCCGAATCCACACTTTTAACAATAGTGTGACATCATAGCAATGGTTTAAAAGGCGATAGAATGCCCGGATAGTGAAATTGAATGATTCTTTTTGATTGTCGAATGCCCATCTGCGTGATCTTTCAATTTCAATCTAAATCGAATGAGCCAGACGTTAAATTGAATAAAAACTTGGTGAAATTGGCCGGGAAAACCTATATTTTCCATTTTGAGGGGTGTTTTGGTGCCTTCTCCGTTTTTAAGCTAATGCAAAGTTCCATATTCATTAGAAAACCTGTGATGGCATTTCGACCATGATTAATGTTACACGGGCTATTTCAGCAAAAAAAATTGCTAGAATTTTGGATATTTTGCTGTCATAAATTTCTTTTTTTTGTGGTGATTATATGATGTGTCAGTACATGGTAGTAAGCCATCCCATAACCATCCCTTTCCCACAAATGTTTTCAATTAGCAAATTTTGGATGAATAATTTGAAAGAAAAAACCCTAAACTGAACAGTGTATTCCTGAAATGACATCACAGTAACAGCGTTAGTCCGGAAAAACATGGAAACTTTTAAATGCTTAAAGAGGTGCACATTTGCAATAAGATAACCCCCAAAAGTGTTGTTTTTAGGTTTGTGTGATTCATATCATGCGAAATCAATTGTCAATTCCGAAATTTTATACAAGCAGTGTTCTGCTTTTTTAAGATTTAATCATCAAACACTCATCAACTGGGAAAAAATATTTTGGGAAAGAATAATTCAACACACCAGTGAATTCCAAAAATCCCAACTATCATTTAAGCCAGCCCAACCCAGGCTAACTATTTTAAGACTGTCTTACTACTTAAACTGTGTTATAGCAATGGTCTTACTTATAGACTGACTGACAGCCAGACTGTTTAATGCGCATAGACAGCTTTAAGACTGCTTATTGCAATCCGCCTGCTTGACTCTGTAGATGGATCCAGCGCTAATAAACTGTCGTCGGGAAAGGGAACCATGCCCAAATCGCAGAAAGGACAGAAACAAGGCGCTGCAACTTCAACACCTTCGAAGATGAAGGCTACAGATCCGGCCTCCCTCCCCGGAACAAGTGGTGGCTTCGTTGTCCGTGATGGGTCAAAAAAGGGGGGAAGAAATCGCAGCGATGATCGGGGAAAGAGTGATCATGCAATCAGCGATTCGGAGAGCGACACATCATCGGATACGGAGCCGGTAACTCCGAGAAAAACCTGGTTGGTGAGTATTCCCAAATGATCAGCCAGCAACTGGTTTATTGGAGAATTGTTTGACCTCTGGATAGTCTTCAGTCCCAGAAATTAGTCTTTTGACAAGGCCATCATGTGGGCGGGCATTTGACTTAGAAGTACAGTCATGAATTGGACTTGAGAGAAGACTACACAAGCCAGATGACAACTCGTTTTGAACTTTGTCAGAATTTTTTATACATTATTATATTTTCTTTACCATTTTTAACTAATAATACAAAAAAATCTGCAGTCAAAATGGCCTGTCACTCAGAGTCGACTGTTTTAACATGGAAAGATATCCAAGCAAGTGGTGAAACAGTAAAAAAAAACCTTAAAAGTTGATGCAACAGTTTCCGTTGTGATCAAATAAAATCAGCTGTTTAAGTTATACTTTTGTATGATATGCTACAATTTTATTTTTTAAAAGGGATCAGTATTTAGTTCGCCGAAAAGGCAGCAGGCCCGCACAACGTCGCCATCTGCGTGGTGTGCACGAGACACAGAGGCCTATCGTAACCGCTATCCGGTAAGTCGTACAGAATTTTGAACATTTTGGAAATTTCGAGGATTTTGTTGGACTGAGGAATGTATGGGCTCCATGCACCAACAAAAGAGGGTGCTTTTTTAACCACTTTGGAGAGCTCCGTGGATGCATGTCGCACCGGTCCGCGCGCATATAGCACGAAGTACGCACCACTAATAGTTACAGGCATGCTATTTTTCCTCGGATCCGCTGATTTCCTCACTTTGTTTTTACTTCTCATGAATGCCATTACACGTTGAAAAACACTGTTATCTCTGGTTTGGAGTTTCCTCGTTTTTTTTCTAAATTCCCAGTTGCATGCCAGTTATTAATCCTTTATGTGCACAAAGCCGTAGCGATTTCGCGTCAGCGTAAGGCGTCGTCGGCAATGCATTCGCATGCCTATTCCGATGGTCTCCCCCAAGTCAACTCTCCCTTCCTTGCCGTTGAGGGGGTCCTTGTGCACGGAGCCCACACCTCGGACTTGATATTCCTGCAATGTTTGAAGTACAAAGAATATCCCGTCACTTTGATGGATTTTGTAGGATACAGGAAGGATTCAAGCAGTAAGGAAGTAATGTTCACAACAAGTAGGGCTCATGATGTATGCATTTGTTTACATCAAATGAAAACAAATAGAAACTGAGGAGGTTTTATGCTTCATTAACTCAACAAGTGGGAGTGCACAATGACATATGGCCCAGTTTCGGCAAGAGTGCATTTATACGACCACGACATGGCATTTGCACCCGATTTCATCAAACTCTTCGTAACTTACGATGCATCGCAGCGCTGCGACGCGTCGTATCTCTACGATGCGTCGCAGCTGCGACGCGTCATGCGATCCATTTCACGAAACACGTCGTAAGAGCGACGCGTCGTTGGTGTATTTATAGCACAATTCGGTGACTGTTTTATGTATTTAGTCAGCGTACAGTAAATAGTCGTTTGATTTTCAACAAAGAGTCGTCGGATTTCAGCTTGAAATTTGTTAAAGCGTAAAACAAAATGGCGGGCGTGCGATGCAATAACGAAGGAAAACAAACTCTCATTGGACTGTATATCTACTTTGAAATTTCAATTCTCATATCCCGGTCCAATTCATAATTATTCAAGGATTTTTCTATTTACAACTTTACACACATTGCCTCGGTATTATAATCTCGTTAACCATGTAATGTTTATGGTATAAAACTGGCTTAGAAATTATTTTGCGACGACCACTAGACACGTCTTAACTTACACGTCTTAACGCGAGTTGCGACGTGTTACACGTCGTAACTTGAGTTGCGACGCGTCGCAGCGCTTCATGAAATCGGGTGCAGGTCTAATAGTTTTGGTCAATTGTCAGGGACCGACTGCCCGACCGACCACCAAGTGACATGTAGAAGCTCCTGCCATAACTTAAAAAAAGGGGGTTTAATAATCAAATTTGAACTTAGAATGTCATTCTTTTCCTTTTCTGCTCAGAACAAGAGGGACAATAAGAGCCTGAATGACAACTGGAAGTTCTACAACAACGAGATTGAATCTAAGCCCAGAGGTATTTTTTTTAAAAACATTCGTTTATTTACCCTCTTGCTGTTTGAACAGTCACAGACAGTCAAAATGCCTTTCACACAGGCTAGTCACCAACAGTCAGATCATATTTAAAGCAAGCACTGTGACTAGTCAAATTCAGTCAACCTACAAAAGCAGGCAACTGGTAGGCACAGCTGGCTTATCAATCACTGACAGTCAGAGCATAGCTGTATCAAGTAACATAAACAGTCCCAGCCAGTCAATCCTGCTTTATGTTGGCTGGAAACTCTTAACTGTTGAATACAGTGACTTGATTGGTTTTGACTGCTGGGACAACTTGGCACAGAATGTATGTTTTGACGTAGGAGGGTTAAAAACAAAATTATCAAATTCGGATTCCTCTTAATACACTGAAGAACACTTGACTACAGAATCATATTTCTTGGTACCGGTAGTCAGACACCGCTTGTTTCAAGTGCTTTCATGAGACATGAGTTTTAAAAGAATATTTGGCCTTTGATAATTTGTGTTTTGAGCAACATTTCGGAATAACTTACTTTTTTTAAAATATCTTTTGCAGGTACCTATATTGATACAATGCACGAACATTGGTTTGGAGATTATAGCCTACTAGAAGAGCACCATGGATACATTCAGTGGTACGTTAGTAATTACTTCACAAAAAGGACTTATTTTTTTCACAAGATTTCACAAGCTGCGTGAAAAAGTCTGTGAAAAAGCTAACAATGAACAATGGAGAAGTTGACATTTTGTTAACAGTTGGTTCAAAATTCTATAAATGCGGTCGAAAGCCAAGAATGATCGGAACAGAAATCATGCATTTCTCAACCGTGAACAGGCAAAAAGAAAGAGGGTGATCACGAAATTTAAGTTTACAAAGTTGATAGGAAAATGTTCACGAATTTTTCAGTTTGCAAAGGTGAAAGGAAAGCCTGGAAAGTTAGTTCAGGGATGACCCCTGAAATCAGGCGGCAACTGGAGAAAAAAAAGTCTCTGTCTTGGCCTGGGTCGGATTAGAACCCAGGTCACATGAAAGGTGGAGGTAGCCTACTGTGTTCAACCCGACTCTGCAGTGCCAAAACCCCAGCTTGTCGAAATGGACTTCTAAATTGACCAAACCCACCCTCCCGCCCTAAACTGACTACTTCTTGTGCTACCACGTGCCTCCCTTACACCACCCTTCCACACACCCCCATCCCGCCCCTACCCTGCAAGTTAAACAAAATATGCTTTTTATTTTGGCTATTCAGGTTGTTTCCCATCCGAGAGATGGGAATGAACCGGCAGGCACAGGAGCTTCAGTTGCATGAGGCAGAGGTACGTTCAGTCAGCTGTCATTCTCCTACATAATCTTCAAGCAATACTTGTTCTCCGTGACGGTATTTTTGGAGGGCGGCCCACCCTGCCAAATTTCTTCACTGGCCCTGTTTGCTACCCTGCTTTTGTTTATATGAGTACCTACACAATAAAAAGGTGTGAATTATGGATTTTTCAACAAATTTTTTTTGTAATATGCAAGCCTAGGCAAGTAGGTCCCAGAGCGCACAAATCTATTCAATTGATTTCAACGGACAAACGCGCCTGATGAAACCTTCTCAACTCCCTAGGGAGCACACACAGCCAGTAGGCAGCCATTTCGGCGCTCTTGGCCGTAATCAACCTCTCACAGTCACCAACACTGCCTTCACAGGTACCTATTTACTCCTGGGTGGAGAGAAGCAATGAGTGACAAAGTGCCTTGCTCAAGGGCACACGCACCATGACCCCGGGCTGGACTCGAGCCCACAACCTGCAGAATTACCCACAGACCACAAATTCAATGCTCCAAACTGACCACTAGGCCACGACGCTTAACTGGTCTATACGATGGGCAAAATTTAACCCACTCATTGATGTTACAGGGTACTCCTATACAATAGCACTGCCCAGCTTTAGTACAAGTATTTGTCAATCAGTCTGTGAGCCAGTCAGTCCGTCGGCCAGCCAGTCAGTGAGAAAGATACAAAGGGAATTCTAGGCTGGCTGTCAAGAATCGTTGGCAAAATGTTTTAAATATGTTAATTTTTGTTGTCAGAGGATATGTAAGGATCCGAAGTGCAGCGACCGCGTCGTTAAATCCTACGAGTTGATGCTTCATTTTTGGGGAATGCATCTCGAAGACCGACAAAAGGGGAAGATCGTACGAGGGGACAACTGGAAAGAGAGGTTCCGTAATCTCAACAGGTCAGCCAATAAAAAAGTTCAGAAGTATCTCTCTAGTACAGTTGACAAGTGTCATGGATAAAAGGGACACAATTTTTGGAATGTCGAGCAAAAGTTGAAGTGAAGACTAGGTTTGAAAAACGGCAAATACATGTATATGTATACACTTCGTGCACAAGCACCTCCTTTATGGTGCGAGAGGGAGAGTTGGAGGAGACCGCCGGGAGAGAATGTGGCCTAGGGGTTAGGGTTCGTGACTCATGATCAGAGTGTCAGGGGTTCGAATCCCGCCGCTGGTCATGTGTAAATATCCCAAAAACACTCATTAATTTGTGATTTTTTTTCAACTGACCATAGGTCGTCCCACAACTACCTCCGGATAACTCAGATTCTCAAGTCGTTGGGAGAGCTCGGCCATGAACGTCTGAAGCTTCCCTTCCTGAAGTTTGTTCTCCACGAGGCGATCGTGGAGCGGACGCTAGCCAACGCCGAGAGGAGTTGCCTGCACTACTGGATACACACACTGAGAGATGACAAGCAACGAAAGTGGATACAGATTTACGCAGATAACTTGCTCGCGGAAAGCAAGCATTGAGTTGAGATCCATAAATAGAATCATCTTACACCTATTAGCACTTGTACTACATTGTATTACATTGTGTTTATTCACTGATACATCCATATAAAACCACAGAGTGTGTGAGCGGTTTTGGACGCTACAGTGAGTAATCAGGCAAGGCAGTTTTGGGAAGTACAGGGAGTAACAGGCAGAGGGATTTTGGGCAGTAAAGGGAATAACAGGCAGGGCGGTTTGGGGCAGTACAGGGAGTTACAGGCAGGGCGATTTAGGCAGTGCAGGGAGTAACAAGCAAGGCAATTTGGGGCAGTACAGGGAGTAACAGGTAGGGCAGTTTGGGGCAGTACAGGGAGTAACAAGCAGGGCGGTTAAGGGCAGTTTAGGGAGTAATAGGAAGGTTGGGACTATCAAACCGGAAAAAAAGCTATTGGAATACTCGGTTGATAATTGAATATTGAAATGTTTTGTATATTCGGGACAGAAGAAGAGTTTTTCTTAAGTTGATTGATTAAAACCCTCTTCTGAGAATAAATATGAAATTATTGATAGATTTGTTCATTTCAGTAAATGTAAATTTGGCTTTTAATTTAAAATTACTTCAGTCACAAGTAAAACCAAATATTAAAGTATACAAAAAATGTTTTATTTTAAAGCAAATTTTAATGTGTAATTAAATGTACTTCAATTTGCAGTTGAGCTCAAAATATTATAATAGAATTATTTTTTGTTCAGAAAAAATCTTGTGATATAATAATTATTAATTATTAATCGAAAATGATGAATTGTATGCAAATATTTAACAGAAAAGTCACTGAAATATTCAGAACTGTCTTTTAGAATTTATATTTGACATTCCTTTAAAAACTTTCCTGTTTTTCTGTCTATCAAATTGCAAATTTGTAAAATTACTGATTTATTTCTTGCTAATATTGTTTCTTCACGTTTAAAGGTAATATACAACATTTGCAAACATAAAAAAACTAAAAACAAATAACTTATTATTATGAAATACCTTACTTGACTGTAAGTGCATAATAGTGTAGCGGGATCCTACTGGGCTCTTGTCCGCCAAATCCGGCCAAACGCAAGAAAAGGGGACACACAGACGGGATTTCTAACTCTGAAGGAAAATCTCATTTATTTCGCCAAGCGGAGTCTGCGGGCAACTTGCCGCACCGCTACCAGAACTGCAACTGATCAATTCCCAGCATATACATGCACAGTTTCACAAAATGTATTACAATGTTACAACTTTACCCAACCCTGGAATCCAGCCAAGTTCTTCCCGCGCAATAGAACAAAAGAACCCCACTTAGCCAACCATTTGTAGAGCCTATTTCCGGAGCGCGCGCTAGCCAGACCCAAAACCAGGTCAGGTGCGCGCCGCCGGAGCCCCTCCGCCGGAGCACTAGTGCTAGAAAGCAATGACAACAAAAGTGTGCATAGACTGTCCGTTACACTACCCCCTCCTTAAATTGGGCCTATTCTCCTGAATAGGGGCACTTATACAACACATTTTACATGAACTTTTGTTTTCTTTAACCAAACATTGGGTGTCCTCAAAGGATGTGGAGCAACGTTGATCTGGTCCCCAAAATGGTTACTCAGATCAAACATTAATCCAGCAATCCATGATGACAACCTCTTCAACAGGGAAACATTTTGGAAACAACATGAGAAATCAAACACTTGAACTTTGTTTATCAATGGGTGTCCTCAATGGAAGTTGATCAGCGTTGATTCTAGTCCCCAGACTGGTGCACAGAATCAAACAATGATACAACAAACCGTGATGACTACCTTACAACAATTTCAACACATTCTTTTACAGTTTTTTCTCTTTTAGTCTTGCTCCCTTCACTTGGAAACTGTCCTTTATGTCCTTACTATTTCACAAAACAATGTCCATCCAAGAGAGAACTTCTCTCCAGTCTCTGTCTGTGTTGCACTTCGCAAGCTTTAGTGTCTTCAGCCAAGTACACAGGTCACATCGCTGTACTCCTGCCACCTGGTCGTTGACTCCCCAACCTTGCTTTGTCCCCGTTGTCTTCCTTGGTGTCTGTCCACGCACTGTTGTCGTCTCCAGCGGCCTCGTCTTCCGTGGTGCACCCTGCACCGGCAGATTCCCTGTCTTCGTCGGCGGCCTCGTCTTCTGTGGTGCACCCTGCACCGGCGGATTCCCAGCCTTTGATGCTCCCTGCATCAACGGGTATCCTGTCTTCTGTGGTACTCCCTGTACCTTTGGCCTCGTCTTCTTAGATGCGTCCTGCATCGCCGGATCTGCAGTCTGTTGGCTTACTGTTCTTGTCCCTGTCACGTGCACCTGCGGTCTGAAAGTCAATGTCGTTGCTTGCTCCAGCGGGGCTGCTTTCGCCGGGGGATAGTGCCGCTCCGGCTCGGTTGCCGTCACCTGAACATGAAGGTCAGTGTCTATTGGTCGATTGTCCATGGTCTGAGTTGCTGTCCCGGCAGTACGGCGGTCGATGAGTTCAGCGTGCCCCGGCTGATCGGCATGCACCAGCGGAGCCGTCCACAACGGTGGATCAGTGTGCATCGATGGAGATGTCAGCAACGATGGAGCTATCGATGTGCAGCTAAATTTCTCCGCAGCAGTTGGATCAGGACTGGAAAAGTCGGTGCATCCACGAACCTCGATCCGATGGACAGCCGCCATGCTCGCCAGTATCACGGGACGGGGCTCCACGTCAACAGCAGGGCTATCATCGCTCGCAGCGGCCTCCCTACTCGTGGTCTCCCGATTCACGCGACAACCCGGCCTAACATCAACTTCTGCACCCGGACCGCTGAACAGGCTTGCTCGTCGTTCATCTTCATCCTGATCCGCACTGGTAGAATCATCGGAGCTGTACATCGCTTCCAATTCGGCGATCATTGTATTGATCCTCTGCAACACACCTACCGCTGAACCAGTTGCCTGTGGATTACGTCTGTCCGAGGAATGGGCTGATCCACAAATCTGCCGCTCCAAGGAATCTCCCACCTTCCGAACGTCAATGATGACATCGTTGATGGCGTCCACGATCTCAACTACGGCTCGGCTTTCCGTCATTTCCAGTGATAAGTCAAAAATCCCGTCAATATCCCACCGCTGCCACCATTTGTAGCGGGATCCTACTGGGCTCTTGTCCGCCAAATCCGGCCAAACGCAAGAAAAGGGGACACACAGACGGGATTTCTAACTCTGAAGGAAAATCTCATTTATTTCGCCAAGCGGAGTCTGCGGGCAACTTGCCGCACCGCTACCAGAACTGCAACTGATCAATTCCCAGCATATACATGCACAGTTTCACAAAATGTATTACAATGTTACAACTTTACCCAACCCTGGAATCCAGCCAAGTTCTTCCCGCGCAATAGAACAAAAGAACCCCACTTAGCCAACCTATTTGTAGAGCCTATTTCCGGAGCGCGCGCTAGCCAGACCCAAAACCAGGTCAGGTGCGCGCCGCCGGAGCCCCTCCGCCGGAGCACTAGTGCTAGAAAGCAATGACAACAAAAGTGTGCATAGACTGTCCGTTACAATAGTCTCAAGCATCCTGTGATATCATGGCACCTGGTTTGCTGTCATTTTCTAGAAAAGTGGAATTTTTCTATCAATTTCCAACGATTGTCGGCCGACTATCATTGGAAAAAAGAACTTTTTTGAACTTCTTCAGGAATCAGTGGAGAGTACTATAACTTGGTTCCCCCTCGAACTTAATATGTTTTGAAACACAAGAAGTAGTAAATGGCGGATGGAAATGAATAATTTGCCGAGTAAAGTGATAATATCGAAATTCCGATAAACAAAGTTAATGGACTAAAGAGTAAAAAGCTATTGGAGATAGACCGATACATCGCAGAACCGGAAATAAATACGGCGAATGTACCGTTTACGAATACAAAAAAAATTCAGAAAAATTGTATTTTAATGAAACAGGTTCGTTTACAAGTCATTTAAATCGTTTACAATTATTTAAAAGTTTAAAGGTTTTTGTTTACATGCATGTATGAAGGCAAAGCGCATATTGAGCTAACAATCCTCCAAGTGTTTAGCCTACGACTATATATATATTAAGACTCAGTGGTTCGAATATATAACTGAATAGCCTTGTGGTTAGGGTCTCTGTCTACAGACCCGGGGTCCGGGGTTCGAGTCCCGTTGGTGCATTTTTGGTTTTCAATACACGCGCTCAGTCATTTACTTTAAGAGTCTTTATTTCCCGTCGTTAAATACCAACCGACCTTTAATAGCTCAATCAGTTAAATCACCGGCTGGGACTGTCTGCGAAGTCCAGGTTATGCATCTACTCATAGGTACGGGGCTCTTTTGCTGTCTCGGCAGCAAGGCATAGGGTGTCGCCTCGTTTCCTCCCTTAACGGTGCTTGGCCCCTTTGGGTTACATGGATGGATAGGGAAGGAGGTGTGGTGGGCCGGGGAATCCGAGACCCAGGAAGAGCCCTATATGGGAGTCGGTAACCAATCGCGACCCCTGAATGCTTGGTCAACACCACATAACTTTTTGTTTTTATTTATCCCCTTATTTTTCTCTTGTCGAGAAGTACAAAAGCACGGATAAATTGAAAACTGAGCTAAGATTACCAAATTTTGTCCACTTTAAAAAGTCTATACTGGGCATCTCAAATGAAATTATTAAATGAAGTTTTTGAGTTATATAGTAAATAGTAACACAGTAAATCGTGACGTAATAAACAGGACTCGTTTATGCTACTCTGCATCGGGAGTCCTGTTTATTACGTCACGATTTACTGTGTTTTGTTTGCTGCCCGCAACGACGACTTTTACACAAATTGCACGTTCGGGTCGAAACAGGCATGAAAGGAATTGAAAAACAGTTCTCCAAAGTACCTTTTGTACTCATTTCATGACAGAAACAATAGTCGTTTTTATTTCATCACACCTTAGGCTCTATATACCCCAAAAATGACGGAAATGTCTTCGAGCATTCCACAACCTCTTTAATGTACAATGTACATATCTTTCGCATAATGTTTGAGTATTATTTCTTGATGTATGTTATTTCGTATAGAAATTACCTGAAACGCATTTCTGTTATGACATCCAATTAATAATAATTCTCTCTATGTCGCATAGATCAGGCGAGAGTTGATTCAGTTATCTTCCCAAACATGGCAGAGGGAGGGATGTGCAGCTCAGCACTCAAAAAGTTCGGCGACGATCATCTGCTCTGTTCAATTTGTTATGAAATGTACACAAAGCCTAATACTTTATCGTGTCTGCATAGATTCTGTGAGAAATGTCTCCTCACCCACGCAAAATCAGCTAAGAAAAACGTCAGGTGTCCCCTGTGCAAACAAGTTACTCTTATTCCGAGGGGTGGTGTTGAAAACCTGCCGACGGATTTCAAACTTGAAAGCATGGTAGACACGGTGTTGCAAAACCAGACGCAGCCAATACCGACATGTACCATCACACTGGAAAAAGATACGAAGTCTACTGTGCAACCTGCTCCGAGCTCATATGTGTGACGTGTCTTACGGAATCCCATAATCGCCATGATCTGAAGGAAATAGCTGACACGGTGGCTACAGCAAAGAGAGAGTTCATCGGAGATTTCTTGCCGATGTACGAAACATCTCTCGCGAAAGTCGAAGAGACTTTGGAGACAGTCTCGGGAATTAAAAAGGATTTGCTGAAAACGGTTGAGATAATCCGACAACAGATCGCGGACACGTCTGAGCGTGAAATAGACAGAGTGATCGCAGCAAATTGTCGCATCACTGACGAACTCATTCAGATCCAGACGACGAAAGAAAATGACTACGCCGAGCTCACAAAAGACTTACTCTCCCTGAAGAAAAACCTAGAGGATGCGATCGGATACTCCGCAGGCGAAATGCCAAAGAGCGATTACGATTACCTCAGAAGATTTCCAGAAATGAGCCGCGGTTTCCGAATGTTCGCAGGCCGTAGTCAAGTGCCCCGCATCTTGCCTTGCGTGCCGCTGGTAAAGTTCGAACCATCTGCAGAGCCAGGTGAAGACCTCAGTCTCGGTCGCTTGTCGACGAGTCTTGAGAGAGTGAAGTATGTCTCAATTGTTGATTATGATAAAGACGAAGATGAGGACGACGATGGTGGTGATGGTGATGGTGAGGAAGGTTGCGAAGACGAGGATGGTGATGCAGTGAATGAAACTGACAGTATTAACGGCGATGAAAGCAACAGTAGAGGGCGCCAACCGACGCCTGTCGGACGTCTTAGCGAGTATCTATCTGCCATCCTTTTCCCATCTGTTATTTGACATTTTGCATCATCCTCCGATGAGATCTAAGTCAGATTTAGTTTGGAAAAGGTCATTTTACTTTTGAGTGATTAAGGACGCTAATAGTAAGTGAAGCCATATCGAGGTATGTACAAATGGGCAAGATTATTGACGTTAGTTCACGTTGCTATTGATTAGACAAAATTATATACACGTATTTACAATATTTTTCGATTAACGTAAATGTACTTAATTGCTTTAATTAATAAGGGAATAACAGTGTGAGGAGCCGGTCTTCACTGCGTGATAATGACCGGGTTTGGGGGTGACCGCTGTTAATGGACCGAGACGAACAGCGGTCACCCCCAAACCCGGTCATTATCATGCAGTGAAGACCGGATCCTCACACTGTTATTCCCATTAATAAATACCTTTTTAACGAAATTAACAGTTAAAATGCTCCAATTTTGTGACTTTTTTTCCGGCGATATTTCCAGACTTTTTTGTGTTCATGTTCATGGGCCATATTTTAGCTTATGCGTGGTACCCCGTCTCTTCAATAAGCGTTGTTATATACACCACAGCCGGGCCCAGGCTGCGCTGGTATTGCAACGTCTTCATTGCGTACGCGTACGACTTCTGCTGCCGTAGCCAAACAAATTACAACAATGTTTTCATATTTTTACCTTATGGAGGAAGCTGAAATTTCGTTTACACATTCCATGTGTCCAGAATTACAAAGATGCTTGGTTTAGGAAAGGTAAATATGTCGATGGGCGAAGTATTTACAGAAAATAAATCGTAGATCTACGCTTTCGTCGTAACATCCTCAGTATAGTGCACTGCTGCTGTACAATGTCGTTTCAAAACTTCCTACGCGCGCGCACCCATAGCAACTGTGTTGCGTACGCGCGCGTCAGTCTCACGCGAAGGTGGTTGAGCGCATGTGCAGTGCTGTATTGTTACAAGCTGCCGTATGACTGTTGTAAATTTGGCCAATCATTGCTTTCCATGGGGCTGGATCAATGCTGGTTCAGGGGCCATTTATTCGCTTGTTCTTTGAAGCCGGTCATTATCACCGTTAATGCCCGGCCACGTGATCGAGTCTCGACCAATCAGAAACCATCAACTCTCCAAGGTATTTATTAATGATGTTTAATATAGTTTGGTACGTTTAAATAAAAAGGAGAAAAACATTGTCCAAACACGTCCAAAAGATGTGTCGTAAATGACGCTGTTTTTAGCTGCTCCCACCTAACTTGCAATGAATAAGGGAATAAATGTGTGCTCCGGAGGTTTTTATCACTCTGTTTAATACCACTTAGAGTCTGGGTGCTGATAAATACCGACGGAGCACATATTTATTCCCATTCATAAATACTTTTTCTGTAAAAAAAAATCATATAATTCGTTCAAAACATCCCGATTTTGTTCAACAAATTCACTTTATGCTTTTTGAAACATCCCTCCTGCAAAATAATGGAGTGTTCAGCTGGCGAATAAGATGTAAACAACCCTTTATGGAGATTGACGCGCGCGTATCATGTTCTACGCGATGTCGCGCAGAACGCACCTGGCGCGTTGCGTTTTGAATTTAGAACTATAAAATTCTAACTCCCTGGTAGTGTTGCGCATGCCTACGTAAGGATTGTGAACGTTCAACCAATGAAACGATAAGAGGCACTGGATTTTTAAGAGTCCACATTTTATTGTGACACTGGAAAAGTGTTTAAGACCAGCTAGCCATGTCTTTATCATCCGTTTAAGACTGGCCACGTGATGGGCTCTCGACCAATAGGAATGCGTAAACTGTCTTAGGTATTTATGAATGTGTGTTTTAAGACACCCGCAAATAACAGCATTTAATAGGGAGCGTAAATCACACATTCGAATTGCTTTAATTTTGTACTGTAGTTTTTTATTTCATCAAATTCATATCGTACACCTGATTCAACCCTGACTCTCAAAGCAACGCGCACATGAGTAAACAAAGCGTGACGTCATTATGTCTTGGGTCTTTGGGGCGACATGCAGACACTGAGTTTCAACACCGTATACATGTACATGTATCTTTCTTTCTATGTATTGGCCTACACCGTCCAAGCATTGATTAATGGTACATGATATAGTATAATTCGCTCTTGTATCGCGATATTGGAACAAAAGCGGAGAAGTTGAACAGGCGAAGGCCTTTCCCATTCACATTGCAATAACGTCTTCGTTTAAGAAACAAGTTTAATGGAGGACTCTACGAACAGTGCGCTGCACCTGTCGTGAAACAAAGATCGTATCCTGAATGCAACTCTTCCAGGTGAAATCATTGATTTGATCTTCTGCAAAGAAATTGGTGAACAATCGTACTCGGAAACAAAGCTCAAGATTCGCTCTCGCTAGACCGAAACCTGTCCCAGCACTTTTAAAACAAACTATAGTAGGAATGGGCCGTCCCTTTTATGTAAATATACGGACACTTGTGTTGGTGTTACTAAAACAGGAACTTACATTTCGGATGGAAATGATCGGATTGCAGAGGAGAGTGATAATATCGAAATTCCGAGAAATTGACCGATAGATTGCGGGGAAAAAAATCGGCGAATGTACCGTATAGGCCTACGATGTGACAAGCAGCCTTACTATATATATTTGTCCTTGGGCAAGACATTATTTGATTTCTACACGCCCCAAATAGGGACCCGTGCAGGCAGAGATGATCACTGCATTCGAATTTTCTGTTTAAAATGAAATGTTAGTAAAGCTGTTACAAAAACTTACATATTATCTTAATTTATTTTTGAATAAAACCTTTTCGTTTTTAATCTACCTTATAAAGTCTCGACAAGAGAACACAGGGGATAAATAAAAACAAAAAGTTATGTGGTGTTGACCAAGCATTCAGGGGTCGCGATTGGTTACCGACTCCCATATAGGACTCTTCCTGGGTCTCGGATTCCCCGGCCCACCACACCTCCTTCCCTATCCATCCATGTAACCCCGGAGGGCCAAGCACCGTTAAGGGAGGAAACGAGGCGACACCCTATGCCTTGCTGCCGAGACAGCAAAAGAGCCCCGTACCTATAGTAGATGCATAACCTGGACTTCGCAGACAGTCCCAGCCGGTGACTTAACTGATTGAGCTAAGGTCGGTTGGTATTCGACGGTGGGAAATTAAGACTCTTAAAAGTAACTGTCTGAGTGCGTGTATAGAAAACCAAAAATTGCACCAACGGGACTCGAACCCCGGACCCCTGGGTCTGTAGACAGAGACCCTAACCACTAGGCTATTTAGTTATATATTCAAACCACTGGGTCCTAATATAGTTGTAGGCTAAACACTTGGAGGATTGTTAGCTCAATCTGCGCTTTGCCTTCATATGCATGACAAAAACACTCTAAACTTCTTAACTCCCGTCATAAAAACAAGTGATTTAAATAACCTGTAAACAAATTTGTTTACTTGAAATGCACTTTTGCTGAAATTTCGTATTCGTATAAAACTTTCGCTGTATTTTCCCGCATTGGATCCGTCTATTTCCAAACATTATACTTTTCAATCCATTAATTTTTTTTCTCGGAATTTTCGATACTATATGACTTACTCGGCAAACTATTCATTTCCATCAGACATTAACTACTTCTTTTGCTTCAAAACCTGTTAACTACGAGGGAACAGAGTTCACGTACTCCCCACTGATGGTTGGAAGCCGTACACGTACAGTGAGCTCGTATATTTGTGACATTTGCATGAAACGGGCCCTATATAAAATTGCTCTAGTTTGCAATGGAGCGCAGGCATCATTAAATGGCGATGGGCCACAGGACTATTTTAAAATAGCAGCTTATGATATAAGCTTTGATTTGGTGGGCGTCTCAACCACCTGGGTAAGTTGAGAGTATTTTTAATAATTTTCGGAATTACGCGTAATAATCACTCAGGTCTGTGGGAGTCGATTTGCAGGTCCATGCACCTATAATGAGAGGCGTCCTGCACTCCATATAGACACCTAATGAGAGGCGTCTTCTCTGGTTGTTATACCGTATACTTCGCGTAAATCGATGTTAATGTTCAATAACTTCAAGCCTGATTGCCAGCATCTAATATATACTATTTGCCTCATTATTTTGTTGCCTTACGATGAATAGGGTTCTTATGTTCAATGTTTTTTTCTGTGGTCGGAGCCTAAAATTAGAGTCGGGGAATTAGCATTGAGAATCAAAGAAATGCAGTGGTTGCTGTTTGCAATCCTAATAATGAAACACGTGCATTTAACAAGAGTTTGGCGAACTACATAACCAAAACAGCAAATTATGCGCGAACTACTTTTCGTACGCTTAACTCCCCAAACAAAATGCGCGTGAGCTTGACCGTTAAATTTGATTCCTAAATAATAGCGCCCTCAATCAAACAAAGGAATCACACAACTGGTGGCCATTGCTGTATAATTATTATGTAATCATAAACAATTCTTTTTAATCACAGCAGCAAAGAACCCCGAACAGAATCGTAATGCGAACACAAGTAATTAACAGGAGCTGTTTCGGCGAACTATGAAGCCAAAACGGCTAATTATGCGCGAACTACTTTCGTACGTTTAACCCCCAAACTAAACCTGCGTAGGCTTGACCGTTAAACTTAAATAGTGCCCTCAATTGACTGAGAGTAACGTCACAAATAATCGTCATTGAACAATGTACTCGGCAACAGAATTCTTTCCAATCACTACAGTACCGAGGAATTCTCTTTCAATATCGGGCGTTACATTATTGACAGCGCACTCTGTTACGTAATTTTTAGCGCGTTCATTGTCGCCGAATTGCAGTATACAACTGTACTCCCTCTCTCAAACCGTTCTTCTTTTGTTTCAGTCTGTTACTGATCTCGCGCCCACAAACAAGGGACAAGGCGAAATCCAGAACATAGTGGGTTTTTTTAGGCTGGGCCAAACATTTTTTGTTCCCGAAAAAATGGGTCCAAAATGTTCCGCCCCAAATTTGATATGAAAAGCAAGGGGGAAGGACTCGTCACGGCATTGGTGCATGGT